GTTCTAGTGAAAGTGGCAGTACTCCATCTTCAGAAATAAGTTCAGACAATTAATAATAGAGGTATATTTATAGTAATCAACTTCAGTTTATATATTATAAATGTTTATTTCGTATTGATATTTATGAAGCATTTCGGTGAATATGGACTCTTCGTATCTGCTATTTACAAATGTTCTTGAAAGATACCTTTCATATATTGAACGTGATCACCTTTAATATTCGCATATCCAATTTTCTCGTTAATAGTAATATGTAGATTTGGATTGACCTTCAACAAATCGTTTCTAAATTGCTTTATGTCACCTCTTACATGCTTTATTTCTGTTGATATCTTCGTATTCTGTATCTTTAAGTAAACTGGCCAGTGTCCGAATTTTGATTTACTGATTGAATAATTTTTGAAACCAAATCCATTGTTGGGTAGTTGATCGTATCTGACGCTTGATAAAGAAGGTATGACCAGCAACCCGACATCAGGTTTTGCTGTCCTTATTTTCACTGACTTGAATATAGCAAGACTAGGTTTCATTTATATGGTGAATCCTTGCTTTATGGATACTGTATTAGTATTACTTAAGATAAAAAGCGAAAAAAAAAATTTCATGGTTTATAAATGTCGTAGATTGCGACATTGAAATTATCGACATTAGATTTCATACTTAATCTATGTAGTTGTAGAATGCAAAAGGTACTTCATCTCGCTCACATTTTGGACACTATGAAGTTTTAGATGTTTATTATAGCTTGATTTGTCATCAAACTGGGCCCCACAAGATTCACATTTGAAAAGCTTAAGATGTGTTTTCATGTGTTTCGCCAAGTTCGAACTCTCGCTGAATCGTTTATTACAGACTTTGCAAACCAATGGCTTTTCTCCCGTATGAACCCTGTGATGAATTGAGAGCGATGAAGATGTTGCAAATCTTTTATTGCATGTAGAGCATTGATAGGGTTTTTCTCCAGAATGGACTCTCGTATGCTGATTCAATAGAGGACGAGTTGCGAACTTGGACCCGCAAACATCGCATTTAAAAGGTTTAAATTTTGTGTGGATATGTATGTGCCTCAAGAGTTTCTGTCTCTGAATGAACCTTTTACCGTTATGTCTATCACATCCGACCCAATCACATGAATAACTGGACTTACCAGAACCAATATGGCTGTTAATTAAATGTGACTGTAGTTCGTTCTCCGATTCAAATACTTCAGAACATTTTATCGGATGGCCATACTCATCTATTCCTACCTGCCAGCAGCATATACATTTTGACTTTGTTTGATTATCACTACCTTCCGTTCTTTGATCTTCGTGCTCTGTATTTTTTGGGAATATGCTCATGGAAGTAATGTTAACATCTTCGTCCTGTTTAGGTAGAATGCTAGGAGAATCAAAGGATGATAAGGAACTAGATACTGGAGTGAGAAGCTGAAAATCTGGAACCGTTGAGAACTGCTGATCTTTGTGAGAGTTCATGTGTAATATCAATGAATCTAAATCTGAATCCATAAAGCTACATTCATTCCATTCGCATTTATAGCCACTGTGTTTGAAAGGGGTCGAATATTGCTGTGCTATGTGCTGCTCTACCAAATGCTTTAAAAACTCATCTTCATCTACCTTTACTTGGCAATTGTCCCATAGACAAGAATATTTTTGTTCATGGTCTGCCGGTAGCAACGAAGATTCCGTTTTTGAAGATGCAACATCTTGTGAAGTAACACTTGAGGGACTTTTGTCCAAAAGAGCCTGATTATTTATCATCTGATTGAAATTATCGAATTGAACAAAAAAATCATAATCAGACACCGGTGCACCTGAGTTCATGTCCATGTTATAACTTGTATTTGGAATCATCGTATGAAAACAAGATTGATGCAAATGATGATGGTTAGGACTATCACAGTGCATCATAGAGTTGGTATCTCCCAGAGCATGACATTCATGGGGAAAATGCAATTGAAAATCCTTACTTGGATCTGCAATTCCTTTCTTCTGTATTTGATTCAGCTGTTGGTTGTCTAACGTTTGATACACTTTATCAATCAAATCTTCAAAAATGGGGATCTTAGATGACTGAAGATCGCATAAGTTATTTTCATGAGCACTGGGATATTCACATAATGAGGTGGCGGTTTTAGTGTCACATATATAACTATCATCAGGAGGAGTTGTAGCACGCAAGCATTCAGAGTTCTCACAGCACGTCACATCTTCCAAATTCCTTTCCTTTGCACATTCAATACACTCACTTTCACTGCAGCCTTGATCATTATAGTCGTCACAAGTCAAGAAGAAACAGTCATCAAGCTCCCCACAGAGAATATCCTTACAAAGGATATCATCATCAAATTCAGTACATTCCTTTCTTTTGGCTCCAGGAAATTTAGGATCCGTAATTCGTAGCTTATCGTGGTCATGATTATGGATATGACCATGAATATGCGTATGGTCACCATGTTTGTGAATATGGCCATGAACATATCCATGCGTCCTGATGCTCTCTTCCTTTTTCATTTTAGTATCAGATTTCAAGACTTTCGTGACTTGAGATCCTGGAGATGTTACCATAGTAGTGAAGAGCAGTATCAATTGGCAAGAGATCTTTCAAGATTTCATTCATATAACGTAAATTTCCAGGTTTCTTTTAGACTAGTCATCCCATCGTCTGCAAAAGTCAAAGAATACCTTGGAGGTTAAGGATAGTTTTGCGACATATAAGGCGACATTATTTCACGACATCTTAAGTATGACCGATCCTATGAACTCCCATGTGATCACATGTTGTGACTTCTTACTGCGATTATTGTTGTTTCTTACTGTATAATACTGGAACACCTCTACCTGGAAGTGAAGTTATTGTAAGGTAAACACCCCAGTGGGGACACACAAGCACACTCTCATATTCATTCACTGCCGAAATGATGACTTGTAGGTCATACTGAAGAAAGTCAATCATTACTTCAGATCTTGTCATTTTCAGTTGACGTTGTACCAAACGGTCTAATGGTAAAATCACCTTCGTGGAAAGAAAGATCCGGCTAGTCCCTGTTATGTCGGCTTGTCCTTCCATGCTTAAGATAAGCAGTTGCATGGAGCTCTGTGTGACTTTTCATCTCAGAGAGGAGCAATATGCAACTCTGTCATTTCCATATCGGGCCACTTTATAAATATATAAAGATGCAAACATATTTTCCTCTATAAACCCCTCAAGAGCCACCAAATAATTAGCACTGACTTAACACGGAAGGTTATGTCCTCCGGTCCCGTGCTGATTCTAGTTTACATGAGATAGATTGTTGCATATCTAAAATGTAAACATTGTTTTAATGATTCAGCTGTGGACCAAAGCGGGACAACTGGAATTACAAAGAGTTTGAGATCACATAACATATAAATGGAATAGAGATATCCTTATGATTTTGGAATAGTGAGCTGTCTTAAATCAAGTTATACGCAGAAGATTAAATAAAATGCTTAGGTATCAAAAGTCGCAAGGTAATCATGGATCAAACCATGGCACCTTCGCAATGTTTCTCAATAAGCTAATATTAAAAATAAACAAGAGGCTGCTGAAGAACATTGATATCAGCAAAAAGGGTATCTCGACTCAGGAGCTCGATGAGACCCAATATGATTCAGTCATAGCTCTCATTGCATTTTACCTAGAGCAGGATTCATTGGACGATTCTTTCTCTCTGATAATGGGAAATTTCGAAGAGACGTTGCCTTTCACAATATTTGAAAGACAACCCCTTCAATCCAAATACTCTGAGCTAGAAGAGGAATCAATGGACATGAGCATATTGAGCAGGAGCACTTCAAGACAAGATTCGTTGTTTGCCTCTTATGAAGTAACGGAATCAACAGCCTTTGAATCCATAAACCTTGCTAACACCCAAAATATCAAGACTTTCCCATGTAACTCAGCGTTAGTGGTACTAGAACAAAAACAACTAGAACCTTTATGCTTTAAGTTACCTGTTGAGTAAATCGAACTTAGGAAATGAGATTGATAATCCTTTCCATCTGTCACCCGATAAATCTTTCAAGATGTTGGTGTGCATCAACGAGGTGTCTGCCAGGTTATTGGCAACCTTACTCTTGTATTTTGTCACTTTTATACCCAGAAAATTGCTAATCTACACTAAGCAGTCCTTTTCTTTACATAATCCCGCAAGTTGGATACAGCTTACTGCTTTTTACAAATGTGTTTTAAAGAACTGACAAGACTGGAATTTCTTCAGCGAATGGCGAAGAGATGCTTAATGTTTTACGACCTTTATATTTACTTATGCCCTTAAACACTAATATTTTTAAATTTTTATGTCTTCAATTAATGTATTCAAATATTTAGAAAATAGGAAATAGGCTTGATAAATTGGGTCCTAAGTATCGAACGCCTAATAAAATGTAAATTAGAGCAATTTTAGGATTGTAATTCTTTGATTTCATTCTCGTCTGCCACCAAGCCCATAACAACCAAGTACATATTCAAATTGTTCAACAAGTTTTGTTTCTTGTACAAATTATTCAAATCATTGTTATCAATTGCCTTTGCTCTGCTCATAGCACTGAAGATTTCATCTCTAACCTCGTCAACAATTATCCTTTGATGACTAAGTTTTCCGCCTAATGAGAGAGTAGCTAAAAATTGCCAAACATAGTTCTCACCTGTCGAACCGTCATCTACGTCATGAGGTGGAAATATAGCTGCAATTCTTGACTCGAGAGATGTAAATAACTCATCATAACATGACGACCATTCAGATAAATCGGTAGCAGACATTGTACCTTCACCTCTAATGAGTTCCGCACGTGACAATAAAGTAGTTAATATTGATAAACCAATCTTAGTAGTTGATACAAATGCAACATTATTGTGCTCAATTAGGATAACTAATAAACCAATTATTTCATTGAATTTGAAGTCTTGAACCGCATTCATCAAAACCTTTGAAAATGTTAACGAATAGGTGTCAACTAACTTTTGAACCTTCTCGGGTACCTTCTTATCACTGTAAGTTGTATAAGACCCCAACTTAATAACTGTCAAATTTTCCAAGTTAGACATGATCAAGGTCACAATTGTCAAAATTTGCTGCCTCGATAAGAATTTGAAAAGTCGTGGTAAAATCTTGAGAGCTTTGTCGTGATTTAAGCATTGAATGAATGGATTGACCTCGGTCTCATCATCTCCAGATGTCGAAGGCTGTTCCAAGACACGCAAGGATTCCCATAGAGCATCCTGGCCAGTATTAGGACTAGTTCTGGACTCGCTTTCTGCTTTCATAAGATTTGAAATTATGTTTTCTAAAATTCTTAAAATATCCTTCCTAGAATATTTTTTAATGGATCTCGACGAAGTTTCCTTTTTAGATGGTTCCTTACCCTCTAAGTTCTCTTTCTCCGCTTCCATTTCTCTTTGAGCTGCCTTACTTAAAATTTCAAGTTGTTGCCTGGGCTTCTTTCCGCTACCAAATGAAATCTTTCCTAGGGCGCCTTCCTTCGCATATTGCGTTAACTTTGGCCTTTCCTTTGCTACTGTGACAGCCTTCTGGACCTGTTGTTGCATTCTTTGTAATGCAACATCTGCCCGCTTATAACGGCCTCCCAACCTATGTCCACTTTGATCTAAGTAGGCTTGGGCTATCGAGTTATTCTGCAGGGCTTGAGGTTGATCGCCGTGAACTGAAGTCTTTGGGTGGATCACCTTATAGACTTGAGCATAGAAGTCCTCATTATATGGATCATCTGTAACAATCTGGGACAATTGGAATCTAGTGACAAAATCCTTATCTTTAGGATTCATAATACCAGAATATCTCATAATACGAGAAACCTTTTCATGCCTTCTATTCAACTTTTCTTCCTCTTCCGGGGTAAGTTCGACGTGCGGTTGTTGTTGACCTTGATGGTAATGCGCAGATCTCTCACGATTTTGAAATTTGTTTTCAACCTCTTGACTTTGAGGAAGAGGCTGATGTTGACGGTGATATTGAGTTCCAGGACCAGAAGTGTAGGTAGGTGCACCACGGTGCTTCTCAGAACCCTTTGCGCCTAACACAGGAAATTGAGTTAAATCGACCTTTATATTCCTAGAAGGATTTTGAGAAGACTCGTAGTAATCAGGAGCTTGTATTTCAACTGGTGGTTGTACTGGAATCTGAGCCAGTGTTGGATTTGACAATTGGGCATCCTGTTGAGGAGAAACCTGATGAGGTTGCTGCTGTTGTTGTGATGTTGGTTGCTGTTGCTGTTGTTGCTGCTGTTGTTGCTGCTGCTGCTGTGGTGCCTGATTCTGCAGAGTTACCTGTTGAAGATGAGGCTGAGGAGCTCCACCTTGAGGATTAAGAAGCATCTGAGGTGGAATCAGCTGTGGAACGCCACTTGGGTACATACCATACTGTCCCGGAAGGGGCATGTATCCACCGGGAGGCATCATATATCCCCCCATCTGAGGTTGCGACATCATTCCAGGAATACCAAAGGATTGTGGTTGGGGCATGAATTGATTCTGATGTTCCATAGATGTCAATTGAGCCTCAATCTCTTGAAGAGATAAAATTTTATTTTCATCCTCCTTTGCTTGCACTTCTGTCTTATTTGTCGGTGCATTCGTTGTTCCCCATAAATCTTGCATGAATTCATCATCGTGCAAAGGATTTAAAGCGGCTTGAGCGTAACTGATGGTCTGCTTCGGTGGCGCTGAAGCAACTGGTGCTACCTGAGACTGACCCAGTCCAGGCATACCACCAAAATTGAAATCTTTGCCAATATCACCGGCATGTCCAAAAGTTTCATCGTTCAAAGCGTCGTCTGCTTCTTCAAGTTGCTCTCCTAATCCATCATATGTATCCTGAAATTCATACACATCGCCGTTTCCATTACGCTCGAATCGTTGTCCCGGACCAGTGTCTCCAATTCCAAAAAAGGACATATTATTTCAATCTGTAGATTCGATATATTCTTCTTTAAGTGTTTGCTTTCTTGCAATTCTTTTCAAGTCAGCGTTGTCGATAAAAAAGTCGTAATAAAATTCGTTTTGAGAGGAAAAAAAAGGTCACGTGATATTTTATGAAATTACGGAACGAACTATTTACATGATTTCGATATCAATCAAACAGCTGTAGAGCAGCTGTAAGCTTTGTAAGCATCTCTTCCCACTCCGATTGCATTTCACTAAGCACAGTAATTGCTCCTCCTGCTCCTATACGCCATATGCTATTATCAGGAGTATTTGATAAATCGTCACGATAGTGGAATAGAGAGCGAATAACTACAGACCAGTCTGAATTGTCTGTGACAGACCAATAACCAGCAACGCCACTATATATTCCTCTTCTTCCTCCTGGTATACTTGTGGGCTGTAATGACTCGATATCTTGTAGCAAATGAACTGAGCGTTTCTTAGGTGCTCCTGTCATTGAGCCAGGAGGAAGTGAGCTACAGAGAATGTCCAAACCATGATACTGAGATTTTCGAGTCTCGAGATTGCCTTCAATGACACTTACTAGCTGAAAAACGGTCTGATATTCTTCTACCGCCATGAGGCGAGACACTACTACGTCATCGAGAAATTGAAATAAGTCATGTCTGATAAGATCGACAATCATTAGATTTTCTCCCATCTCTTTGGGAGTTTTAAGTATCCTTGTGGCATCTTCTAAAGTTACATTCGGTGACTTCTTTACGGTTCCCTTAACTGGACGCAAAATGACTCTTTTTTTATTTTCATCAAAATCATGATCCTTCCACGAGAGAAATCTTTCAGGAGAAGAAGATATTAAGACGGAATCTTCGAATTCAAGAAAGCAAGAGAAAGGAGCAGGATTTCTATGCAAAGTCAAAATTTTGTAGATATCCCAAGGTGCAATATAAGATGGTAATGAAATTTTCAGCTGGCAAGTTAAACATAACTCGTACGAATCGCCAGAATGCAACAACCTCTGGCATTCATTAAACTGCTCTTCGTATATTTTCTTATCTGGAAGCTGAAACTCGAATTTTTGATTTTCTTCTTTTTTGAGTAATCCCTTGACACTTTTTGGTACTGAATTGACATCTAAAGACAATGAACCATCAAGATTTGCAGTTTCTACCATTATACGTGTCTTTTCTACCCATTTTTCGTCATTCAAATCCTTACTGACCAGAAATACAAACCAATCGTCAGAAGAATGGTCATATATCATATACCTCTCAATAAAAATTAGTTTCAAGTCAGGTGTATTACCATTACAAAGGCGACCAAGCTTGTCAATTTCAATAAATTGGCCCTCTTCATAAGACACAAAACCTAAAAATCCACCAAAGAAAGGAATCTCTCTAGAATGATATGCCTTTCCGAGATGAGAATCTATAGATTCTTTCGAAATGTAAGCTTTCTTCATTAAATCGCCCAAAAAATTCCATACAGTTTCGGATTCTGGAATTGATATCTTCTCACATTCTGAGGATTTGTATCTCAGAACTGTTGCTTCCAGCATATTGTCTACCGAATGAGTCACTATTTGAGATCTTCCAGGAATTGGAAGACCTATGATTGACCATTCACTGGGAATCGATGCAGAATTTAAAAGAACGAAATTAGGGGAAGATTTGTTATTCTTGTAAAAAAATTCACACATATCAATCGGCGTCACTTTATTGACGAAATTCATTTTCTTGAAGTATATCTTTGGAGCTCCATTGTCGTTCAACGGACCATCTTTGAAGAGAGGATTCAAATTGAGACTGTGTGAAGACTTGAGCTCCAGCACAATACTTTTAGCTTTTTCATTCTCTTCTTTGGGGTCCAAGACTTCACTTCTCATTTTGTGGTTATATTTAGATGCAATATCATCAAATCGAAGAATTAATTTATCGCCATCTGACGAACATGCAGATTCTGGATGGTATTGAACACCATAATATGGACGACATTTATGTTTTCCTGCCATCAATATTTTTGAGTCCTTGTCGTCTGAATTATTAGGCTCAAAGCAATAAGCCAATGGCCTCATTTCAACGCCTAATGACAGGACATAGAGAGAATGATATCGAACGCTAGGAATCTCAATTGCACTTTGAGAAGTATATAGATCGTTTTCAGGAGTAACAGGGTGCACATCATAAACCTGACCATGCTTAACATTCTCTAAACGACTTATGGAACTTCCATATGCATCGCACAAACATTGAAACCCTAAACAAATACCCAAGAATGGCACTACTTTGTCATCATCTTCCTCTCTCAAATATTTTAGTAAATGAGATATTAATCCGACATCTTTCAGATTAGACGGGTTACCTGGTCCCGGTCCTACAACAACATATTCGAATAGGGGTAAGTAAGTTTGAAAAAAATCACGATATTCATTGTCGTCAAATGTGTCGTTCTTTATTACAACCACCTCTTTGGCTGTAACCTTTGAAATAAGCTGACAAAGATTATTCGTAAATGAATCATAGGAATCAATTAATAGAATCATTCAATTAGAAGTAGTGAGGTTTTGTCTCTTATCCAAGTAATACCGTCAAATTGCAAACTTCTACAAAATCTTGGCTCTTTTCTCGAGAAAATATTTATATTTTTTACGATGAGCAAATATGTATATATAAATCAAGAAAGACGAAACAAATCTTTGTGCTCAAAAATTTATTTCAAGTCCTCTTCACTATCTGAAAGATCGGAATCATTTTCAGAAGACACTTCTTCCCCTAATTCTTTCAATCTCTCTTTATAAGTCTTCTTCGACTCGTCAACTTCGGATAAGATCATGATAAGCTCATCCATTTCTGTTTCAGGAACTCTTTTCTTCAATTTTTCAGTAAGGGTACGAATCTGTTCATTGAAATTCTGCTCCCGGGCTTCTGCTTCCTTTTTAAAATTATTAAACTCATTCTCAATTTTTTTCCTTTTTTCAAAATCCTCCTTTGACTTCTGCAAAGTAGAGTTTTCATGTTCAATTTCATGTACCTTTGCCATCAAATCGTCTTTGTTTTTCTTTTCCTTCTCTAAAAGACCCTGATATTCAAGTTGTGCATCTTTAAGAGATTGTAATTGTGTTGTCATACTATTTAATTCTTCTTTGTATTTATTTTCCTTTTCCTTATATGAATGTGACACCTCTTTTAAAGAATCGCTATCGGAACTAGTTTGAGTGGCATCGGGTAAGCTGACAGAGTGTTTCTTGATTTGGTCTTCTGTCAACCCTTCAAAGCTATCGTCAATTGAAGACTTGTTTTTCAATTCGATGGACAATTTTTCGATCTGTTTTTGCAAATCATCAGTTACCGTTTGATACTTCTCCTGAAGTTGGTTATTGGATTCGTTAAGTTTCCTTATTTCAACATCCTTTTCATCTTTTAAAGATTCCTTGCTGTCGACTTCATTGACCTTTGTCTCTGCCTCTTTCTTCGCAATCTCGTCCTTCAATATCTCCATCCGAGACTTCAAATCTTTAACTTCATTCTCTAGCTCTGTCGCACGATTCTCTTTCTCAGAAATTAATTCTGTCACTTGCTTAGATAAACTTTGATTTTCCAGCGAAGTTTCTTCTAAAGCTGCCTGACTCTGTTCAAGTTTCTGCAGGAGTGACTCTTCAGATGATACTGCCTTCTCCAAGTTTTCGTTCAAAGATTTGTTTTCGTTGCGAAGAGATTCTATAATTGAGCCGTTTTCGCTTTTAATTTTTTGCAAACTTGAATCCAAAGAATTATTCTTCTCCTCTGCCTGTTGAGCGACATCATTATGCTTAGACTTCAAAGTTTCAATCTCATAAACAAGTTCATCAATTTCCTTTTCTAATTTGCTCACCTCTTCTACCTTCTGGGCCTTTGTCTTGCTGAGGTCATCACTGAGTTTCTTGTAAGATTCATGAGACTTGCTCAATTTTTCTTTATAATTATTCAAGTCATCAGAGAGAGATGCAATTTTATTATTTAAACTTGAAGTCGTATGAGAGCTTTGTGAATCCTTTGCTACTACTTCATCCTTTGAAGTTACAAGTTCAGTCTCCAATTCTTGCATTTTCAAGTTGCATTCTTGAATTATACTGCTAGAATCCTTACCCATTAATTCGCGCTGCTTGAGCACTTCCTCTCGCTTCTTCTCGAGTTCTGACTGCAAATTTGAAAACTTGAGCTTAAGATTTTCAATTTCATGCTTGAGGTCAGATTCGGACCCATTAGAGGCAGCCAAATCTTTTTTGAGGTCCAGATTCGCTTTCTCGAGGTCCTCAACTTTTTTCTCATATGAAGAAATTTTTTCAAATGCTCTCGCTAACATATCACTAATTGCAGCTTTTTCTTTTTCCACAGTCGAGCACATTTTAAGCTTTTGCTCCAAAACTTTTTGAGACACCAAAAGCTGTGATTTCTCCTCCTCCATGAAAGTATCATACTCCTTTAGCTTACTTTCAAGAGAGTCAATCTTGATGGACAACTCTAAGTTATTCAGGGCCTCTGCATCTAGTTCCTTGGCAAGGTTTTCTTTGTCTTGCTTCAATTGATCTACTTCGTCATCTTCGCTAACTTTTACTGTTTCCAATTTTTTCAACAAAGAAGCCTTCTCTTCTTCGATTACTTTAATTTTATTCTCTGACTTGATTATCTCCTCCCTCGAGTCGCTTAATTGATCTTTTATATCTTTATACTGTTTCAGAAGAAGATTGAACTCTTGTTCTTTATCTTCGAATTCTTTCATTCTCAACTCTTGGAGGGAGAACATGCGAGATAAATCACCTTCTTTTTCTTCAAGTCGCTTCTTAAGTGAATTTTTCTCTGTCTTTAAGTTCTCAAAATCATTCTCAAAATCTTTAGCTTCAGGAACATCAGCATTCATATTTTCAACACCATCTCCTCTCTCATTTTGGTCCTTCAAGTCTTTTTCGAAAATATGAAGCTTTCCAGTTAAAGTGGCGACTGAAGATTCTAATTGCTTGAGCTGTTCCTCCTTCTCCTCAATACAATGAGTAAGTTCTCTGTCAGTACTAGAGCTATTCAAATTATGCTCACGACTTGAATTTAAGTCAGAAGACGAGTTTCCATGTTCTTCGAGTTGTAAGAGTTTCTTTTTGAGTATGGCATTTTCAGATTTTAACTGTTCTAACGATTGGCCCAATTCCTCATCATGAGCTACCACCTTATCTTCTCCCTTGCTTTTAGGATCGTCTGTGTCTGCTGACGCTTGATTCATAGGCTCTTCGGTCTTAGATGATTTTAAGGTTTCGACACTCTTCTTGAGAGCTTCTATCTCTGAATTAGCAGATTGTTTGAAATCATCAAAATCCTTTTCCGCAGAGATCTTCTCCTCTAACTCCTTCTCCAAGGAAATCTTTGTCTCTCTAATCTCTTGGAATGCAGATGCAATAGATCTTAGCTTATCCATTAAATGGTCATTGTTCTCTGACAACTCTTCTATTCTTTCTTGCATCACTACAATATTTCGGTCTCCCAAATCAGTACCGTGGGGCGTAATTCCCTCTGTCAACTTTGTGATCTTCGCTTGGAATTCGTCATTGGTTTTTTGAAGAGCATCAATCTTTGCTTCGAATTTTTTCTTCATTTTTTCAATTTCTCCATTCAATGTTTTTACCTCTTTTTCTGAGCTTTTCAGTGTCCTTTCGGCTTCCTCCTTTTCTTTTTTCAAATGGAATAAATCACGAGTCATGTTGTTAATTCCATTCTCTAACTTACTTTTCATAGCTTCAGTCTGCTCCAACTTGTTCTCTAGCTCCTTTACGGAGTCAGATGTAGTCTCTTGGTTTTTCAATGCTATCTGCAACTCATTAAAGTACTTCGATGATGAATCTTCAAACTCTTTTTTGGATTTTTGAAGTTCTTCCAAAGACTCTGAAGTTTCGGAATATTTGGAGGAAATAGAGTTGTATTTCTCTTTGGCTTCTTGAATTTCACTGTTGAGTTTCTTTATTTCCTCGTCCAATTCTTTGCAATGCTCAGAAACTTTTTCATTTTCTTCTTGAAGATATTTCTCTGTTTCAGTAGCCTTCACCTGTGCCGCATTTAGAGCCTTCTTTAAAGAGGTGAAATTTGCCTCAAGTTCCTCGTATACTTCGTAAGAAATATGCGCTTGGGGTTCACTCTCTGGATCATGAAATAATGCTCTTCTTATTCTGGTGAAATTCTCCTTCACTAGGTTGACATAAATAGGGTCAAAGTATATCGCAGGTAGTCCTGTATCATCTTTTTCCACATCTAAATCAAAATTTGACTCATAATTCTTTAGCAGTTGATGGTCTTTAAATTGCCTGACTTTCAATGAATAGTTGTCTCGACCCAAGCCTTTCACTAATAAAGAATGTAAATCGCTTCTAGGAATGGGTGATTTCTTGGAAGAAAACTCATAGGCTATACCAAGTAAAATAGATGCCATGCCCTGAAGAATTATAGTCAGGTCGGCAGCATTGCTTGAGATAGTTGCCAAAATCGCCTTCACAGTAGAAGAATCGCTCAAGAAATCGTTTACTGCGTTGAGGTCTTCATACATCCAGACAGTCAAAAGCATTGAGCATCCTACTACAATTCTTGAGTCTGTGCCATCCATGGCCATTAATAAGAGGCCTGAAATAGCCTGAATTGATGTCATAACTTCTTCACCTGCAGCCTCGTCACCAGTCTTCACGGCTCTCGCAAGCTCCTTATTCTCATCATTGTCCTCAAACAAATACATTAGTATAACAGCTGCAAACCAAACTTTGTAGGGATTTAATTTCGTATCAGAATCATAGTCCATTAAAGTGGAAAAAATATTAGCGAAAGGAGTCAGTGTTGTATTGTCTTCAGACGCGGAAGCCGTTTGGGCGGCACTTGTGTCAGTTGGGACTATTTCTGAGGAGCCATTTACAGCCTCCTTAGTTTCTCCATTAGGCTCACTTTCACCAACTCTTCCATTTTCTTGTTTTGCTTCTTCGTGATTCTCCGTGTTCGATGAGTTTTCATCGGCTCCATTTTCTGTTTTGTTTCCATTTTCTTTGTCGCCTTCAGTATAGTAGGTAGGCGAGATATATGCCTTTATTTGGTCTTCCATAAAAGCAGATTGAGACTTTTTGTTGTCTCTGAAGTAGGCATGCAAGCAATAGGCCGAGTTGGTTCTAATGTCAAATATATGTACAGAATTGATAAATAGTGTCCAATTAAGAAGAGCGATAGTCACAGGCAAAGAATTGTCAAATGATCGAATTTGAGATGGTAAGGAAGGATCCATGTAGGGTGCTTCAATGCTAGAAAATCTGAGCTGAATATCCGGGTTCCCACTTATAAGATCACCTGTAACGAGTAACGCCACTGATCTAACTTCATTTGGAGTCATTGGAGAAAATATGAGCTTCAAGACCGAGAATAAAACACCGGCTTGTTCAAATTTGCTTTGGTTCAATTCCAAAAACTCATTGTCTTCTGAGACAAAAGTTCTACAAATTTCAAGAACTGTAATTATATTTTGTAGCCTTTGCTCCGTCCATACAATAGGTGGAAGAGACAAAGGTAGCTTGCCCTCCTCTTGAGTGTCAACATCGTACCCTCCTTCAAGTGGCTCCTCCAATAATTTGGTCAAATTAGGAACGCATTGAGTTTCAAGGAAAAATTTTTGATTCGACGCATTATATTTCAATAAATTAGTCAATAACGTTAAACAATCCTGAACTAAAATTGAGCCCCTGATACCACCTTCTTCTTCTATTATTTGAAATAAGATTTCGAATGTATTTTCGAATGCAACTAGCTTTTGTATATTGAAGTTGTCATTCACAACTGCCATCAAGAGTAAAATTGTTTCATTCCTTATGGGATCATTTGCATCGTGGAGTAGCCCTACCAAGACAGACATTGAAGTTGGGATGTTGAGCAAACAGTCCTTTGTCTTTGTGGACCGCGTTGATACCATAGATTCTAAAAGTTGTATAGTGTAAAGTTTCACGTAGAAATCATCACTGTCTTGTAGTATATCGAAAAGTAATTTGACCGTTTCAACATCTTGTGTCAATTCGTCCGCGATCCATAGTGACAATTGGTCCGTCGAGACCTCTAACAATAATGGTGAAGGATACTTACCATTTTGTGCTCGCGACTGTTGGGAGATCCAACCTCTGGTTAGATCTGAGTCACTTTCTCCACGAATAAACAATATTAGCAACGTTTCCAAAACTGCCTTAACAATACTAGGATTTTCCGAATCCTTCTTAAGTGTAGAAACAAGTGCCCTTAATCCATATTCTACAACAGACTCTCGATACTGCCTGCTGAAACTTTTCAACCCCAACACTGCTGATCTTCTATCTGACGATAATGTAGAATGAAGTAACCTATTACAAAGTGTTGGGATTGCTTCATCAGCCAGCTTGGGTACACTGCTCTGCTGAGATAGGATGTTATTCAAATAATCCATTGAAGTAAGGTTTCTGACTCCTTTAATAACTCTTCCCTCCTAATTCTTTTGATACTTTTACTACTCGTGTTTACCAAAATCTTTGATTTCGCGCCGTAACATTCTCTAAATATATATTAATTGCAACTCTCTAATTCGCATTGCCGTCTTTATTAAATCAGATTGACAACAACGAGAAAACATATCTTGAGATTAGTAATAGCTAGTATCAGCTTCCATATGAGTAAACAGATTCTAAATGGCTAATACTGAGGAACAAGTCTTCCTGACATTCGAACTATTCCCTGATATGGGACAGTTCTATGAGCTAGAGGCAAGCCTGAATGATAATACACATGAAGAAGAGAAATTGCTGGAATGGGCACATACAAAAATTGGAACCTTACAATCTAGATTAGAATCCTTACAGGTATCAAAAGGTGGGAAATTAAATAAAAGAAGCACAGACGTTGCGTACTTTCCTGCTCATATCATTTTAAGTTTGGCGAATGATGTGTTTGGGTATAATGGATGGTCTTCTGAAGTTTTGGAGTGCAACTTCGAAAACTTGGATACAAGTAGTGATATGACCTCGTTCTCCATTAGAGTTTACGTAAAAGTTAGAATCACTTTAAGAGATGGCTTTCAAAGCGAGGCAGAGGGGATCGGAGAAGCGAATAATTTACCATTTAAATATATGTGTTACAACAGTGGCAAAAAGCAAGCAATGACAGACGCTACTAAGAGAGCCATTATTGGGCTTGGGGAAGTTTTGATAAATTCAGAAAAATAGAGCGTTAGATCGTTGCACGTATTGTCATATTTTGCATTAATTAAAGTCATTTATTTCTACCTAATAATCCAAGATACCTTTGATCGGGAAGTCTTTAATTTTTGGAGTTGGTATTTCCTCTATATGATAGATTTCTCCGTTATCGTCATATCTTTCTCTGTCTTTTTCACTAATATTGTATATTTCATCGATATTTGCTCGAAGTTCTTGCAAGAGAACCACCCAATTCTTTTGTAATTGGTATGCTTGTTCCTTTTTATTTCTTCTTAAAAGACCCTCTATCAATCTCACTGCATCTGGTTGAGTTTGATCTAATCTCTCAATGAGCCTTCCTACGGACTTGACAAGATATTCTTCTTCATAAATGGTTCCTTTTCTACCTTTAGCCTTCTTTCGTTCTTCTCTCTTACGGTTTTTCGAAGTTCGACGTGAAGCACCAGTTTTTGCAGTCCCTGCTGTCTTTCCGGTATACCTAGTGAAGAAAGAAGGAGCAGTAGATGTCTCCGAAGGTGCAATTGAAACATTATCCGGTGCATCAGAATCGTCAATTCCTCCATAGAAAAGATTTGGATCATCTAACTTCTTCGACCTGAGTTCCCTTAATCTATTTAATTGCGATTTAAGTTGACCACTACAATCAGCTAAAAGCTCAGCAATTGTTCCAAATCCTTCACCTAACAGCTCGTCAACCACACTTTCTATAAGCTCAGTCTGGTTTTCACGTCTGGCCAACAATATTGCATCATCATAGTGATATTCCTTACAATATAACCCTACAGCTTCCCTAACATCTTTAAGAATATAACTTTGAATCTCGGCCGCCTCCACATACCTATGGTCGGCGGTCAAGGAAGAAACTAAATCTTCAGCAGCTTTGACCAATTCTTTTGATTCTGATGCAAGTGAAAGTGCTTCTCTCCATCTTTTTGCTAGAATGTAATTCTCCATCGCATATCTGCTTTCGTTCAAGAATTCATATGCTAAGGCCGAGTCTGCGTATTCTTTGGTATTATGCAAATGGCTAGCAAAAGAAAGTAGAATCTCATTGAACCGTTCCTCATCATATCTATATAAGGAAAGACCCTCCTTATATAAAGCATGTTCTTCCATATATTGGTCAAACTCTTTGTGGGAGCCTTTTCCCATTTCGAAAAGCCATCTCATAGCTTGCTCATAGTTCTTTAAATAATCGTCAATAAGAAATTTCTTTCGCAAGGGTTCTTGAACATGTAGATTCTGTAAAAAGGGTAAATATTCTTTTGGATCTTTCTGAGATTGTTGTGCAATGCTTAAGGCTAATTTGACGTCATATAATCCTAATGCCGTATTGTAAACCTTATTTACATCTTGTAAGAAGCAAAGACGTGTCACCGCCAGCTCAGTCTGTGCATCGTCATCAAAAGACCCCACTAGTTTCAAAGCTTCCTCTAAATTAGGAGGCTTTTCGCAAGCATACGCTGTGATTATGGTCTGCAAATACGTTTTGAAATACTGCGGTTTTAATAATATTGACAAAATACCATTGCAGATCTTATTGATCTTAGAGCTTGGTGCGATGAGTTCTTTGTTCTTGACAAACCGCTTATTGGTATTTTCATGCTCTGTTGGTATAGCTTGTTGTCTCTCTGTTAAATCGATGCCTTCCACATCTTTCGCCAAGGAATCAGTGAGCGTGTCCTTATATTTACTTTTAACGACATCCTCGTCATGAAGACAAGAAAGAAATAAGTCTAGATGATCAACTTCTCGAATTTGATTGACAAAAAGCTCAAGATTATTAAAGAAAAGTTCTGGGTCATAATCATGCAAAATATCCAAGTCAATCCTATGAGTCCTACAGGTGAAAAAGGCGTCCTTATAATTTTTGTTTCTGATAAATTTTCGTACAGCATTGAGGACCATTATTCTCGGGAAAATCGTTTCCAAGTTCCCTCTAGGGGCTTGTAAGACAACTGAATACTTAGAGGGCATACAATTGATAATAATAGAACCTCTTTCAATCTGTCTTATTCTCTCATCTAACCCTTCTCCAGTTGCGTTATTCTGGTATATAGAGTATTCTAGATCCTGGCTTGAGTTCAAGTGGATGAAGCAAAGTTGGGAATGTACGTTGGTAAACAACAAATGCGATTCAGTAGCCTTTAGAGAAGTGACGCCTGTTGCGATTTGTTCACCATTAGAAAAAAGCTTTCCATTCAAAGACAATCCAAAGACAATCCAAGAACTATCTTTAAAGGACTTCATAACTTCAAAATCATAACATATCTGAGGGAATTTGAAAGTTAATTGCTTCTCTAAATCTTTATCTATAACGTAGATTGAACCATCCATAGTTTCTAAACCTAACAGCTCGTAATCTTGGCTAGGTTTTATTTTGGTAACTTTTGGAGTCATCAACATCGAATCCATATGATAAGGTTCTGTACTCACTTTATAAAACATTACCTTAGAATATGTGTCACCATCAACGATAAACGCCACAATATCATCCGCAAAAAAGGCTATTTGTTTGCAATATTCAGAGTTGTTTAAAATTATATTGCTCTTGATTTGGCCAAAAATTTGAGGGCTCTTTCCATTCTTCATGTCATCCAAGCTCAAGCTAGCCAATTCAATTTCATCATCAGCTGTGAGAATGGCATATAATTCATTCGACTTATTGACAGCCAAGTCAAGGATATTCGAAGCTATATCTAATTCCCTGTATGCTATAGGTGGAGGGACATTGGCTATTGATAATGGGGTGATATTACAGGTTGATCCATCAACGACCAAAGTCATGCCATAATCATAGCCGATCGCAGTTGGTCCCGTTGCAGTTTTATAAGCCAAATCTATAATATAAATACCACTGCTCTTAGTCCCTATCATCAATGTTAATGGCTTCTCTGGATGGAATTTCATAAACTTTATCTGGTTTTTTAGGTTAATTTCTTGCTTTAAGTACCAATGATAATTTTTTGAAGTCCAGAGCTGTACTTTATCATGCAACTGAAATGCCAAAATTTCACTATCGGAAGACCAAGCTAGATCATATATTATTGCACTAGTGGGGTCTAATCGAGTATTGAACTGCCCATGTCTCAATCCATTTCTCTCGTAAAAGATCAAGTCGAGAACCTCATCACCTTCATCATCAATCGATCTTTGGGTGGAAGCAATCAAGGAACCTTGAGGCTTCCAGCTTAAGTTGTGCTCAAGACCATCCACAGCTTCGTTGACACTGTCCAAATTTCCTTCTCTGTTAAAAACCCTTATAACCCGTCTGTCATAGCTTGTTTGTGTGTCCTCTTCCAAGACTTTTTCAATCGTAGATACAGAAAAGTACTCGCAATCTCCTCTCCAACTAATTTTTGCACCTTTCAAGTCGAAACTAGATAACGTGCCTCTCTCTATTTCTGCTACAGTTGGGTCCCTCAATGGCATTCCTTCTTTGACCTCTAAGCCAGCATGTTTCAATGCTTCTTTTTCTCTTTCAATTGCCTTAGCACCTCTACCCTTAAATTGCGTTTCCTTTTTACCCCATCCAACCGAAACGTGCTTTGAATCGCTGATCTTGATGTCATCTGGGTTCAACACTTTTTCAGTAATGGGTTCGAACATTCTTGAAATTAAAACTAGCTTAAGATCAGAAGTTAGCAAAGCCAAAATTTCTTCATCTGGAGACCATTTTGCAGTCAATAACCCATTGTCAATCGAGCCCACTATTTCAACAATCGTAGTATCAGGATCAGGTTGTACAGAATCGTACGATGCAAGTACAATATCTCCATTTCCAAAAACAAATATCAATTGACAGCTGTCAGCAAAATGCGTGAATGATACTAGCTCACATTTTTCAATGGGGAAAGATGCCAATAGCGAAACTTCACCATTCTTGCTAAACCTCTGTACCTCAAGTATATCTGATTCTTCCGAGCTTAATGCAAAAGAGATACTATCAGTCACAACATCAAAAGAGGAATCAACAATATGCAAATCCGGAAATGTCAATGATTCGGGAACTATATGTCCTCTATTTAGAGTCACCAAGTTTCTCATATTTGTCTATTAAGTAATTAGCAAGCTTTTGATTTCGGCTTAATTTTTTAGATATCTCATCGTGCAGAAAAAAAAAATGCACAAATAATTTTAAAGTGTAATTATCGGAATCTGAACATCGACGTAATCGATAGATTAAGGAAGTATAGAGCCATTCTATCTCAATTGTGAAGATACTGTCCTATTCACAAGTTTCACCTGATTTCACATATGCTCTTTTTTTTTTTACGATTTAAACGAATCATATGGATTTTTGCTTCGTTCAATGGCAAAAAAAAGTTCTGCAAAGTACTTGGAAAGCTTACTCCAATACTGGTAAGGAATTGGTGAAGAGAAGTAGAGGATTTTTCCATAATATGAAACTAGCACGCTTGTATTGTAGTGAGCATTCGCTCAACTCCGTTTCATGTAGCCTCAGATTAATCTACAAGTTGAAAATTAGATAGTTAGATCTCTTCAAGACGCAATTGACAGACACTTTTATGATACTTCGGTAGAGTTTCAATATTAAGCTTTTCTCATGCTCTATGGAAAATTCCAAGAGATCCGGGATACTTATATAGTGATAGGGACCCTTATCTTATTCCATGGTTTTGACATTGGATAAAGGTCGTGTTTTTACCAATTGTTGATGTTTGAGTCCTGAAAATACAAAGTTGGGCCTCCCAGTCGAGCCTCAAGAGCGTCATCATTTTATCGACTTGCTTTCAGTAGGTAAAGGCTAAGAGATAGGAATATCGTTTTCAAATATAATGTCTGAAAAGGAAGAGGCTATTTTCCGTAAGTATTAATAAGAATATCAGATTCAAGAAACCTTGGATTAGCCCCAAGCTGGTTATCATCCTCATACAGTACTAACATCAACAGGTTCTGCGGAAATGTCACTAGTCCAGTTGTACGTTCCAACCGAAGTGGCACGAGGCATTATTTACGAGGTTGGGAAATTGGGTATGATTCAATTCAGAGACTTGAATTCCAAAGTAAGCGAGTTTCAGAGATCCTTTGTGAAAGAATTAAGGAAATTGGACAATGTTGAAAGACAATTTAGATTCTTCAAAGAGAAGTTGGATGATAAAGGTGTTGTATCACAACTTTTTCCTTATGAAAATGGTGAGATCGTTGCTCAGTCGGAGATAGATGAGCTTGTTGAAAACTCTCACCTCTTAGAAAAAAGAGTGACTCAGTTGATTGATTCAGCAGAGCTCCTTTATGAAAGGGAAAGAAACCTTAAGCAGTTACAATATTCGATTTTAGGAATTGATCAGTTCTTTGATAGTAGTGATGCCCCTGTCTATTCAGATGTCAATGAACATGATGCTTTATTATCCCATTTGGAGTCTCAGGGAAATGATGCCTTGGAAGGTGCTTCGTCATTCATTACAGGTGTCATTAATCGTGACAAGATTCTCCCGTTACAACAAATTTTATGGAGAGTGTTACGAGGCAATTTATTCTTCCACAGGCAAGAGATTTCTGAAAGATTGTATGATCTGAAATCTAAAAAGTATGTTGACAAAGATTCTTTTATTATATTCTCCCATGGTGTTCTTGTCTATCAACGTATCAAGAAGATCTGTGAATCTTTGGAAGCGGATTTATACCACGTTGATTCGACCTCAGAATTGAGAACAGAACAACTAAAAGAAGTTAATGAGAAGTTAGGTGATATAACAACTATCTTGACTCAGACTGATAATGCATTGAATTTTGAACTCATTGCCATCTCTAAAGATTTACATAAATGGTGGTCAGTCATCGCCAGGGAAAAAGCTGTTTATCAGACTATGAATCGTTGTGACTATGATGATTCTCGTAAAACATTGATTGCTGAAGGCTGGATCCCAACAGATGAGGTTCAAACTTTAAATGCTACGCTCAAGAACTCAACCAATTCACAATCAGTTATTACAATTGTGAACGTCTTGGAGACCACTAGAACACCTCCAACCTTCCACAGAACGAATAAATTTACAAGTGCGTTCCAAAATATCTGTGACGCTTATGGTATTGCGACTTATCGTGAGGTCAACCCAGGTTTACCTACTGTTATAACATTTCCATTTATGTTTGCCATTATGTTTGGTGATATGGGTCATGGATTTCTTTTAAGTTTGGCTTCACTGTTCTTAGTTCTTAACGAAAAGAAAATTGGTGCTATGAAGAGAGATGAAATTTTTGACATGGCATATACCGGTCGTTACATTTTATTGTTTATGGGAATTTTTTCTATGTTCACTGGGTTTTTATACAATGATCTTTTCTCTAAATCAATGACGTTATTCAGTTCTGGTTGGGAATGGCCAGAAAAATTTGAAATTGGGGAGCCTGTTATTGCAAAGCAGGTGGGGGTTTATGCTATGGGTATGGATCCAGCCTGGCATGGGGCCGAAAACGCTTTACTTTTCACAAACTCCTATAAGATGAAATTATCAATCTTGATGGGTTTCGCTCATATGACGTACTCACTATTCTTTTCCTTGGTCAATTACATCCATTTCCACAGTATTATCGACATCGTCGGTAACTTTATACCTGGGTTACTCTTTATGCAAAGTATTTTTGGATACTTGTCAGTCTGCATTGTTTATAAATGGTCCGTCAACTGGTATGCATTGAACCTTCAACCTCCTGCTTTATTGGGCATGTTGATTTCGATGTTCTTGTCTCCTGGAACTGTTGATGAACAGCTTTATCCAGGTCAGGCGCAATTTCAAGTTTTATTATTACTTATCGCATTGATATGTATTCCATGGTTGCTCTTGTTGAAGCCGTTGTATTTGAAAAGGCAAATGGACAAGGAAGCACAATATCACCGCTTGTCTAATGAAGATAGTAGTGAAGAATTGCCCGAAAATGAAGAAGAAACCACGCATAATGATGATGATGAAGATCATGAAGAACATACCTTTGGAGATATTATGATTCACCAAGTCATTCATACCATAGAATTTTGTTTGAATAGTGTGTCCCATACAGCTTCTTATTTGAGATTGTGGGCTTTATCTTTGGCTCATGCTCAGTTGTCAAGTGTCTTATGGTCGATGACTATCGGAACTACGTTTGGAACTACAGGGTTCTTTGGAGTTTTCATGACTGTAGCTCTTTTCGCTTTGTGGTTCACATTAACTGTTGTCATTTTAGTGGTAATGGAAGGAACTTCTGCAATGTTACACTCCTTAAGGTTGCACTGGGTGGAATCCATGTCCAAATATTTTGAAGGAGAAGGTACTCTTTTCGAGCCTTTTGAATTTAAAGGCTTGTTGGCGGATATCTTTTAAAATTTTGATTTCTTTTTATCCAGCTCCTAAGGTACATTCATCCATTGTCTTGTTAACTAATAAGATCTGGGCTTTGGACTACGAGACTTTTATTTGTATAGACTTCTAAATATATTACGTTTATTTAATAAAATACTTTAAATCTTTATTTTGATCGGTGGTGTGATGCTCATCACCAAATTTTGAGACTTGAAAATATGAAATTTAATTTTTTTTTATTTTTTCAGCTGACATTTTGATACAAGGAGTGCCATGTCATTACCAATTAGTGTAATATTGGAAGACGTCGCATCGATAGGGTCTTCAGCGAGATCCATAATACCAGCTCTTTCTTCGTTATATAACGATGCTTCTATTTTGAACAATATTACTAAAAGCGAATCGAAGCATCTTGCTTCTCGTGCATTGGCATTATCTAGGTCAGCCAATGAGTATGAAAAGTGGTGTGGTAACAACTTAATACGAGTATTGGCAAAAAATTTCACTATGTTGACACAAGAAGGTTCTAAATTCATTGGACAGCTCATTAAAGTCCTTCAGAATTTATCAAACACCCATGAAATTAAGACTTTTACCTCTGCTGTGGAAAGTTTGAACTTTGTCTGTGACCAGGTAAGGGGTAAGCCAACTTTAAGTAGAGAAATATTAACACCCAATTTGCCTACTATTATTGCTTTGTATCTTGAAAAGCTACATTGGAATCCGCTTTTAAATGTTAGATCTCTCCTAAAGCTTCTTCGTCATCATCCAACTACATTTAGACCATACGGAGACAAGCTCAAAGGAAGATTGATGCAGCTTATAAACTCGATAGATTTTGATACGTATCCGACGAATTTAAAGGATGCAATGTACGAGACATTAGCAACATTACCCATAATTGAAAAAACAAGTCCAGAAGATAAGTGGGAAGAAAACATAAATGATATATTAAGAGAACTTCATTCAGTACTAACGATATACCAAGAGTTTTTGAATACTGGAGAAGATCAGGATTTAGTCAAGTTAATGGAAAAGATACCAAAGTTCAAAGAAAATCACAATAGATCGTTTCCAACTTTAAAAATAGATATTAACCATCCTGCTTCATTATTTCAGATATCTTCAAGAGTTGATGTGTTGCTCGGCATGCTCAAATACTCGTTGACATCTGAGACACAATACAGTGTTAAAGTTCCATTGGGAAATGCATTGAATGCTATCGAGGCTATATGCTCCATGAATATTAGAATCTTGGGATTTAAATACGATATTCGTGATGATTTAGTTAAGCGCAGTATTAAAACTACAATAATCCAGATGCAAATGTCAGCATTAAGAATATTGAAGCGTTTAGCAGATGAATTCAAGGGGAGTATGTTGCTTCATTTTAATAGGATAATATCTTTCTTGGAGATTTTAATTCCATTTAAAGGAAAGTCTATTGATAAAGAACAGATACTTTCCAATGAGGCTTTCAGTCGTCTTTTATTGACATCTTTGGAAAGTTATATGTCCCTTATTTCCAGCTACAAGGAATCTTCGCAAATTGTCAGGTTTGTCGATGTTGCTCTTACCTTAGTGGAGCCAAGATTGGGTGGGTTGGAAATGGATTCAGACCTGAAAACCAATTCAGGCAAGGTAAATAAGAAGAGGAAGAATCAAGCCTCGATTCCTCTATCTGATTTACTATCACATCTGCATTTGTTCCTGGAATCAATACCAAGTGAAACTGTTAGAGTTGTCCGTCGATTAATACGTATAGTAATTAGGACAGTTCAATTACCTCCCACACAGCACTATAAGGTTTTGAGATACTTGTTCATTGAGGTTACTAGGGCTAAGCAATACAGCTTAGATAAGAATGTTCCTCCTGAATTACGAAATTTGCTAGTTGATGCTGTACTTTTCCCAGGATTCGAAAAAGTTTCCATCTTGCCTATAGCTTGCAACATCTTGACCAATGATCCTTTGCTCAGTGTGTTTATAAACCCTAGATTCCCACCGTTACCTAAACAAATCACGTCTCAAGAACCGCTTGAAGAGGACTTTGAAGATGAAGACGAAGATGAAAGCAGAAATGAAAATGAAAACGCAAATGAGCACAAATATGAAGACGATAAGAAGAACCGTCAACATAATGTGACAGATATCAACGAAGGATACAAAGAAGGTATTGAAGAAGTTAAAAATGAAGACTCAATGGGTTCAATACAGAAAAACAATATGAATCAACCACTCACAAAACGTAGAAGGATAGAAGATGATATCGCAACTGAGAAGCTTGTTTTTAATATTGAATCTGGTCCAGAGAATCCTACAGATTCTGCAGTCTGTGTCATTTCTGAGGAGACAAATATTTCCAATACATCACCTTTGTCACGTCCATCTTCTGAGGAACCTGAGCTCCAACCCGACACCTTAATAGAAAATAGCGCCCCCAAATCCACTTTTCAAGCCGTAAATACAGCTGTCTTGAACCAGGATTCTGGTTCAGAGTCTGATTTTGAAATGCCTACCATTGATGTTGGTGATGACGACTCTGATGAGGAGTAAATAGCATTCATATTATGAGAAATGCGTCGCGAATATTTGTAGTACTAAATATTTTGTTGTAAATATATCTATATATTTAAACACAAAGAGCTGAAAAAGGTCTTCAATGGCACTAGATGGAAAGATAAATCTTCTTTTGACGGAAGATCTTTCTCCACATAAGATCACATTGCTTTTTTTGACTGAAATATACAGTTTAAGAGAGATTCCAGAAGAAAGAACGAGACCAGTTCTCCAAGTGATATTAAGCTATTTCGAGAACGAAACAACTTATGATGAAGGTAATAATATATGCATTGTTCCCACATTAGTGGATCTTTTATTTAATTTGAGAAAAACTATTCTAGAGGACCTGAGTGAAGGCGACGAGGTTGTTACAAGAGATATTGATATAATACAGAAACTTCTATTAAGATCAGCATGGAGTATTAATTCTGTTGAGGATTTAGATGCCCGTATGCAGAGGCTCAGAAATATGTTGATAGATCCTCTGATAGTATTCAGCGAGCCTATTGCAAAGATGAAACGGATATCCTCACGTTCATTCTTGGGAGCGTTAGGCCATAAACTTTTGACTGCGTTTCAAGTCTTGAAATTCGATGAAATTTTTCTTCTATTCGAGTCTTTTATAGATTACAGAGAGATTTCCAGAGACCTATATCTTTCGATCGGTGGTGTGGTTAAGAATACGGCCTTTGCATCAGAAGCAACCAGGTTAAATGCAAAAAATCAAGACACGCAATTGTTTGCAGAACTCAACCTGATGTTATCTGATTCAATAGGTACCACTGTGCCAATATCACATCAGTCTTCCTTCAATAACAATACCCGATTAATTTCGGTTCCAAAGCATGATTTACAAGGTTTGCTAGATAGACAGATTCATTTATTAGAAGCGTATGGTGTTGAAACGCCTCAATCGCTCAAAGAGATCATGAAGATGATGACATCGCCCAACTCTTACAGCTGCCTGATACAAAACATAAACTTCAATAATCTTCCTTCATATTATTATATCAAATATTTGGAAAACTTGCATGATTCAAATTACAATGGAGCTTTTGAAGCTTTACATCAGTATTTTGATTACATGGTTTCGAGTAATTCGAAATATTTTTATCATTTTGCGCTTATATCAAGGGCATCTTTGCACCAGTTTTTTGGAGAAGACGAGAAGGCTCTTGATGCGATAGAGGAGGCCATTTCCGTGGCAAGAGAGAATAAAGATAATTCCACTCTCACATATATTTTATCATGGCTCTTTAATTTCATGAAGAATAAGCCAGAATTATGGAGAAAACAAAAATTTTATAATAATAATGATGCATACCAGCTTTTGAATTTCTTGACACAGAAATCACATCAAGTGTCGCTTCTGTTATATTCTATGAGTTATGGTTTTGAAACTTTGCAGCTAATGGATAGTGGCGCTCCCATGGCCAGATATTTGGAGAGCTTAATGAAGGGTATGTATATTTCTATCAATGACCTGATCCCATCGTTTGTTAAGTTGACAGAAATTTCGACTACTGTATGGAGCAGGATTGGGGCTCCACATTTAAGTGAAGCATATAATGAAATATCCCTTGGAAAATCTGACAATGAAAACGATAAACTTTCTATTTTAATAAGATCCAACTATTTAAAATTTTTGAAAGGAAATACTGAAATTGGACTAAAGAATCTTGAGAATTTGAAACTCTCTGTCAAAAATAATAATGCCTTATTCAATATGATCCAAATAAGAAGCTTAATAATTTTGATTAAATTGAACTTGCTTAAGGGGAGATCGAAGGCAGCTAAAGAGATAATCCAAATATTATTAAGCAACGATATTAAAGAAATTGAATTGAAGAATGAGTTGGCTTTGGTTAACGTTGAAGTTGAGATAGCATTAGGTAATTATTCGAAGGCATTGAGCATCATTGCAGATCGCTTAAAACTGGGAAGTTCAAGTGTATACTTCGATATTTCACTCAATCTTCTCAAATGCAAAATATTTAATGTAAGTGGATGCCATTCAAGGGCTTTGTCTTTGACAATGCAACAAATACAAAAAGGTAAAAAGATTGGTCTTTATACCGTTATAGCGGAAGGCGTAGTTATACTCATTTCTCTTTTGAACAATATGTGTTATTATAAGGATGCGTATCAACTATTACTTGAGGCAATGCCATTGATCATCTTTGTCAATATCAAAGATCTTACTTCTTGTGCATATTATGAATTCGCTAGAACATGTATGAACTTATTCCGGTTATCCAAAGGCGACAACTCCTTATTTAACAAGGTACTCAAATTTCTTAACCTAAGTATAGTGGGTTTTAAAAGTTCTTCCAACTTGATTATGCTTACGAAATGCTTCGAGCTTGAGCAGGAATTGGCTCGTCTTAAGAAGGAAGATGCATTGTTGGAACATTCTAGATTATCAATCGAAAAGCTTGAGATAAGAGCTATTGAAGAATCAAATTATGGGTTCGTAATCAAAAAATGAATGTATACATAAAATAAATATCTTTGCCCACTATATCTATATATACATGATTTGATAAGATGTAGAAATATTAATCGTTTAAGCAATGAGTGAATCTAACACAAAAAGTATCCTTTTATAGCCTTTAATCTTGCTTGCTTTTATCCTCTGCATCTATTCTAGCCAAAATAAGAGCAGCTCCTTTCAACTGCACAACGTTTGCAATTTGTTTAAATATCCATATCGGAGCACTCAACCAAGATAAGACTGTACCAAGCCAAAAGAAATCATAATGATGCATATAAAGAGCAACGTAAAACAACTCATTCACTAAACACACAACAAATAATACCGTACGATTATTGTAATACAACGATAACAACTTAGACTGTTGTTTATCCACATTCTTATGACTTGAAGAACCACTAGACATCATTGCATACATATGCATATAATGAGAAGCCAAATCTAATGACACCAATACTTGCCATATAACTGCAAACCTTGGATAAATTATTCCTAAGTAAACAATTAGTGATGATGTTGCACAGCGATCAGTTACCATATCTAAAACGGCCCCGAACCTAGTACCTTGGTTATATTTTCGGGCTGCATACCCATCAAATGCATCAAGAAAACCTGATATTCCGTAGAAGATTAAAGTTGGAATTGGGTGATTCTTCATACATATAAATGAGAGTAATGCTGTAATAACTCTTAAATACCCTATTAAATTAGGGATAAATAAGAATATATCCTTGGTTGTAATTTCCTTATTTTGATTTTTTACTGTCATATTGAAATGCAAAAACTAAAATCAATCCTTTAATCAACAGACGTATTTACTCAATTAAATAAAATCAATGAATTAATCAATTCTGTTGCATATAGTTATTGAAAACTCGACAATTAATTAAATTTGTCTAAATTTAATTATTTAAGACTAATAAATCTCGACTTCCACTTCAATATTGGCCCTTTAGCTCCGGCAATTCCAACAAAAGAAAAAAGAAAAGAAAGAAAAAAAAAAAATTTTGCGGAACTCTTTCTACCAACCAGTTCTTATTGATCTTTGCACAATGAAGAAACTAAAGAAACTAAAGCATAAAAAGGCCCCATTGAGTCATTTGTATCCGTTACCCAAACATTAAGCTATCTAATATCTTTAATTCCGCTTTTTGATCTTTTAATGAAGATTAATTGTACTTCAAGAACAATTATGGTGGGAGAGTGTCAAAGTTATCTCTTTGACTCAATTGGCCAAACACTTGATAAATATCTCTAATAGCTAGCCTGCCTTTCTGCAGTTCAAACCCCTGTAGGGATGATTCTCTTTGTTAATACGCGTTAGGTGTTTGCAGCCGTCAGAAAAATAAAGCATTCGATTTTTTTGGCAGTGAAATACTGCAAAAAAATAAATTGGACAATATTGGTCTTTTAGTAGGCGTTATTCCGAAACTCAGATAGAAAGCTTCATCAATTTGCTTTTGGTGCTGTTTTGGGGGGCCCGGAGGGTCTATGCTTTGCTTGTATGTATCTGCAAGATAAAATGCTTGTAGTCAAGCTTTTGTCCAACAGAGATGAAACTGTTTGGCACCACTTAGATACCAAAATCCTGTTCTGCTTCATATGACTATGATGAAGGATGATTTTATCTCGAGGTTATGGTTTAATTATGGGGTTTACATTTTGCTCTCTTTGCACACTTACAGCCCTATCGAGATCGAACTAAATAAATGTTGTACATTCCTACGATTTTGGCAGTTTTTCACTTAAAAACGATATATTTAGAAAGAGACAAGCTATAACTGCCAATCATATCATTCGAGTTACAAAGATATTTATTCGTTTTCAGAGAGCACGTAATGCTGAGATTTCTTCCCAAATTAGTCTCCAATTTTAATTGCAGCCGATAATCACCAAATTTTGTTAGTGTGGATCGACGAATTTTTGAAGTTTGTTTTGAGGTTTTTTTTTTAAGGTTTTGTTCTATGAGATCAAGCATCCGTCATCCATCAAGTCGCTTGAATTTTCATAATGTCAGAGTTCCTCAATTACAAAGTTAATCTAACATTGAGGGATGGTACGATTTCAACTGGTACTATAACGAATGTTGACAGCTCTATTATAGCCCTTGAGAATGCGTATCAGTCGTCAAATCCTGAGTTTAATATCTCGAATTTAAGAGTCGATAGCTCCCAAATTGCAGATCTAAAAGTTATTCAGCTTCCCCCTGATTTGCTCAGGACCTTGAAAAACAGGCAGCTGAAAAACCAAGGGCCCAATGCCTCGAATAAAGAGCCACTGGCGGTCTTAGATGATGCTATTGTGTTCGCCCTGGGTTCCTTGCCTACGACTTCAAATGGCGCATATGATAGTCTGAGAAATACCCCAAGAAGCAAATTCAATCATTCATCTACTGAATCGACAGATTGGAGTAATAATGGAGATGTTCAAGACATTAAATCGTCTGATTTCGATTTTGCTGCCAATCTAGCAATGTTCGATAAAAAGTCAGTTTTTGCAGATTTCCAAAAAGAAGACAACGTCAGCCCTGAAAATAGGCTAGTTGGTCATAATAAAAGCAGCAAAAATATCAAGACTCCAGACTCCAGAAAGGAGAAGTACGATAACGATGAAATGGTTTTGGATTCTGAAAAAGTAGATAATTGGGATAATATTGGGAATGAAGTTAATATAAATATCGATAAGGGAAGACCGAATCCAAAATCAACAGCATCTTATAAAGAAAGTGGATTATCTAAGTCCGTAAAGCTTTTAAGGTCTGATACCGCTAACCCTATTCCCCTATGTTCACCTGTTCAACTTCTTGAAATAGAAAGATTGTCATCAGAAGCATACGGAATGACTCCGGGAATAATGACGGAAGTTTGTGCTTCAAACTTGTCCCAATTAATAAATAGAAGTATATTGGGAGGGTCAACGAGGCTAAGCAATAAAAAAAATCATAACTTACCACCTTTGGTTTTACTATTAATTGGAAGTGGTAGATGTGGCTCGAGGGCGCTTGCTACAGGGCGTCATCTAAGTAATCATGGCATTAGAGTTCTAGCATTTGCGGTTAATAATGAAGACAATGACTCTGAATTATCCCACCAATGGAATCTATTTGAGAAATGTGGTGGTAAAAGTGTTTTGTCGAATGTTGATGAATTAATGGATATTTTAAATAATCAGCTTGATACCCCCGTTGAGCTTATTTTAGACGCCTTACAGGGATACGATAATCATTTGGAAGACATATTTTATGAAGCTGAAGACCAGAAGACCTTGAGAAGACTTGTTCAGTGGTGTAACGAGTCCAGACAGAGATCAAAAGTAATGTCCTTAGATATACCGTCTGGAATTGATGGTGGCTCTGGAACAACCCTTGATGAGTCACTCACTATGTCATGTAAGTGGTGTGTTTCTATGGGTCTTCCTATTGCAGGCTTAGTACATGCTTATAAGAATGGAAATTTACTGGATGATATCGTACATTATTTGGTTGATGTCGGTATACCCAATAAAGTATACAGCAGTAAAGGCAATTTAAGAAAATTCGATAAAGTTTGGTTCATTGCAGAATCAAGCATAAAGCTTGACGTTTATGATGACTGAATCAATTATGTTCATTTTATTGTAATTGTAAGTAGCTTAATACATTTCTATTTTGTGTAAGTCTAATTTGAAAGTAAAATCTAATATGGTTAATTTTCACATTGTGAGAAAAAAACAACATTTCATAGCAGACAGAGACGTGTAATATTCAAATCAGGTTGTGTATTGCTTGATAAAGTTATCTTTGATATTCAAGAGACTGGTTCAATTCATCAGAGTCAAACTGGAATAAGAAAGTCGTTAATAATAAAGTCAATAGAGCATGTCGTTACTAGGCAGTAACAATTCTAATTCTGCGTTTGGACAGCCAAAAAGAATAGCCAGGTCTTCATCGTTTATTGGTGCACCAGGAAATTCATTATTCGGAAGCAGTAACCTGACAGCATCTTCTAATCAAACATCTGGTGGCTTATTTGGAGCTTCAAACTCAAACAATACATCTTCAGGATTCAATCTCAACAATACTTCTACATCGGGTTCATTATTCGGAAATTCAAATTCCAGCAAACCTACCACTGGTCCCTTAGGTTCTTCAGGTACGACTGATGGTACTACAGGACTTTTTGGAAGCTCGAATAATAATGATAGTGCTTCAACAGGGGGGTTATTTGGTTCAAGTAATAAACCTACTTTCAGTGGTACAGGTCTATTTGGAGGACCCAACTCTGGGTCCAACAGTGGTGCAAACTTAAATGTAAATAATACAAGCTCTGGGTTATTTGGCTCATCAGGTTCGAATGCAAATACGGGACTTTTTAATAATACAAATAATAGTCTTAAGAGTAGTAATGTTCCCAATAGCACAAATACACTTTTTTCATCGAATAATAAAATTGGAACTAATAATACTACTACTGGAACAGGGCTCTTTGGTAACAGTAATACAACTTCGTTTGGATCAGGGCCCTCTGGAGCTAGTATTTTCAGCTCAAACCAGAGTCAACAACCCCAACAGAATAACGTTTTCGGGTCATCAGTAAATCAAAATTTGTCTTATAATGAAAATCCTTACAATTTCAATCAGGTGTTTGCCTCTTTCAAAGGTGCTTTAGATAAAATGCCTGCTTCCATTACGGAAGATATTCCATTAGAATACAACAAAAGATCGCATTTAGAAAACAAAAAAAAAATGATAGACTCCGGGAGACAAGAAGCTCTGAACCTTCCGAAATCTACATTATTGAATAAATTGGGTCGAGCCTTGAAATTTTTCAGAGGTTCAAATTCAATATCAAAAGAGTCTTCTGCCAAGGGAATATTTACGCAGACAGGATATTTGAAATTGAAAGGTAAGAAGACACTTCCAAAGGCAGCACCCAAAACTATATCTAAACCAACAATTAGAAGAAATGTTGATCCACAACATATAGATAGTGTGAAACGATTAATTATAAGATCAGAACCCCTGAAATTTCATTTAATTGATGCCGATAAAGTACTTGATTCTAAAAGAAAGAGGATAGTTATTCAAAACAAGCCTACAAGTGCATTAAATGACGCATATTCAAGTGGTGATGATAGTGATCATATCGAGCGCGGTACTAATTTCAGAATTTCTTCTCGTTTTCCTTATACTGCCAGTGGAGGCCAGATTTCAGAGGAGCAGAATCAAGATGGAACAACATTCGAGGGAGAAAGTTTTAAGTCAAATGTTCCAGAGATCAACCTTGACAATACGTCCATAAATAATGGTTACTGGTGTACTCCAACTATAAAGGAGTTGATATCAATGAAAGAGGAGGAGCTCAAAAATGTGGAAAATTTCATTGTTGGAAGAATTAAATACGGACAGGTCGCATTCAACCATCCAGTTGACTTATCTCAAATCCTTACCCAAGCCCAGAGGAAGGGAATAACTTTAAATAAAGAATTATTTGAAGAAACAGTAAGTATTAGACAGAAAGTTCTTGAAGTTTACAAAGATGATAGAACGAAACCACCCATAGGGTTTGGTCTTAATGTTCCAGCCACTATTACATTAGAAAACATCGAACCAAGAAAAGGTACATCAGCAAGTAGTTACATTAAGTTTTTACAAGGACAAGTTGGAATGGAATTTGTGACATATGATCCTATGACACATGTGTGGGTTTTTAAGGTAAAGCATTTTAGTATTTGGGGATTAGCAGAAGATGAAGATAACACATCCGGAGAATCAAATGATTCAAATTTAAAAAGAAAGCAAGAAGGGTTAGAACATGCTAATTCTCTCAGCTATTCTAAACTTTATAAAAACGATAAAATTAACCAAGAACTTAAAAAGCAAAAACTTAGCAATGAAACGAAAGGCTTACCAGGGGGCTGGACGTACGATGACACTCAAGGTAGTCCTTTGAATATAAAAAGAGGATTGGTTGCAAATGAAATTGAAAAACAAATTGACTTATATAAGCATGAAATGACTGCCAATGAATTAGGTGCCAATTTGAGTGACATCACTATTGAGTCAAGCGGCACTGAAGAACTGGATAATGACGATATACTTTCTAATAATCCAAGTCTTAATAGTAATCGCTTTGATTATTTGAAACAGCTAGTCAGCGTTCTCCCGAAAGATGTTAATTTGAATGATATCATTGAAGAGAAGGCGTATGAGCCAGAAATTTTAAATGACGCATTGTTTGATAATATAAAGATGAAACCAAATTTGGCTGTTTCTGATGATTGGTTGATTCAGTTGGAATTAACGAATGATATAAATTCGTCGTTAAGTCGCTTTGTATTTGATTCAACTCGGGAACCAAAAGAAATAACTATCAAAAATGTCGATGAAGCTTTATTTTCAAACTTCAACTCAGCGTCGAAAGAATCAAATTGTGCCCCAGAAATCGAACAAAAACCACAGTCTTTGATTACAGACTGGTATGAAGAACAAAAACCGCAGACGATTTCTTCAACCATTTATCGTCTCTTGTATTCTTCTAAGATTGACCAGAGAGTGAATGGTTATCCCAAAGTTCAAAATGATTCGAATATTTCTTTCGACAGCTTGCTAGTGGAGGGCTTAGGCGACGAGGACAGTAACATCATTCGTTTATTATCTGCACTCTTTGACTTGCCTAAAGAAGAGTTCAAAGAGGTTGACCAGTCTGATGACCAGTTGATTAACCATCTCAAGGAGCTCAAAATGAAGTCTCTATTCCTCGATTGGTTAAAGAAATATAATGAGCTGTCAATTACACAGCTTTCGGCAGAAGAGTCTTCTGACCCTTTAAAAACAGTCTTTGTCAATATATGCGCCGGAAATTTGAAAAGTGCAGTGACTGCCTCTTTAGCTCAAAATAGCCCCCATTTGTCAGTTATTTTGACTCTATTAGATTCTAATGACTTGATCTCGAAATCTATAGCTGATGGCCAACTTAAGAGTTGGAATGAAAAATCAATTTTAAAATACATTCCAGAAACTGTTGTGAAAGTGTATCAAATATTATCGGGAAATTTGCATGAGGTAGTATCTAGCTTACCTTGGAATATTGCGCTAGCATTAAGGTTAAATTATGGAGCGGTCGAAACCAAGTTAAAAGATCTCATAAAGGAATCATTTCCACATTTTGATGACAGTCCTGTTACAGAAGTCTTAAGATTATACTATCAGGCTGAGAATGAAGGTATGGATAAGGCAATGGGAAGCTTAGAAGCATCAAGGCTCAATGTCAAGTTCAAGTGGTTTGTTAATAAGGTTATATCTCATGGCGTTAGTTCAAAAATGAACGATACGATATCGCGTTCTTTTGGAAACTTCTTGACAAATAAGGGCTTGTGGAAAGAAGCCATATATGTCTATTCTCATTTGAATAATGATGATAGTGCTGCATCCGCCATACGTGAGATAGTAGTTTCAAACATCAAAAATATTAAAGATGAATCAAAGGATATTGATGAAATACCATTTCTTAGTAGTGTACTAATGGTTCCCCAACCTTTGATATATGAAGCCGTGGCTTTGAACAAGCATTCCTTATCGTCGTATTGGGAGGAGTGTGAAGCATTCATAGTTGCCAAATTATGGGAAAAATCGCACAAAGTAATTGTCGATCACTTGGGTCCTTCTACAGTCATTTCGAATAACAGAGAATCAATAAGCCGTTTGAAGTCAATTCTTTCTTTATTTCCTGAAAGAGGACTTATCATACCAGATTGGAATACTGGTGCGGGAATATACGAGAAGTGGTGTCAACTTGAAGATGATGAGAATGATACTGCTTCTATAGAATTTCTATTATCAAATATTCCAATGTCGAAGGCTCCCTCTACTCAATCCAATATTGCACTCTCCATTATATCAAAAAAGGTTGGAGATTTTGCACTAGATAACCACGCTAATATCAGTGGCTTGAAGGAGAAGGTTTTGTCTCTTCACCTTGGAGAAAACGAAACCAACTATTTTAAACTTCGTTTAGCTGCTGTATAAGGCCACTTTAATAGATTTAGTACCATAGCTTATATATGCAGGAAATATAATTTTGATATCTTACTAATTCAGGAGATGACATCGATTTAATTTTATAATATGACTCCAACTTAAAGTAGGGAACTAAGATATTCAATAATTAGAGAATAAAAAGGCCAATAGCTACAATAGAAACGGGTACTTAATTTGAACTTAAGATATATGTCTCCTTCGAAGGACTTATCGAACGTTGAACTTCTGGCACCTCAGCCAGAACACTGTCCAGGGCCAGAATCCGAGCAAGCTGGGAAAGGAGATGCTTGCGAAGGCTGTCCAAATCAAAATGTTTGCTCTTCACAGTTGCCAAAGGGACCAGATCCTGACTTGCCACTAATAAATAAGAGATTAGAACAGATATCACATAAAATTTTGGTGTTATCTGGAAAAGGAGGAGTTGGAAAGTCTACATTTACTTCGATGCTTGCATGGTCACTTGCAGCTGATGAAGATATTGAGGTTGGTGCTATGGATTTGGATATATGTGGCCCCTCATTACCTCGGATGTTGGGAGCAGAGGGCGAATCGATACACCAATCTAACTCTGGTTGGTCCCCGGTATATGTGGCAGATAATTTGGGTATGATAAGTATATCCTTTATGCTACCAGATCCTGACTCAGCAGTTATATGGAGGGGAGCAAAAAAAAACGGATTAATTAAACAATTTTTAAAGGATATAAACTGGGGAGATCATTTAGATTATTTAATTGTCGACACTCCTCCAGGAACATCAGACGAGCATTTATCCGTAACCTCTTACATGAAAGAAGCCGGAATAGATGGAGCATTGATAGTCACCACGCCACAAGAAGTTGCGTTACTTGACGTCAGGAAAGAAATCGATTTTTGTAGGAAGGCAAATATTAAGATTCTTGGCTTGGTGGAAAATATGTCAGGTTTTGTTTGTCCCAATTGCAAAGGTGAGTCTCAGATTTTCAAGCCTACAACTGGTGGAGGTGAGAAGTTGTGCCTCGACTTAAATATTCCATTTTTGGGTTCTGTGCCGTTAGACCCAAGAATAGGCAAGTCTTGTGACTCTGGTGAATGCTTCTTTGATAAGTATGCGGACTCACCAGCTTCTACAGCAATATTAGATGTTGTCGATAGATTAAGAGACCAGGTAGAATTACTGATATCAAAGTTAAGTATCTAGCATGTATTTATATATAAGTAATGAACATTTCATGACAACGACTCTTAAGCTCAGGTAAATGACGATTATTCATATATAGGAATCTTTAAAATCGAGAAAAAAAAAATATACACATTCAATTATGGATCTTAAGTAATGGCTAAAGCAATAGAGGATGCTATTAGAACTAATGTTTACTTCAAGCAATCTCGATTAAGTTCATTATATTCTAATTTTGATAATCTTGCGGTCTTGAATCCAGAGGGATATGAAGCAAATATTGAAGCATGGTCTAGCTTGCTAACTGAGTTAGTAAGGGATAATAAACTACTGGATTCAATGATATCGATCCTGAAACGACGCCTAAACGACTACTTATGTATTCCTATTTATGGTAAACCAGATAGCATTGGAACAGTGTTAGAGGAGCTCAAGAGTAGGAACAAGTTATTACCTTTACAAACTTTCATGAATAGTACATATCCCATAGTAGAGGCTAAGAGTACTAGCATTATGACAATATTGTCACCATTTTATTGGATTCCGTGGAGTAAGTCAATTTTTTCAACTTATATTAAGGAGGACAATAACTACTTTAATGGTGAAAGGTACATTTTTGTTGAGTTATTACAGGGATTAGGTAAAGAATCTATCCAGTACATCGAAGACACAATCTCTGCAGAGGCCACAGAATCAGCAAGGTTATTTGACGAAAAGATTTTATTCGAACTCCTCAAGGAAAAGTTTGAACTCACCTGGAATGATTATTTAGTTCTTTTAAAATACTTAGTGACTGACTTACGAAAGTGCGTCATAGAGAAGACAGAAGAAAGAATTTATATCAAGTTTGAAGATAGCAAAAAGCTCTCAGAAGAAGATATTCGTATAATAGATTTAAAGGCGAATATAGCCAATTTAATGAAAAGATACTCATATATGGAAAGCCGGATTTACGAGTTAGATAATAGATTGAGTGAACTTGGACGTAATACACTGAATAAGAATGTGGAAGATAGAATGAAAAATTGTTTACGACTAAAGAAGCTCTGGACTACGTCGCTAATGAGAATATCGGATGCAGAGGTTCAGTTAAAGATGATTTTACATAAAATTAATGAAGCTACTTTCAATAAGGATATCTATACACAGCTATCGAAAGGCGCATCAGTACTCTCAAACTTAAATGCAAAAGTTCGTTTAAGCGATATCGACGACTTGAAATTAGACCTAGACAGAGAAATTGAGGCAACAAATGAGATAGGAGATGCTCTAGTTTATGATAATAAAGTCGATGATGCAGAGATAGAACGTGAGTTACAGAAGACGTATGAGACATCCAGGCATGACTCAGCTAGCTTAGAAAATGAGGACCTACTCAACAAGCTAGACAAGTTAAGCATTAACAAGCAAGAGATTGAGAGGAATGATCAACGAGAAAAACAGAAGGAATTAGAGCCGGCTTAAAGTTCTTTCAATATCATTACATATATAAAGTACTTAGATATTATAGCTATCTATGGAAAACATATAGCTTCTCGTTTTGTGAAGTCTTTTTTGATGGCAGGAAGTTAAAAAAAATTGCTGGCAAATTGAATCAAGCTTTAATATCCCTGCTGTCACTGCTTTCTGATAACTTTCTAACCTAAGATTTGTAAAATTTGCTGTGTCAAATTAAATAGTTCAACCTTAGGGTCGTCGTACTGGTCATCGCCATTGTGTTGGTTGATTTGTGATTGTGATTGCAACTGTTGTTGACTAACGCTTAAGTTTTTAATTCCAGATAAGATCGATTCATTCTCCTTGATTAAAGAATTAATTTCAATATTGTTAGATTCCAATAACTGTAAAATGGTCCATAATGCAATATGCTCGAATGTTGCGCTGTCACTTTGTAGAAATCTGATTAAAAATCCATAAATACCATCATTTGGCTGTGACCAATTATTTAAAATATATTGCTTGTGCTCACTTGACACTCTTGAACAAAGATTAGCTAATGCAGCAGCTGAATTACCACAAACCTCACCATTCTCACTAAATGTTAATGGTATTAAAACATCTATTATGTGGCTTTCATAAAGTTTAGGTTTCAAGTCATCAGCTAAAGCCAAAATCGCAAAGCAGGCGGAAATCTCCAGCTGAACAGACAAGGGAACCTTTAACACCAATTCTTTACATTTATCAACTGCTCCCGCGGCAAGTAAAGCCGCCCGATTCTTTTCGCTGGAGGCTGCCAAATTCCTTAGGGTTGACACGGCATGACATTGAATCTCTTCTGAATCAGTATAATCTAATAAACCAACCAAAGGCTTTAAAAATCCAGCTTCTATAATTAGAGCCTCGTTCTGTGGATGAATTGAAATATTTCTAATACAAGCAACAGCTGCAAGTACGAGTGGTTGATGATTACAGGTCAACAACTGAACCAAATGAGGCAATCCATTAGCTTTTACAATTTCAACTTGATAGTCAGAATCAGAAGCTAAGTTCCTTAAAGCTAATGTGGCCTGACACTGTACTCGCGGAGAAGGAGAACTCATTAAGTTGACCAATTGCGAGATTAGTTTAGGTTCTGTAGCAGCCAATTTTTTTCTGTTCAGTTCGTCAACTGCTATATTGGATAAAGCTGTCGTACAGTAATATTGAACATCAGCATCTTCGTTAGATAGTAATGAGACTAAAACAGGAACTGCACCAGCATTTACTAGCTCTTGTCTGTTCTCACCAGAATGTGTCATGTTTAAAAGAGCACCTGTTGCATTTCTTTGAACTCTGATATCCTTACATTTTGCTAGTTTTGTCAATGGAATCAATGCTCCACTTTTTGCAATCTTGGATTTATTATCATCTTGAGTTGCCAAATTTGTTATACAGCCAACTGCATTGCATTGCACCTCGATATTCGTTGACATCATTTGTCTGATTAGTGGCTCCAACCCCCCCATCTCAACGATTAAAATTTTATTCTCATTATTGACGGCTAAGTTTCCCAAGGCACCACACGCCGCTCTCTGTACTTCAGAATCTGTACTTTGTAATAATATTAAAACAGGTTCTAATACGTCGCGGTTTACTTCCCGAACGTCTTTTTCAGTAATCTCTGCAAAAGCAAGAGCTGCGCTTCTTTGTAAGTCTATATTCTCCGAATATACTAACGTACTTAATGCTCTTAAGGGTCCATTACTGAAAAAATCTACGTCAGATCTATTCTCCAAATATTGCAATAATGCAGAAATCGCCTCCCTTTCGTTTTCAGCTAATAAGAGAGGAGCATACTTTCCATCACTATGTCTTGATGAAAGACAACTCAAGCAGGATCCCATGTTATTAAGTTCAAAGAGGTTATTTTAAAGAACCTTGAAGTTTCTTTGACTCGTCTCTTCTCTTGTGTATTGGAGTTAATCTGCGTCCCGACGTGTTTTAGAAGCAACAGTTTATCTCACTCGGATTTTAAATCAATATATCTCCAAAAGACTTGACCTTTTTAAAATACTTTGGAGTTTCTAACACACCTGAGACTTTGGAGCTTCCGTTAATTAGTTCTATATTCTTATTCGAAACGTAATCAAAAGCTTTATTGTTCTTTTGAAAGCTCAGACGAACAAAACTTCGGTTCATTTTAAGACTGCACATAAGTAGTAGCAAAATTTATATTTTGAGAGGGAAAAAGAGTAACATAATGAATGGTAGTTAGGTATAATTCAAATATCTATTGCCTTTGGACCAATTCTTTAACAATTGTTTGACAATTCATTATTCTGTGTTTGGTAAAACATCACTACTGGACGGACGAGATAAACTGAGATAAAATTGGGGTCTTGGCTTTATTACGTTCAAAAGTCGTACAAATTATTGTTTAAGGAATATAAAGCTATGAAGAAGTATAACTCACGTATCAATTTGCTTGAATAAAACTTAGTGTTTTAATACGTAAAGTTGTCTCCAAGTATCTCTCCGTCACAGTCCAAGAGATCTGGATCCGTAACACAGGAAAATAGAGGTTTTGATGAAAATGAATTGATTCTCACTTTTGAGCCGACACTTTCCCAGTTAGATAGAGATAAAGCTTTTGCCTGGATGCTAAGAGGGTTTGTCCAAGTTCTACCTTCCGTTATGGTAATGTACCTGATCTCAGGATTGTCGACTTCCATGTAGTAGGGTTGCACAAATATTTGTCCCGTCTTGTTTGCTGAAATTGTACAGCTATACTGCGCAGTTATTGTTAACGAAGAAGAGATGTCAAATTCGTAATCTAACAGACCGCTCAACATACTCCCGATATCGAAAGCTAATGGTAAATCCAATGTTCCTGTTTTACCAAAAGTCTTAGCAAAAGAACCTGAAAGCATACCTCCGTCTCCCTGTTCATTATTAAGACACCCTGTTAAGGGGAGCAACGATCCTTCATTTTTATGAGAGCCACTCTTTTTAACCTCTACCCAAGTGTTTTTGTCGTCTTCAGTTGAATCACGCGCGAAACTAAATTCGTTGCCAGTGGTTCTCTTTGCGGTGTTCAACTTAAGCTTATTAATAATTACGGTATCCGTATCTTCGCAAACAATTACGTTATCTTTGTTCTTGAAGTTTTCTATGCTGTACGAGCCGTCTCGCAGACAGTTCTGATGCAACACGAAGGACCGGTCTTGTGCTCTTGCGGCAGTCATTTTTAAATTTCGAACATCAATCAGAGCTTTTGCTCTACCTTCAAAGAGAAGTAAAATAAAACAAATGAGTATCCAAGAGGATTCTTTCATTATGAACTAAGTACAATTTCAATTTAAGAGTAACTTAATCGACTCGAAGGTCGATTTTATGTTACAAGACTTAGCGATATGCTATATATTTGAGTCATACTTTTAAATATTAAAGAACAAAAAAAGTTCTTTAGGCACAGAAAAAAAAGTATAATAAATTCATTTTGCGATCTGTTGACACCAGAAATACTTCTGCAAACTTTCTGTACTCAATACTTGTACTCAACGCTTGTACTCAATACTTGTACTCAATCAGCTGCTTAACTTTGAAAGCCAAAGAGCAGGAAAAAATGTTACTTCTCACAATTTTATTACTTTTTATTAATCTACGTAGCTTTAAAATGTATTTTTAAAAGCATCACTTCGTAGTAGGCTTATGTCACTTCTTACCACAGTTACAGTTTCTTATGAGCGTTTTGGTTCTTTCAACTAACATATTGCACAACCTGTATAGTCATGTCAGAATATATGCAGGACGGTATCTTTTTAATAAAAATTCTCAGAATCCAACTTTTCAAACTATCAAAGGCAAAAATAGTCTTTCCAATCAATCGATATTAAGGAATGACGGACAGCGAACCGACTCCTGAAGAAACGGTGGATACTATTCCTCATAGGGATCCTGATATGAATAGTGATTCTGAGGCGTACGATTTATCTGACAGAGATCAAGGTGAGATAGATGACGAGGTTGAAGAAAAGAAATTAAACGAAGATGACGTGAAGGAGGAAATGGAAGAGGAAAGAGAAGAAAAAAGTCAAGAAGAAGCAAAAAAAGAAGAATTGAAACAAGATTACGGCATAGGATCGAAGCGCCCGTTAGAAGATGACGAAAGCGATAACAAGGAGCCTCAGATAACTAAGGAAGAAGAGAGCCTTCTTCAAAAAATGAACAAAGGAGACAATGAGAGTGGAAATGCAGACGTAAATGATATTGAAAATGGCGAAACAGATGGAGTTCAAGAAGAACACGGAGAGGAAAGTAAAGCGGAAAACGAAGGAGAAGAAGAAGAAGAAGAAGAAGAAGAAGAGGACGACGACGACGAAGAAGAAGAAGACGATGATGACGATGAAAATGATGAGACTGTTGGCAGAAGGAAGAAGAAGAGACGTACAGCAAATCAGTTCGTTGATATAGAAGCTGAAGTCGACGATGAAGAGGAAGATGAATTAGATGAGGACAATGAAGAGGCCGAATTATTAAGAGAGCAGTTTATCTCAGATGATCGTATTGATAACGAAGAAGGAAAAGACGATGAGCATCAGGATGATCGACTCCACAGACAATTCGATCGCCGTCGTCAAGAAGCAGAAGACCAGGACGCAGAGAAATTAGCAGAGACCTTAAAACAAAGATATAGAAGGACTCACGCAGTTTACCGAGGTGACACCGCCGCTAATGATGCAGTATCACAAAAATTGTTAATGCCATCGATCAATGATCCCTCAATTTATGCGATTAGATGTACTCCAGGTAGAGAAAAGGAATTAGTACGAAAGCTTTACGAGAAAAAAAGAACTTTAGCTAGACTGAATAATCCGCTTGACATTTTGACAGTTTTTCAGAGGGATGCATTTAAAGGCTACATTTATATCGAAGCTAAAAAACCTGAAGCTATCGATAGGGCTTTAGCTGGTATGGTAAATATTTTTGCCAGAAACAGGATTCTAGTACCAGTCCGCGAATATCCAGATTTATTAAAACAAGTTAAATCATCAGATGTGGAAATAGTTCCTGGTATTTACATTCGTATTACTAGAGGAAAGTATAAAAATGACTTGGCAATAGTCGATAACTTATCTGAAAATGGATTGGATGTCCGTTGTAAATTAGTTCCAAGGTTAGACTATGGTAAAAACGACGACTTCACTAAAGAAGGAAGAAGAATCAAGCTGAAAGTAAAGCCAATTCCTAGGTTATTTAGCGAACAAGAGGCAAGAATGTACGATGGAGATTATTTACAACCAGGAAGAGGACCTAGAAGCTATATTTATCGTGGTGAGGAGTACATTGACGGCTTTTTATTCAAGGACTTTAAGCTTCAATTTATCCAAACCAAAGATATTCATCCAACTTTGGAAGAACTTGATAGGTTTCAATCAGGAAATAGTGAGGAAGATGGATTGGATTTAGCTGCTATTGCCGCCTCGTTGAAGAATAAGAATATTAATGATACAAATCAATCAAATATCTTTCAACCTGGAGATAATGTTGAAATCCGTCGCGGGGAACAGGCCAAAACTGTCGGTAAGGTCTTAGGTGCTTCATTGAATGAAGTCGTCATTTTGGTCACCAATAGTGGTGATCCGAAGTTTGTGAATCAACAATTGACTGTTCCAGCAAGTGACTTAAGAAAAGTATTCAGCACTGGTGACCATGTTAAGATTATTGAAGGAAAACACTCAGAAGAGACAGGTTTAGTTATGAAAATAGATGGCGATTCAGTTGTTTTACTTTCAGATCAGACCAAGGAAGATGTCAGAGTGTTTGCAAATTATCTAATAAAAGCAACAGATGCTTCTCTGAATATTGATAATATGAACAATAATTATGATATCAAAGATCTCGTTGAACTTAATGCCTCAACAGTTGGTGTTATCGTAAAAGCTGAGAAGGGGCTTTTCGAGATTCTCACTTCGGATGGTAGAACACTTTCGGTAAAGCCTTCTGGTATCGCATCAAAACTAGAGCTAAGCCGCAGAGAACAAATTGCTACTGATAAGAATGGTTCAACGATAAGGGTTGGCGATACTGTCAAAGAGGTACTAGGAGATAAGAAAAGAGAGGGAACAATTATTCATATTTTCAGAAGCACCTTGTTCATTAAGCTGAATGAAATCATCGAAAATTTGGGAATATTTGCAACTAATTGCATGAATGTAAGTACCATAACAACTAAGGGCTCAATGGTTTCCAAAAACTTAGGCCCTGATTTGAACAAAATGAACCCAAATTTGAAGTTACCAAATCCAATTGCGGCATCAGGTTTGAAGACCAGAATTGGTGGTCGTGACAAATTGATTTATAAGGATGTCGTTATCACTGGTGGTAATCATAAGGGACTTATGGGAAAAGTCACTGATGCAGATGAAGTCTATGCTAGAATTGAACTTCATACTAAATCGAAAAAGATTAAAGTGAACAAAAATAATCTTAGCGTTCTAGTACACGGAGAATCCATTCCTTATTTGCGGTTTATTGGGGCTCCCATGTCACAACAAAGCCAGCAAAAATTCTCTGCTCCTGCGTTCACCTCGGGTGGAAGGTCGAGTTGGAATCATAATGGAGGTGTCACTCCTGCCGCTGGAAGCGGCTCTTCTGCTTGGGGAAGTATGGGTGGAGCATCTTCATGGGGAGGAGGCAAAACTCCAGCCTACAGCTCAAATGGGAATGCATCAACATGGGGTGGTGCTGCTTCTTCTTGGAATGGCGCGAAAACTCCTGGTAATGCTTCTTCTTGGGGAGCTGGTTCAACTTGGGGTGGCAATAACGGTGCTGGTTCCACATGGGGCGACAAAGGTAACAAGAGCACATGGGGAAATAGCAGTACGTGGGGCTCTAAATAGTCTATTTCATTAATAGATATTTTCAAAAAGAAAAAAAAAAAATTTAATAGCTGATAATTTAATTTAAATCTATGATGTAATTAATATGTATATTTGTTAAGGATTCAAGTTACTTTCACAACCTGGGCAATTATGTAAGACCTCATGGACAAAGACATCACAATCAATGCAGAAATCATTTTTACACTTGGGGCAACTATATCTTGAGCTTGTATAGCCCTCTAATGTCTCTTTCTTTTTGCCTTTATATCCCTCTGGAAATTTTAGTAAGCACCCAAAGCAGAGGCTACTCTTATATGATTCACTCACTGGAACTTCTTGGTACTCTTTTAAAGGAACTAAGTGATGATATGATCTGGCCAAATGAGTAGACAAAATTAGCATGAGCCCACAAATAGGGCAAATTGTTGGAAGATGACATATTTTATTTTTACACTGAGGGCACTGGTATCCGAAGACATTCGTCTCTTCCGGATTCTCGTTATTTGCAAATTCCACAACATTCTTAGAGTCCTCTGAGCCCGAAGTGGGATGACAAGCACAAAGTTGAGGAAAATTGGAGCTGAAAGATGACGATGTCGATAATGACGAATATGGCTGGATCTTTGAGGGAAAGCCCATTTTAAGCAAAGTGACACCCTCCCTCTTTTCTATTTCTAAATTGTCTTTTTCAGATATTGGTAGAGGAACAACACTATCCATTAAAAGTTCTCTAAAGTGAGACTCATTCAAAATAACCCCATAGAAATTCGTGGATGCGATGTTGTTAGTGTGGTTTGTTTTGCTCACTAATTCCTGGCATATCGCAACTTGAGCTGATAAGCCTATGACCTTTACCTTAATTTCATCTTTTACGAGGTTGTCAATTGTCTTATGGATATCTCCGGGATCACTGGTAAACAAAGCACCGAATATAATCAATATTTCCTTAGAATTTTTGGTATTGTTTGTATTCGATCCGAAGTTGTAACTTAATAAGGATCTTGCAATCTCTAATGCATTCTGTAAAGAAGGGTCACCCTTAGGTTCAAACCTATTGTGCTGCCTTGCTTTCAATTGTCTTATCTTTTCTATATGGTGCTGAGGCAGCCCACTGACCTCGCTTATTAATGTCGATACTCCGTTTCTCATCATGACTATTCCCATCTGCGAAATGGGATTCTGGTCAAAGAACTCGACAACAAAGTCTTGTAACAAAGAAAGCATCATTGAAAATCTAGAAGGTCTCAAATCTTTAGCCAACATCGACAGGGAGCCATCAATGATGACTATTAGAGTCCTTATGATACCTCTCTGAAATGGTGTTGAAGAGTTTTTCATAATCTTTTTCTTCCTATTTTCAATCATTGTTTGAATGATAGATTCTAGTGATCTTGTACCATCCTCGTCATCTTTGACAATATCCCAAGACCTTTGATACTGATCTTCCCATGCATAGCCATTGTTATGTTTTAGATCACTAACGCTTCCACCTGCTTTAGAATTCCCACTGGATCTAGTTCTCTTTGATACACCTTCTTCCTCCAAGATATCATCGTTATCTACCTTTGGTGAATTCAGAACAGATACACTATTATTATTTGTTGATGGTGCGGTATATTCTTCATCTGAATCATCCATTATATGCTGCCTTTATTATAAGCTTTATAATGTAAGTAAAAAAAAAATGTCTATCTCTATCATTATCTAGAAATGTCGCAATATGAAAATAGTATATCTAAGTCGAATATCTGAGTCGTACCGAATGAACTCTAACAAAGTTCTGACTTTGAGCTTCATAACATTGATGAACCTGTTTTAAGCTATATGACACATTAGATGGATTTATTTAGTGATACATCGTTGAATTGGTTACGGGAAATGACTTTTATAGCGAAAATTCATAATCTTCAAAATTAAACTTTGATGTAGATTGCTTGGTAAAGATAGTTGCAGCCTCAGAATACAGTCAAACAAATAATTAGACTCTTTTGCGCTTCTTCGTACCATAATCTTCAACGGTGATTACTTTTTTATCGTAAGATACTTGTCCATTATCACTTACGTCGTAAAACAATTGTAGAAAACTGTTGAAATCCTCGAAATCCTCAATAAACTCACCTAATGATTTACGAAGCTTCTCCCTAGAAGTAATATCTTTCACGGAGTATCCTTTATTAGGAATTGGTGTTATCTCAAATGCTTCACTTTCCCATATCTTCAATCTTTCGAGACCAAAAGTATCAATGAATTCTTCTTTCGTAATATAATTTCTGAATTTAATATTCTCAGGATACTCTTTCCCTTCGAGATCTTTATTCTTCTTTATTTTGGGAATAGGAGCAGATTCATTTTCTTGGATATAAAAATTTCTCAACAACATGATGGCTTCAGTTCTTAATATACCACCAATACTTTGATAAGGAGCATCAAGAGCAGGATCCCTATTGATACTGAGAACAGTCCCATTTCCACCAAATCTATCGTTCCCGCAACCAAATATCACTTTACTGATACCAATTTGTCTGAGAGCTGATGCACACATTATGCAAGGTTCTACAGTGACATATAGCACAATATCCAGAAAATACTGCTTGATATATTCGATATCACCCTGGTAATCCGTAGGAATATAATTTTCTAGAATATAGTCTATCGCTATTAATTCTGCATGCCTTGTTCCGTTTAATGAATCATTAGTACCATTATAACCAACACTGATCACTTTATTAGTTGATTTAGAGACAAAAACGCATGATACAGGCGTCTCTTTATTCATCAAAGCTTTAAAGGCTAGGAACAAAGCACAAGCCATATTTTCGAATTCTGTGCATAGTACTTTCACCATAGTGTGATAAAGAAGTATTACTGCAATATTTGAAATATCATATGATCTCAAAATATTTTAAAATCTCTTCTTCAAACCATGTCAGATTTACATAAATCCTTTCTCAAGCGTATTAAAGAGCACGAGCAAGCTATTGGCCTTGGTTCTATATCTGAGAGCCATAATGATACGACTGAGGAAATAAATAATAGCTCAAGTAATTTAGACACGCTCCACAAGTTCAAAGCTAAAGTATTTTCCAAGATAGAAACTTACGATAACGGAGAGATCACATTCCAGACTTATTTCAGACCTCCGGAAAATGAGGGAGCAGCTATATTTGTATTTCATCACGGCGCTGGCAGCTCTGCAATGACGTTTGGAAAGCTAGCAGAAAGCTTAATTGAGCACTCTGAATCCGGGTTCTTATTGTTTGACGCCAGAAGTCATGGTAGTAGCTCAAAAGCCGATGACTATTCTCTCAGTTCGTTGACAAAGGACTTCAAGTTTATAATAGACAAGTTTACTGCGACTTATAATCCTAAAAACACGATATACTTAATTGGCCACTCGTTAGGGGGAGCGGTGTTAACGAACTACTTAGTTGAGAATCCTGATCAATGCCATAATGTTAAAGGTTTAATAATGTTGGATATTGTGGAAGAGACAGCGGTAAAATCACTTAGTGCCATGCCCAGCTTTGTTCAAAAAAGGCCTAGAGCCTTTAAAAGTCTCCAAGATGGAATTGATTGGCACTTCCATGTGAGCCACTTGTTGAACAACTATGATTCCGCTTGTATTAGTGTCCCAGACTTACTATGGAAATCAGATAATGGATCTTACGAATGGATAACGGATTTGTACGCTACTCAATCATACTGGGATACATGGTTTAAAGGATTATCACAAAATTTTATTGATTGTGGAAAGAAACAAAATATCGCTAAACTATTGATATTATCCGCTCACGAAACTTTAGATAAGAGCTTAATTATTGGTCAAATGCAAGGTAAGTATCAATTAGTCGTTTTCAACAATATTGCGAAGGCAGGTCACTTTCTACATGAAGATATCCCTAAACAAATCGCACAAACATTGATTGACTTCGTTAAAAGAATTGATTCACCTAGCGAATACATGAAGAAAGAGTTTGGTGTTGTTCCAAAATGGGGTGGTAAAATTCATTCATAAATATTTAATCTACACTCAAGTTACTCAGCTTGATGGCCTCCTCTCTTTGAGAAATCACTTTGACAATCGCGTCAATTTTTTTGGATGCTAAAGGGAATCTTGGATTAATTAAGAACGGCCGCAAATCAAATCTATTATCATCAGGTGAATATTGCTCAGCATGGTATGATGGAGTCATCGTTGTCATCTTATGCCTATTAATTGCATAAAAGAACCAGAATCTCTTAACTTTCTCTGCTACTTGCTGTGCTGTTAGGTTTAATGGCGGCTGAGACCATTCATGATATAGTTTAAGGAACATATCAAGGGGTCCACATTTTTCAACTTTTCTAAGCCTACCAAATCTTGATAATTCGTCATAAGTCATACCCATGTCGATTTCGTCACTTTGGACGTAGTTCTCAGTAATTGGTTCTAATTCAGCCGTGGGTGTGGCATCAAGAAAGTCCTTCAAAATTGGCAATTCAAAATTAGTTTCTGCCCAATGAATAAATCTTTTTAGGTCAGTTTTAGAAATCCCACCTATAGGATTTATGTCTGCAGAGGAGCAATCATATTTAGTTAGATAGCCTCTCAAACATTCATCTACATTTGCACTTCCTAAAACTAGTAAACCACCAGCAATATTTCTTGTCCAAGGCAACAACTGAGCAAATAAATAGCTTAGCACCATTCTTAGTCTGGCTTGGATATTTTGTAATGCAAGATTTTCCGTCTGAGAACCACCAAATATCTTAAAAATTGGCTTCTTACCTGTTGCTACCTGGAAAACTGATACAACAGCAGCAACTAAAGTATCCATATTCATGTCAACATGGTAGGATCCAATATCCTCAGCTAAATCCTTGGCCCTAGCCCTTGTCTCTTTAGATGAATTTTCAGTCCCCATGAAACTTGAATAAAATAATCTACCTGCAACATCTTGAGGCTTTTGGGGGATAAATGATGGATCATGAGTTAGGGCTTGGATGTCTTTCAAGACTTGCTCGTCGTTATTCCTTATAGATTCCACAACAAGCCTACACATCGAATGCACAATAACTGCAGTTGCGCAAGAATCTATCCCTCCACTCAATGGTAAAAAGAACCCAGCACATTTTGATCTTCTCAAATAGTCCCATAGCCAGCAAGCTGGACCCAAGGCAATTTCTTCTTCAGGCAAATGATACTTTATCTCTTTCGGCCGCGATGGCCGTACTAAAGGATCGAAAATATTTGACGATGGAGACAATAAAATGTTAGTGTCAATCGTCTTATATTTGTCGACCTGGTTCACGGCTTGTAGGCCCGAAGACTTTTGGTTTCTATAGCCTCTAATATCGTCCAAGTCAATAGTCGCAGAAATGACTTCAACCTCCTTCAATGAGAATTGCGAGGCTTGAGCAACAAGCTTTCCATTGACTATAATACAAGCAGAACCGTCATAATATAATCGATCACCATCACATCCCTTTTGGTTAGAATAAAGATATACCCCACCGCACTTTGTAGTTGCTTCTGTAATAAGGTTTAATCTTGTATCCAATTTCCTTAATTGATGATGAGAACCCGACGAGTTTGTAAAGATCTCTACGCCATCTAGTGCCATATCTATATGAGGAGATTTTGGAGTGAACAATTCTTCACAAGTTTCACATCCTAACTTTGTTTCCTTAGTATTAATAATACAATCTCCAATCACGACACTTGATTGACCTGTAATCGTAGAAATGGATTCTGGCAATTGATATGTCTCATAATACTTCGGCCTATTCCACGGGGTGAAGAATCTCATTTCCCTATAGTTTCCATCGTTAGCCAAACACAATTTCGGTCTAATCAATAGAATTTTCCCATTGTATGATATAATCCGACAGTTGTATTTGATGGATTTATGAATAATTGGAATACCGATATCAATAAGAATATCATGAGTTTCTGGGTTACTGAGAATCTCACTATATGTTTCCCAGCAATGATCGTAGAGGTCGTTCTCCAAAAAATGATCCAAACATCCGTATCCGCATAGTTCTAATTCTGGCCCAACTCGAAGTCTTGCTCCTTGTCTCTTTGATTCGATAATACTTTCTACAATTCTATCTCTATTTCCTTCAAAATCTAATGCCCATTGATTAAGATTACAGGTTGCAATAGTAATGGAACGTCCCATCTTCAATATATATTATGAAGAGTAAAAGAAGTATTATAAATTTAATTTTTAATTTGTGTTATCAGATTATGCTAAAAAAAATGAATAAATGTATCATTTATTACCTAAGCCCAAAACTAAACTAACAAGAAATAAAAACTATCATTAATTATGAAAAAGTAACGTTTTTTCAACGTTGTAGTTACAATTCAGTTTTTGGATCGAGACCGCTAGCAATGTTACACTGGTGCATCATTCTTCTTTCATCTTGGCCATCACTTTTGACACCCTTAAATTCACCTGTGACTGAATGCCAGACTCCTCTATTGAAAAAAATGACTAAATCTCCGGTGGACCAGCCATGGGCTAAAACATTCTTTGGTGAAATGGCTGGTCTCATTAACTGGTGAACTCTGTTACGAGATTCTTCTAAGCCCAAAGTTTTGACAGAACCATCAGGTTGAACGGTGTGCAACTTATATAAACAGCAACCGTGAACTTGTAAGTGAGGTTCCTTAGTGACAGGATTAGTCCATACCATTGGCAACTTCTTGACCTTAGATTCCTCCCACTCTGGTAACTCATCAAACTTAGTTTCTTTTCCTTCGCTTACCATTGTCAATCCATCAGACGTGGCCTTAGCCGGGCCAATGAATATATAGGGGTGTGGTGCATACTCCACCGTAGTGTTCAAAACAAAATTCTTGTCTTCATCACTCAACTGGTTGAAAGCAATGGCACCCGAAACGAAACAGGTTGCGCCCTGTGATAATTCCAATTTATCATCATTATCTTCATAATGTATAGTTTGAGTTTGCGTTGTTGGTGGTACCTGGATACCTAATAAAGTAGTAACCATTGGAGGAGACAAGTCATATAAAGCGGAATCAATGTGCCACCTGTAAAATCTCGTTCTATGTTGTTCTTTAATTTGCTTATCAGTCAAGGGAGTATGGTGGAAGCTCGTGTGAGAAGGATGGGTCAAACTGATTGTTTCTCCATTCTCATTACCAGGTTCATCGGCACCAAAGACACCTTGACCTAAAATCTGAACTTGAGGTTGGGATTTAACAGTAGTACCGTCCTTTTTCAAAACTGATTTTTCATGTCTGAATTCCTTACCATGTCCATAACCAGCAAACTTAGAATCACCTTTTGGAGCTGGAATCGAAGGGTCAAACCTCTTGGTCAATTCATACTGTGATTTAGGCAGCAATTTCTCTTGGTTCGGGAACACTGCCACTAAGTTTGTCAATACACCGTCGTAAAGCTTTTTGAAGTCCTCGTCATTCAACTTTGATGGATCGTTATTTGCATAAGAGGGAAGAGTTACAGAACAGCCAAAGGGTCTGTCTTCCAAAGGAGTAACTGTGAGTAAATCTGTGGATGGCATTATATTATCAATTTCAATTATATCTTGTTTATGAAACTAGGAAACTTGAAATGTAAACGGGAGGGTGCTGCTTATATAGGATCCAGCAAGTTTATTATCTAAGACAAGATGCCCGCGGGGTCCGCGGTCACTTAAGTCTCAACTATCATCACAAAGAATTAGGACGGATAGAAAGCAGCAACAAGAGATCACTGACGTACAAGAAATAGGCCATTATGTAATATCATACGAACCCTTGGTAATCTAAAGTTCGAGTCTTCCTTTAAATGTGAAGTTTTAATTACTTACATTACGAATATAATCGTCGCGGGACCTCCGCGATGTGACTGCAAAATATGAACTTAGATGTACATACAAAATACCTGTGTAGTTGGGCTGTATGATGTCAGAGAACAGAATAGAAGAGATGATCCCTAGGAATAAATAGTGATCTATTGATATTATTCCCTAAGACCAATTTTGTTTTTATAAAGGAGAGAGCGATTACTAGGCCACACGGAGTACCTTGACTGCAAAATCTAGAGACCACTAAACTAGATTTCAAAGCCACCCAATTACTTTTCAGCATATAGATCTCAAATAATACTAGAAACCAATGTAAAAAACAAGGTTCCTGTTAAAGAGGACAGGTGGAAGCAGGGTAGTGTTTAATAGGACCGTGGTACTACTAATGTTCAGAGGTAAAGGAACCAAACACAACACCTCATAAAGCCAAAATTTGCTTTCCCTTACATTACAGTGAATAGTGTGATAGCTCTTTTCCTTTAGAAGCAAGGCTTATCGTTACATGGGAATGTAGGAATAAATAGCAATCCCCGGCCAAACCTTCAATGCAAAGTAGTTTCAATTTACTCAAACATGATTTCAAACTATTCAGCGATTCCATCTTCTTTCTAAAATAAGCACTTCCATATAATACTTAAAAAATAATTCAGAGCTTTCATAATAGGGTCAACTCTTAGAGGTAGTTCGTGAATTCGATTAGTGCCCTGACCTTACAAAAGATGCAACAGAAGTAATAACATGATTTGGATTACGAGTGTAAGATCTGATCAATTAGTTAGATAGAAGCAGATGTATATCACCATCTTCACAATGACAGGTTCTCTCATACTGATCCATTTGAGAATTAGCGTATACGTTACTTATGATACCTCCGACGGAGCCCCTTGGAGGTTTAAATATCATTGGCGGGTTATGTATAGTAAGAAAGTTATGATTTATCCTAACAGGAACCGTCATGGAGAAAAAGATAATTATGATTACTCTCAATTGAGAACAAAGTTCATGGATAGCCTTTAAGAAGGAAAATTGACTGAATTGTTGCAAACCCTTGCTCAACTAATTGAATATTGTTCTTGATGTAGGTAGTTTCCTAAAAAGGAAGAAGCTTTTGTGCTCCGCGGAAAATAGGAATCGGCACTCCGTTAGATCACATCCTCGATATATCGGGGAACCGAAGAAATCAATATTTTAGATTTTAATGAGATCGAAAGACCGGACTATATATATATGAGAAGTAAGATTTGCGAGTCAATACTGAACTCACGTAACAGATCTCATATTATCGGCAAGGAATAATGTATGAAAGTTACGAATAAGACTTAAGCAAAGTACGCTGCTTTTCCAAGAGTAAGTCAACCTTCTCTTGACACTACACGATCTAATTATTCTCTTTTTATGGACACTAGAGAGCAATAGGAACTCACTTCTCAGGCATGAAGAGAATCTATTACATTTATCAAAAAGGTGTTTAGAATACAAAAAATAATTGTCATTTCTATTTACCTAAGGATAGTCCATATATGCTTCAAAGTTCGAATGATTTTCGAATCAATTACTCACTTGCATTCATATACTTATAATTTTTTGTCTCATAAGAGGTTAGAAAAATAACCTTTACTCTTAGCGAGTAGATGCAGTTTTCTATAGCTATATTCCGAAGTTCTAGTTTTCTTGACTAGACAAATAAGCCACTTAATTAAGCGATTAAATAAAATTCCTTTTATTTTGCCCTTAAGAATTACCTTAAATATAGAAATCCCTCTGAGAAACCATCCACGTAATGGAAACAGAACTAACTATCAATGGACCCAAAAGTCCACTGCCAATCTTAGCAGTTCCATACCATAACCACTCGCTGATGAAATGAACACCGGCTATAAAAAAAGTCCATAAGACAAGCTCATATACTTGTTGGTTCGCTAAGTAGTAAGCGCCATAGAATCTCAAGATTGAGCTTAAAATTGTCCACGTACCAAATGTTCTTGCACTCAAAGGCGTAACTTCATTGGTGTTGTTGTATACTTTTTGGGTTAATTTTAAGTCCTTGGATAAATACGTTTGGATTGAATTAAAGATAGATACGACTGAAATGAATAATAGCCAATGTGGAAGGTATCCTGGGCCCTTGGGAAGAATTGACATCATATTTGACAGTTTTACGTGAGTATATAAAAGTTATTTCCACGCCTAACTCTGTGGGTAAAATAGTGAGAATATTTAACTATATGTATTACTTTCTTATAAATTTTCGCTAATCAAATTTTATTTCGTTGGATCCTTAGATTTCAAAACATCAACAGCAGGACCTAACAATCTCGTAAAACCAGACTTATCCAAAGTGGCGACAACAACAGTATCCAAAGCTTCGACAGTAGCTTGTCTTGGTAAGTCCTTCAATAACGCAACTTCACCAAAATAATCACCTTTTTGTAAATGTGTCAAAACACCAGTTCCTTCTTTATAAACCTTACAGTTACCACGTTCAATAAAGTAAAAGTTTTCACCCTCTTCACCTTCTTTAACAATGATGTCACCTTTATGGTATATTTCGGTACTTAAAGCGTCGGCTAACTTGGATCTCTCTTGGTTAGATAAACCAGACAATATTTCGACATCCTTCAAGAAGTCCTCATACATCAATCTTCTATTAAATGTTCCTTCCAATAAAATTCTGCGGAATGTCAACCTGTCCAATGCCCAGCATGTTACTTGATCAGACGATGCTATTGCAGTCGCAGCCCTTGGAGAGTTATACATCAACGCTAATTCACCAAAAGAAGAACCTTCTCCACTAGAATTGACCTTAGCACCGTTGACGTAGAAATCGACAGTTCCTGACCCAATTATGTAGAAGTAGTCACCTTCATCACCCTGTCTAATTATTTGGTCATCTTTCTTGAATGTCTTTTTGGTCAAAGCCTCAAGAACCGTTGTTCGAGAATCATCTTCTAGTTGGCGAAATAGAAAGTTCGAAGACAAAGAATTACCTAACTCATCTCTTTGTTTTGGTGTTAAATCATTCTTAGGTGGTTTCCAACTGTCAGTCTTGAATTTATCGGGATTCATTGCCTCAGCAGAAACTGAAGTTCTTCTATTAGCATTGAATGCAACTGGAATTTGTTTCGATTGAGGTTGTAATAAGGGTTGCGGTTGAGACGACAGTTCATTAGGATCTACCTCTCGTGAGAGCTTCGGAGCTGTACGATTACTGACAGCGAATCCACCCTTGAATAAATTATCCAGCACTTCATTATGATTCAGGTGAGGATCATTCTCACCGAATGGTGACTTGAAGCTGGGTTGTCTCGAGGTTTTTATATCTTCAACCTTAGGAAAAAGTTCAATACCGGCAGCCTTGGCCATCGGTTGCTGTGCCCACAAAGTTTTCCTTTGAGATTCCAACTTCTGATTAAAATAGTTGGCGCAAAACTGCAAAACATCCTGCGGATTCTTTGCAAGTAATTCCTTTTCCAACTGATTTAGTTCTTCCTTTACTGACATTATGATGCTTTAGTATTTCCTATGTATTAAGGAAGACAATCGATAAGGGTTGCAACAGAAAAAACGGAGAAACTTAGAAACCAATTGATTTCGTAATGTTGGGGTATCTGATGAATTTATTTAAGTCTTCTTTTCTATCGTCAAATGTCGTCAGGAAGCCAATGCTCGATGATTGAATGATTAATCGACTTACAAGTGAATTGGGGATGAAGGATTTCAATTGAGAAGCTCTAAACTGTAAATTAAAACCTGCAAGATTGTATGTACAGGATGATCTTTTACGGGCAACGGCTATATGTACACCATACCCACAAAGGAAAACTAAGGATAGGTGAGAGCCTCGCGACTGCATATGCATATATCTTCCCTTATACATTCCCAAGGGGACGGACCCCTCATTTCGACACTACCTTTTGCAACATTACTTAATCTACCAGTAATCATGTGACTCGAACCACAGACTTTCGCACTCATTCTAGAAAATGCCACGTCAGCGTTCGATAATATTCTATGATCGATCCAAAAAAAATTAACACGACGACAATTCATCACTATATATAAACACTAAAAGTCAGATTGCGACCTTTTTAATATTATTAAATTCGAGTAAGCACAGACAAACTATTGGTGATATGAAGTCGTGGTTAGCGTTTTTGTACGTTTTGGTAGCGCTATTGCCATTTATTGGTGTTTTCGCTGAAACTAATGAGACTGAAAGCTATGGAACAGTGATTGGGATTGATTTAGGAACCACTTATTCATGTGTTGGTGTCATGAAGAATGGAAAAGTTGAAATCTTGGCTAATGACCAGGGAAATCGTATTACACCATCATACGTTGCTTTCACGCCGGAAGAAAGGTTGATTGGAGATGCCGCCAAGAATCAAGCATCTTCTAACGTTAAGAATACCGTGTTCGATATCAAGAGATTGATCGGATTAAAATACAATGACAAAGTTGTGCAAAAAGAAATCAAGCACTTGCCTTATAATATCGAGAAGAAAGACGGTAAGCCCGTAGTTCAGGTTGAATTCAACGATGAGAAGAAGACATTTTCACCGGAGGAGATTTCAGGGATGATCTTGGGTAAGATGAAGTCGATAGCCGAAGAATATTTGGGTAGTAAAGTAACACATGCTGTTGTGACAGTGCCAGCTTACTTCAATGATGCTCAAAGACAGGCAACGAAAGACGCTGGTACCATTGCTGGTTTGAATGTTTTGAGAATTGTCAATGAGCCAACTGCTGCAGCCATTGCTTATGGTTTGGACAAAACCGATGGCGAGAAACAAATCATCGTCTATGACTTAGGTGGTGGTACATTTGATGTTTCTCTTTTGTCAATTGAAGGCGGTGTTTTCGAAGTTTTGGCCACTGCTGGTGATACGCACTTAGGTGGTGAAGATTTTGACTTCAAAATAGTAAGGTACTTATCTAAAGTCTTCAAGAAGAAACATGGAATTGATGTCTCTTCAAATATAAAGGCAATTTCTAAATTAAAGAGAGAAGCTGAAAAAGCCAAGAGAACTTTATCATCACAGATGTCAACTAGAGTGGAAATCGATTCATTCGTTGATGGTATTGATTTCTCAGAAACTCTTTCAAGAGCCAAGTTTGAAGAGTTGAACATTGACTCATTCAAGAGAACATTGAAACCAGTTGAACAAGTTTTGAAAGACGGTGGAGTAAAGAAATCTGAAATTGATGACATCGTATTAGTCGGAGGTTCTACTAGGATTCCAAAAGTTCAGCAATTATTAGAAGATTTCTTTGATGGAAAGAAGGCTTCTAAGGGTATCAACCCGGATGAGGCTGTAGCTTATGGAGCAGCTGTTCAGGCTGGTGTTTTGTCCGGTGAAGATGGTGTAGATGACATTGTCTTATTGGATGTCAATCCTTTAACTCTAGGCATTGAAACCACTGGTGGTGTTATGACCACTTTGATCAACAGAAACACTGCCATTCCGACTAAGAAGTCTCAAATCTTCTCCACAGCTGCTGATAATCAGCCAACAGTTTTGATTCAAGTTTACGAAGGTGAAAGGGCCTTAGCAAAAGACAATAATAGATTAGGAAAGTTTGAATTGACTGGAATTCCTCCTTCACCAAGAGGAGTCCCCCAGATTGAAGTTACTTTCTCTTTAGATGCTAATGGTATTTTGAAAGTTGAAGCCATGGATAAGGGCACAGGTAAATCTGAGTCAATCACTATTACAAATGATAAGGGTAGATTGTCTAAGGAAGATATTGATAGAATGGTTGAAGAAGCTGAGAAGTACGCTCAACAAGATTCAGAAATCAAAGCTAAGATCGAATCCAGAAACTCATTGGAGAACTTCGTTTCTTTGTTAAAGAGTCAAGTCAGTGATGAAAAGGGCTTGGGAGGTAAATTGGATGCTGATGATAAAGAAACTTTAGATGATGCTATTCAAGAAACTTTAGATTTTATTAATGAGAACTACAACACTGCCACTGCCGAAGAGTTTGACGAGCAAAAGAAGAAATTATCTGATGTTGCTAACCCAATTACTGCTAAATTATACGCCGGTGGTGCCGGTCCAGATGCTGAAGATGCTCAATTCGGTGACGATGACTCTGATGATGAATTTGACCATGATGAACTTTAGAGTGAGCAGTTTCTTAAAATTGATACATTTATTCCTATTCCTGTTAAATAGTTAGATATTATATATATACTGAAGTTAGGTAAGAATGTCATAAACACAATAAATCGAAACAGTGTTGCACGTGATAATAACCGAATCTCCTTTTTTTTTTATTTTTCTCTTCGATTTTTTCAGTACAGAGCTCCAAAAGGCCTCTTGCCATAAATCTTGATTAGACATTTATGCAAATATAGCCCTAAAATAAATACAGCATGGCACATAGAAAGCTACAGAAGTAAGTAATATTTGAACCTAACCTAGAAGGTCTCAATAATGTTTGACTCTGCTGTTTTTTAAGCATTTCAACTATAATTGGAACAGACATACTAACCAGAACACAGAGAAGTAGAGGCTATATTCAAAAAAATTAATGAAGGAATAGATTTATTTGATTACTATTATTCACGACATGAGAGTTCTAACAATGATAGTCAAAGAGAAAAGTTAGAAGGAGATTTAAAGAAGGAGATCAAAAAGCTTCAAAAGTTTCGAGAACAAATCAAGAGTTGGCAATCAAATGAGTCTATGGAGGCTATAATTGCGCCAAACAAACTTCAAGAGCATCGTCGGATGGTGGAAGAAGCAATGGAGACATATAAGGAGGTGGAGAAGAATTCAAAGATGAAATCATACTCAAATCAATCAATTATGTTGGCGGCCAGAGAACAAAATGATGACCTCCGAGGTCTCTCTTCAGAAACAATAGATGCGATAGAATATCTTGAGTCTTGTGTTGATTCATTGAAAGGCCAGATGTCGGATCTTGATGAAGAATACGAAAGACTAAACGAAAAGAAATCGAGAAAAACTAACTATGCCGCCGAAGAAAGGAAACAAGAAATAGAAGGTTATAATCAGAAGAATAATTTTCATCTTTCAAAAGTTTCTTCCATTATAAGGCTTTTAAAGGAGAAACGTATCCATCCCGAATTAGTGTGGACTATTCAAGACGATTTGAACTTTTATATCGAGTCAAATCAAGAGCCTGACTTCGTGGATGACGATACGTTTTACGATGATTTGTTTAAAGAAGTATCTAATATTCCTTTAGATTTCAAGGAATCTGAAGATGACAATGAAGACGATACGCTAATTAATACAACGATCAACACGACAAATACTGACACTGCAAACTCGACTGCCAATAATATTAGCGTTCAAACAAATGTTGCTCCTAACAATGAACCAGTTGTGAACCAAGTTTCTAGCGTCATTTCCAATACAACTCCAGTGAAACTGACATCTTCTAATATGCAAAAGTCTGTCATATCGCAAGCAAAATTTGATCCAACTTCCGTAGAGTCCAGTCCTGCAATTATCAAAACTTTAAAGCCAGCCGTTGCACCTCCAACGCCGGTCGGAAGCATAAAATGGTCAGTTGCTGCGGCCGCTGGATCATCGTCCTTTAATAGTGGTTCTGAATCAAGTCTCAATGGCGGAGAACAGAAGGCAGATACACCGGCAAGGGAGAGCCCCGTCAAGGATGAAAATTATGCGAATGGGCTAGCTAAAAGAAGCTCTTCTTTAAAAAATTCAAACGGCATTGCAACTATGACAGATGCAAACCACAAGTATGTTGAGGTAATGAGAAATTCACCTTTGTCTAAAACAGAAATGGAGCTCTTCAGTGACTTGAATTTAGTTAAAGTGCCTCCAGGAATCCAGGACTTAATAATATCATTGGCGTCAACAAGAAACAAGTCAAGCGATTCCAGGCTATTAACACATACCTATGACATCTATTCAACACCTATTTCAAAACCATATTTACCAGAAATCGTACAATCGAGAGATTTATCACAGCGTTTACCTTTACAACTCTTGAAATTACAATCATATTGGAATAAAATAAGGGCGAGTAATCAATTTGATCAATTTGTGAATGAAGTTCTTATATTGAGATCTCAAAATAACAGTGAAAACTTAGCTATCGTAAACGAGCTTACAATGGTTTTATTTTATGGGTACTACTATGGATTGTCACCTTTAGAAAATATTATAGCCGAATCTTGCTTATTCAAGTTGAGCTGGAAACCTTACGCAGCAAAAAACGTCGAGCTCAAAGATCCTTTGACTATAAAGAAAGTTCGAGAAAATGGAGCATTGCCTGAAGTAAAACATTATTACCATTGGTTTAATTGCATAAAAGTGCTTCCAATGCCGACTCAAATAGATAGCAGTACTGATAGTGCGGCATACGAATTTGGTGATTACAATGTTTTTGATTTAACATTATGGGAGATTTACGTTAAGCATGGATTCAAATTTGCCTATAATTTATGTCAGTTGGAGCCCGCAAAAAGCATTTGAACCTTTTAGTTATTACCTTCTCTTTTTTGTTCTGAAAACATTCATTCATATAATCATAATAATATTGCATTGTACTTAAATGATTATGTAACATTATGGGGTATCAGATTCCAAATCTTCGAAAGGCTCTGAGTTCAAATTCTCGAATTGCTGCCTTGGCGAAGACCCTATTGACAAAGCATGGAAAAAATCACTCGTCAAAATGTCATTTTTGTCATTATCCACTGCGCTGCTTTCGGATTCTAATATCTCCTTGGGGGAAGACATTCTAGGCTCCATACCATCGCCTTTATGTACATACTCTACCCCGTTAATATCGTAATCGCTCATGAACTGCGTGAGTCCAGTTGAATTGCCTTCTATGATATCAAAGTCAGAGCTCGATGAATGTTCAACTATGCTTCTTCGTCTGTTCTCTTTCAATGCTGCCCCATTTGATGAGGTTAGAACAGGCATTTCTTTATATATTTTAGGGCAATAAGCTACTGGTTCATACTTCTCCCATAATTTGAAGTCTATTCCATACATTGCAAGCGTAGTCTCTTTTACCTGGAATTCATGTATTATCTCAGATACACTCTCGAACTGTTCCATGCTGCAAAAATTGGTTTAGAGCTAATGAAGTACGTGGCTTTAAAGAATTGACCAAGATATTCAGTAGAAATATTTATTTGCTTCTTTTAAACAGACTATTATTCAGAGAGTGGCTTTATATCTATTATTTTGAAATATATTTAATACCTTCTAATTAGTGAAGTTCTGATAGATCGCATTTGGACTGGACCGAGCTTCTCTGATGTGGAGTTCGAACTATCAAATAATTGAAACTTTTATGTCATAAAAAAGTACCGACGTTATAAAGAAGACAGTTTAGTACCATGGAATACTATTCTTCGTTAGATGCATCACAGTTGGACTCTGAAAGGCCGACGCTCTTCGAGCTCATTTCAGCGAAGCAATTAGAGGCGCTACTTTCACCATCCTTGAGATATGTCCTAGTTTATTATGCTACAAGATACCCCCAATATTTACTTAAAGTCACCAATAGATTTGATGAATTGAACCTATTACTAAGAAGTTTTATTGAGTGGTACTTTCTAAAGTTTTGGCAAGGTTCTTTCACTGAAAATTTTTATGGTATTAAGAGAGTCAGACAGACACCTTTATCTGGTGGAAAGTTCAATCAAAACAGATTGACGCAAATCACGCCCTCATTGATTGAAAAGAGAAGATCGCTAACCCGACTTCAAAAAGCAGCATCTATATTTGAAATCACTGGAGCAGCGTATTTGAGTGAAAAATTTAATTACTGGTATGAGCTTTGGTACCCCAAATATATAACGAAACAGTTAGTTCCGTCGGACCCAAACAACAGGAGAGAATTTATTACCGTAGAATTCAAGAAGAAGTTTGTTGAGTGGTGGCCCAGAATTCAAAGCATAATAAGAGCTGGCAATTTCCTAACGACGTTGTTGTATTTGAGTGGAGCAACTAAGTCACCATCAATTATAACATACTTAATGAAGATGGATTATTCGAGACTAAATCAATACGATTACTCCAAAAATGAACCGAAGGCACCATCTGCGGGTAAAGAAAGACTAAACAAAGTGAGACCCGATTCGATGAATGAGTATTTAATGCGATTGTTGGTCAACAATGTCACTCGGCCGAGCTGGAAGGTTTCTAAATACTTGTTAGGGACTTTCTTCCCAATAGCAATATTCACTCTTAAGTTTTTAGAGTGGTGGAATAACTCGAGCTTTGCTTCCCAGCTTTCCAAGGGCCAAGGTAATGTACTAGATACGATAATTCCACCGCCTTCTACGTTGTCGGAATACGCTAAGCTAAAGAAAATGAATAAAAAGTGCTATAAATCTGGATTGCTTTGTCCTTTATGCAAAGAAGAAATCACTAATCCTGCCATCATAGAGACTGGATATGTTTTTTGCTATTCGTGCATTCATAACTATCTCGTAAATTCCAATGAAATAGTAGCAAAAAGGATCTCCAAATTAAAAGAAGAAGATTCTGATAGCGAGAGCGTCGATGGTGAATACGAAGAACGAAACGAAAAAGGTAGTGAGCATTTCGAAGGTCAACAACATGCAGATATTTCGAAAGGAGGGAGGTGTCCTATCACGGGAAAGAAGCTACTAGGCTGCAAATGGAATGCTGCAAAAGGCAGTTTTGACGTTGAAGGCTTAAGGAGATTAATATTTTAAGTCGTACTATTAATGAGATCAATGGGATTTGGTATTTCATTTCCTAGCATTCAGTAATTACACTTATTAATCTATTGGTCACGTGAAACAAAAAACGTTTATATTTTTTAGCCCTATTTATGTACTTTATGGAAGATTATGTATATTACAATATAATAATGGATAATAAAGAGAAGCTTCGAGCTATCAGATTTGACAAGGATTCCATTAAGTTGGAAATTTTGGATCAATTGGTTATTCCTTATAAAACGAGTTACATTTCAATCGAATCAATCGATGATGCATTTAATGCTATCAAGAAAATGCAGGTAAGGGGAGCACCCGCTATTGCAATTGTTGGGTCATTTGCTGTGGCCATTGAAGCAAAAAATGTATTAGATAATAAATCAACTACAGTAGATGATCTAATTAAGAGGATTGACTACTTGGTTACGTCGCGACCAACAGCAGTGAACTTGTCTAACTCATGTACAAAGATTAAACAATTGATATTACAAGACAGGGAACCAACTGATTTGGTAAACGAGGATGTGCTTAATTTAATTTTATCCTATTCGACGAAATTGTTCGAAGATGACCTTACGAACAATATTAAAATAGGAGAGAATGGCGTGAAGTTTATCAAGGAATCGTTGAGGCAACAAAATTTCACAGGACCATTCTCAATTATAACCATTTGTAATACTGGCTCATTAGCGACTTCCGGACATGGTACTGCTTTAGGCATTATCAGATCTACCTTTGAATGCTTATCAATAACTAGTGGTGAAGAATTTTGGCTTGAAAAAGTCTATCCTTGTGAAACACGACCTTATAACCAAGGTTCAAGGTTGACTACTTATGAATTAAAATATGAGCAAATCCCATTTACTCTTATATGCGACAATATGGTAACATCGTTGATAAGCTCCCTCAACAATAATTCCGAAGTGAAAGCCCTGCGAGCCCCCATCAAGTTTGTAATCGTGGGAGCTGATAGAATTGTTAAAAATGGAGACACAGCGAATAAAATAGGCACATATCAGTTGGCTGCTATTGTTGATTTTTTCAACAGTCATGCTAGTGAGAATGACGGCATCAAATTTATTGTAGCTGCGCCTAGGACAACACTCGATTTAAAAACAGAGAGTGGAGATCAAATAGAGGTAGAAGAGAGACCCTCTAATGAGCTTACCAATTTAAGTGGCCCTATGTTGGTAGATGATTCTGTAGGAGAGAAAACTACAGTTGGAATTGCCACTCCAAATATCTCTGTTTGGAATCCAGCTTTTGACATTACACCTCATAATTTGATTCACAGCATTATAACTGAGAACGTGATATACAAATTGAGCGAGTCCAAGAGCGAATTCAAGTTCTGAACTGTATTTATTATGTAAAATAGATATCGAAGATATAGCTAAACTAAATATATACAACAACGCTTGACTAACTCGAAGAAGACACACGCCAAAATCAGCTCTTTTACCATGCTCAGGTTTTTGAGCTGTCAGGTTTAGGTATCCTTTCGGGTTCAGATAAGCTTTCGGGATCAGGTTCGGACGTGTTTGCTGGAGTATCACTTTCTTTTCCCTTATCAATGCTTTCAGAATTGTCTTTCTTCAACTCCTGAGACTTGCCAGTTTCCTCATCATCTTCGTCTAAGGTCGATGAATCTTTGTCCTCTTCTTTTAAGCTATTTGCCGTCAAAGCTTCTAGCTCTTTCTCATCCTTATCTTTTATTAAGCTTGAGGTTTCTTTTTCGTCGACTTTTAAGTCACTTGATTCTAATGACTCGTTTTTGTCCGCTTGTGATTGATCATTCGGCCTGGCTTTTGGAGATAAGCTTTTTGGTTCATGATCTGACATGACATCTTGGCTGGACTTCATATCATGATCTTCTTGTTCTAATTTCTCCTGTTCAATCTTCTTTTTTCTTTCACCTTCAATGTTATTTCTCATGATTTCTTCCATCTTAGTATCTTCAAATGTTGGCAAAGAATTCACGTTCTCCCATATCACTTGGCCAGAATTTCCGTAGCCAGGCAATTCACAAAGCTTAACCCTAAAATAATCAATATCTTTCAAAACAGAATGCTTTTCGTTGAAATCTTTGAACTGGGGTAATTTAGTACAAAAGCATTCTACCAACAATTTCTTATAGTTGTCGAATATTTTCAGTAAAATCATGGCACACTTAAGCTCTGGCAAATACCTTGATAAAACCTTGGTTACAGTGGTGGTTTCTTTTACCAAAACATCCATATAAGGATGACATTGCTGAGAGCTCTTAAGTGGTTGTGACCAGTCAATTGAACTAATTGCATTACAATGACCCACAGTACGATCATACATTATTGAGACTAATTTTGAAGTGAGCTCATTGTCATGGTCCTTATAATAACCGATGATACGTTCAAAGGTTAATGGCTCCTTACCTTGAATCGGAGGAGATGCTGAGCGCGACTGCTTAAAAATATTTTCAGTAATCCCCAAAATAACGATATTGAGGTCGATAAACTGGATGCAGAGTGCCAAATGCCTCGTCTTTATATGTTCTAATCCTGCCGTTCTAGTTGCACCTGCATTCAAAACTGCTTGAGCTGTTTTTGAGTTCATAAGCTTATAAAAAGACAATATATTATGCTCAATTAAAGATAAAGTGTTTGGGAACAATTTTCCGATAGATAAGTATTGCTTCATCTGAATTAAAGACTTTGACACTAACGAAGGGATTATAAAGGACTCATTTTCAACAGTTATCTTACCATTTCTATTTTTTGTGATCACTTCGCTCTCGGGAACAGCACTCTCATCGTTTTCTTTGTACAAGTCACACGATTTGAGCCAGTTATCACAGGAATCTCCATGGGCCCCTTTACTTTGTATAAACTCTGAGTAGCTACTGATTTCGTCAATTATATTTTGATCGGTACTTAAAGCTTTCAAATCGGTGACTTTTTCCCAAGTTTCTTTGTCACAATAAGTAGCTATCGATTTCAATGAATTCAGATGAAACCTATGAACGAAATAGTTAACATGATGCTTCATCCATTCGTTTAAAGAATTACCACCTCCACTTGCAACGTAGCCAGGATTGATCATTTCGCATTCATATAGGTATGCTGACGATAACGAATAAAATCTGGAATAGTATTCAAAGTTTAGGTCAGCAATTTGCTCCAGTCGGACATTTATAACTTTTGTGAGTCTGATTTGAGTTAGTTCTATTGCTTTATTAATGGCGACAGTTATATCTAAGGACATGACATCTACTTGTTGCGACTGAGCCGGTGGAATAACTTTAAGGGCGAAATCAAGCAAAACCTTTTGCTGTATAGTAAGATGGCGTAAACATTCCGATAAGCTGGCATAGATGCTCCGGAGCATTTCCTCGAACTCATTTGGAGTTAAAGACCGAATTGTAAATGATAGCGAATTACTTGTAGAAACATGATTTTGGCCACTATTCGTTTCTGGAGGAACTGAGGATGACCTCGATGGAGCGCTTGAGGAATCTACCAGGGCTCTTCCTGTCTCAGGTAACTTTTCTTTGATTATATTTTTGATTTCTATAATGATTTTGTCTTGGTAACTCGAGTATGCTGATATTAGGTGTCCCGATTTAGCTAAATTTTCAACGAAATGATTAAGTTTTTCTTTCGTATTAGCATCCATAATTTTATAAGACATGTTTAAAATTTCCGCATTCTTATTACGATTTTTAGAAGCTGCCACATAGATTCGGTTCATAGTATCTTGTATGGGTACATTTTTGTAATGTGAACGTAGGTCATCTAAGAGAAGATCAGCAAAGTCACTGACATAACCTTTCGCAGTCTCAGACTTTAGATTCTCTAAATCATTTCTCATATGAACTAATGCTGGGAGTGCCGAAATATCGATTATTGGTAATTTAAATTTAGGATAGCATTTCCTTGTCTCTTCGTCTAGTAATTGATTATAATCAACACCGACGATTAAATTTTCGACCATGACAATTTCATTAAGGCACCTCGAAAAATTCTTATTAGCGAAAGATTTCTTAGCTAATTCAAACAATGTAGTAATATACTGTATTTGCATCAACGAAGATTCGAGCTGTTCTGCTTTTTTTCTTTCATTCAACTTTTTTAGGATGGCTAATCCTTTTTTAGATTTCATATCTTGTAATTGCTCTAATCTTTGGGAAACAATATTGAATTGGTCAATGCATGATTTAGACTGTTTCTGGACTTCTTCTATATCACCTATAGTACTGAAAAATTCCTCTGATGAGTTTTCGATTGCTTTTACAAGATTAATTTCAACAATGACTAAGTATTGAGATAGCTTTTCCTGGATATCCGTATTGTTTAGAAACATTGTAGTCTCCTCATCATTTTTAGAGTTCCCTGGTAGCAATTCACATCCTTCAATCACTTGTTTAAAAACTCTTGGGTCATCCAATCTAAAATCATCATTCCGAAACACTTCAGGTATGGCAGACATGTCAAGGACGTCGACATCACGATTATCGTGCAAACTAGATAAAGATGAGGACGAAAATCCATCAATTTCACGTTTGAAGCTGCTGTCTTGTTGAGCAAGCTTTTGAAGTGTATCTTCGGTAAGTTGTTTATAACTCAGTTCGAATTTTTTATATTCTTGGGCCACTTCACGATATAAATGAGATTCCAAATCTTCATTTTTTACTTTCTTTGTCAATTTCAGCAACTGAACTTGAGGGATGTCCAGCTTACTTGGCGCTATCAAGTTGTGAACACTTGTTAGTCCCCCATTAATTGTGACAGATGTTTTTGGAGTTCTACTCCTTCTAGACCTAGCCAAGTCTGATGCAAATGTTAATTCGTAAATAGAGTTAGGGCCCAAAGGAGAAAATTCATCCTTTGGGATCCCTTGTTTTTCTTCTTGGTTGCTTTGATTAAATATGGGGAAATAGGCTGACGACAGAAAGCTGCTGTCCGCATCAACGCTAGTTCTGAATGATATAGCAGATCCTGATCTCTTATGAGTGCTCTTACCTTGGTGGGATAAAAACGAACTTGATGAGTATTCGGACTCTACAGCCAAGTCATCATTCAAGTTGATTGTCCCATCTGTTGATAACCTGTTTGATGTGAACGAATTCCGAATTTGCGGTGAATTCGTTATTGATGATCCCTCGGACATCTTTCCTAGGCAGCCTATAATCTGAGATTAAGATACTCTGCCAGGAGATTACGAGATACTTTTAACAATTCAATCAATTGGCAGTATGCTCAACTGTAGAAGTTGTAGACTACTTCGATATCATTAATGTCGTTTATAATAAAAATATCGCAATATTTTAAATACCCGACATTTCGCTTTGATTACTAAAAACCTTCAACAGTGAAAGGTTCTTCTTTTCTTGTGATCCATATTAGATTTGACTTGTTTTGGTAGTGTGATATGTCGCAGAATAAGCAAGAAAACATAACGAAAGGTAATGATTCAAAGCCGAAGCCATGTTGTGTTTGTTTAACAGAGAAGAAACTGAGAGATGAATGCTTATTGTTCAATGGTCAAGAGAGTGGTAAATGCAACGAATTAATACAACTGTATAAAGCTTGCATGAAGGGATATGGTTTTGAGACTAATTAGTCTTCTGCAACTCCGGCTATTATTCGATCTAGTTAGAAAAAATTATTGGGAAGTGGATGTTTCTTAACCAAAAGCTACAAAAGTTGAATCTTTTTGTCTGTAAATATGTAAATAATCAATCGAAATAGATGTAAGCTATTAAAAGAATTATGCATTTATTTAGATAATCTAAACATTGTCTATAGTTCCATATGTGCACAGAGAATCCTCTTCGTTATACAGTTTTTTGGTTCCGTTAACATTCTTTTTTGGAATGCTCCTATTCAACAAACCTCGCACCTCTCTTGCAGCATTACTTTGACTCGGACTTGTATCGTAGTCAAAGTGTACACGCTCGTTAGCCTTCGCAAGGACTTGATTTTGAATGAAATTATCAATAAGAACTAGTTGAAGACAGTTCATAAGGACAGGAACCACAAACATGACTATAAATATTTCAAACTCGTCAGGATACTCATCTAGCCATACGAGTAGAAAGTGACTGGTAAACCACAACAATTGTGACTCGAAACACTCGACAAGTCCATATATGATAAGCTTCGTAACCATAAGACATAAAAAGTATACTGCCAATTGCTTGAAAAAAGCTCTATATGAGGGTTTCCGAGGATCGTCACCATATATCCCCGACTCTATCTGAGTCATATGAAACATCTTTTTACATATTTGGTTGGCAGCTTTGAAAACAAGATATAAAATGTAAACACCTATAGTACAATCGAATACAATGTTCAAAAAATACCAATCACAAGGATCACCTTCCGAGTTATCATCAGAATTATCTAATCCATTGTATCCTCGTATTACTGAATAGCTGTCGTCCTTTCTTGTTTTTACTATGGACAAAAAGATGTTAAAAACGTGTACCCCAAATGCACCTATGACTTGCTTCAATACATCAAATAGCCATACAGGCCAAGTTCTTCTCAATGGATATTCATAATATCTTTTCACTATTAAGGATGAAAGGCATAAAAGGCCCAATAACGCCTGCGTTAATAAAGAGAACGTACCCACGAGCTCACATTTGCCATCATCTCCATTAGTCTCCTTTCTCTTGCTCTCTGTTGCAAAACTTATCGGTAACGAAAGGGAAGCGACTATTATATTTAAGACTAGAGTCTTTATATATTCTAGCATCCCCTTAAAGCTAGATTATGGTGCTATTACGTTGAGGTTTTGTTCATTTGTTTTAAAGCAAAATAGTCGTAATCTAGATAGCACTCAATGTGGAAAAACGTTCGAGAGTAGTCCACATATACAGGTCCACAAACCAGTTCAATTTTAAACAGCTATCACCTATCTTAAAAGATGAGATGAATACAATTTAAGGAGCATAGTATGACTGCAAGGAATCCTTAATGATAAAATTTATTAATTTTTGATAAAATATTTATAGAAATGAATGCATCGTTTACTGATTTATCTTTGACTATCGTACAATTTAAAAATAGAAAGATACTGATTCTCAACGTAGAGTATAAAAGGAAACACTACTCATTGTTTTTCCAGTTTCCTAGAAAATGATTCGCTAAGCCCTTTGCTTGGCCCATAATAGAGCTAGGAGAATAGTTTGTATTGTCGTCATGAATTTCTGTAGGAGTAGGACTTCTAATGCCATTTCTATCCGCAACTTCTGATAACGAAGCGTAGCTCAACGTCTTACTCTTAAGATCGCGGTGTTCATCCGTATCCAGATCAGAAGTCTCTTCATCAGAATCTGATCGCAAGTTAAAGCCACTTTTCTGTTTTTGAATTGGAACCGCAGACGTAACTGAAGAGGAGGATGCAGCCGGGGAGGTGCCTCGGAATGCCGTAGCAACTGAGGTTTGGGGTGGCAAAGGTGAAGCCTTATTATGCGTACTTGAAGAAGGGGGCAGGCGCGAGTCATCAGATGACGCCAATGAACTAGTCGTCGTATGATCTTCTCCCTTGTTTGAGTCAGATACTCCCAAGAATGCATCAGCCAAAGAGCTGGAAGACCCTGATTTCTTCGTCATGCCACCAAAAAACTGCTGTGATAACGAACTCGAGGATGTCGATTGTTTTGAGATTGCAGTTGATGAATGACGTGGATTTAATTTGGAAATATGAGATTCTATTGGCTCCCGACTTTCGAAACTCTCCGGATAATGTCTTTCCTCAACACTACCAGGTGTCATGGTTTGTCCAAAGACCAGGTGAGCCAAGGACTGACTAGAGCTACGAGTTCCAATTGACAAACCATCGTCAGAGTCTTCGCTTGACTCATTCTCTGAATCGCTCAACTCAAAAGGCGAAGACTTTTGCTTTTGTCCACCAACGGATGCCGAATTCTCCAATGAAGAAATTGATAGCTTTTCTTGATTCTCGCTCTTATTATCAGTGGTATCTGACACTTGTTGCTGACCTTGGTAATTTGGATTATTATTCTTGATCACCGAAGGATTAATAATTGGCATCTTAGCATCATCCTTCTTGAAATCATCATTCTCAATTATTTCATAATCGAAGTTTGATCCTAAGGCGATGTCCTTTGGGACGTCAATAACATCTGGCTCTTTATGTCCGTTATCTGAGTTATTTCCATAAATAGCATGATTCGGATCGACTGTATACACAGTATTATAGTCATAATAATAATCATAGCCCTTATTGCTATTATTGTTGAAGTTATGTGCCATTCCCGAATAAACACCATCGATACTACTCTCGTCATCAGAAGACCCATAATTTATTGTAGTTGAAGGAAGTAGATGGATAGTTCTGTACAGCTTCGAAGTATCGGTAGAAATGGTGTCGGTATCCTCAGTATTGTCATTATTGGTAGGGCTATCACGGTTTTCGTGCAAGGTTAGACCTGGTGCTGATGCGGCAGTTGGTGACTTAACCTTAAGGAAAAACCCACCTTCATCTTCAGAATCAGATTCTTCTGAGTTGGTAGACTGATTGTCGCCCGTAGTCAAGCTGGAATCATCTGGAGCGTCGTATATATAACCTTCCTCTTCATCATAATCATCGTCGTCATAGTAATAATTATCATCATCCTCTTCGTCATAAGAAGAGTCCTCATCTGAATATGTGTCAACAGCAATACATTGTTGAACTTCATCATTAAAGTGAATGTGACGTTTCTCTTTCGATTTCTCTACCTGCTTATCAATTTCCTGTTTCGAATCTACCAGAGGACTTTGTCTCAGCTGTTCCAGGCTGTTTCCAGATGATGATGATGTTAGTGAATACTTTGGAATACTTGATTGTGCTTCTCTTAAATCTTTATAGCTACCATCACCCCTTGTCTTATATTGAGAATTCAATTTAGCAGAGATAGCATCATAATCATCAAATTCCGGTGGCTCGTCTGAATTTTGCCTTCTGTGTGAATATTGCTGCTCATGTTGTATCCTCGCCTGCTCCTGATCTTGATGGACCCTATTTGTGGCGAGTTGTAATTTCAAGAGATCTGAATGGCTTATCATCATATCTTGGACAGTCCTTCTTTTTAATATAGGTTTTGGACCGTTTGATTTTTTCTTAGGAATTGAGATATCACCAGCCACTGCACTGGTAGCTGTAGTAGCCCTTTTGTTGTCATCCTCATCGATTTCTAAATTGCCTTCATCTTTTAATATAGGCCCATAGAGCCAAGTAACGTCGTTATCTTTCGACCAGTTGACGACTTCAGGGCTAATAGTTTTCAAGTTTGACCTTCTTTGAGCCCACGTTCGCCAACTAGCATTTTCCAATCTAGCAGAATTAGCTACATCCTTTCTCTTCTGGATAACATACCTCCAAGACTTGGAAATATCAGACATGTCCCACTTATGTGAAAGATAATCCACGTGCCTCGATGGTTCGTTCATGATATCTGTATCATCATGAGGTAATGCCTCAGGACTTTTCATTAAAATTGAAGTGGGAGCAACTCCTGTATTTCCATCGCCACTTGAATCATTAGCACTAGTACCATCATTTTCTTCCACCAGTTTCTTATCATCGATTTCAGACTCTTTTGATTCTGATCCATCTGTTTTTTGTGGTGGCACATTCTCGTCCGTGCTCTGACCTTGTTTCTCCTTCTCACCCTTTGTATCTATAAAGCCGTCCAATAATCCCAAGGACCTTGTTCTTTTTAACTTAAATGTAGTATTTTCAAAATGGTCATCATTTTCGGCGTCCACATGTTGAGAAGTTGTTGCTCCTCCGCTGAATACCTCCCCAGAGTTAACCTTCGATGCCATAGTGTCGTAACAGTTGGAATCGTTCGCTGTTTATTTGGGAAGCTATTTACTTCTTTCGAATTCGCCTATCTTCCTGATCGCCACTTTATTAACTTGAGAAATCGATTATATCGTTTAGGGGTACTTAATAGAACGTCGTTGGATGACCACCTAATAGCTTTAAGAAATACTAGTGTTTTATGGGGAAAAAAACCTTTGAGAAGGTTACGGTTGGATTTTGTGTGACTTTGATTATATACCGGCCTGAGGTTTCTTGATACGTTCAAGCAACAAGCAATAAATTCCGCTATCAAGCAGGTCAGTTGTGATTAAGACAATATCCAATTACTGGGATCTACAGCATTCTACACTTAGGATGATCGGTATTCCTTTAATTTAATGCCTAACATCATGGTATAATTTATGTTTTGGGCGTGTCTACTAGACTGCATGTTTCTTTTTGTATTAAAAAGCAGGTGACCATCCGGCTGTCATACAAGCTAAGGTTTAGTTAAAAAAGAGAAGAAACGTTGCGATTTTAGCGAAAAGAAACTATAGCAACTGAACAAAGGAGTTCAATTTTTAAAGAATTAATCATGTTCAACTCACTGTAATATGGAAGTAGTAGTCATATTCTGTGGTTTTCATGATTTCTGAGTAATTTGTAACCCGTTTCTCGCCTGCGATTTTTGCTGAAAACCGTAGTTATACTGTAGATTCCTAGTATTTCCGTCTCTAAGCCGTGCTCCGTTCGGAAAAACATGGCAGTTGCCTACAGGATGCCTGTCAGTAAAACCAGATTTAGGAAATTAATGTGCGAGCGAGCCCTTTCATGTCTTCAACCAGTGATTGTGCACTCTGTGATTAGTGATTTTCAAAGGGAGCTTAAAATTATATTCCATTCAATTGAACATAAATTATCGCGGCATGATTCGGATTGTAAGCTTTAGTAATACTCTTGCTTAATTTCATATGAAGAATTAAGGGAATGAAGGTATTTAGTTCTATTGAATATGCGAATCTAAGTGTTCACATTAGTAGATACGATTCATTCCGTACGCTTATTGAACCTATTTTATTTTTTCAAATCAAGCAGTAAGATTATATCAGATGTAGTAGTTCAGAGAGTCTTGAGCTTCAATAAAATTTTCGGAGGAATTTAGGCAACTCTAATCAATACTTCACTATTAGGCATAGTGCGGGTACTAATGTCTAGATCCCAATGCTGTGTGAAAAATTACTTATAAGCGGATTCCCGCTTTGATTGCCGAAACTCTGCAAATAGATCAAGTAATAACTGTTACAAAATCCAATATCTACAAAAGCATTATCAGTACTGGTAATATTAGTTTGAATCTTATTGTTGTATGGCTTAAAGAACAAACATCTTTCAAAATCATGAGGTGTGAGAGAGCTCTAAATAGTCGCTTAAAAGATGTATATTTATTTAATTCTTACTGAATACTTACTTCAGGTGTAATCGACTTCTCATAAAGAATATAGTTGCATGACTTTAATGATGATAAGAAACAGGCTCTGTGGCCGAGTGGTTAAGGCGGCAGACTCAAGTTCTGTTATCGTAAAGATGCACGTGTTCGAACCACGTCGGAGTCATCATTTCTTATAATTTTTTTTTTCGCTTCTCTTTGCAGTCTCGATATGTGTATATTATTTCTTATCTACAAGATTTTGCTGAGAGTTCTACTCCAGTATTATCGCAATACCCTTACTAGTTTGCAGCTAGCTCCTCGAAGGATAGGGACCACCTACATTATATTGAGAATGGTTGAAACCAGACTGGCTGTTTGGTCCAACAACGTGTCGGAGAATTGAAAGATCAATCTTGGTTTTTAGCTCCTCCAAGACAGTGAGTTGCTCGGTTAATATACCTAAGCGAGATGTTTGTAATTCGTAGTTACCATTTCCCTTTGCTTGTTGACTTTTAAAAGCTGTAACTTTATTGGCAAGTCGGTTTATCACTTTGTTGAGGACATAATGATCTACCAGCTCAGAAGCATTGGATTTCTCTAAATGCTCTATAATTCTTTGCAATTTTTTCTGTAGATCTAGGACTGTTTCTGACGCATCTCTCCTCATTACCCTCGCATCCTGTTTCAGGTAGTTCGAATGTTTGTACGCAGTTAAAGTCGCAATAGATTCCGTGCTACTCAAAATAATAAATGTGGGCACAATCTTCTTATTCATATATGTGCGGAAGATCGCCTTCTCCCTCAATTCTTCACCACGCTGAAGTTTAGGTCCGTCAATGAGAGTGTACGTCATGTGTGGTATGTTATGTAATCTGCTTACTTGTTCAACAATTGATTCTGTCAAAGGATTATGATCAAGGTTATTCGTTAGGTGGTAAACACCAACCATTTCCAACTCTGAGGAAATAGTATTGTATTGCTCTAATCTTCTGAGAAAAAATTCCTCGTTGATATATACTTGGTCTCTCAATATGATATCAAAAGAATTCTCAACAATTACTTTATTTGAGTTTATTGTCCCTAGAAACACACCAAATTGGGCACTAGGACCTCTTGAAATATCACATGCAATGTTCAAGAGAACAGATGAGTGTAAGTAGATGTCTTCGACCATAACGTACTTCTATTTAACTTATGATATTGTTATTTGGTAATTGATATGATCGCAAGGATCCACACTTCTAAAATGTCGCGATGTCTCCGATGAGTTACGATGTTCGTGCGGCTCAGTGCAATTTTTTTTATTTAGACATATATACTATAAGGCTCCTTCGACCTCTTGTAAATTTTATCCTGGATAGTAGGTTTCGTGCAAGGAAATTAACTGATCGATATATTTAATTTGGAGAATGATAATGTCGATTCATGATCCATTATCGAGGAAGCGAACCTTCGGCGACCTTGATCCTGGAGATGCACCTATCACAAAGAAGGTGAAAAATGAGGATCCGGATGCTTCAGAAGAGGACAAAAGCGGTGCATTCTCTGAGATGATGTTCCATACATACGTGGAGTCTGCATTGGAGTCATTAGACAGAGTATGTATATCTTTGGAAAAAAAAAATCTTAACAGTTGTACTAACATTTTTTAGAATGATCACATACAAATTGATGCTTTAGCATCACGAATTAATTTACCGATATCTCACAGCGGGTCTATATCGATTGCTAATTTTAATATATTGTTGAAAAGTTTGATCGGCAATGTGTTCAAATTAGACAAAAAGCCATGTAATAAGTTAGTGACATCAATACTAGAATACAACTGGCTCGATGTGCATTGCCCGAGCACAACAATATTGAATGATTTTATAGAGCTATATTCTCGCTTCTTATCTGTACTTGTTTCATCTTTACCGAAATATTTACATGAAGTTACGTCGAAACTAGTAATGGAGTTTACTGTGTTAGATTTGAGCAACCACAGCATTTTGGCCAAAAATCATGATATACTAACCAAAATTATAAAGTTCATCCCAACTTCGATCAATTCTTTCCCAAGCATTCTTCAGAGAAATTTCCCTCATCATTTGTCCTCAAGTAATCAAGAACTCACAAACTACGTTAACAATTTAATGAAAATAATTTCTTATTGCCCGGATCTACAATTTAGTATCTGGCAACTTATTATTGAATGTTGTATTAAATTGGATGTCGAGCTTCAAAATGAATTAGATGATTTGGACGATGAAGAAATAGAAGAGCTAATAAATGCCGGTGAGGAGAATGAAGGTAATGATCTAGATATTAATATTATTGAAGAGAACAAACTCGAAGATAAAAAACTCTCTGAAGATGAAGATGAGAACGGCGTGAGAGAGGGTGAGGTCGAATATTTGATTGATCCCATTACCAGCACTTCTACTATTAAAGCATTGGTTTCTAAATTAGATTCCATAATTAGTTTGTTATTAACAAGTACCTCAGACTCATTCACCATCAAAGAGTTAGATAGTGGAAATGGAGTGACATTGTTCAATACAATTACCTCCTTATTTCGATCACATATACTTCCTACGCATTTCACAAAACTGATTCAGTTTGTTCTTTTTCATATTTCACAATGCCAGCCTGAGCTAGCAGATTCTTTTTTGGTCCTACTTATAGACGTTGCGTTCAATGCCAATGAGATTCTAGAGAAAAGGTTAAAAGCGATGCAATATTTGTCATCATATATTGCAAGGGCTAAAAGTTTGTCAAGGCATCAGGTTGTTTTTCTAATAAGCTATCTTATAGGATGGCTTAATAAATATGTGATGGAAAGAGAATGTGAAATCGCAGATATTGAAAGTGATGGCTCAATTCAAGATGGGGAAGAAAAAGGAGGAATGGAAAGATTCAAGTTATTTTATGCTGCATTCCAAGCTTTGTTATACATATTTTGCTTTAGATACAAAATGTTATATAAGGTAAACACTGACGAGCAGTGTTCAACATCTTCTAGTTCAGAATCTGAATGGGAATGTGAATTAGACAAGTTCTTTCAAAGAATGATTATTACCAAATTTAATCCTCTCAAATTTTGTGACGAAACTGTCGTGTTTATCTTTGCAAAGATTTCCACAAAATTAAACGTTTGTTACTGCTATTCCATTATAGAACACAATAAGAGGGAAAGAATATTGCAATCGAATATGCCTAGTAACTTACCGTCTGTTGCTGGTAATTTTAAGCAGAAACAAGAGTTTTTGGATCTAGAAGCCTACTTCCCATTCGATCCTTTGGTTTTACCCTCGAGCAAGGAATTAATCTCCCTCAATTACGTTGAATGGTCAGAAGTTAACCCTAATGATGGCGAAGATGATGATGACGATAGTGCTTCGATAACTTTCCCTGAGGAAAATGACGAGGATGAAGATGAGGATGCTTCGAGCTATGACGAAGAGATCACCAGCGACGAAGACTACGATTAAATTTATAAGTTATATAAACTTCTATATTTTTTGTTCTAAATTTATATGGATTTTCATTGCCATTTCGTAAAGTTTACGGTAAACACTTAGAAAATAAGAGTGCGAAAATGAAAAAAAAAAAGAGTTTTGATTCCATCGAGGATCGAACTCGAGACCTTCTCTGGGTGAGAGAGACGTCATACCGCTAGACCATAGAACCGTTTCTCAATTTTTGATAGGGATCAGTCTTATAAGTACACGCAATGTGAAGGAGTGTTGCAAAACACATCTGAAACAGTGTAAAAAGTATATAAGCGCGAGATACTCCCAATAGTAGAAGATTACATTCTATTAGGAATTCTAAGTAGTAGCACACTATACATAAGCTTAGAGTAGTCAAGTATTCATTAGGAATCACCTAAGTACGATAGTAACCTTTTAAAACAACCATTCAGACTCACTATATACCTCACAGATTTTGCGAGAGATTGCCATATAAATAGATGCAAGAGGTAGAATGTTGTGAATAATCCTATATTATGTTAGAAGCATATGAGGTCCGAGATCACATCCACGTTTAAGCAAACTAATAAATTCTACCAGAAAATGGAGTTAATATCTCGAAAGTAGTAAATTACAGGCTTTGGGTAGCAAAATGCTGTCTGAGAGTCTTCTGAGTATTGTAATAAGATCACTTTAAGAATGATTATCAAAATACTACGTAAGCATGAAAGCAGAGTACTACTAAGATACTTGTGTTACAGCAGAGTATCCGATTCTACTGCGGGAGGATCTCGAGATTAAAATTTCATACTAGAAGTTTTGGACTTTAGGAAACCATCTCCTCAAACTTTCAATAGAATCACATTTTGGAGCTTTATATACTCTATTGGTGCCAATGAGGACAACTACTGCAGCTTAGATTGTAAGGAGCAATTTCGACAATTATATGGCATTTAGTAGGAGCCATGTAAACCTCTTTTAATCCTTTTTGAGCTAAAAGAGTTGAAGCTTGAAAAGATTAATTGTTACCGTTAATACCATTGACCTTTTTCTTTATCATATCTGGTCTGATTTTCGTTGTTTTAAGTTCATTTACAAAGATTAGGTACTAGAATAAACGTTTATAATGAAACATGCTAGGCGGTGAAACTATATATGTAAAATATTGTTTTAAATCAAGTATCACCAACAACCACACCTAGATTACTAGGTATCGAAAATAAATTAAGCTAACTTGACGAATAAAGCAAATGAAGGAAAAAAAAACTATTAATGCATAGAACTTTTTTTCTTAGATATTAGAAGTCACTAACATGAAACGACTTTTAAGACTTTGATGTGAACAGGAACACATTGAGTTCCAATGTACTGATCGTATAAGTTGGAAAAGTCACCCGACTTACATTTATAGAAGGTAGTGGTGTCTCCAATAGCTAATGAGCCGTCTTTGATACCCCAACCTGCTGCGTAAATACTACCAGCTTGTGGTGGAGGTCCATCGAATTGGAATTGCCTGTTAGCAACAATTGCACCAATTCTACCCTTGGCATCCTTCAAAATACCACCTTCTAAGGTCACTGTCAAAGCATTGGAAGAAACACAAGTCTCTGGGTAGTCGGAGTCAGAAGAGCTGCTTGCTTCACTCTGAACTTGACCATCGGTGACTTGGGAAGCAGCTGCTACAGATGAGGCTTGAATTTGGCCATCAGAAATCTGAGAAGCAGCAGCGGCAGTGGTAGGAGAAGTAGTTGTGGCAGCAGATTCCGCTTGAACTTGACCGTCAGTTATTTGGTTGGCTACAGAAGCAGCAGTAGCGGCAGCAGAAGACTGGGCCTGGATTTGACCATCGGTGATCTGGTTAACAACTGAAGCGGCAGCAGCAGTAGTTGCAGCGGCTGACTGGGCCTGGATTTGACCATCGCTTATCTGGTTAACAACTGAAGCAGCAGCAGCAGCAGCAGTAGTTGGAGCAGCTGACTGAGCCTGAATTTGACCGTCGGTGATTTGATTAACAACTGAAGCAGCAGTAGCAGTAGTTGCAGCAGCTGATTGAGCCTGAATTTGACCATCCGTGATTTGGTTTACCACTGACTCGGCAGCAACAGTTGACTCAGCAGCAATAGTAGATACAGTTGCAGAGTTAGCTTGCACTTGCCCATCGCCAATTTGAGTAACGTCTCTCTTAGCAACTCCTGTTGCTGAGGCACTAGCTTCAGCACTATCATCTGAAATTGCCAGCGAGGCAATTGTTTCTAATGATATAGCGAATGAACCTGAGAAATCAGTTGTAGCTCCAGCAAGAGTTTTTGAAGGAGTCAAGTCCGTCCATGGATCAGATGGAACGTAAGCACCTTTTGCAGCCTTAGCTGCCGATACGGCTAATAATAAGTGAACATTAGTGAGTCTCATCGCTGACAGATTAAGAATGAATTCGACCTAGTATTGATACCCAACTTATCCTAATTAGATACCAAAAAAATTTCCAGATCAAGGAAAGAAGTAGTCTTATTTATAACATATCAGTAATTTAGGCTACTCCCCGGATCCCTGTAGGGGGCATTGGTGTAATCAGGATCTGTCTGTACGAATGAAACCTCTTTAAACCAGCGATTAAGTATTGAAAAAGCCTTTGAGTTGCTGATATTTCTCCATTCCTAGGCAACTAAGACCTTGTTAATAGGATTGTTGAAACAAGAGGCAGGTAATTAGATTTCTAAATATAGCGACGTGCATATCCTGAAATATTTTTGACCATGCTTACCGAGCACCTCTACATAATTGCGACGTAGTGAGTCCGCCACAGACCATCACAGCCCAAGTAGGGGGATCTCAACCGTAGTAGTTAGAACATTCCCTTCACAATAGTATCATTTGAGCGATTCAACATTGGCAGGGCTGATGATCTGCTAAGGCTTATAGCACAAAAATTACCCAATCAGTCATAATTTCGGTCACCACAGTCGTGCAGATCGAACGAGGTATGGTCGTCCATAAGAGCATGCCCCCTTTCTCCCTATTTCCTGCGGCTGCCGGTCCTAACAGATGATATCTATAACTCTTCTGTCATCTAATGATGTACCTCAGTAAATGATTATCTTTCGTATTGGTCCGTTTAGCTTCCGTGGTGATGAAAATCGCCCCCTTGAGGCTTGCTTTAATGTATTGTTCTATTTTTATCTTCCCCTGGAGCAATTGATATGAGCCGGTGTCATAAATTATTGAGGGAACTATTTTGATTAAGAGCAAAGATGCCGAGAGCTCAATAATAAGTGACATTGCTATGACGCTGTCTCTACTGTCTGGTCAAAGAGCATATGAATACGGTACTCTAAGTTATCCCGGTTAAATTAAAACGTCACATTATGCATTCAATATAACTCGATTTGGAATGGAGGACAAACCCGGTTAAAGAGGAAGGCAAGCTACTCTACGAGGCGCTGTAGCGTACTCCTTAGGGAGGTAGCCGAAATACCGGACCTTTCTTTAGCGAGAAATGTCGCTAAGGTAGTGAGCCTCGTTGCTCATTAGCGGGGGTTATGTCGTAGGGGCTCCTCTACATAGGCAGTTCATATATGAGCAACGACTGAGAATCGAGCAAACTTCCCAATTCGGCTCCGAGCATCTTGCTACCCTGAAAGGAAAACAGAGGACAAATTTAGTAAACATCCTCTATCCATCAATGCCGGGTCCTTGATCTTTAAGGCAGTAGAATGGTCTGGGACCTAGCGGAAATTAGGGTTAGACCCATCAAACTAGGATATTTTCTAAATAGAAAGGATAACACCTGAAAGAGTTATTTGTTTATATAAATCTATGTGATGCGATTTGAGAGCATCCTTTTCTTTGAGCTTCTCCAATGACTCTTTTAAGAAAAGTTTTCTTTGGGAACTATTAAACTGTAAACATGCCGTTAATGCCGATGCGTAGATGCTGGCGACTAAATAATTTGGGTTATTCTGATTTTGTTTTGATACAACCAAACCCAATTTATGGTTGGATATTCTTATCCGGTCCATAGCAAAATTCCAGAGACCTTGATTTTGAAGATTCTTTTTTTTTTTGTAGACGGTTTATTCCGACATAGGTCTAAACCTTGTGTGAGCAAACTGGTTCCGTAAAAGTCTTCAAAATAATCAAAATGATCCCATAATAAACAAAATATGAAACACTTGTCTGTATCAGTTATTTGAATTTGCACTGCTCTGGCTCCAAATTGACTTGCATTGGTCATTACTTACCTCCCAAAATCATTATTTAGACAAGAGCTTAGAAAGCTTTCGTAAGGGCTCTTTGATCTTCTTAATATCTGTGCAAAATAGAACAATATGAACTAGTTAGACGACAACAACCGAATCTTTCGGGATGTTAATCAAAAGGAAGATCTTTAAGCGGAGTGATTGGCTCGAAATTTGTATCGACCATCAGTATAATACGGCATTGACAGTGCAAAAAATTTTAAATTCAATAGATACTTTAAACATTCTAATTGGAACTTTAAGTCTCTATAGTATCATCTTCTGGCTCTTAGATACAAAATACCTTCCTAGCAAAGTTTGACTACCATTCTATTGTGAATTGTTTAATTGAAATCTTCTAAATACCTGATCTTTGCTTCAGTAACCTTCAAAAGAAACTCAACTCAACTAGGAAACATCATTTTTATTAGCCGAGGTATATTTCGGTGCATGTATGAGTTTCTTGGTATTATATCGTTATCGAACCCTGATTTGTTGGTTGTCTTTATTGATTGTCGTGCACAAAGATGGATTTTCGTAAATCATTTTACAGCTATTGTATTTTGCAGCTTATAAATATCGACATACGTAAAAACAAAAAATAAAACGAATACCAAAAATCGCCCTTCAGGGAATCGAAAGTCATCTATACATCAAGAATTATATATTTTTCTAATATTCGCAAAAACAACGTCTAAAGCTAATTTTTTAAGAACAAACTTTGTCTTAAAAAACCTCGGTAGATATTGGAAAAGGCTCATCACGGTGGCCAAAGTTCCACGATAATACTCAACTCTGCCAATTTTCAGGTTTTCGAAGTCTTTAACAATTTGTTTAGCGAAATATTCTGCTGAGATAGGAGGCTTAGACTTCATGGAACTCTCTCTTGTCGCAAGAGAATCTTCCATTCCGTCTACATAGTATAAAGAGTTCTTATTAAAGGGTCTTCTTTTGTCAAATATTTCGGTGTCAACAACACCAGTCAAGAAATCTAATACTTTGATTCCAAAAGGCTCTAGCTCTATTCCTAAAATCGAAGCGTACGAACGAAGTGCAGCTTTTGTGCTTGCGTAGACACTGCCAAATGGGAAGTCAATGAAGGAAGCAATAGATCCAGTGAACCCAATTGCACCACGAGTCTTGATTAGATACGGAATTAATTCTCTAACCAACCTTATAGGCCCAAAGACATTAGCTTCATACACTGTCTGACCAGTTCATCCGAAGCTTCAATGCCTGGTTCAGCACAACCTTGACCTGCATTATTGTATAAGATGTCTAATCTACCATAGTATTCGTTCTCAATTAATTTCTTCAATTCTTCGACATCCAGTTGGCTAGTAACATCTAAACTAATAATTTTCACTCCGTAGTGTTCTAAATCTTTCATGCGTTCTAATCTTCTTGCACCAGCAATAACTTTATAACCTTTCAATGCGAACTCAATTGCAGTTGCATGTCCAATTCCGGATGAACATCCAGTGATCAATACTACTTTGTTCATAGCTTATCTTTGAAATAGATCTCTAATTTGTTTATTAAATCTTGAATCTCTTGTATTCTGCCACCGTTGACTGAAATAAGATATTGCATAGCATCTATGCATATTATCTATACAGGATGCACGGAGCATAAATCAAATGCGATGGTCCACTACACCAATGGATAGTACTTATTTGTGACGTAAACGACTAAAGTGCTATTATACCGTGTTGAACGGTGTCAAATACAATAAATGAAGCCTCATCAACCTCGGCATTTACAAACAACATAATATAGGAATATTCATTCAGATTAATCTATTTGATGCGGTTATAAGTTAGAGCATGTAATTATTCGATGTCTGAGGCCCACGCTGCTTTTTTAAGTTTCCCTTGGCATCAGTAAATTCACCCTTTTTGCCTATGATTGTAAGGTTTTTAGCCCTAGATAATGTGTTAATTACTTCATTTGTTTTTTGTCTTTTGTTAGGAGGTTCTTTAGAGGAAGATTGATTATTGACTTGCTCTTTGATTTCTTTTCTGTGATTATATTCCTTGGACTTCTTTCTTTTATTTGCACGTCTTAATCTTTGCTTTTCATTTCTAGAAAGTTCTTCCTTCGAATAAGAAAGCCCTGACTTGAGTTGGACCTCTTTTTTTCCTTCTACACCAGATGATGGGCGCTCATCACCAATCTTATATATTTCCTGTGGTGCCAAAGATGAGCCACTCGGTACATGCAAAGGCTGGGCATCTTCCATGGATATGACCGGTGTATCATCAGTAACCTTGATCTCGATCGATCTCGCTTGATGTGGCTTCGGCACGAAATGTGCTGATGATAGAGCATCCAACTTGTAGTTGACTTTATCAAAAAGTTCCCGTATTTCATCATGCTGCTTCTTGAGTTCTTCATTTACTTTTTCGTTAGGATCAACTTGTTTGTATTCATCCTCATAAATTTCTGCCAAAGATTTAGACGACTTTTCTTCAGATAAATCATATTTTTGTTTATTGTAGAACTTTGAAACATCAGTTATGATTCTTTTAGGTAAATCGTCGAATTCTTCGTTTTTGATTCGGCGCCGTATTATTTCTTCAAGTGTTTCAGTAACTTCTTCAGTTATTACAGGTACTGGCTTTGCAGTTCTGTCAAATTCTAATGTCGGAGCTTCCGGGTCTTCTAGCAAAGAATCTTGGGGCCTATCTTTCGAGCTGATCTCACCCTTCATTGTCCATTTTTTATCTGCAATTAGTTCAGCCTCTAGTTTGTTAATTTCCGATTGAATTTCACGCTGCTTCTTTTCAAAAGTTGATAAATTTTCGGATGATCGCTTCTCTTGTTCTACATTATCCGCAAGTAAATCTTTCATCGCAGAGCCTACTGCTTTGTCGTAATCTTCTTCGTCGAATTCATCTTCATCTTCATTTTGCAGATTAATATCTTCTGATTCAATCCTTTTCTTATTTTTAGTTGATTTGTGCAGTGGCTTTTCATAGAAATCATTGAAATAGTCCATTTCGTCTTCACTAGCATCGTCACTTAACTCAGCAAAGTAGTCTACTTCTTGTTGTTCATTAGAGACCTCTTGATCGTCCTCCAATGCTAAAGTCTGCTTGTTAAATTCATCAATGTCAAAAAATCCATCGTTTAACCCGAAAACGTCTTTCATGTGCATTTCGTCTTCTTCTTCTCCCAGAGGAACCTCTGTGCGTGAATCATCTTCTGCCTCCTCCTTTCCAGAAACATTCTCGGAATCACTCTCAAAGCCCTCTTCATTTTCGTTTTGCTCAGCAAAATCCTGATCACCATCATACAATGTAGAAGAATCTGATTGCGGTACTAAGTCATCTTCAACGCTCTCTGCTTCAGACTCTGAACTAGAGGGGCCATTGCGGTCTATAACTTCTTGATGCATGTCAGAACCTCCTAATTCTTCTCTCATAGAAGGTATCTTGTCATATAAAAGAGATTCATTTACACCATCTAGGACCATCTTAGTTTGTCCGAAAACCTGGTTGGAATCTAGTCCTTCCACAAAGATTTCATCGAGCACAGAATACGATTTGGCTAAAGGATCAACTAACTTTTTAGTTAACTTCTTGAAGTAGCCACTGTCACCTTTATCAGACTTAAAAATCTTGAAAACATCTTGAGGAGAATCCTTCAATGCACTTAGAATATCCAGTGTCATTTCTCTACTGGCTTCGTATAACTAACATTTTTAAAACTGAATGAAAAAAATTGAGATGAGGAATACTTCTCGATGGTGTTTATATGCAGACCATGATGAAGACCATTTAAGTTTGATGCTAGATATAAAATATTAAATGAAGAATCTGATGCCATGCTTAGAAATAGCAAAATAGCATGCTGTCAGGTCCGTTGGAAATCTAAGAGCTCATCTTCAACGAGGTGGTTAAGTCGACAGAAAAAAGATGTTCACACGAAGGAATCCAAAGCTAGAAATTATCGCTCAAGGGCCTCTTTCAAGCTCATTGAAATTGACAAAAAATTCAAATTATTCAACAAAAGATCAATTAATATAGTGGATTTGGGATTTTCGCCTGGTGCATGGACTCAGGTGGCACTAGAGATCACCAAAAAATTAGGTTTGAAATCAACAATTTTGGGGGTTGATTTGATTGCATGCAATCCACCAGAGGAATCTTATTTTTTACAAGGAAATATTTTATCAAAGAATACACATAATGCAATCAAGGAATTCTTCTCCGAAAGAACAAATGAGTATTATGAGCAGCCATTAGACTTAATAATTAGTGATATGATGGCTAACACTCTGGGCTTGAAAGATAGTGACCATTATGCTAGTATGGACTTATGTGATGGAGCCATCATTTTAGCATGCTCTTTATTGAAGGAAAATGGTAACATGGTTATGAAGTATTATATGGGAAAAGAGGAGTATTTATTGACTAATAAAATGCATGCGATGTTTGAGAAAGTTTTTAAAATGAAACCTACGTCTAGTCGAGCAGAGCTGAGAGAAATGTACATAATAGGGCTTAAGAAAAAAAGAACTACAGTAGACGATGTTTTCGGAGATTGAACTTCATAATATAAATTAAAATCTAACATAAGCTATAAATTCTCAAAATTTATAATTTTAAATTTCCTTTTTGCTTCTTCAAGAGAAAAATTACTTTCTGCTTGATGCCACCTTTCATGCAACCGGCCATATAATAAAACTAAGTTAGGTTCATCACCTTTGCTATCATTGACTGCTTTTTTCCCAAATAATCTTCCCTTTTCATTATCCCACTCTTTAAATGTAATTTTATGCCATTCTTCTGGTTTGTTGTATCCAAGTCTTTTCAATTTAGGAGAATTTAATGGTTCTGGATCTAAAACAGCTGGATATTTTGGATTGCAGAAATATATCAAGACCAACCTCTTGAATCGTCTTTGGTCGTCTGGTGGCGTTACAACTCTGTGGATTGAAGATTTGAAATAACCTCCAGAAATAAACTCCATCGAGTCTCCGATGTTCACTATTAATCCTCCTGGAGTATGTCCAACATATTTCCATTGTCCTGAAAAATAGTCTCTGATTTGCAATGATAATATTGGTTGAGAGGTAATGAAAGTGAATGCAGAGCTATCTGAATGTCCTCTCAACCAATTCTTATCTACTTTAGCTTCATCTTGAGGATTCATGCCATGATACACCATAAATCTTCCAAAGCCATTACCCGAATTAACATGGTCATTTTCCACAACTTTGAAATAATTCTCCCAGAGATATCCTTCAGGCAATTCGAATATGATGTCACATAAGGTGAGTAACTTTCTTAATATATTCTGATGCAAGAACCTAAAGTAATCCGCAATTTCTGGAAGATGAGCTCTAGCAATTTCGGGATACTTTTTTTCAGCATCAAAAAAGCTCGGTTGTTGCATCTCCCTAAAATTGTAGTGCTCGATAGTATCTTGGACTCCATTTTTCATTGACCAGTATCCCCTTGGTTTGAATCCAGCACCTCTTTCTCCTCCAAGTGAAATCTTTCTATCTTCCAAGTCACTTTTCAAAGCCCCGGCAAGATACTCCCTTTTGGTCTCTTCCGGCAACTCCAATAATGATTGTGCAATTGATCTCAAATGTTCAAACTCCTTTACATCAATTCCGTGGTTAATAATAGAAAAAAACCCGTATGTTGATAATGATTTTTCAAGTTTGTCTGCTAACCTCTTTCTTTCAGGAAAGAATTCCTTTCCTTCTTTGAAAAGAGATAAATCAAGAGCATCTAGTTCAATAGTATCCACAACTGCAGTTGAAGGCTCGGCTTCAATAAATGGACGTACATTGTACTTTTTATCAATCTCCTCTACGTTCAATTCCGTTGACATAGTTTCTATTTTAGTGTTTGAAAATTTCTTGTATCTATCCTCAGAGTTAATCACCGTGCTTTTATGTATAGCGGAGAGATTATTCATGTTCCCGATAATTTTGTAAAATATAGAGCCACACTATGATGTTATTCTATTTGCTGAGAGTCCCCGGTTATGACAGAAACCGAATATATTGCCATCTCTTTTGGGCGATTTGTCTGAATGTTAGCCACAGTAATGATGAAATTTTGTTGTTGCAGTTCCCGTGATATTTGCACCCACGCAATGTTCCGATCTCGGCTAAAAAAAATACTATGGCTCAACGGCGTGACAGATTTTTACATGCCCCTCACTGTGTTCGTTTATGTATTTTAATATATTCTAGCTAGTTTCTTCTATTCAATTCTACTTAGTTCGAAAAGTATTTGTGCAGTGGAGGCATTGTCCATCAAAACTTTCTTTGTTGGTCCATTCAAATTACTATTACAATAAATAGACAGATCATCAGAAAATGTGCCATCGTCAAAGTATGAATGGTAATGATTGAACATGGTTTTAGTAGAGGAGGTCGCCAGGTTGAAGTAAAGCGACGAGTCCTGTGAATCCTGTAAGAAATTGTATACGAAAGCACCCTGTCTCTTCACCTCATCTCTAAAACTATCGAAATCATTATTCCAATCCACTATATTCAATAAATCGGCAAACCCAGCATATAGAAGATGCACGTATTGAAGTTGGTTGTTCCAAATCTTATCACCATTGTAAAAGGCACCGCTTTTGTTTGTTGCGGCATTTCCCAATTCAATAGCACTAGATAACCATTTCTGATTACCGGTATACTTCACTAGGTAAGCAAGCGTACTCAAGGCGCATCCAACTGTGTATGATAACTTACCTTTATTTAAATCTTTGTAATTGTCTTTATCTAATCCGTCATAGAAAAGGTGGTCTGAAGGATCCTGAAAATACTTGAACATGAAATTCATACAGCTTTCTGCAAATGTTATCAATGTGTCACTTTGCGACACGTCATATAATCTCATTGCTGCAAGGGCAGCTTCCACTGTTGATATAGACGCAATATATGTGTGCTTATATTTCCATAAAACCCCTCCATTTACATCTACTTGCTTTTCAATGAATGATACAATAGCTTGAGCTTTATTTAGGTAGTCTTCATTTCCAGTAACTCGATATGCGTCGATAAAAACCCACGCAAGCTGAGCATTATCATCCGTGTATACATCTTCAGTCCCCCCCTCGCCTGCAGAATAGGCACCGAGTTTATCGTTTCTGTAATTGGCTATGTTATTCATTATTCGGTTAATCTTAGTTAAATCTTTAGAATTCGTAATTGCCCTACCAACCACGGCTTGATCCCATAGAACAACGGCATCAAAAGAGCTTCCGCAAATAGAATCGTTGTCATTCCATTTGGATTTATCAGTAGACCAAAATCTTTTCCACACCTTATCTATGGTGTTGGATATTGCAGAGTCACCTACGCTTTGCGACAATAGTGTCTTCAAGGAAAGCGTTGCCGTTGATGAACTTTGAGATTCTGATTTACTCGTGGATGTGGATATTTCGGCCAGTGATGAAGTACCTGAGGTTTCATGGACATCTGAAGAAGACAGGAGTAATGATGAAGTTGATATCGATGTTGGCGACAAGAAAGAGGATGCTGAAAAGCTTTCAGATGATACCACTATCAGTGAAGAAGTCCCCCATTTTGTTGTCAGAGATGACGAGTCCGACAGGAATGAGACAATCGAAGTGGACACCGAGGCTGCCACAATTGATGAATGTGTTGCTGTTTCAGCAGGAATCAGGGAAGAAGAAGCACCAAAAGTACGACTGAAAGTTGAGGCTTGGTATGGCCCACTTGACTTTGTACCGGATGTTGGACTTGCCAAAGTAGCCAGACCAACTGTAGTTTTCAAGTTCACACTAAGCACATTTTCATGTGCATTCGACATAAAATAAGTTGTTTCTTTATGTTGAATCGTGTCATTAGACGATTGGCATCCCTCTGTGACATATTTAGTATGTAATTTCGTCACTGATAAAGTCCTTATATTGCGATCTCTATTTACAGGCAATGCTATCGCAGATCCAGCAGCTAGCAAGCAAATGACTAAGCGAATGAATATCATTATATGCTTACTATCTAATCTTCTTTTTGGTTTACAGGGGAAGTCAATACATATTTATCATTATTCGTCATTTCTCACATCTCTGCCATGTTTGAAGATACATCAAGTTTAGTAGCAGAATAATCTTCCATTTTCAAAATTGGAGACACCAAATGGTTTCAGTATATCTCTTATAACATACCTGACACTTTCTATTTCTGTACTAAAGCTGCTTCAAGTTTTCGTTTTAAAACAAAGTTTTGAAACCAATTAAGTTGCAAATGAGGTCATATTAGATTCTCGAACATTTTTATCTATACAGGACAAAAAATAAAATTACACATCACTAAGAATAACACTTTTGGCTATTCAATCGATGGTTGAAAAAGGTTCATGTTCAAACATCCAGTGCTAATAAATCCTTCTAAGTATCTTCGTGGTACAAAAAGGCATGCCTCTGAGTTATACAGGGAAGATTATTATGACACTGAATCACTTAATTGTAACCCATTCGCAAATGCATTAATAGGAACCAGATCTGATGGGCAGAGAATAAGATTCCCTAGAGGTGAAATGATTCGACTTATTGTGGACCGTATTAATGATGAGTTGTATTTAGTGCCATTGATAGAGGATCCTCAGAAGGATACGGCTTTGATACCTTCACATTACATATTAAACAATGAGAGATACATTGAATTTACTGAGGCTATAAAGCAGTGGAAGAGATATATTCCCCAAAAGTATAAGTTCAGAAACAGCGAAACTATCTTGAACCAAATAAAATTGTTACCTGATTTCAGGAATTCGATTTTGAAAGCATATGAGAACAAAGTTAAGACACTACTTCCAAAAGCTAAGAAGAAATTAAGAGACGAACCTGGTTTCTTGTGTACATCAGAAGGAGAGCTCTTTCTTTTCGAAGGCTTAAATCCTGTTGTCAATATAAACACTTTGGTTTCTGATCTTAATATGAAAGAACCTATAGCCATAAGCTATAAAGAAAACCTTGAGCTATGCAAAGCGATATTTCTACTTCTTGATTTCAAATCCTAAAAGAGTCACCCTTTGGGCGTTGAGGTGATGGGTTGAAGTTGCATTTAATTCAGGCTAGAGACTGAAAAGGTTTTTTCCCCCCCCTAAACTTTTATCTTGATTTTTGCATCAGTGACCTTATATCATGATCCGATTTCATATCCATATTTCACTCTTTTGAGTTACTAGATGTCCCCTCAGGATGAACACAAATTGTATGACTCAATAGACGCTAAAAGAATGGTCTAAGTGAATCTTATCTTTAATCTGATAAGATTACGGCTAGCTTCTTCAGCAACGATCTCTTGAATTTCAGGATTGACTTAGATCGTTCTATGATTACTACCTGTAAATACTACTAAATAATGATCCAGTGCATTAATACCTAAATATGTAGCCTGAGGTCCTCGGTCTTCGTACAGTTACGATTTTACTATTTACTTACCACTTCATTCTATTTAAATTTTGACATTCTTGTCTTTTGGAGAGGCAAACCATAAAAAAAATGCAGAGTTTATTAAACTAGCTATAGCTAGAATAAGCAATGTATATAGGAATAGAGAGATGTACGCTGCTCAGGAGCACCAACCTTCTATTAACCCTTTTTATTAAATCATGCTATTAGAATCAATAAATTCATCTTGGCTCTGGTCTTCTATGGCTATAAACTTTAAGCTCAAGTTAAGAACTTTGAGTTTCGTAGTCTCCAACAGCAATTTAGTCCTATTCCAGACAAGAAAGTAGCTCAGATCTAATTTATTCTCTTGGTTCGACATAAAAAAATTCAAAAGTGGATCCTGATTTACGCAGTTGCGAAAACTGATTCACATGATTGTGGCTTTGCAAGTCTAGAGCACTTCTATGTGATAGATACAGAAATTGAAGTAAGTTGAGGTCTGTCATCTCAAGTTTGCACTTTGAGATCAATTTTATGAAAGTTCCGAAAGCTGCACTGAGGAAAACCTCATCATTGTTTAAGAGCTGTTCGTATAAGAATGTCTATATCAGGACTTATCTAAATCTATATTTTATCCGTAATTCTTCCTACTGCCTCAAAAATTTGAATATAAGATCCCAAGTCAAGCAAATTTGTAATATTCGACCCGCAGTTACCAGAAGTGATGTCCACAGTGTTCACATCATAATAATGTCTTGCTTCTCTGACCAACTCCGCCTTAAACATATCATAAGCTTGTCTTTGATAATTTGACAGTGGTATCGTTAACTCCAAAAGATCTGTTATGCCATTAAACAAATCGTGGGTGTACTGTACGCCATTGTTGAGATGGCCGTTAGTGTAGTACAACGAATTAGAGTTGCCAGCTCCAAAAGTCCTCACACCAAATTCAGTTGCAATCGCCTGCCAATCTCGTTTTGTGTTGCCATGTTTAACAAGAATTGCCATTGTAGAAATAGCCACTCCAATAGTGTATGTGAGCTTACCATTATTGACATTTCCTTTTTTATCGCAGCCATCATATATTAAATGATCATTTGAATCCAAGAGGTGATCGAATATCCAGTCAAGCTGCTCAACAGCGAACGAAATCAAGGTTGAGTTGGACTTTTCTTCATTTAGTCTGACTGCAGCTAGCGCAGCTTCCAATGTAGAAATGGAAGCAATATAATTTCCTTGGTAACTGAATTCTATACCACCATTTGGTCCCTTTTGATCAGAAATAAAATTTATTAATTTCACTGCGCTATCAATATAATCCTCTTCTTCATCAACCTTATAATTATTAATAAAAACCCAACTTACTTGGGAATCGTCATCTTCATATATATCGTTGTTACCGGCTGTTGTAGCAGAATATCCACCTAAATCATGATTTTTATATTTCTGGAGAGCCTCATAAACCTTACGGTTGACCGTTTCGTTACCTTTTCGAGAAGCAGCTAAACCTGCTACTGCAACATTCCATATTACAGGCTCGCTATAACTTCCACCGCAGTTATCATTGAAATTTGCTTGTGTCTCATCCCAGTATAAGTTGATCAAAGTATCAAACATGTCGTCAACCAAGTCGGTGGGTGCAACTATGGGTTCTTTAGTTGAAACAGAAGCAATAGAAGTAGAGTAACTTCCCAAACCCAGAGGTGTCAGATTATTTCTTTTGTCCAACTTTAGATTTGAAATCGAAGTTATTGAAGCAGGTGCTGCCACCAGTCCACTAAGGCAAAGGGTTATGATGACCGCGACCACATCGAAGAGCTTAATTTGCATCACACGGGTATCAAAGGTTCGTCAAAAGTACAATATGTTCAAATTTAGTCCAAACTACGAGATAATAGTTCTTTTAAATATTACAAGGCTCTGCTAAGCACGCTAGCTTTGATTTAAAACTTGTTGTCTAAAATATCTCTAAAAGAAGTAAAATTCGCAACTTCTTGTTTTCAACTCCGGCAAGTTTAACAATGCGCTTATAACAATCCATATCAAAACAATAGGATTTTATTTACTAATCAATTTTGAGCTCTTTGACAGCCCTTGCACCGAATGGAGTTCTAAGATTTCTAAGTTTCACTTTGATGACTAAGTGGATGGCACCTTCTGTTAAAAGCTGAAAAGCTTTAACATCTAGAAACGTTAGTGTTTCGGTCTATATTTCTGTCCCATTTCCTCAATATTTCAATGTGTGGGGTCATTTTGATTGAGCTAGTTTCCTAAATACTATGCTTAAACGTTTTTAGTTTAACCGACACTCAGAGTGGCAACTATTACAAACTACCCTCAAATATGGAAGGAATAAACGAATTTACTTTGGCGTATTAAAGTTGGCGTCAGTAAGAGTGAAATCTACAACCAAGAGCATTGTGACTCTATGCTTATGACTTTTTGCTTTCGCACTTGTAACTAAGCTAGTATGCTCATCGTTGATGCTCTATATCAATCACACGACACTTCAAACGTTCGTGTATAGTTAACACAGCATTCCAAGGTCAGCATATTAATTTCTGCCTGTTACATAATCTGGCTCTCTAATACATGCCCAGACATCATAAAAGTGCGGTGTTCCAAATACCTTATGGGGCTTAGTCTAAATTAACGGGAACGAAACTTAAGTCATATTTGATTAATCTGTGCCTCGTCCAGTTACAGAGAAAAAGAAGATATACTTAAAATGGATAATGTAAAGCTGTAGATACTTTCAGTAACTTTTACTTTTTTAACTAAAATTGTTTGCATAAAAGTAGGAGAGGATTAAAAAATCCTGCTCATAAAAGGAAGACCGTTGACGTTTGTTTCTCTCAAATATCATTTGCGACGACGTTTACGACTGAAGTGCATGAAAATGACATATTGCTTTTTTGCTGTCTTGCTTCCTTCTTTGAACCCCTTGTGTGAATGCCTCTCTTGAGTTCCACCACGACGACACAGTGAAGCAAATGTAGAAGTGATAAAGTCCTTAGACTTGGAAATCGCTATGTTGGACATGGCGGACAAATTAAGTATGACGTGGCCAACATCTATTCCTTAACACTTGATCGGAGAGGGCGATTCTTGTAAGAGGGTTTTCTAGTGTGAAAATATTCGGTTTTTTGTGTAACTACTTAGGCTCTGATATCAGTAAATCATTGGTTATCTTACATTTCACTATCAATAAATGGTCCTCCATTAAAAAAAATTCAAGTAGCTATTTTGAGACCAGTTCTAGACCTTATTTCACTCGTAAAGCTTGGCTAAGTTATAAAATTGAGACGAATAACTTCTTCAAAGGCTGTTAATTAATCAAAGGAAAGGTTTCAAAAATGGCATACTTGCTGATAGATATACTCTCGAATGTCGCACCTTTCGAGCCTCAAGAATATCAAACCTGTTTTACACCAAAATCACTCACGTCAATTTTTTGTACTTCACTTGTCTCTTCCCCATCTCCGAACAAATCAGTAATTTGTTCCAAATCTAACTTTTATTCAACAAAATTCAGACGTACATCATTAAAGTAAGACTATACTCCACGCTTCATTCAAAAAATAAAAATTCCTATTCATATTTGCCATTCCAGTAGGAAACATGAAACTCAAGAATATGCCCAGGTTATTAATAGACACTTGAAGTAAAGACATCCTAGCAACCTGGTTTCTTTGAGGAAATATTTCCTTAGTATGAAGCATCAATAGTGGTGTAAAACAGTAAGAATAAAAGCCAGAAAATAGGAGTATCATTGAAGGGCGCCATATTGTCCTGAAATGTTATTGCTTTCTCAATAGAGTTTCACTAAAGCTCTGAGAATAAATAAGCGTATGTTTCACCTATCATTTCAATGAGCACTTGAGGTCTTCTACCTATAATTTCAAATGTAATACAGCCAATGGGGCACATGAAGAGACAGAATAACTACGAATTATAGCCTCTTTTAGTTGTGTAGACACCAAAGTGACCCATGCATGCTCCATTAAAGTACTAATGTAATAAAACACAATAGACGAACCAGAGCCTTGTGCACATGCCACCACTATAAAACTGATAATGATACGCTTCAAATTTGCTTTAGAGGAAAACAAGTCTTTCCAAACAGAATTAGTCTTATACACAGATTCTTCAGCAATAAGAGCTCTTTTGATAGCTTCAACTTTGCGAGCAGCATCCTCGACATCACCATCGGCTCATCTTGTGAACATATCCAACAATTTGACTTCATCCTGTTGAGAAACAACCATCTTGGAGACTCATGAGCGAAAGCGATTGAGAAACTTCTAATTATACTGGGCCCGAGTTGCGCAATAATGAAGCTCTGCCCAACACCAATTTCTATTCAAGTTGCTTGTTCCGTACATGACGCCAATGGCAATTAGAGTACTAACGTAGGAGCTGCTATGATACGTCCCCCATGATGACCTCTCCATGATTAACAGGAACTATTTCGGCAACCAAAGGTGGAGAGGAGCACAAGATAAGACATTTCCATCCCTTGATACAACTCTTCCAACAACTAACTGCGCTACCGCACTTGAACCACCATAATAGATCCCAGAGATACTTTGGATCCTCCAAACATCATAATGAGATTAACTGTCAAAATCGAAGCACTTGGGCCTCACCCGTCCAACAAATTGCTTACCGTAGGCATTGCTAAAAAAGCCAGATAAAAGTGGAACGTTCATGAAGTCATTGGTACTTGTAGTGATCTCAAAGTGGTCGTCGAAGACGTCCAAGCTCATAAAGTAGCTGAAATAGAAGTTTCGATACCCAAAGAAGTAAGACTGGTAATGGAAGTGAGCCAAGGATCATAATGATATCTCTTCTTGTCGTTGCTGTGAACTTCTTTGATAAGAGCATATCAAAAGAATTTTTTAGTCCTTCAACTTGGATCCTACTTGTTTTGACTCTTCTCGTCACTTGAAGAAAGATCCTATCACGAAAGATTTTAGACCCATTTTCAGTTTGTACATATATTAAGATCTAAATTATTATAATTCATAAACTGTCTTCGGGCAACCTTGGCCATCAGGCAAGTGAATATAAGGCGCAGCCATAAATAGGGCCAGGGGTTACTGATATTGAAATGCATTCTATTATAATAGAGACTTCTCGTGTAGCTCCACTGTAGTTTTTTTTTTTTTTCGGATCCTGCTATCGTCTCTCTATTGCTTGTGAGCCGGTTAAGTATCTTTATGGGTTCCTTCTTAAACTTATATCTAAAACGCTTTGAGATTGTAACTATTTTAAGAAGCTTCAACAATATATATGTTAGCTAATATGACGACTAGAAGTACATACTCTGTTCTCTTATTAAAGTTTATCATATGCATAACGTGGAAATAAAAGAAAATCAATCTTATTTTTTCCCTATTGAATCCTTCCTGAAGAAATATTTGCTGCTTACTGCATACCTAACATGCAATATGAATTAGGCCGATTATTTGCAGCCAATATGTTCTCATTCTTGGAGCATAAAAATTAAATCACTTTCAATATTCTTAAAATTAAGCTTCATCTTAGAGAAATACTTGAATTGCATTTAAAGGTATAAGGCTACATTTTTATACCATATTTTTACAAGATTAGAAATTCATTCATCGTTTTGTGCAACGTGAATCATGGCAAGTTTTGAAATTATATTGATACAAAAGTATCCTGATATCCATTTAAGCAAGCTTTGAAATATTTCCAGAGGAAAGCCGTGTAACAACATGTTTACATGTTTACATGATTACATATAAGGTCTTTTTAATATCTATGTTTCTCCGACTTTTCCATGGCTCTTTTTTTATTAAGGAATCCAGCATCGATATAGCACAATAAGTGTGAGAAATTGCATCTCGGTTACTCCTTCAATAAGAATGTTCAGTTTTGTAATAATAGTATTCCCATTCCAAAGGAGCATAAGAGAAAAAGGTGAACTTCTTTGACTTTTCTCTGCAGGAGAATTATTCTTGTAATTTTACGACCTTTCAGTTTTTACTGAGGAAAAAGATATCATTAACTAAATTCCTGATTTTCCTTTGGCCAGAGATAATGCTGTCCTCCTCCATATCAGAATTTTTCATACCTAGGGCTATCAATTTTTCATTTTGTTTGTACCCCGATCCTCATACTCTTTCACCTGGTCCCCGCTGCAATTCACATTCAATATCGTTGGGCTTGGTGACTCTCAAACTTTTAGAAATCGAACATCACACTGGAGTCTTTATGTTTTCGGCACCTTATTGACCATCTTTAATTCTTCCTGTTATGTGTTGTCAATATCGAGATGATAGTTCCAATAATTACTTGAGCCGTGTTTGAGTAAATCTCCTGTTTTAGAAGCAAGTATCTACTCACAAAGTAGAAACAATAACGGGTTCAAAATACCTGTTCCCTGATATCGAAACTTTAAAAGAGATTTGAGGGCATGAAGGCGATTAGGATAAATTTAAGAGATGAAACATTAAAGCATAAATGTGCTCTCTGGTGACTCAAGGTTCGACATATAGAGTGAAAATATCTTTAGGTTCAACAAGACGTCTATGTCGCCTAATACGTATTTTTTGTTTTCGCAGCCATTAGTTGGAATAGAGAGTGTATTAAATTCATGTCTTTCATCTCAAAATATATAGGATTTTCAAGAATAAGTTTTACTTTCAAAGTTACCCATCTATTTTTAACTGATTGTTGTTTCTCTCATTTGTCTTAAGGTCACGGTTTCATATATCATAATCCATAAATTTGATGCTTTCCTTTATCCGCGATAAGTTTAATTATGCAAATCTATTTTATTAAAACAATCAATTAACTCTTTATTAAACTTGGGTCGTTATTATAACATGCTGTCAGTAACCTTAACAATAGAAGAAAAGAGAGAAGGCTTTATTTGTTTGTTTCCAATGACTCTAAAACCAAGTTGGGAATAAAATAAATAAAGAATGAGTGGATTCATAAATTTACCCATAAGCAAGAATTGATCAATAAGGGTCATAAATCAAAGACATATTAACATCACAATTTGGGCCCATATATTAGAAAGTTCTGATTAAGAAACCTAAGTAGTGTAAAAAAAGGTTATTTGCTGTTTATCAGTCAAGTCATACAATTCATCTGCCTCCTTTGCGGTGGCAACGATTTGAACTTCACAGTTTTGGTTCGATTTTAGCACAGCTCTCTTGTTTCTATTGTTCAAAACACAAATGAACCAATAAAGTAAGCTAAGTAAAATACAGACACAGTATGCCGCGATCATAGCAGTGAATCCACCTGTATATCGTGGTGCTTGATTGGATCTAAACGTTTGAGGTCCAATTAAAGCCCCTGCGGCATAACCTAGATAGTTGATACTGTAAACCAGCGATTTTTTCGTGTTTCCAGCAGTGTTAGCCTGAGCTAAAGACATCATGATTACATAAGGAGCAAAATAAAAATAAAGTAAATAGAGGCCAAATAATTGCGGGCCAACCTTGGATCTGTCCACAGTGTAGAGGATTACAGCCCCGACTAATGGAATCAATAGTGAGATGACACAAACCAAACATCTTCTATTTGGAAATTTGGTAGTAATATATGTGAAGCCTATTGTTGCCAAAGTTGCAACTAATCCTGTAGGCATACTCATTAATGATGACTCCATGGCAGAGAATCCTAAATTATTGATTATAATCGATGAAAAAGTGTTAAGACCGCCATTTGGAATATTTATTCCTATATTGAAAATCATAATAATATAGGACTTTGGCTCCAAAAGTGCTTCAAACATTTGCTCCAATTTCCAATCTTTGGTCTCTATACCAGTTTGGTTCTTGAGGACTTTTTTAATAAGAAAGTACTTTTCTCTATCATTCAAAAACTTCGCATTCATAGGCGTATCAGGCAAATAGTAGAAAAGGAACAAACTCCACGTAGTAGAGATAGACCCTACCATTATATATAGATACTTCCATTTAGGAATTTCACTGCCAAAATGGCCAATTAACCAAGATAAGAATCCATTGATAATTGAAGAAGCAAAAGCGAACACATATGCCAATCTAGGACCTTGCTCTCTCTTTATGTAGAATCGAGTAACCATTAAAGTACACCCAGGAACAATAGCACATTCAACGAAACCCATCAAGAAACGCAAGGTAGCAAAACCAGCAAAGTTGTGGCCAGCACAAAGTAGGAAAGTAAACGCACTCCAAGTCAATGACGCAGTAGCTAAAACCAAGCCAAGTCTGAATTTTTGAAATAGAAAAGACATTGGCCACATTCCTACAAGTGAACCTATGAATATAATAGAACCCAACCATGAATATTGTTGGCCCACTAATTGATTATCCTCAATGAATCCATATATGGCTGCAGTACTCAAGGAAACTTTATCAACTGCACCCAAAGTGGCAGTTAAAAAAAGCATAGGTAAAAGTATCCAATCGATTTTGCGTACAATTTTCTTCTCATCGGCTTCGTCTATCTCTCCATAGACTCCTTCTCTTTCAGTAAGGAAGATACCAGCCTTATCCAACAATGCATCCGGGGCCGGCTCGTGGCTGACATTCGGACTCTCGCGTCTTTCTAACGAAACCTCATCTACCATAGAAGTATTTTTCTCCTTCATAATTAATTAGGCAAAATGATACTAACTTAAGAATTATATCGCTAAATGGTTTACCTACATACCTTTATATATCTCATGTCGAGTTATCAGTATCTATATAAGTTACCTTTTGTATCTTTAATCTACTACTGCAATGAGCATGTCTGCTATTTTTTAACGTGGGAAAGTCGAGTCGAGCTCGATATTCAAATACTAATTTCAAAGGCAGGTAGAAACGACCGGTTTGCGTATAACCTACGAACCTCCTAAAGACTATGATTTCCTTAATTGTATGGGTGTGACAGAGGGTTGGATGTTCGTGAAAAAGCACTAGGATATTTGTCATTTTCAATTATAATAAAATGAACTTTAGATCTATGATCTACAACTACGTATACGGTGTTTGACATTACTCTGAAATGGTAATGTCAATCTTAGTAAATTGGCCATCGCTTAATCACCTGCATATAATGCTTGAGCGAGACACACTGATAACACCGCCTATAGATTACATAATAGATAAAATCTGAGATAAATCAAATTGGGCAAAGGTGGAGAACCAGCTTAAGACGGTTTCTAGTAATCTTTTCTCCGCTGTAAACTCGAGAATAGACGTAGAATATCTAGCAGGGCATACAGCAATAAATTTATGAAGATAGTTGGTTTTTTTGACAGAGAAAGATTATAGAAATAAAGAATAGGTATGCCACGCGGTAGAAGCACAGTAGAGAAAAGAAGTAGGAAAGGGTGCATACCTTGTAAGCAACGTCGAGTGAAATGTGATGGTACGTTAGTCTTCGTTCTTGTCGGACGCATAAGCTAAGCTACTAATAATTAGAACAGAGCAGAAGCCTAGTTGTTTCAATTGCTCAAGACTAAAGCATGAGTGCAGATATAATTTACTATTGAAATGGGAGGACGAGATGTTCGCCAGAGGGTTAGTGTTTGGGCGCTCGGAGACAAGTAGGAAAAACCTTAGAGAAAAGAAGTATTTATCCAAGAAAGGAGGGAAGGGTGCGAATTTCAACGAACTTTCGCTCCTGCAAATGGTCCAATGGATTCCCTTGGAAGCAAAAAATCTATTTTTGAATACCACGGCCGATGATTTCAAAACGCTCTATGGAGCACCACATAAGCCTTTGGCTACACCGAATGACGTAGGCTCTGTTTATCATTCCCTTGAAGTCGGCCTATGTAGTTTTCCATGCGGCGAACAGCTTTCCCAAGAAAAGAATACTGACTTAGAACTTATTAGTTATCAAGGAGATATGTGGGGAGCATACAATGATTTTAATTTCGCGGATGATCTGGGTTCGTTTACCAATTCTTTCTTCGATCATACAAGCTATTTTTCGTTGGGGAGTACTTTAAGCTGTTTTTCTTTCGGCTATGATTCAACAGATTATAATTTATTCGATTATTTCGTAAAGAAAATATGTCCTGTTTGCATATGCTCTTCAAAGGATGGGATATCAGGAATAAGCAACTCAACGAGTCCCCAGATTGATAAAGTCAACCCTTATCTCAAATTCATCGTCCCGTTAGGTATGAAGTCCCAGCTACTTTTCATGACCATAGTAGCAGTTGCTGCTAATGAGTTGAATATTGTACATCACCGTAAGTTTTACGAAGATTTGGCTCATAATTATATGTCTTGTGTGTTGAAAGAGCTTCCGGGATTGATAAATAGCAGAAAATTAGCAAACTCAAATGATTGGGATGAGATTTTGGCCACATTACTTATGCTATGTTTCGCAGACATATCGACTAAGTGTGGTCGTATGTGGATTTTGTATCTCGATCGAGCAAAAGAATTCGTGAGGTACTTGATTGACAGTCAAGTGGAGGGGGAATTGAGTACATTTGTTGCTAGGTACTTTGTATCACATGATATAATGGGACAGACAGCATGGACAGATCTGCTAGTCCATCGTTGGGACCCATTTTTTGAAGACTTAAAGTATGATTTTGATACGAATATCGACTTATTTCTTGGATGTAGCCCTTATCTTATAACTCTGATTAATAACATAACTCTGTTAGGAGTTCGTATAGAAAGTTTGGATTTTGGATCAAAACATACTAGAGACACAATCCAGCCAGCATTATTGGAACAGAGAAATCGATTGGACTTTGAGTTGATTAATCTTGAACAGAAACTAGCCATAGAGGATGTCACAGAATCGGCGCAATATGTGCAGCTAATTGCGAGAGTCAAAAAATTAGCAGCTATAATATACCTATTTGTCAGAGTTGACCAAGAGCTTTATTTTAAGCTAGGAAAGAGTTACCAGAAACAGTATAAATTAAGGTTGCAAAATGTGAGATCTAGGATCTTAGAAGCGGTGTCCTTGATGAAGCAAATGAATACGTCTTCTATGTCTCTTCTTTGGCCTTTATTTATTGTGGGTGTAGTTTCCGATACTGACGAGGACCATCGCCATTTTGTGCTTCAAAAATTACAAGACATGGAAAAGTCTCGAAGGTTGGCGAGTGTAAGAATGGCGAAACACACCATCGAAGCCCTATGGAAAGAAAAGGATCTTGGCTGTCTGTTGTTGAGATGGAGAGATATGATGGGAGGACGTGCTGATACAATAAGTTTAGCGTGAAGGCTGCAGCTTCTTTCATTTAGTTTTTAAATAATACTTTTGATACCTTTATATTTTCACACTAATAAAACTTAGCAAAACAAAGTTGTGAATGATCTTGAATGTAATGCTACTCAAAATACTAGTGCGAGTTCGCGCCGCAGGGTGAGCTGCAAAATTATTGGAACTCGTACGAATATTTCTTCGATTCGACCTGCTATTATATTCTTGTTTCGGTACCATTTCTTGATTCTCCGTAAAAGTATATAAAAGAAGGTCTCCACATTACTATATTTTAAAAATGAAATTGAATCATTTAAATATTTTATAATATCAAGTATAATGTTTCTTAAATTGAGTTCAGGTCATGACATGCCGTTAGTCGGCTTCGGTCTTTGGAAGTTAGATACTACAACTGCGGCCGACCAAGTATACCACGCTATTAAAGTGGGCTATAGGCTATTCGACGGTGCAACTGACTATGGTAATGATAAGGAGGTCGGCCAGGGTATTAAGAGAGCAATTGACGAAGGAATTGTCAAGAGAGAAGATTTGTTCATTACTTCGAAGTTGTGGAATAACTACCATGACCCTAAGAACGTTGGACCAGCTTTGCAGAAGGTTTTGGATGATTTACAATTAGATTACTTAGATTTATTTTTAATCCATTTTCCAATTGCATTCAAGTTTGTTCCTTTCGAAGAGAAGTATCCACCAGGTTTCTACTGTGGTGATGGCGACAAGTTTCACTACGAAAATGTTCCATTATTGGATACATGGAAGGGAATGGAGAAACTAGTTAAGAGCGGTAAGACCAAGTCGATTGGAATTTCAAACTTCAGTGCTGCCTCGATCTTGGACCTTTTGAGAGGTGTCGAGATCAGACCTGCTGTACTTCAAATTGAGCACCATCCATATTTGCACCAGAAAACCTTGATTGAGTATGCTCAGTTGCAAGGTATTACCGTGATTGCCTACTCGTCTTTTGGCCCTCAATCATTTTTGGAATTAAAGGTCAAGAATGCTGAAGATGCCCCAACATTGTTCGAACACCAGATCATTAAATCAATTGCTGAAAAGCATAAGAGAACACCTTCTCAAGTCTTATTAAGATGGTCTACTCAGAGAGGAATTGCAGTTATTCCAAAATCAAATAACCCGGGTAGATTGTTACAAAACTTAGAGGTAAACAATTTTGAATTGACAAAAGAAGATTTTGATGCTATAGCGAAGTTGGACCAGAACTTAAGATTCAACGATCCATGGACATGGGATAAAATTCCAATCTTCTACTAGATAAAATAAACGTTTTAATTTTTTTTTTTATATCTAAATCAAACTTAAGTTTAACATTCCTGAATGATTACCTGGTCGTCACTTTCCCCTCCCCCTAAACACCTATAATGAACCTAAGACTGCTTTTCGCCTACATTCAGCAATCCGAGCATTTAAATGTTCAAATAGGCTCCACATAGTCTTCTGTTACCGGTGAACTCTGTTCTTCAATAAAAAAACATCTTCAATTATCGAAAAGTATTTATTGGACAGGCCCCAACTGGTAAAATAACTTAATCCTTTTATCGCTGATGATTTTATACTATTTTTTTTTTTGATAGCCTTATAGAGTTTATGACATCATCGGGATTCTCCCAATTGTCCATCGTGGATCTATCAGACTGGTTATAGAATACTTGTATCATTTCACCTTCATTTTCTGATTTGAAAATCTGAGGAATGTCAGGTTGGATGCAAACGCTCACTTCTCCAGCCGAGTGTGTTGAAATTGTATTCTGGTTCAAAAACTCAGAAGCATCTGGATCATAAGCTTTAAGCACAATGGAATGCATAAACCAAGGATGAATTTCCACCAGTCCCATCGTGAATAAAGTGAAACAATTGCAAGCCCTGAGGTCAGATCAGTAGGTATCGTCGGTGTGGGATGAAATATCAAAATTGGATAAAAAGTGTCGTTTTTGGACAAGTCTCTGGTAAAGTCCCAAAATCCTCCGTAATGGTTCGACCCAATGTACGTCTTTTCACAGAGCATTTTCGTAGCCACTGGGCTCACTGGAACATTGTCAATCAAGGCAAATCCATACCTTCACATTACAAGCATCAATCTGCAACAGCGTCCGTATTCTCATTAGTTGGGGTCATAAGCTCCTTGTAAGCGGCAGTGGGAGAGGTCTTCTCAATTGACACAACGGTCCAAAAGGTCGGCTGGAGTATTACCTTAAGCTGCAATATTGTTGGAAATTGTACGGATCTTACTTCGATTCGACCTGCTTTAAAATTCTTAATATATCGGTTGTATGCAGTATTTTAAATTAACAGTAAAGTCTAATCGAGTTCATTAAAAAGGTCAATAATCTAATTCATATGTATATTAAGGAGAGAGATATAGATATATAAGTATGTGAATTTACGTAGGATCCAATTTTTATACTCAACGATTACAAATCTTATAAGCGTTAATTATGACAGCTTCTGATCGTGTTGCTATAGCTATTGATAGAGGGGGGACCTTCACCGATGTGATATACAAATACAAAGATGTTGAGACAACCTTTAAATTGTTATCAGTTGATCCTTCAAATTACCAAGATGCTAATATCGAGGGAATTAGAAGGGTTTTGGAAAAAGTAAGCTGTAAGAAAATACCTAGAGGCACCCAATTGGATACATCGATAGTTTCTTCTATTAGACTTGGTACTACCGTTGCAACTAATGCTCTATTGGAGAGGAAAGGTGCAAGATGTGCGTTGGTAACTACTAAAGGTTTTAAAGATTTACTTCATATTGGTGATCAGTCGAGGCCGGATTTATTTGCGCTTAATATAATTAAACCAGATATTCTTTACGAAAGAGTTATTGAGGTAGATGAACGAATTACTTTACCAGCATTTACGGTTGATCCAACTGGGTATGATTGCGAAGACCTTTTTGATGGCAAGAAGTATGTCAAGGGAAAAACAAAGGAGATATTCGAAATTTTGGAGCCGTTGGATGAAACTAAACTTAGAAAAGATTTAGCAACTTTGAAAGAGGATGGAATTGATTCTATAGCAGTTGTTTTTATCCATGGGTATAATTTTCAAGATCATGAAAAATCTGCTGGTAGAGTAGCGCAAGACTTAGGATTTCGAAATATTTCTTTATCTCATGAGGTTCTTCCGGTCATAAAAGCTGTAACCAGGGGCCAGTCTACTACTGTGGATGCATATTTAACACCTATCGTGAAAGAATATATTGCCAATTTCTTAAGTGGATTGAAACCTAACTATAAGGACCATACGAGAATCGAATTCATGCAATCTGATGGTGGATTATGTTCGTATGAGAAGTTTTCAGGTCTTCGTTCATTATTATCAGGTCCAGCAGGCGGCGTTGTTGGTCAAGCAATGACTTGTTATGATGAAAATAATAAGATCCCTGTGATTGGCTTCGATATGGGTGGAACTTCTACTGACGTTTCACGTTATGCTGGAGATTATGAGTTTTCGTTCGAAAATATAACCGCAGGCATTAAAATAGCGGCCCCCCAGATCGATGTAAATACCGTTGCTGCTGGAGGTGGGTCTATACTATTTTATAGGAACGGAACATTCGTTGTAGGACCAGAGTCTGCCAGTGCTCACCCGGGTCCAGCCTGCTACAGAAAGGGTGGCCCTCTTACAATAACTGATGCAAATCTTTTCACAGGTAGATTATTGCCGGAGTACTTCCCACATATATTTGGCCCGAATGAAGATCAGCCTCTTGATTTTGAAGTAACAAAGCAGAAATTTGAAGAGCTAACCAAAATTATTAATAAGGAAAATCCGAATTCCCCCAAAACACCCCAGGAAGTCGCTCTTGGTTTTCTTGAGGTTGCTAACTTTCAAATGGCTAAACCTATCAGAGAACTCACCGACTCTAAGGGCCACGATGTATCTGGTCATTCATTGGCGTCTTTCGGTGGTGCAGGTGGTCAGCATGCTGCATCCATTGCCCAGCTATTAAAAATTAGCCGTGTTTTAATACATAAACACTCTTCTATCTTATCAGCGTACGGTATTTTAGTTTCTGACCTAGTCAGCGAAAAGCAGCAACCTTGTTTTGAAATAATTTGTTCTCAAACGATAAATATGTTGCTTGAAAAATGTGACAAGTTGAAAAAAGAAGCTATCGAAGAACTCCTCAATCAAAATGTGATAACAAATACAATTAGGTTTAAGGTTTACTTCAATATGGGCTATAAGGGTTCTGATGCTCGTTTGATGGTTCTTCAACCACGGGAAAATAGGTTCTTAGAGACCTTTTATGAAATTCATCAGCGTGAGTTTGGCTTCAACGATGATGCTCGAAGCGTCGTTGTATCAGACATTCGTGTCAGAGTGACTGGAAATATTGCTAGTACTTGTAAAGAAATTTCCCCTTATGATGAACTCAAATCTACAAAGGTTAGGTTGGCCTCTAAGGATAATGCAGAAAAGTCTGCCATGATGTATTTTGAAGAAGGTTGCCTCGAGTCGAAAGTGTATTTTTTAGAAAACCTACCTATTGGTTCGGCTGTGAATGGTCCCGCACTAATATTAGACTCAACCCAGACAATACTTGTAACCCCTCAATGTCAAGCCATCATTTTGTCCAGACACATAGTAATGGATTTGAAGTCCATTAAAAGTGAAAAAATAAGTTCTAAAGTGATAGATCCAATTAAATTAGCTATCTTCGCTAACAGGTTTATGTCTATAGCTGATGGAATGTCAAGAACGTTGCAAAAGATTTCCGTAAGTGCTAATGTCAAAGAAAGATTAGATTACTCGTGTGCCCTATTTGACAACGAAGGTAATTTGACTGCAAATGCTCCAAACGTACCAGTTCATTTAGGATCCATGTCATCTGCCATAAAGTATCAATTGGAATATTGGAAAGATGATTTACAGGATGGTGACATACTCTGTACTAACTCTCCAAGTGTTGGTGGAACTCACTTACCAGATTTAACAATTATCTCACCTGTCTTTTATGATTCAAAGCTTCAGTTTGTTGTTGCATCAAGGGCTCATCACTCAGAAATTGGTGGATCAGCTCCTGGATCTTCCTCCTCTTACGCAAGAGATATTTTTGATGAGGGTGTCAACATTAAGACTTGGAAGATCGTTCAGAATGGCAGATTTGATGACGATGGTTTGTTGAAGCATTTTGTTGAAGAGCCTAGATCGCACGGTGTATCTGGTACAAGAAATATAGATGATAATATTTCTGATTTAAAAGCCCAAATTGCAGCGAACCAAAGAGGAATAAACTTATTATTGGAACTTTTCAAAGAATATGGGACTGAAGTAGTATTATTTTACATGAAAAGTGTTAAAAAGACTGCCGAACTAGCTGTCAGAAGTTTCTTCAAAGAGTTTTATCAAAAAAATAGAGATCGGATCCCTTTAAAAGCGGAAGACTATTTAGATGATGGCTCAAGGATTTGCGTTTCTATTGATGTGGATGGCAACGATGGTTCAGCTTCGTTCGACTTTACCGGAACGTCTTTAGAATCATTTTCAAATCTCAATGCACCAAAGTCGATATCGTATTCGGCAGTGATATATGTAGTGAGATGCTTGATAGATCTAGATATACCGCTTAATCAAGGGTGTTTGGATCCTTGTACACTCTATGTCCCTCAAAATTCGCTAATTAATCCAAGTGAGTTTGCAGCCGTTTGTGCTGGAAATGGAATGACATCTCAAAGGATTACTGATGTTTTATTCAAAGCTTTTGGTTTTACATCTGCGACTGGTGGTTGTATGAATGGTATCAATTTCGGCACTGGGGGTGAGAACGAAAATGGGGAACTAATAACAGGTTTTGGTTACACTGAAACCATTGGTCAAGGGAATTGTGCCGGCATCATTGAAAAGGATGGCAAGAGAGTAGGGTTCCATGGGTTTTCTGGTACGCAAACGAATATGACAAATACTAGAATCACTGATCCCGAAGTATTAGAACAGAGATACCCGTGTCTTTTACGTCTATTTTGTATTAGACAAGATAGCGGTGGGAAGGGGAAGTGGAACGGAGGAAATGGGCTCGTCCGAGAAATTCAATTCAATTCACAAGTCCACGTATCTTTAGTGACACAGCGCCGAGTTTATTCACCATGGGGAATGTACGGAGGTGAGCCTGGTAAGAAAGGAGAAAATTACCTTGGGAGAAATCGGTCCAATGGAAAAATTCAATGGATCCACCTACCTTCGCTTGCTGAAATAGAAATTAAAGAAGGTGATATTTTACGCATATTGACACCAGGTGGTGGGGGCTTTGGAAAGCCAACTGATTCTGAGGAATACTGGCGAATTGGTGACTGTTCAGCGAACTTGTATGAACATGTTCCTCTTTCACTAGGAACTATTGGATCTTTCAAAGAAAGTTCAAATACTTCTCAATAATTACAAATTATCGATAAATCTTAACATCTATACCATACCTTTCACTATAATGTACATTTGACTCGAATCGAGCTTATCAACTATACCCGAGACTTGAACTCGATGAATCGATGAATAAAATACAGTATAAAGAATTTATAAATTTGAATAATACTTAACATATGAATTAAGAATTTATTTGTCATGTCTAATATCTACTAATAAGTATTCTTAAAACCTATCAATATGAAATTCGAATATTGAGATACCAACATTCGAGGCATGATAACTTTTATTATGAAGATAAAACTATAAAGTTCGTGAATTCAACTTTACAAATGTATACATTTATTGATTTACTTCTGAAATGATTAACCTAATATTTATTATTTATTATCAGACAATTTGCCACGTCGAATATATATTTACGCGAGTATATCATGAGCCGAAATCACAGCAAAAATTTATTTCCACGAGATTATCGAAATGGTGGATTCCATATGTCAAAATAGCAAATTGACAAATACCTAATAAACAAACTTTTAAATTTTTGAAAATCTTTAGACCTTGTTGAAGCTTATATAGTTTCTTTAGTGACATAACGGCATTTAAGACAAACTTGTTTTGTTGATAAGAAAATGAGTAGTCCTTTGTGTCTAATGCACATATAAAGGCACGGTTATGAAGTTTGAAGGGATAAACTATGGATATTTGTAGCAAGGCCAGAGTCCTCTATTCCATCAGACCATTCTTTGACATCCTTTAGATCTTTTACTTCGTTGGAACCACCATATCTGCCTTGCAAGTCATTTAGGTTTCTATTCTTTCCCATATCTGGCCTCCATCTCCAAAATTTCTTTTTATCTTTATCTAAGCTACTTTCACCCTTGAGAGCAACTTGAGAGATGTATTTTCCAACGTTCGGCATGTATTTGAACCCTTGACCGGAATCACCAGTACCTAAAATTAAGTTTTTATGCTCTGGATGCTCACAAATCAAGAAGTGACGATCCGGGGTGTCTGTACACCAGCAAATTCTAGCCAATGAAAACTTTCTTTCCGCTAGTTCGGGGAAAATTTGTCTTAAAAAGGCTCTCATTTGGACTTCGGCTTCTTTTGGAATAGAATCCTTAAACAAAGGAACTGATTCCTTGTCTACAATGTTGACATAACCTGGGAACTCATTGCAGAACTTTATCTCATTATTTGTATCTGGTTCGAACACAAATCCTCCATCTAGGTTCAAAACTACGGGCATTCCCTTCAACAAAGCAGCTTCGTCATCAGCAAGCTTGATATGTCCCAAAGTCCAGCATTTAGCCAAAAGTTGATGCTCATAGTTCAAAAACTTGAATGAGCTTGCACCAGCACAAACAACAATTCTATCGGCTTCAATGGAGCTACCACTGGATGTGCGAACGCCAACACATGTTCCATCTTTACTGTAGAGAAGTTTCTCTGCAGAATCAATGATAAATCTAGCACCTAGTTTGCGGCATTCTTCAGCGCAGCTCTCTAATGCCAATCTAGCAAATGCCCATCCACAATTTTTTTCCTGATAATAGCCATACCATTTCTGGAACTTAGAAGCTTGCAGACCTTGAAGACCTTGCAGACCTTGCTTACTTTGCTTACTTGGCACGTACTTCTCATAATCTTCCACACCATTCAACTTGATTACTTTGTCGTTACGCTGAATTAGATATTTGTAGCGATAGTCAATGCTCTTTCTCTCCTCTTTACCAGTGGCCGCATATATAATACCAGTCTCCGAAAATGCCTTTTTGAAGACATTGTCTTCTCTCCACATTTGTAGAGCTTCTAAAGCTAAGTTGGAATAGAAGTCATCATCAGAAGTTGTCTGAATAATCTTGTTGGAATCATTCCCGGCCGACCACGGCGAGGGCACAGGATAAGGGTCTAATAAAGTCACCTCTACTTTACCTTGTCGTAAAAGGTGCAAAGCTGTAGAAAGGCCAAAGGTTCCGGAACCAATGATCAATACTGTCCTTGGTTCATCCATTATTTCGAATTGGTCCTAATAAAATACCAATCACTCAGCTTTTTTATTGCTTTATGGCAATCAAAATTCCTTTTGAATTGTAACTCAGTTTCAGTGTCTTTGCGATCACTGACGATCAATTTTATTCACACGGTGTTGTGTACTTCAATCTTGATCACTGAAGTTGATGATTTTCACTGATAATAGTGTATCCGAAATATATGTCACAGAATCATGAATTCGTATATGATATAGTTATATATTATGTATACCTTAGGTATATACTTTATAAGAAAATCATTGTTATTACCTTATTTTTGTGATTAAAAGGAAGCTCGGATCGACCTTCAAATGCAAAATGCGAAATGTCTAATAGTTTCAATAAGGCTTCCGCGTAATAACGCGTGTCGTCCGAAAAGAATTTATCCTGCTTATCAATATGCGATGATAATAAATCAGCTGTATGTATTTATCATAGAGCCTTGATGAAATAATGAAAGAAAACAACTAAGTGAATTAAACAAAATAATTACTATACAAATGATTATGAAAGAACACAAAAAAAGATAGTCTAATAGAAGTTGAAAGTCTTAACTTGCAACAACTAGATCCTTCAGATTTAGATCATACTATCGTCGATTCAAACTTGAGAGGGAAAAAATGGTAACTTTTCAGATCTACAAAGTGCCAGATCTACGAAGTGCCCAAGGACTAGCGAACAAAAAAAGAGAATTTTCTTTTTCTGGAACCCCCCCAGGAAGGTCAGATTATAAGAAAAATTTGGTATTAAAGTTGAATTGCATCATCTTGGTCTACTGTTGTTTATCCTTGTTTGTCAAATATTTGGACCAATCGAATGTAACAATGCTTATGCTTTTGGTATGAAAGAACCATTGGAAATGGAAGGGAATATTTCTAACTGGCTCAATCAAGCTTTCTTACTCACTTACGGTATTTGTGGTTTATTTAGCTCTATTTTGACTACCAAAATATCTTCTCATATTGTGCTTTCACTTTTGAAATCAAATGGTCAATCTTATGTCTCTTGGTTCATTACATGCGACACTTATCTAAACTAGGTAATCAGAAGCCTTCGGGGTGCTTTTTCAGGAATTGTTTATCCTGCTTGTCATTACATCTTAGGATCCTGGTATGCTCCAGCTGAATTAATGCCCATACGGCTATTTTTGTTTCATCGTGTTCTTTAGGAAGTATGGCCGGAGGTTATATTCAATTTGATATCCATAGATCTCTTGACGGAAACAGTGAATTGCCTGTTTGGAAATGGGTATTTGAGATTGATTTTCTTGTTACTATTCCAGTCGCAGCCTTTGGTGTCTACATCCTTCCTGGTGAACTTTCTAAACTAACAAAATGCTTCTTTTTGAATAAGCACGAGTTTATATATTAAAGAATTGAGGTTGCTGAAAACTTTGAGAAAGTTAATAATTTTGGATTTAGTGTTGTAAAAAGCCTTGAGAATTCTACATCTTATTTATAGCGTACTTTGTCTGTTAACTTGCTGAATAATGTGCTAATTACTAGAATATTTTAATGTTGATTTATATTCCATTTAATTCGATAGGGACAGTACCAGTAATGCTGACTTTGTAGCCTTCAGCTGTGTGCGATCAAACCTTGACCATCATGATCAAACAAGACAGAGTGGTACTCATAGATCTCATAAAAGATCGTTTGAATTGTAAGAATTTCTCGTCCATTTTTGCACGGAAGTTTACCTGTAGTGTGAAAATAAGTTGAATATCTGTATTGCAATTTTGTCAAGCATAAAGAACACTTTGTGATATACTATTTCACAAAACAGCAGCATCAATCAACCATTTTTCAATTTCTAAGTTCGCCGTTTCATTAGTGGCTAGAACAGAATGTTAGATGTAACGCAAGCTAAAAAATCATTGTTTCTGCATATAGTTCTGAGTATTGCAGAAAAAAATTTCAAACTTAAAATATTCAAAATAGAACAACAAGGCCAAACTTGACGATACTAAATGGAACATGGATGGTGCTAGTCATCATTCCAAGTCTCAGAACTACCAAAGTTCGATAACATCGACAGTTCTCCCGTCATCATCTTTGCGGGACATCCTTTCACTAGTGTTTATATTTTTAGCACTACCACAATCATTATCTGTCATATTACTTAGTGTATATATTGTGGTGGATGAAATAGGAAGCAAAATACTCTTCACCGAGTTTGAGAAGCATAGGCCTTGGTGGAGTGTTTATGGACTGCCGATATGGGAACTTGTGAGGGTCTTGGTTCTCGATTTCATTATTTACTATGGATTCAAAAATCTTGCAATTAAAAGAAAAGAATTACTTGTTCACTATCTTATTATATTTGCTACGTCTATAATTGCTTGTAATTTGATTGGAACTTCTTCCATAAGCACCGCGGTATCTAACAGGAAGCTTAATGTCAAAATTTATTATGAAAACAAGTTCGTGAACAGCAGCTTAGGTCATTTTGTTATGTGTTTTCTTGCTGTAAACTACATCAACTATTTTGTGAGTCTTCTTAGCTTCAAGAGTTTTTATTCGACTGCACGTCATCAATACGATAAATATTATGTTTTATTGTCCTTACACATTGCTCTTTCTTCATTTCATCAGAAACTTATGCATAGCAATGGTAAGGAAGAAGTCAATTTGAATAACAGTTATGGTGGCGATAGCATTCTAACCGTTGACTTAGATAAACAAAAAATACCTAACGATCCAAAGAACAGAATTAAAAATTCGGTGGCGGCAAAAAACTTTGAAAACTTTTTCGTTCACGCATTCAACAATCACAACATATTCATATTTAGAGCAAAGTACAATGCATTGTTTAATATAACGCTCCAACCGTTTTGGTCGATTTTAGCTGGATTTAAAACCTTGATAAAGAGACCCGATTTCTTTAGCGGTAAGTTTTCGAAATCAAAGAATAATGGCGGACAGTTCATCCAATCTCCAACATCCACTGCCAATATTGCTGTTTTACTTATTGATGAGTCTAAGGTTATATTTAAGTTTTTAGATGGAAAGATGGTATCAGATAAACAAAATTTGAAAATCAAGATAAATAACGTCGAATGGAGATATTTCAAAGTGACTAAATCTAAAGATGAATTGTATGTTTTAATTCATGGACTCACATCGCTTTTTCAGTATGAAATCGATATTATGGAAGATGACAAGATTTTGAACCATTTTATAATTAACACGGTTGACAACAAGAGAGTTTTAAACGAGAGTTTAAAGGACAGTTCTACATTAAGGACGTTGAAGATTTCAGTAGTTTCATCTATCAAAAACCTTACTAGTGTGAAACTGAAGCTTAAAAAACTAAAGCGGGAGGAGGGAAAGAAGATTACTGACCTCAAGCATAACATTGATAATTTGAAAGGAAGGTTATCGAAATACAATAAACAAACTACAAATGAAGTAAGAGCATTTGGGAAACTAAAAGGACTTAAGCATACGATTATTCAATTGGAGAGCGAAATTTCTCTCATTCAAAAAGATTTAGATCACTTAATTTATAACGAGTCAGTGAGCAAAGAACGATTTGATAAGCGAGAAGGATTAGCTTTACAGAAAATTCAAGACCTAAAAGGGGAACGTGAAAATTATGAGGAACGATTAAATCTTGAAAGAGAAAATTTAAAAGCCGCAAGGCTTGATCTTCAAGCGATGGAGTTAAAGCATTCTAAACTCTTGAACAAACACCATACTAAAATTAATGAAAACTTCAAACTTCAGGCTGACTTGAAGAGTTTGAAAAAGAATGAGATATCGTTGAAGATTCAAAGGAGAGCGAAAAAGGTTGATGAGAAATTCGAAGTTATTTTGCCAAAGGTAATGCATGCGACTGCCGAGCTACAGAAAGACTTGGACAAGATACTAAATGAGTAACCTCTGAAGGTTAATATTTATTTTGTAAAACCAAACACCTATTTCCAAATATATGCATATATCTAGTTTTCTAGTTTTCTTCAATTAAATTACCAACTTTATGGAATCCTCTTTTAAAATATATGAGACCTCCCGATCGTTTCCCTTGGAACGTTTTATTAGGGAACGTGATGTCAATTACTTTCACTACCCAAATCTCGTGATTATCGACTATCAAACTTCTCTCAGGTTCACAAACAAATACTGCTTCACTTTCATTTAATATAGGAATTTTAATTTCTTTGTCCTTCAACTCATAATAATGCCATTCATTTTCATTAATCTTGCTAAATGGGGTCGTCATTTCGTGAAATATTTCGCCATCATTCAATTCTCGTGAAGAAGGTTTCAATAATCCACCACTATGCTCCTGCTTTATACCACTTGCAAATATGCGTCCAAGCTTAGCAGCTTCAGAGGTTGGGGGAAGTAATTGAATTGCCATGTACCCGTGGCGATGAATAGAGCTGGATGTGTGTGACGGAAGATGCAAGTTAAACAGTAAAAGTGATTTGGGAAATATAGACAATGATACAACAGAGGACAACGTCATCCCGCTTAACTGCAAACCAGGATTTTCAAATCTGATTCCACTACTTAGAATCATTGCTTGGGATCCAATTCTAGTCATTGTTTGTTTAAAGGTATCTTTCAAGTCGGCACGAGTAGTATACCTTCGGATTGTACCAGATAACATGTTGCAGGCCATCACGTCGCAACTTTGGTGTTTTCAATTTCCTTTTCGACTAATCTAAAACTCGTCCTCTTTTCATACGATTTACTTTGAAAGTTTCGGTAAAGAGTATGTATTACTTATATCTAAAGTTTCTTCGACCTCGTAGGGTAAAGTCTTGTGTCATTAAAGCATAATTCAGTGGTGGGATGGAGGTGAGCAAAGAAGAAAATCATAAAAAAAAATGAGTGCGCAAACCCGGAATCGAACCGGGGGCCCAACAATGGGAACGTTGGATTTTACCACTAAACTATTTGCGCTGAAAATTAACATTTTTTAAGAGATCCGATCCTTATATACGTGGAAAAAAATAGATTATAATGATCTAAAATCGGATTTTGTCAGAGAAGAGGATGTAGCATAAACCCAATTAAGAGCCATAATAAGATCAAGCTAAAGACCCAAATACCCATTATATCTAAAGCTACCCAATATAACACTCCTCGAGCTTCAAGGATACAGAATGGCTGAACACCGCCAATTAAACAGAAAAGTTTCGTATCTAAGTATCAACCTTGATTATGCGATTATCTCTTTATAGGCACTTTCGTCTATATGCAAAATAATTAATACCCACAATTGATCCTAAGTAAGTAGAATCTTTTATCGATATGATGAAAATTGGTAATCCCGCTCATAATTTATCAATAAGATTGAATTACATAAGTAAGGGTCCTTCAAAAACATAAAACAAAGTTTCGGAAACTTCAAATCTACATCGACTTGAAAGATCACAGGATGAACATGGTTGCTTGAAAAAGAATTTTTCTTCTTTTGTCTATGCATCTGGTAAAGAGTAATAGAATATTTACAAATTTTGCAAGGCTTTATTACTTATTGAGGCTGAGGTATATAAAAGTGAATAAGATCTCGCTTGATTCATAAAACTTTGTTTTAAAATACAACTCATATTAAGCTAGACTGTAGGTTAGCGAATTTCGAAAGCAATTGAAGAAAACTGAACAGCAATTTTAGACAAGATAGATAAAAGAGGTGCAGATATTGGCCACAAAATAATGGAAGAGAAACTCCACGTCCGAACAGTTCTTTTCCGAGTTTATCATCCTCACATAAAAAGAGAGGAGGCTATATACGGTTTTCCTTTTTATTTAGCTCAAGTTGAAATTATTGATTCAAATAAAATTTTTAATTTTTCTTTGAATATCGTAGTTTGGTTGCGAAATATCAATTTTATTTCTAAGTCCTTTTCAATAATTATAGGGATTTACACTTCGCAGGACCTAAAAACAGAACCGCTTAGTACTAGAAACCTACAGATATTCCGAAATGGGTGTAAATTCGCTTAAATCTACAGTCATATTAAAAACATGCAAAATGATTCTTTAATCGTCTACTGCAAGCGCAAAGGAAGACCGTAAACTACAGGAGCAGCCCCGTTCAAATATGTTAGATTGCAACGGTCACGACTCTCGCTTACTGCCTCGCAAATGTTCTTTGGCCCATCAAGAGGTGCCAAAAGTCCCCATTTTGCAAAAACAGATAGAGTGAACATATCAATATCTTTGTCCGTAACGTCCCATAAGTTTACTAGCATCATGGGAGTTCCACATGTCAACCAGTTATATATATTACCCGTAGATTCCAAGTAGCCATTCGATTTAACTGTACCAGATGAGCAGCCAATCAACAAACTTGGAGGCAACCTTCTTCGCTCAGGTAGACAAGCTTTATATAAGGTAGAAACCCTTAAATAATGCTCACAGCCACCATGTCCAAGATAAATAAATAAATCCTTATTCATCAATTTATTCATAAGCTCCATTTCATCAGGACCTGAGCCCGATATACCCTCCCAGTTCTTCATTTCTGAGAATAAAGGCTTGAAATTCTCTTCCGTTCTTCTCAAATCACCACCAGGATTGAGTACGTAATAAACATTTGATTTGTCACGAATAGTTAAATCAGAATTTCTATTTTTAAGCATGTTGAGCATGAGATGAAGTGACGGTATTCTAGAAACAGATTTTTGTCTTAGGCACCTCATCGACTCCCACGGGAAAAATGTACAATAAGAGCTTACCACAAGAACGATATGTTCTTCAGTAGATGAGCTTTGTGACTTACGGTATTTTTCCAGCAGCCGCTTCACAAACTGGCGCACCTTTTCAAAGTTAACATTGCCATACTTATTTTTTTCCCCATGAGTATTCAAAGAATCAATTAGAAAATAAAATAAGTCGTCAATTTCCATTGATTCACATTCACGAAGATTGTAAAAGGCCAATATCAAGTTATCTTCAAATTCCATAAATCTACTTGGCACTGACCTTGATGGAAGCAGCTGGCGTAGTATTTCCAAGAATTCAATTTTAAACTTTTTGAATTCTTCGCTATCGTCGTTAGTTGCAAATATGCTTCGAAACCCCCCCAACCAAAAAGATTCTACATGATCGATTAAGTCTTTGAGCTTTGAATCCAATCCGAAGCGCAACTTCCACCAAGCTTTGCGATCTTCCTTACTGTTAATTCTCGAAGTTGTAGAAGATTTTGTAGATAAGTCACTTTGCCTAATAATATCTTTGAACTCACTTAAAGCATCGTTAAATGAAACATCAGGGATATTAGAGTCTCTCTTGTGAAATCTATCTAGCGACAATCTTACAAAGAAAGGATCAGAACCTCTTCTTACCTTCGATATGATTAAGTCACCTGAATATGAACAGACATCGATTGTTATAGCTGTCCATGATTGAGGAAGAACACAATTCAATTCATGATGAAATTCTCTTGATAAACAATCAAATGCAACAAGCTTTCTTCCACTTTCGATATCATTAGGTAAAACTTCAGTGATTGAACTATGGTTCAAAAACTTATCATTCTTAAATGGTAGAAAACGCGATATATCCAGCAAATAAAACAAATCTACTAGTAAACTAGTGCTGGCTCTGAAAATAGACATGGAAGAAATTATTGATAAACAATAATTCAGAACCTTATAAAGGTCATTTAGTTCATGAACAGACAATTCATGATAGTCATATGCTTTAAAACGATCTAACAAAAGCTGTTTAGATTTTATCAAAAGATTGAGAGACTCAACAGGAACTAAGTTATCATTGAGGACTCCTTCGGATATGACGCATGGCAAAGCAAAATTCGACAGCAACAAGTTTCGAGTACTTGGGAATTTTGCCAAATTACTAATTGATTCAAATAGGCCTCGCTTTGATTCAATTACATTCTGTAGTATCCTTCTATGCGAATCTTGAGCTAGATCAACTGTTGGTGATATAAGGGGCTGACGTGCAGACAAAGACGATAAATATAGGAAGTCAAACTCAAGCTTGTCATAATTATATGACTTTAATTTTAACGCTGACTCTATATGATTCCCCTGATCTATAAATTCTAGTATTATCGAGTTGTCTGGCTGAGCATTGAAATATTTCATGAGTAAAGTGAAACAATGTCTGATAGACACGTTGGAAGACACCAAGCTAAAGCGTTGATAATCTCGAATCTTAAGACAGCATGATCGAATTTCATTATCGTGTTGAAGTAGGTAATTATAAGTAGCAAACTTCATATTATTGAAACAGTTAGTAACAGGAGCAAAGACCGATTTATCAAGTTTAATGAACTCATCATAAAAGTATAATAAATCTCTTGACACTCCAAGGTGCATTAATATTATTACTATGCCGTCAAAAGCTTCAAAAAGCAAACCAGTAGTTTCCCATCTTATTTCATTCAATGTCGCTTTAGGTATATTTAATGATAACTTTCTCGTGATAGAATACAACAACTTTATAGCAATCTTTAAATTGATAAATGAAGCAAAGCTGTGTCCTAGAAGAAAATTCAAAGTTGATGTGAGCAATTGAAATTTTGCAATCAAAATTAAGTTTTTTAACTTCTCAATAAAATTGTGACTACTCGAACTTATGCTGAATTCCTCTTTAGAGCGAAGGAACTTCAATACTCTGTTAAACTTTTCTTTTGCCATTGTTGTGTTCTTCATCACTAAGCAAAACTCTAACTGAAGTAAGTTAAACCTGAGAACATCGCGTAGAGAATGTTCTTTCATTTCTTTTAACATAGGTCCTAACATAGTTAAGTTATCAGAAGCTTCCTTTGAGGCGCTTAGTTTCAAATAAGCAGTACATAATTCGAGTTGACAAAATATTTGCATCTCATCATCAATTTTCCTCTTTCGATTTTTGTATTGCTCGATGAAATGTATAATATAGCCATTTAACGCGTTTAATTTAAGGAATAAAATTAATGCACGAAATATTTCTTTCTCATAAGGCATATTTCTCTCATTGAATGATCCCTTCAAATACGATTCAAAGTAATTAATACACAGCAAGAAGTCGCTCTCATCCATTAAGCAAATAGATCGTTGAAGGTACACACCAGACAATATTAAATTATCGGAAGGAAAATTTTCAACATTTAGCTGCAACATTAAGACAATTCCACTTAAATTATAGTAGTGATAGTATACTAATAGATTTAAGTTGTTATCAGAGTAGGATAAACTTTTGACAATATCATTGGCTAAGATTGTCTTCTCTTTCGTATCGCCCATTTTGTCCAATAATTTTAAAACATCAATTATAATGTGGACCTGAAATGAGTCAGATATCCAACACTCTCGGAATATGTTAATTGAAAAACTATTGTTTGAAATAAAATTCTTTACTAGTAATTGTATTGATGTGGTGTCCTTTGTTTGATAATGGTTGTCATAGAAGCTAGCAAGAGAACTTCCTCCTAAATCAAAAACTTTAAGATAGCCACATAGAACCTGGAGAGATTTGTTGAAAAGCTTTTGTTCATGTAAAAAAAAAGCCACTTTATGGACTTTTTGTTGTAAATTATCAAATGCTTCATTCTTGTCGTTTTCTTTTATAAATGTCTCATATTTGATGCATAAATTTAAGAAATTAATATTTTTCGTTTTGACTCCTAAGTTGTAAAATAAGTTAGAAATATTTCTAATGCGTTTGAATTGATGGAAATGACCATAAATTGAAAACAATTGGGCCAATATTTTTGAAGAAAAATCCGTGGGACAATCCAAATTTATTAAATCTTTGATGTAAACTGTGAATGCATCCAAGATTAGTAAATGGGAGCTTGTTAGCTGTTTAAGCAAAGAAACCTTTGATGCAAGATATGACAAAATTGTGTCAACAAATGATTGAGAGATATCGTTTTTAGTTAGTGGAAATGATCTGATTAATTTCAAGAACTCTTGATTTATTAGCATTTCTTTTTGTGAGCTACCTAAATTTAGCTTAAGATCAAATATTGCTTCAGGAGATGGGTTTTCTACCAAGTTCAATAAGCTCGCAATGGAATCCAGAATCTTATTGGAGTTAATTTTCAAAAACAATACATCTAAATTAGTAAAATTTAAATGCTTTATATCTTCAATATATGGCAAGTGCGCCTTTGTTGGATGGGTGTCACTTAATAGGGACTGTTCATTTGAAAACTGAGCTAATTTTATCAGCAAACAAGTCTCAAACTCCTGCAAATGATTCGAATCAATTCTTTTTCTTAAAATTGTGACAACTTTCATATATCCCTTTACTAACTTGATTATGTTGTTTTGATACTTTTCCTTTGTAGTCGCATCTTGATTGCAATTTAACCATCGCATGAAGCTGCTCTCTGATAGCAACAAGTCAGATACCAACTTCAATGACGAAATTTTAATAAGTGTGTTTGGTGAGCTAACGAATGACTTTATATCCAGTGTTATGACTTGAAGCAAGCACTGTAAGACTAAAAAGTGGTGCGCAATTACCGAGCCTATTAGTGGTAGGGGTAAATCATGACTTATGTCTTCATTGAACGGGATTCCAAGTACTAGAATCTCTATTGATGTGAGGTTTAACTGTAAAGATCCTTCACAATTAACAGTTTTTGCTATAAAATAGTGTAGACAAGACAATTGTTCTAAGGCTTTCTTTGGCTTCTTAATTTCAAGCAACTTTATTATGAAGACTTGATGCCTCTTAATGTCTTCAACACTATCGTAGTTATATTCATTAAGTCTATAAATAACCTTGAAGCAATCTGAAAGTAAATTCAAGGCTTCTGCATCCATTTTTGAGTTTAATGTGGATTCGATGAACGTCCTTGCCGTCGACTGTACGTATTTGTCATTATCACGTAAAATGTTATGTCTTTTTGATTCCAGCAAAGGTTTAGCTGCATCTTTTTGAAGGAATTTTGATAGCACAAGTCTAATGTCTGGATCCATTGCACATTAAGTGACCAGTTTATTGTAAGTGCTAGCTGATCTAAAGGTAAACAAAGAGCGCATACGATATAGATTTGTGTTTATCCTACATATAATACAATATGTCTTTACATATTAGAATATAGCTACACAAATTGAACAAGGAAGAAGCTTGCAATTGCAAGACAGTCTACACTTCCTAAGATAGCTATTTCATATCACTGGGTATAGTTTTCTCGAAATTTAGAATTAACTTTAATAACTACAAAAAGTAGGCTTCTTGTAAAAATTTATGCTATACCAGTTTGCTTACAGATACTATCTATTATGAGAAACACAATAAAAGTCATTATAACCTTTCTATATTTTCGTAACGTCCCCTATGTTTCTCTCGAGCAAGGAAAGCTTTTGTCCTAAGAAGCATTATTTTATCAAATTTTAAGTCATTTATAGACAAAGGTGAATTACAGCCATTTATAGGACAAACTTGACTGCCTTCATCCAAATACAAGATTATCGCTGACTCCTCATAAGTATGAAGGCACTTTTTAGAAGTTACTGGATGTGTGAAGTAATTCATTGATATTGGATCCCTCAATTCAATTTTGCCTCCACTTACTTTCAACTCATCATCTTCATTATCTTCGTCAGGAAATGGATCTAAAGGATTCTTTAGAACAAAGCAGATATTTTTCAAGTACTGATAGTTCTCATTAGATTTTAGTAGCATTTCCAGAGATGTACGATCGAATTCTTGATTTTCTATGTATTCTTGTCTTAGCAAATCTTGCAAAGAGGGTACATTTAAATTACTCTGAAAGTAATTTAATGATTCTAAAGAAAACTCAGGATCATTCGAGGCGTTAGATTTTGCTTTCTTCTTGGTGTTCTGTGATGCATTTTTATACTTGTTTAATTTGAAAGTAGTTTCAATCAATTTTTTCAAGTTATTTAAATTTTGACTCAAATAATTTTCATCTAATTCAAAATCCGGAGTACTAAGAATATGTTCAACATAGCGATCTGTCTCTTTCACTAAATTCTCAATTAACTCTTCTATTATTTTATATGTGGGGTCTTGAAAATTCGCTACCTTCTCAAAATCTCTAACAAGAATATTATTTAAGGGCAAATTCTCAGGAATTTCTAAATCAGTCGGAATATCCTCAAATAGATCTCCTGGGTCATCCATGTTACGCTGATTTAAGCTAAACTAGCGCATAGGATGATAAAGATGATAAAAGCCTGAACAATAATATGTACTTTTTTGATATCAATGCGCGATTCGAAGATATCTACAATATGCAGAGACACGAAAATTGATAAATTGGCTTATATTCTATTTCATAGTCATGACAGCTCTGAGAACAAATCTCGCTGACTATCGTCATCAGGAGCATTAGAGGATTCTACAGCATCAACTTGTTGATTTGCAGTGGTCGTAGTAGTGTTGCTCGAGTTGCTCGGAATACACCAATTTCTATGACAGTGCCATGCTTTCATCTGACATTCTCTAGAACAATACTTAGTTCTCTTGCATCTACGACACTTCAGAAATTCTCTGGGGAATTTTTCCCACTTGCCACATTCAAGATTACCACATTGTCTCACCCCACCCCTATGTTCGTTTCTCCTACAAGAATTTCTCATTATCACACCGGACCAATAATACATGTCCGTACCAGATAGAAAAGTGAACTTCTCTACCATTGGAAATAGATTTACCTTCTTGTATTCAACCAAAGAATCATCTTGCTCGTCATTGATACCATCAACGTCGAACTTATTGTAGGTACTATATTTCCACTTTTCTTCTAAGAACTCTTTCGATTCTTTTCTAGTTTTTATAATTGCCTTGCTTAATTTTTTACATTCGTCATCAAGGTATTTTTCAATCCTTTCATTTAATTGAAGTAATTTGATGTCTCTCTCCATGTCATTGACTATGGATTCCGCATCAATGATTGAGTCATACAATTTATTCAAATAATTTGAACCGATAGATGGACATGCCATATCATCTACTTCTGGATTGCACGAAACATTGTAGTCATTAACTTCTTCTGATTCAAGATCATCAAGCACTCCGCCACATTCTCCTTCCTCATCCACTTCGTCACTGTCATCTTCTATCTCGGCATTTTCTGTCAATCCTGTAGAGTGAGGCTTACCACATAATTCCAATTTATCTTCTTCTAGAATGAAATTATCGAGAGTACCTAAATCATTGAGCATTTGAGGAGAATTGGAAGCCGAAGGACTAAATCTCTGAACATGGGCTTCTCTTTGTCCTTTTGAGGTCACGGAAGCTCTAGGCTGTGTCAAAATCTTTTTCTTTATTTTCAACTTCATTTGCTTCTCTAAATACATTTTCAATTGCTTATCTCTGATGCTCATATCAATAACTAAATGTGTGTTCTGTAATATATCTTTGAGGTACGGATATTTCGAAATATATGCTAGTAATTGTAAAGACCAAACAATGTCATCATCTCTTGGGATGACGACACCTGTATCAGTAAAATTCCGAGGCGCAATCTTTGCATTCATCAAAATTCTATTATGATCGTGGTCTTGCAAATATAAGTCGGACAAAAATTGTAAATTATTATCCATTTCATAATCGTTATCATTAAGGAATCTATCATCTAGTAAGTCTGTTTCTTTTTCTTCTCTCAACTTTTTGATAATATTTACTATTAAGTATCTTCTTCTTATATCATTATTTATGGTATTAGTTTTGTAGTTCACACCAATCAATTTAAAAAATTGTTCAACATTCAAATTTTCATAATCCTCACTTGTTAGATTACTGGGGTGACTGTTGCTAAAAAAAGTTGGGAATCCATTTGAGTTTGAAATCGCGGCTGCTTCTTCAACTGCTGCTGCTGCTGCTGCATTAATCGGGACTGATAAGTCACTTAATTCCACATGTGTTGGATGCAAATCATTCGGGAAAGTATTATGAAGGTTAATATTATTTGTGAAATCTTCATGAGCAGGATTTCCATTCTCACTGTTATGCTGCTGTTGAGCTTCTTGCGAAGAGATTCCCTGCGATAGCTGCAGCAGCAGCAGTTCATTTTGTTGTTGCCGGCGATCTTGGCGTTGATCAGCTTGATTTTGCCGCTGCTGCAGCTGCTGTTGGAAATGTTGACATTGTTGTTGTAACAGTGTATGGTGATGATGCATGGGTCGTGAATTCGCATGAATAAAGGTTCTCTCATGAAGGGACAAATAGTTGTCCAATACAGTTGCAATGATAGGCAAAATACCAGCCTTTACTACTTTTTGTCTTATTTTCTCAGTACCTCTAGTTCCTACAAGAACTAAGCACTGGAAGGTCAAAGTCCATTTCCACGCTGTCAATAATTTTTTTTCACTATTGAAGATAGTATCGTTGAGATTGAAAGTAGTATTATGACATTCGTGTAAAATTTCTATTAGACGCTCAATGCCGCCATCCATCGACAAAGTTTCCCTCACTTTTGCCAGCGATGATACGAGATACGTCAAATGGTTTAACGAATTTACTAAGGGCTTGTCGGATGTCACATCCAAGGCTCTTCTATCATAAAGGCTCGTGGTAATTGTCACAGCAGCCTTGTTGCTTGAAACAGACTTATAATTCGAGTCCCGCATATATATGTTTCTGGAAAGTCGTATTTAATCTTCGAAGGTGTATCTGAAAACAAACGATTTTTTAATTACCCCAAACCACCGTAATCCCTAGAATATCCTAATTACAAAAATCTTTATGATTAACACGAAATGAATGTCCCTATAGTTCAACTATAATTACAAATACACTATTTTTTAGTCAAGATTTTATATTCACTTCTTGTCATAACATCCCTTGCCACCTGTTTAAGTGGAATCGATGGAAAATTTGCCCAGTAATAATCACGTGATCAGAAAAGTAATATTAGTTGGCAAAGAAGGCATGAAGATAAGAGACAGTGTTTAACTTAACTTCAATACTCTCTTTACTCTAATTTCTCTAAGCTTCGTCTAATAAATCTAATAAATATATCTACAAAAAGAGAGTTGTTTCTACATTCTGCACAATTTTCATACAGCGCTCCATAAACATGAGAGTAAGTATGGAGTGGGGCCCAACTCTTAACAACTGAGCCCAGAATCCCTTGTATAAAGCTCCAAATCCCTCGGCCCTGATAGTCTTAGCAAAACAATCGATAGGGCCGCTATAAAGGTCTCCTCTTTGATTATAGACTCTGGTAAGAACGACATCCCACGGATTCATTACAATTGCAACTGCTACCCCAGCAGCCAATGAGGAAAGGAAATGCAAAGCTAGAGTATCATCTTTGACTATCTTCTCATACAACAAAAAATTCTTGGTATAATAGTACACTGGAAGCTGTGCAGCAGAACCGGCCCCTGTTCTTAAAATAGCTGCATCGACACCTCTAAATAATCCCTTGACACCTGCTATTTTATATACAGATGCTAACCCATCCCAAACGCTTTTATAATAAGTCTGCTGTCCAACATTCATGGTAGTTTTTGCTTTTGAATATGATTGCATCCTTGTCTTGACAAGGAAAAATGGAGAGCCTAGCACAGCACCTGCGGAACCCGAAAGAAACCCAGCGAAGACATTGATAAAAATATTCTGCGGAATGTTACCATTTTCAGTGAATATGGATGGACGAAGGTATTTAGTGAGATAGTATCTACTTGGTTCATATAATCCGATTCTGCAACCATTTAAACCCAATTGATAGCAGTATCCACCAACAAGACCTTGCTGTAGTCCTCTAATACCTTCATTCCTATAGATCCAGAAGAATGCTTGTATAGGGTTTTCGTATAGTTTGACAGCATTCTTTGAGCTTTTAACTAACTCACCTTGTAATTGCATCCGGATTTTTATCAACTCAATGGGGTTTGTGAAAGTTACAGCCCCACAAGCAGCTAAACCTCCCGCAACAAAGCCCCCGAAAGTAGATATACTTTCACTTATATCTTTGGAGTCCTTGTTCGTATCAAGCTTTGTACTCATCTTCCTGTGGGAAAGCTACTATCCTCAGATCTCGTTTAGTTCCAATCCAATGCATTTTTCATGCTGCTCATCTTTCGACATCAAGTCACGTGCTTGTAATCAATAATTCCTTTTTACTGGTCAGGAGAAGTTACAAGAGCCTGTTAGCTTTACGGCCTCTACTTGAGTAAGCCTAGAGATCCATTTCAATGCCATTAAGAATCATATCTTGCCTTAAGCTCTTTCTTTTCAATTTTGCTGTTCAATTTTTTTTTTCTTTTTTTCATGTTTTATGCCTCGCATTATCAAGAGATGAGAAATTAAGGTTTCGATTCGTTCTGTTCTATTCGTCAGTACCATAAATCAGAATTATGTTGAGCAAAAGTGTTCTTTTTCGAAGAAGAGCAGTTGATCTTAGTAAAAGATACCTCTCTACTACTGGGCTCAGAGAAAGCCTTCTAAAATATCCTGTGGGACAAAGTATACATGGTTATACTATTGAGAATGCGAGGGAAATACCAGAGTTTTCGCTTGTTGCAGTTCAGCTTAAACACTCCAAGACTGGGTCTGAACATGTTCACTTAGACTCACCTCATGATAAAAACAACGTATTTCTGGTGGCATTCAAAACTAATGCTCCTGACGCCACTGGGGTTCCTCATATTTTAGAGCATACCACTTTATGTGGATCTCATAAATATCCTGTCAGAGACCCTTTTTTCAAGATGTTGAACAGGTCTTTAAGCAATTTCATGAACGCAATGACGGGTCATGACTACACATTTTATCCATTCGCTACGACTAATGCAAAGGATTTCGAGAATTTGATGGACGTATACTTATCTTCAACATTCGAACCTTTGCTCACTTTTGAAGATTTCACTCAAGAGGGTTGGCGATTAGAAAACCAGGAAACTGAAAATAAAGAAAGTTCGTTGGCTTTCAAAGGTGTTGTTTATAATGAAATGAAGGGCCAGTATTCTAACTCAGCCTACTACTATTATATAAAATTTCAAGAAGCAATATATGCGTCCTTGAATAATTCTGGTGGTGATCCATCGAAGATTACTGACTTGAGTTACGAAGATTTAATCGAATTTCATTTTAAGAACTACCATCCATCCAATGCGAGGACCTTTACATATGGCTCATTTCCATTAGTGGACCATTTACAAAAACTTAATACCTTTTTTAATCAGTTTGGTCGTAGGCAGAAAAACTCTGTCACGAAGTTGCCAATTTTTACTCAAACTTCTGAAAATACTGATGTCACAGTCAGCGGCCCGGTTGATTCAATGTCGGGGAAGCCTATAGAAGAACAATATAAAACTTCGATTACGTGGAATCTAGGTAATCCCTTAGATGAGTCCAAGCAGTACGATATATTCAAGTGGAAAGCATTAAGCTCACTATTGTTTGATGGACATAGTGCTCCTTTTTATCAGGAATTGATTGAGACTGAATACGGAGATGATTTTTCAGTTAACTCGGGGCTTGATTCAACAACTGCTCTCTTATCATTCACAATCGGGATGAATAACATTTCTTTGGAAAAGTCAAATGATTTGAAAGCTAAGATTACAGATATCATTAAAGATAAAGTTCTTCCAAGGTTTTCGAATCCGGATAAGAAGTTTGAAGATAGGGTTGAAGCGATTTTACATCAAATTGAGTTGAACTTTAAAAAACACAAACCTGAATTCGGTTTAGGTTTGTTGAGTAGTTTGGTCCCTACCTGGGTAAATGGAATGTGCCCTATAACGATGTTACTGGTCGAGAAAATATTGAATGAATTTAAACAAGAATATGCAGAGAAAGGTCTTTTGATGTTCAAGGACCTCATAGAGAACAGCTTGTTGAATCCTGATACGCAAACTTTCAAATTCACTATGGTGCCTGACGAACAGTTTATGACTAAATTAGAAGTTGAAGAAAAGGAAAGGCTTCATAAGAAAACAAATAATCTATCGTCCGATGACAAGGAAATTATCTACGAACGAGGATTACGTTTGGCTGAAAAGCAAAAGACAGATGAAGATGTTTCTGTTTTGCCTACTTTGACATTGAAGGACATTCCTAGACAAGGAGACTTTTATGATTTGGAATTTTCAAGCACTGATCGTCATAAAATCCAAAAGAGAGTTGTGGATGCAAACGGATTAGTATATGTTACTGCGAAAAAAGATATATCATTTTTACCCTCTGAATATTATAAGTTTTTGCCACTATTTACGTCTTGTTTAACAAATTTGGCAGGAACTACGAAAACCTCAGTGACCGATTTAGAAACGAAAATTCAAAAATTGACGGGCGGTTTGCTGTTCTCAATAAGTCCTAAAACGGACCCTTTTAATGTGTCGAATACAAAATTAAGTTTCTTGATGAAGGGAATGTCATTGGGAGAAAATTCTCAACACATTTATGATTTGTGGAATGAAATTCTTTGCGAGACAAGGTTCGACGATGACGAAGAAGTTCTCGACAAGTTGAATATTTTAGTCAAAGGCTTGAGTCAAAATCAAATTAACGTGATAGCTGACAGGGGCCACTCCTTTGCTAGCTCTTTGAGCAATTCCAAACTTTCGCCAACCAAATTCATTACTGAGCAATTAAGTGGACTAGCTCAGGTTCAATTTGTCCTCGATTTGAATGCAAATCTCGAAAAGAATTCGAAGGATTACTTAGCGAAGTCTGTACTTCCAATTTTGAAGGATATTCGAAATTTATTACTTCAAAATGGACATTTCGAGTACAGCTTGGTTGGAAGTAATAAGCTTTTGAACGAAAATGAAAAATTGATAGAAAAATTTGACCAAAAAATGATATCCCGACCACCAGTCCAAAATAATTTAGAGTCATTAGTTGCCTCTTTCAAGGACCAGGGTTTGGAGAGCAGCAATACCTTAATTGACTTACCGTTCCAAGTTGGATATGCTTCCCTAGCAAAGGTAGGGTCAAGCTATGTTAGTAAAGATGGTGCTGCTTTGCAAGTTTTAGCTCAAATCTTGACTTTTAAACACTTGCATTCTGTCATTAGAGAATCAAATGGAGCTTATGGGGGTGGACTTACGTACGATGGGTTAAGCGGCACTTTGAACTATTATTCTTATAGGGATCCTAATCCATTAGTTTCTGTTGATTCTTTCAAAGATTCTTTTGAAGTTGCTTTGATGAAGGCTGCCGATTTGAACAATGAGGACTTGCAGGAAGCTAAATTAAGTATTTTTCAAAGTGTTGATGCTCCTATTCACATTGCGTCACAAGGTTCAAATGTATTTCTCGAAGGAATAACGGATGAGATGAGGCAGAAAAGGAGAGAAAACTTTTTGGATGTTGGTTCCCAAGATCTTAAAAATGTGGTAGAGAAATATTTGATTGAAAACAAATGCAATATTGTTACCGTGATTGCAAATAAGGATAAGTTGAATTTGAAGGAAGCTCAAAATTGGAATATCAAGAAGATGAGTGTAGAGAACCCTAACCATGTAAATAAGTAGCCTAGAAATTACATTTAGAAATACGCAAAAAAGTTTATTGTGCTAGTATATATACAAGATTATGCTAAGCTTCTATGTCTTCCGATCTCCTTTACCAGGAAAAGTCAAAGCTCAAGCTCTATGGCTTCTACTATAGTCTCGGGGAGTAACCTCAGGAACTTTTCTTTTCTTATCTTCGGTAAACAAGCAGTGTCTCTTTGCTATGGGATCATAAAGTATCAAATTTAATCTCTGTGTGCTCCTTGGGATATTAAACCACTTCTCGTAACCTGTCTTTGCTGCCGAAACCAACTTAACCATTGTATGTGTGGTTTTTGCTCTCGCCATATTATGTTCTATTAATAAGAGTTCTAATACTTCACTTTTCTACTCTACCAGCTTCTTAGTTTTAATTATTGGTATTTGATGAAAAAAATGAGATAAAGCTAGACTTCCAAATACGGAACGAAGCGACGTAATTAAGACATCGTGAATTTGTACGACACAAATGTCGTTTCATCCACGGTGCTTTTTCTTATTTTGTCTACAACGCGGAACTTATTTCTGTTGAAAACGGACACGAAGACTAGATCAAACGCCAAGTTCTAAATTAACTAAGGACACAAGCATTGAGCATATTCAAGTGATCCTCACTTAGATATTACATTAATATGAAGGCAAGGTTATCTTTTTCTGCTATTATATTATTCTTTGCGTTGCTTATTGCTTCGGTGAATGCTCTTCAGTTGGAGATTCAAGCAAAGAAGTCACCACAAGCTACTTGCATTAGAGATTTTGCACTTCAAGGTCAGTTGGTCGTTGTCAACATTAAGACCAGCGGAAGATCTGGAGATGGGCAACAATTGGACCTTAGAGTCGTTGATCTGCTTGGTAACGAACACAGACATAAGAGTGATATAGCTGGCTCAACTAAAGTCGCGTTTACAAGTCACCATAATGCAGCTTTTGATGTTTGCTTTGAAAACCATTTAGTTGGTCATGGTTCTTCAAGAAGTAATTTGTATAGAGAGGTTGAATTAGACGTTGAAAGTGGAGCTTCTGCGAGAGATTGGAATGCTCTTCAAACAGCTGAAAAATTGAAGCCAGTAGAGGTTGAATTGATCAGAATTAAGGAGACCACTCAGGAAATCGTCAGCGAATTGCAATACTTGAAGAGAAGAGAAGAAAAAATGAGAGATACGAATGAATCAACTAACTCCAGAGTCAAATGGTTCTCGATACTTATTATTGGCTCCTTAGTTGGATTAGGTGCATGGCAAATTCAATACTTACGTTACTATTTTAAGGTCAAACATATCATTTGATCCCTAGATCTACGTGTGAATAGAACAACCAGTACTCATTTAGCTTTTATTAGTGTAGAGATTAAATCTAAAGATCAACAACTCTTCGAATGCAGCTAAACTAAAGTTCGAAAGTTGTTCTCTATCATGCTCTTCTATCAAAAAGTTGAACTTTTCATTTCTGATACTATGTTGCTGAGTAAACGACTTGTACATTCTTACTCGAGTTTCGTCTGCTGAGTTCAACTTGTGTCGAAATATTTCGATATCTTTATTTTCATAAACACATTTAAGACGAAATTCAGTCAATAGCATTCCTAATAACCATGCAAGTACAAAATTTAATTTCCTCCATGTACAATAGAAGTCATCAAAATTCGCATATGTTTCGTCTTCAATAATAGCCGCATACGTATTTTCATCCAGAACTAAATCAATTGTGTTAATAGTAGCTTCCAGTATCGTCTGCGAGTTAGATTGCTCATCAATTCGACCCGTCTCAAAATTCACACCTGTTAGTTGATACAAAAGTGTGTATGTTACCACTTGTATCATACTTGATTTCACAAAATTTGGTATTCTTATCTCTCTCATGGAAGAAATAGCATAGAACAGCTTTAGAAAATTAAAATTGAACTGTAATAACCTTTTACATAGCTCCACAATTAAGCTTTTCAGCGAAAGATAACTCCGTAATCTACTAGACCTTTGAACTGCATTATTATCATGAAATGTTATAGCATAATAATACATTAGTAAAATAATTTTATACCTTATCTGGAACGAATCTATGCAATCACTAAACAGCGTAATATGAGGTAGATCTAGAAAGTCTCTCTGGCGAATGAATGCTAATTCAACATGATAGCAGGGATTTGGAATCTCGTTAAAAGGATAATAAATTCCTCTTAAAATGTAATTGAGAGCCATTTCATACAAGTCTGCTTGTGAAGAGTTTAATTGGGATAACAAATTCAACAATAAAACATTTGATGTACTGACATGACGTCCATCTAGCGAGTGATAGAATATTTTGAAGGAGTTTGTATCCTTCAATTGTTGGAAAGTATCAATTGTCAAATTATAGCCCTTGACATTTTTAACTAACTCATAATCGAAATTAATAGCCACAATATCAAAGATTAAATGTAAAACCTTGTTATAGGTTTTGTATATGGTATGGTATTTTACACTCTGAGTGCTCTCGTTTGTCGATAGTTTAGCACAATAAAATGTCCAGTCCATTAGATTCCAAATGTTAAAGTGGTTTATATTAGGATTTAATAAGGTGCCCAATAATTCGTAGTCAAATATTCGGATGCCTGGCACCAGACTTTCAGCTGAGGGTTTCATTCGTTTTCTTGGGGGTTGGTTGAAAGTGTGGTTTCCTGAATCCGAATCCAAATCCGAAAAATTTGTGTTTTGATATTCCTTAAAAGAAATAATTAGGTTACTTTGATCATTTGAATCATCTGAAGTTCGTGTTTCTAAATCGAAATTAGCTTTCAACACCTTATTTTGATTGCAAGATTTAGCCTTGCCTAAATCAGATCTTTCTGTAGCTTCAGGAGAAATTAACTTGGCTGTATTCTTTTCTTTCACTAAAAAGTCGGCTATAAGAAGGTAAAGTCTTTCATACAATACTTCTGTTGTAAAGTCACCGTTTTGAACTGATATTGGTAGCGAGTCTACGTATAGTCTCAATTGATTTATACAGCGATCGCTCAAGGGTGGCTTTGACAAAGAAGTTAAATAATCGTCTGATAAGCTGTTCATATACTCTTTGGTAACGAGAACTCCAAGAATATTGACTGGGTCTTTGGTATATGTAGTTCCTTCACATCTCGAAGCTAGAGTTAAAAGCGCTCTCAACACGTCAAGTGATGGAACAGAAAGGATAATAGGTCTAGATTCTTTTAAAAGGTGAGAGACCTCCTTGCTAGCAGCATAGCTTCGTTCTAAATAATTCAACAACTTCTCAAAGCGATCCACATTATTGAGATTACCATATTCGTTGTTTTGAAGTTCTGGAATTAGCGAATCAACAGCATCAGACTTGAATCGACGTAGGGTATTTAAGGTGAATAATAATTGATTACCAAGGTCGTCATTCTTTTCCATTCTATAAAGTGCTTTGATCGTCTTGTGTGAGATGAAACAATAAAAAAACATCTATATATGTCGCACTACTATAATATGATAAGCACCCAGTTTATGCCATGCTTATTATGGTGTAAAGCAAACATTAGAGGGCACTATGTAAAGGCAAGAGGTTTCATTGCTTTTTCAGAGATTTGATTTAAAATTTAAAAAAAAGTCATCTATAACAATTCAAATGGATGTACAAGAGGAAAAAGATGCAAAATTAAAATATAATGTACGATCGAAGTTGAAGGCATAAAAGTGGTTCATTATCGAATCAGGTCGTAAGTTTAATTGATCCCGAGTGATCAGTGGTATTAATGCATATTATATATCAGGTATTGATATCTAACATGTTCATTCCTATCCTATTTCACCTAGGTTGCCTAATATTTCGGCAAATTCTTTGATTGTGATACAAGGTCCAGTCTTAGGGGTTCTTAGACTGAAATTAATTCGATTTCCTTTAAAATCAGTAGATCCACAACTCAACATATCGATTAGAAAAGAATCTCCCAATGATTTGCCACTTTCTCTGTCCTGATCTAAATTTAAAGCCGTCTTAATCAGTTTCAAGTCCGGCAACGTCAACCTATATGCAACGATAAATTCTTCAGTGTTATCTCTTGACGAGGTAGCACTATGTACGAGTAGGCTCCAGCTATCAAGTATATGACCATAAGAGTTTCTGAACTTAACAAGGATGTTAAGATTCTTTATTAGCTTATCAATATCAAGAATATCAATTACGTCAGATGCAGTTTGAATTTGGCTTGTTATAGTGTAGACCCTTATTAAATCTAGAACAGTACTTTGCTTGATGTTAAGATAATCCAATTCCCATCCATGATCACCTAAATACTCATAGTAATATTCAATCGATTCACTGATATCGTCAGTAAAACATTTCGGGATCTGCAATATTCGAAATATTTCTTGTAGGTCTTTGAGTGAAGGATCTTCGTCTTCTAATGCCACTTTAGCATAAGCGGCTATTATCTCTTCTTCAACTTCCGTGTCAACCGAGTTGAATTCCTTTGACTTCGCAAATGTTTTATGTTTTCTTCCTGACATGATACTTTTCACTCAAAATTAAAGCGTAGGAGATGCGGCCCTAATTAGTAAGACAAATGAAGAAAATCTAAGGCACAATATCACTACACCAAATAAATTAGAAGAGGATCAAGTATGAGAGGGCATGGACCTGCTATAAAAACGTCTATTAGAGACATTACAAATGACTTGGAAGAACCACCTTGTCGTATAATTTTGAAGAATGAGTATGAACAACCTTCTGGTAGTTTCAAACTTCGTGGAATTGGGTACTTGATCTCGACATCTATTGCTGAGGCCAGGAGATTAGGCAAGGTTAACGTCCATGTGTACTGTTCATCTGGAGGAAATGCAGGGCTTGCAGCTGCTTACGCCAGTAAGGACCTCAATGTACCGTGCACAGTGGTCCTTCCAACTACCAGCAAAGATATAGTCATAAAAAAACTACAATCATTTGGTGCTGAGGTTAAGATTCATGGCCACCATTGGGGTGAAGCTGACAACTATTTGAAGGAACTCATATCCAACGCGGACGAGTCTACCTATCCTGTTTATTGCCATCCGTTCGATGATCCACGATTATGGGATGGTCATGCGGCAATTATTGATGAAATCATCGAAGAAAAACAGTTGTCTGAGCAAGATTTGTCCAAGATAGCTGCAGTATTTTGCAGTGTTGGGGGAGGCGGCCTTTATAATGGGATAGTAGAAGGATTACAAAGAAGGGAGCCTCCTTTATCAGATGTTCCTATCGTAGCCGTAGAAACTAAGCAATGTCCTACCTTCCATGAAGCTATCAAAGCCGGAAAAGTTGTGCATTTGGAATCTATTAATACCATTGTGACTTCTTTGGCTTCACCTTATTTATCTGAAAAGTCCTTAGAAAATTATCATCATCATGAGACAAAAACTGAGCTTATCGATGACTTAGATGCTATTATGACAACAGTCGACTTTTATGATAAATTAGGTCTAACATTAGAGCCTTCTTGTTCTGCAACTCTTCACTTTGCTCTCAACTGCCACCTATTACCCAAAATTATACCCAATTTAAAAAAAGACAGTATTGTACTTTTCATAGCTTGTGGAGGATCAGGCGTAGATGAAAGTGTAATAGATACCTATAGAAACCTTATAAAAGGATCATGAATAGTTAGAGGAAATGTATACTTTTAAAGTCAATGTGGACCGCTCTTCGACATATCGATGTAATAATTCTGAATATTCAAAATCGGCTTAATATAGTTGTGCTCGCGTGGAACACATGCTGATTGCTGTTTTAGGATATGATATTTTTAACAATAAAAGAGTATAGTAAATTCAACAGTTTTTATTTATTTAACATCAATATTATTTGAAACATCTCTGGAGGTTAAAGCAGAGTGACTATCAGCATATACAGATCTCATCGCTCAGTTTCCGCAATCATTTCACTTAATAACAAAAGAAGAAAGATGTCATCCTCGAACGGGGGAGACGGCTGGCTCCAGTGGTGGAGCTCTACGAAAACGAAGCAAGATGCGACGAAAGCAGATGATTCTATTAAGGATAATGATGAGAGTTCTGTGACTCAAACAGAGCCGTCGAAAGACAAGGGTCTTTCACCTCCTGATAAGGCTATTCGCCTCAAGCAGTCTTCTTCATCGCTTTCGTCTGTGGCAGGAGGGAACTGGCTCAGCTGGTCATCCAAGACAAATAAAAAGGCAGAAATGACAACACATAGAGATAGTGATAGGGATGAAGGGAACGAAGCTATAAAAAAAGATGAGAGGAAAGAAGACGATAACGACAATAGTAATGATAATGATGAAATTGATTATGATCCTGATGATAATGGGGACGAGGTAGACGACCATATTTGCAAAAGCAAGAGGAGCCATAGTTCAAGTTGGAATTTTTGGAATTCTAACGGAGGTAGTAGTAGTGACAATAATCACGGTATTAATCAAGAAGATAAAGAGGGAAATAAGGACGATAAGACGAAGACCAAAGAGAACGAAAAGGAGAAAAAAGTTAGCACAGCAAATACTATTTTGAGATCGACCCCGTCAATACCATCTAAATTGGAGGTGTTCAGCAATTCGATTGCCAAGGAGGAAAAGGCGAACGAATCCGACGACAATACACCTCCTCCGCCATCTGATAAGAGCGGTGACGATGCTGTATTGTACAAACCCCATGATAATGCGAAACAGTTTAATAAGATCAATACACATAAAAATGAAAACTTGAAAGAAAATGTTATCGTTCCCAACTGGAATCTGTGTTTGCCATATCAATCGTCTGCTACATCTTCAACGTCGTCGTTAGTCAGTTCAGCATTTGGAAGTAATTCTACTGCAAACCAAGGTAACTCATTTTCTTCCAAGGTTGACTTTAGAAATTGGAGACAGTTATTGAGTCAAATATCAACTAGACTAGGCTTTGGGTCACATTCTTTAACTAGCGTGGTCGATTCTGGTGATTTAAATCAGGATGAGAGTGACTCTATGGACCAAGTTGAGAAGGAGGTTAATTTTCTATATGAGAAAACCTACAGATTATATGGAAGATCATTAGCGAAGTTACCAAGTCATAAAAGGGCCTGTTTACCCAACTATAATAAAGCATATTCACAAACTCATAAGGACCGCGCAGCTAAGGTTCAAAATCAATCATCAACGAATAACCCAGACGATGATAGTAATAATATCTCCATCAGCAATGATCCTATGGGAAACCTTTTAATCAATCACAAACAATCAAACAATCCTAGCTACATGACTTCGGAGACCATGACTGATATAGCGTCTCAAAAAGTGGGACCCTTGAAGAGAATTAAAAAAATTCTTATAATAGGGGTTCATGGATTCTTTCCAACAAAAATGATACGCCCCATAATAGGTTCGCCAAAGGGTACTTCCTTGAAATTTGCGACTGAAGCGGAGAAGGCAATCATTCGTTATTGTTTAGACAATAATCTTTTCAATGAAAACGAAAATAATGTTAGCATTCAAAAAATTGCTCTTGAAAAGGAAGGAAAAATTTTTGATAGAGTCTCGTTTTTTACAGAAATCTTGATGAAATGGAAGAAAGAGTTGAATGATGCAGACTTCATTTTTGTTGCTGCACATTCACAAGGATGTGTTGTTTCAATAATTTTATTAGCTAAACTTATAGAGATGGGCATTCTAAATAATCCAATTAAAAAGAGAATTGGTCTCCTTGGCATGGCAGGAATCAATAATGGACCATTCTATGGAGTAGATAAATCGTTTTTTATGAAAGCATATTCCGCAATCGAGCATGACTCGTTAATGGAATTGTTTGAATTGACAAAATTTTCCAGTCCGCAATCTTTGGCATATAAAAAATCAATTCAAGTTATCGTGAACGCCAATGTCAAGATATGCCTTATCGGGTCTATCAATGATCAATTGGTACCATTATACTCTGCGTTGGCATCTCACATTTATCATCCAAACATTTATCGTGCCTGCTATATTGATCATTCGTCACAAACTCCCCCATTCATACAAAACCTAGTTTCTGTGTGCTGTCAACTACAAAATCTTGGTTATTTTGATAGTAATGTTTTGAAGGAATTAAGCACTTCTTTAGCGGGCTCATTTACTGGAGGTGGTCACTCAAAGATTTACAATGATGGTAAAGTATATGACTTAGGTATTAGGTTCGTCCTTGATACCGATGACATCGTAATTCCAGCTACAGATCCTTTGACAATAGCTCAAAGCGATTCCGATGTTTTTGACAAGATGCATCATCCAGCATCTAATAACCTTGCAACCGAAGAGCAATCTACTATGACTGCTGAAAACATGCTTACCATACCTGTTACAAATCAAGTCTATATCAAAGAATTCAACATAGGAAAGATAGGTACCAATCCCTTCATTCTTCCATGGTGTTTGAGAGGTTTGCTATTTAATGTCGAGAAAAACTGGCCAAACAACAATAAGTTGATTACTGTTGGCACAGGTAATGAAGTGGGGAGAAACGGTTATGATGAAATAAGCGATTTATATGAACTGTTTGAAAAGTGGAGTCCTGATACTAAGGTACTAAAAGATCTCAAGTTTAGACTTAATGGACTTCGAGCAAGCAAATTATAACCTGAAGTATACTAATTTTAAGGAGCATAGTTTATCATATAAAATGTCGTTTAAAATGTCGTATAACTTTATAATGCGCGTACTGATATATTTACTAATATAATAAAAGCATCAAAACAAAATGTGTAAAGGCTCTTCAAGCTGCTAAAGGGCAAGGCAATACTTCAATTCAGAGAATAATTGAAGCTAGAGCCTCCAATAATTTGTATATTATGCTCTTGAGCTACAGTTCAAATATGGAGTCGAGGAATGCCCAACTCGTTACTCCTGAGTCATCTGAAATAACAACGGAGGACAATCAGTCAGAGATACAAAATTCGGTTAAGCCTGAAGGGGAATTCGTATGTAATGAGGTAACTATTTCGAATAATAGAAACTCGAAAAGCACTAAAAGAAATTCTTACATAGACCCCGAGGATTTGGAATTTTGTATTAAATGTGATTTAACTAAAACCAACATCATAAATACCTTTCCTGGTATCGAATTCAAAGATGTTAAAAACGCTATAAGTGAAAAAGTTGACCTTGGATCATTAAAGTTTACTCCAGGTGAGAAACAATTCATAAAAGATAGTATCAGAGAAGGAAAAACAGTTGATACGATTTCTGATGCTCTTCCTTTACGAAGCTTTACTTTTGTAGAGCAAAAATACCATGAGATTGAAGTAGCAGGAGCAAGAAGAACTAAGTTTAAAAATGCTCAAGAAAAGTTGATTTATGAAGCGAAGTGGACACTAATGGAAGGCGGCACGAGTTCTAGGTCAAGTCGCAGATCAGCTATTTCAGACTTGCAAACTTTGGAACAAGCAGCCAGTCAAATTATACCGAAAGCACCTAAAAGAAAATTAACAGACGAAGAGCTTCAGAAGAGGCGTTGTCGTATGGAAGAAAGAAGAGAAGAGAAAGAGAAAAAAAGATTGCAAAGAATCGCTGAGATGGAAAAGCGCAAATTAGAGAAGATGGAAAGAGGCGAGCAGAAGGCCAAGCGCTCAAAAGGTAGCTCTATAAGTCAACTCCAGGAATCTTCTGAATATTTTCAGCTAATAAGTGGTGATAGAAAGCCAATTGAATCAGGTATGCAAAGAAGAAGGGTGCAACCTAGTCATTATATCCCTGAAGTTACGACCAAACGCGAGCCTAGGATTATTATCAAAACGAAATCTGGATCTGATAAAAGTCGAAAAGGGTCCAAGAAATTGATTCATACATCGAAGGAACATAAAAATGAGTCCGTGGTAACGAAAAAGAGAAAAAGGAGTGCAAAGGATTTGTCTGTCAACCATGAAACTAAGAAAGGGCTCACGGTGAAAATTGACAAAGAAAAAAAAGGATCAATGGAAGGAATGCCAGAACAAAAATTTAATCCTTTTGATCCTCTTGATATCAATCATGATAGTTATGTCTCTTTAGAAGGAAGAGATTTTTATGCATTTGACTTTTCATCTTCTACTGCAGTGCCTCAGCTCTCTTTCGCTGATAGTGATAGAACAAGTGTGATTGCTGATAATGAAAAGTTACCGATTAATGACAGCATAGCTGTGGATATAATGGCGTCTTTTCATAAAAGTTACAGGGATCTTCCGACGTCATTTCCGCCTTTAATGATAAACTCCCCAACTGGAGAGCGAATAATCAATCCTTATAATAGAATTGGCTTGAGATTTTTGATCTATCCTAAGCATTATGAGCTGTATATTCTAGCTTCTCCGAAAACTAATGAATTGAATCCTATTTTCGAGATTATAAAGTTGTTTCAAATCCATTACTCTTTATATTTCTCACATTCGGAAAAAATCAAAAAGATTATAATGGAGAGTTATTGCAAGAAATTGGAAGAGGCGGTAGAGGAAAACAGCTTTCCAGACTTCATGTTCGTTATAGATAAATGGAACCTTCTTATGATCTCATTATCACCAAGCGAAAATGACGTGGATTTTAAAGACATCAACGAAGGCATTAGGTTATATTTGGTTGAGACTGAACGAAAATATCCTACATATGACGATTTATCTCTTGATATCTTTTTTGAAGAGATCGTTAAAGGTTTAGACCATCTTGAACGAAACCAAGAAACAGAACAACCGAGCCCTCATTATGATCGTATTCAATCAAAGAAAGCGATAGGCACTATTACTCCTCCAATATCTTCAGAGGACGAAAAAGACTGCCATTGTCTGAGTTCGAAATTGAAAAAGAAATTTACACCCCAGTCACTTGTTTCTTCAAAGGCATACTTGAATTATTTGAAGCCCAAAAATTTCATTCCCGCTTTTTTTGAAAGGTTAAAGATGAATAAAAAAATGTCAAGATTCTGTTTACATCAAGTTTTTTTGAGGGTTTATTCGAGAATTGTTTCTACTGATTCTAGAAAGCTTCGGTCTTACAAGGCGTTTACTGCAGAAGTCTATGGAGAACTCTTACCTTCTTTTACGAGTGAGGTTCTTTCAAAAGTGAATTTGAACTCCAATAAGAAGTTTTATGACCTAGGATCTGGAGTTGGTAACACGACATTCCAAGCAGCTTTGGAATTTGGCGCAGCTATTAGTGGTGGATGCGAGCTCATGTCTCATGCATCGAAACTTACAAGAGATCAAGAAGTTCTTCTACTGAAATATTTATCACTTTTTGGTATAAAACAGTTAAAATTGGACTTTGCATTACTGCAAAGCTTCGTGAATAATAAAAATGTCAGAGATGCTGTTCTCAAGTCAGATATTCTTGTGGTGAATAATTATTTATTTGATGCCAATTTAAATGGAGAAGTCGGCCGTCTTTTATTTGGTTTAAAACCTGGTACTAAGATAATAAGCTTGAAGAATTTCATCCGCCCAAGATATAGAGCAATGGGAGATACTGTCTTTGATTATCTCAAAGTCGAAAAACACGAAATGAGTAGCTTCCTTTCCGTTAGCTGGACAGCCAATAAGGTTCCTTACTACATTTCGACGGTTCAGGATTTAATTTGTCCTGAATATTTGTAGAATATATATATATGTTAAAAGTTCCTCAAAAAAGTTTAATAGAAATTCTATGAATATCTCTAACGAATTTAATCCTTTTTTAGCCTTTGACATAAATTCCAATGCTTGCTTAAGAATTATTATTTGCTGCTTCAACGGACCCTGCTCTAGTACTCACGTTAGAACTATTAGGTTTTGACTTCTTTCTAGCTGTACCATCCATCTCTCTAGAAACGGCTAATAACAACGTATTCACCCGTCTTCCTATCTCCTGAGGTGTCCTCGAAAGTATATACCAATCAAACTTAAAGAGATCGCTGGCACATATTTCTTCCTTGATTTTTTCAAGTAAATTTTCGGCAAAGAGGCCATGCTTGTGCACGCATTTAAGTATAAATCTATCTTCGAGCTTTGAGTAAACACGCTTGGAGTTGTTCGGAGGATACTGCACTTTTAAATCTCCCATTGGATCCTTAATGTTCTCCATTTTGAGATTTAAAAGTCTCTGCTGATTTGCCAATTTTTCTGTCTTCTTTTCACTGCTTTCAATTTGCGAAACATATTTGTCGTATCCTTCCACAAGCTTATAAGAATCCCAAAACTTTTTCAGATATTTCTCAACTTCCTCCTCAGTTTTATTCCCCAAAGCCTTGGAGATATTCTTGTAATCAGAACGTCCAAATTTTGCAGATGCATGTATGAAGTTGGTAAAATCTCTTCTGGACCAACTGTGAAAGCTCTGAGCTAAAAGTTCGTTTTTCAAATCAATTTCTTCTTTCGTAAGTGGTACTGCCTCATCAACTTTCCTTTGTTCCTGCTCTCTCATTTCATCTCTACTCATTTCCTCTTTAAACTCTTCTGACAAAAATTCTTCATCACTATCACCAAACTCATCCAAGGAGTATTGGAGCCCAATTTCTTTTTTATAAGCCAACTGTTCTTTTTCTAACAATTCTTTAAGTCCCTGAGGAAAAAATTGATGATCCTGAATATTGTAAACTTTTGGAGCCTTGGGTCTTGCTTGGATACTTTTACTATTATTCTTTTGACCACCTAAGGAAGGTTTCAATACGTCCTTGTAATAATTATCGACTGAATAAACATGTTCCTTTCTCTCTCTTTTAGACGGATTAATCCATGCAAATGCCGTATCCCCAGAATTGTCTTTTTTAGCAAAATTCTGACCATTCCATTCATATGTAGAAGAATCGGAAGTAAAATTTTGTAAATCATCTAGCCCGAGCTTGTCAAACTTTGCATTTAAAGTGGCAGTCTTTTGAGCACCTTTTTGTAAGATTGCTTCAATGTCATCTTCTAGCATAGATTTGTTCTCACCTTGTGATTCGAAAACTTTCCTCGCTCCATGTTGAATCATACCTAACAAATCTTCTTTAGAATTTCCAAGGCCATTACTATTATCTAAATGTCGACCCTGCTGAATAACCAATCTATCCAATCTTAGCTTTTGCGCAGCCCTTTCCAAAACTTTTTCTTCTATAGCATTCTCAGTGACAAAACGATATACTTTGACCTGTTTTGTTTGACCTATACGGTGTGCCCTATCCATTGCTTGTAGATCAGCCTGAGGATTCCAATCTGAATCATATAAAATTACAATGTCAGCAGTCGTTAAATTGATTCCTAATCCACCAGCCCTTGTCGTCAATAAAAATATGAACTTATTTGAATCTTTGGCATTATAGTCATCGATAGCGTCTGTTCTGTCCTCATGACTAGTTGATCCATCGATACGACAATATTCATAATCTCGAAGGTAACAATAATCTTCAAGAATGTCTAAGAGTCGAGACATTTGGGAAAATATTAATACTCTTGATCCGTCCTTCTTAAATTTTTTCAACATCTTATCCAAGATTATTAATTTACCAGCATTATTCACCAAATGTTCATCAGTTGTGTAAGGTGGACCTGGTTCCGCTCCGTCAAACAAGTAGGGATGATTGCAACATTTCCTGAGTTGCATAACTATATTCAATAGCCTTGTCTTACCTTCCTTTTTTCCAACGACACCATTTACAGCGTCAATGTCTTTTTCTAACAAATTTTTATACCATTGAATTTGCATATCAGTCATTCCAATGTAAACGTTTGATTCAATTTTAGGTAGCAAAGACTTTTCCACGTCTGACTTAACTCGGCGTAACAAGAATGGACTTAAGATGGTATGAAGTTGCTGTACGACGTTGTCTTGATTTTTCTCTTTCTCTTCTTCGGTTCTGCCACCATGCATTTCAAACCAAGCGTCAAAAACATCAGAATCACCAAATACATCGGGGAGTAAAAAGTTCAAAAGAGCCCATAATTCGTGCAAATTGTTCTGCAAGGGTGTACCCGTGATCAACAAGCGATTTTTCGAATAGAAGACTCTTATAATTTGCGATAAAGAACTATCTTCATTTTTAATCCTATGAGCTTCATCAACAACTAAGTATTCCCACTTAATTTTCTTAAATTGCGATTTTTCCCGTATTACCATTTCGAAAGAAGTTATCAACACATCAAAATCAGCTGTTAATAAACGATTTTGGATTAACTGGTGTCTTTCTTCTTTGTTGCCTTGTAAAACCAACACATTGACTTCAGGAGTCCATCTGGCAAATTCTCTCCTCCAATTATCCAAAGTTGATTTCGGAACAATTACAATGAAAGGTCCATTAATCAGTTTGACATGTCTAAGATATCCTAAAAATGCGATTGTTTGAAGAGTCTTACCTAAGCCCATTTCATCGGCCAAAATACCACTCAACCTGTTTTCATATAATGATATCAACCAGTTAATTCCCTGAATTTGATACTCTCTGAGTTTCCCATCATTTATATATGAGGGTGACTCTGTGAAAACGGTACCCTGTGAATCCTCGTCGCCAACTGTGGCCTCGTTCTCCAATAATTCAGCATCTTCTTCTTTCTCCGATTTACGACGTCTGTTCTTTTTTTTGTTGTTCTTCGGCGATGTGAATGAGACTTTTTCGTCAATTTGTTTCACTAGGTTCTTAAAATTAGGATCCTTTGATGCGTTTAGATCGATAAAATATCTAAAAAGATGAGACAATCCTAACAAGTACTTGAATCTTTTGGTTGCGTCATCCACATCATGCAATCTGGCTTGCTTGGGGTCCATGCCTAGAATATATCTCTTTCTTCTTTCTATTAAAGTTTCTGTCTCTGTCGAGTTTGTTTCATCTTCAAGGTGTTGTGAAGTGTTGCTTATTTCTGTCATTGCAGCAACTGAATGATTCGGATGAGTTTCTATAGCAGTTGGGCGGAACAGTAAATCTTATATCTAAAACTCGAAGTTTCGAGGGTTTCTGGATTATATCCGCATAAGGTTGATTCTATCAAAGAGGTGTTCTTATAGGTAAAATAATAAAAAATAGAGAGGTTATATTGACTTCTGCGACACTTGTAACTGTCGATCGGGTAACAAAATTATATTCAATAATCTTTTATATTACTATGAAACTACATTTCCGTCTATTAAACCCCAATTAATCTTCTTCTTGTGCTTTTTATCTAGCCACTCGTTACATTTCTTAAAGACTTGCAGCTGAAAGAATCCTCTATGAGCAGACAAGGGCGATGGGTGTACAGTCTTGAGCACTAAGAAATCAGAATTTTGCAATTGTCTTGCGAACCTAGCCACTCTATTTTGAGCTGGAGAGCCCCAAGCCATAATCACAAACCCACCCCTATTTTGGAAATAATTTATAGCAGTCTGAATAACTTCCTCTGTGAAAAGTTCCCAGCCCTTTCCGGCGTGTGAATTAGCTTTGTGGGCCTCGACCGTTAGGCAAGCATTGAGCATCAAGACGCCACTTCGAGCCCACTTGGTTAAATTTCCTCCTCCTGGTGTACCGTTCTTGGCAAGCTGGGAAGTATCGGGGACGATAAACTCTGGATAATCAATTGAAAGTGTCTTGTAGATGTTCACGAGCGAAGGTGGAGGTTTGGTGGGCTCCAATACTGAAAAGGCCAATCCGTGCGCTTGGTTGTAGTTATGATATGGATCTTGTCCTAGAACCAAGCACTTAAGATCGGGTAGTGGTGTATAATGGGACCAAGAGTATATCATATGTCTAGGAGGGAATATAGTTTTATTGGATTGTGATTTCAAAAATCGTTTGAGATTAAGAAAATATGGCTTTGTTAATGATTTATGTAAAAAAACCAACCAGGTAATATGCAAATGTTCTATCTCTATGTCAAGTAAATCGCGTTGCTCCTCTGTTAATGATGAAACCCATGTTTCTTTGTTGAAATTATATCTCGCACAGAAAGAAGCATAAGGATCCGTAGAACTTTCCTTGTCGTTCAATTTATCTAAATCACATTCTTCATGAGACTCGCCAACCAGTTCTGTTGTATTTGAGGTCTTTAGCTTTTGAACGTTAGGTTCTAATGTTTTATTGTCCCTTGTGATTTGAGAAGAAGTCTTTTCCACTTTCTTTTTTTTTACTTGAAAAAAATCAGTAATGAAGACCCTCTTCTTATGGGTCAAATTTGAGGACCCCTTATCGTTTGAATCACTAGCTAAAGACATGATAGCTGTAAGGTTTCTTTTTAGATCTTGGGTTTCATTTTCTCGCATAGACTTATCATCAAACGCGTATTAAATTTAATCTGAGCCCGTACCAGGACACGATAGTAAAGAACTGATTTGAAATGCTCTATTTCAGAGATACGTAGATAACTAAAATAACTTATTGAGCCCATATGGGTAGTCAGGCTCCTTCGTCTCGAAGATGCTAGTTAGACAACTATATAAAAGGTAAAGAACAATTGCATTTGAATTAATTAAAATGAACTTCTTCTCTTCCGAATTGATAAAGCTTGAACTAGTGATTTTGTACTTGCCAAGATATACAAGCGAAATGAATGAAATGGCTAGGCTTAGATAATTGAGCGCAATTATGATTGTTTCGATACCAAATTGGTAATGAATGCCTCCACTTATAACTGAGATTCCACCCCGATCGTTCTTCGCAACAAATGGAACTTTTTCCATGGTAGAGAATTGATAACCACAAGTGAATGTCAAGATTAAGAGGATAGATATAGCCATGTAAATAGTTTTTTTTGAAGAATTATTGAAAAACTGTGAGTTTTTCTTCTTTATAATGACAACAAGAAGTAACGTCGGAAGAAAGGCCCTGAGGAAGTGATATACTGGATTCTCTTCTCTCAAGATTATGCTTTTTTGAAGGACTTCTGACATAAATCTAGCAAATTCTAATGCTTGTTCATCTTTTGACGCTATGGGAACCTTAAAAATAAACCTAGATTCATCCAAAATAGTTACCTCTTTGTCCTGATCGATGTCTCGCTGCTTTCCAGGCGGCACGAGCCAAATATGAGGTACGGTATTAATATTTAAGTGGTTCGCTAATTTAAAATTAGCTTTGAACTTCAAGTCCACGTTTATGAAGAATAAGAAGTTAGTGCTACCGTAGTCTGAAAACCATGCGTTGGACACTCTAGTCACCATTGATTCTATTTCATGACAAAGTTCACACCCATGCTGAGGGTCATTAGAAGTCAATACCAACAATGTATAGAAATCTCTATCACCCGAAACTAGGGATAAATCACCATCGGTGACGGGTATGACGAAGTTCTCATTTTCGTGGGATATCGCTGAAAGCCTCGAAGAAGTATCGGATAAACACAGCACCAAATGAGATATCAAAACAAATAAAAGGAAAGACCTTTTAAGTAACCAATTCAGCATCAATTTCTCAAACTTCCAACGTTAACAGTATCACGGATATCAATATTAGTATGATCAGTCTCTTATATCACATAAACAAGCTTCTACAAATGACACAAAACGACTTTCAAAACGGTTTCATAAACTCAATATCTATTATGCACGAATGTATCTATATAACAAGTTAAATAGCTTCAGTGGTGAAATCACTCCTTTCATCTCTATTTATAATCAAAAATCCGATTGTAACAATAATTGCACCGAATAAATATAGCAAATTGATCGCAAAGCCCTGCAATACCCAGTCACCTATCATGGCTAGAGGGATCGTCAAAGACAAACCAACTGTAACCGTAAGTGGACTAGTAAGCAAAACGGCATTACACCAGCAAAAGTCACTAATGAAGGTTAAAACTGCATTCGAAATTATGATAATAGAGACTTTTGAATTTGGAGGTAATTCAAATGTCTCATATTTTGTTACATGCAAAACAATTAAGAATGGCCATAAAAATATCAAGCTGTAAATACCCACAAAGCCAAAGAATAAATGAGTGTTTAAAGTTCTTTCTTTTACCGAATATTTTCCTTTTGTTTTCAATTTCAAAAGAATAGTATATGTTCCATAGATGATGGCCCCCAATAATGCCAAAGTGTTACCAACGAGTGCCATGAAATTAGGGTCACTGGAGCCATCACTTGGGGTACTCCAGTCCATATCCGTGACGAGAAGTACTCCAGCAAAACTCAATAAAATGCCAAAAATTTTGTTTTTATTAATTTTTTCCACAGAATAAAGATAACCAATAAGTAAGGTGAAGAACGACGACGTGGAGGAAAGAATTGTCTGTGAAGCTACCGATGTGTATGCAAGTGACGCGTTAGTCACTAGATTAGCGAGAAACCATAATGTTGTAAATTGCATCGAAAGCTTGATGGTCTCAAATGGTCCAATCTGCTCGTCCCTTGATCCTATGATTCTAAAGCCATCATTGAAGCCTGCTAAGTCATCATTTGATCCGTACTCTACCCTCGCTTCTTGATCATTCGTCGTACGAAGTTCAACTCTTTTATAATCTTCTTTCACGCTTTTGATAAACTGGTTTAAGCTTATATTTTCATTTCTAAGATACCCCAAAAAGTAAAACGAGAAACAGCCTGTATTTATGTAGGTAATCAAAAAAGGTTTCCTATACAAGTCTCCACTAGCTAGTATGTTAACTAAAAAGCTTGACGCGACCCAAAAGATAACCACAGATGCTAAATTAACAAGACCTAAAGCCCACTTTTGTTTGGCTGAAAATTTGTTAGCCAGTCGAAAAAGACTCGAAAAGTACAATTGAATGCTAGTCCTTAATCCGCCTTCTGACTCCATCGTTTTCCTTTATCTAACTATCTAGAGTTTGTACGATAATTTAAGCTTATGTAGTTCCTTTCGCTTTATTGTAATCAATTATGAGTCCGGCGCCTTATCGTTTACAAAACTTACGTAAGCACAGCATTAGAACAAGAACACATTTTTGACCTTTTTGAGAGCAGATTAAAGAGCCAATCTCAATGTCTTGGGGATGGGGAAATGAGTTATATTTTGAAAGCTCTATGGTTTTAATAAATTCTTACCAAGTGTCTCCAAGAGTTTACTGAATTGTTTGCAGTACAACTTTTCTATTTGCCAAAAAATATGCAACTCATGTAAGACATGAAACGAACTGTAAGAAATTTCTATAGTGGGACACTTGTTTTTATTGGGATTTTGAATGTGATCTATGGTACAAAGGGATTTTTCAAAGGAGTTAAAATGCTCTACATTGGCTCGAGTCTAATTGTAAAAAAATAGTATGGAGATTGGCATATATTTATGAAGCTCTATCCTTGCATAGAAGTTTATATCAAATCGCAAAAAGCATGCTAAATGCTCTGAATTGCAAGCTTTTCAAAGCTATTGTAGTATTTGGAATTCATTTTACATTTTGTGACGATAAAATCTTGGCTATAGCGTGTGAATCACATCTTCTTTTAAAACTAATAACTTTTAGACAATATTAGAACGTTTTATTGTTCTTTAAATTTGCAACTTCATTTTGGGATTCAAATGATTCTCGACATAAGAGTTTATCAACTTAGACAAGCCAATTGCGCGTTCCTCTTCATACCTTGGTGCCACAACTTGTACACCGATGGGAGTGCCGTCATATAATTCAGCATCATAGTAGTCATAAAGAACCCTATCGTCCTCATCTAACGGTTGATAAGTTTCGTCCTTAATATCTGTATATTTGTCAGCCAAAGTGATTGGAGTTGAAACTACCGCATAGTCAAGAACATTAAAAGCTCGAGTAAAATTGAGCTTGAATTTTTTTATGTCCCCAGGACGAAAGGACGCCATAGGTTGTACGGGCAATATTAAACCATCGACAGGTCGTTTCGTAGTTGTAATATTTGCTGTTTCAAGCCAGAATTTATCAAAGTCACGCTGGTATTCATATTTCCTGGCATATTGATCCCAATGTTCATTTACATTAGCAACTCCTCTGCAACGGTTTCCATCTTCATCAAAAGCTGAAATGGTTGTACAAGGTTCCCCAGAGTGTTTGCATTCCTCTAGAATTTCTCTGCATCCATCTGCATAAAAAATTTCACCGGCAAATGTAAATAGTTGCTGAAGAGTGAAAGGAGGGCTTAATTCAATCACTTCGTGCCCCTCTCTTTTCAAAGAAGTTACAACCATTTTAATTGCTCTACGAACAGGAGGATGTAGGTAACCTATGTTGTTACAATCAAAAATTCCAAAGGAAAGTTTCTTAGGAGGTTCATAATCTCTCCAAGGTATTGGTAAACACCTTGGGTCATTGACCCAGGGCTTTTGGTCCAATACTAACTTCGTAATGTATTGAAGGTCATCAATATTTACACTCATGGGGCCCACAACAGAGCACATTACTGGTTGATTTGCCATTGAGTTAGTTATGTTAAGATACGGTAATCTATTGGAGCAACATCTTAGACCAAAGATCCCTTGAGAGCTGGAGGGTAGCCTTATACTACCTCCAATGTCTGTCCCAAATCCCAAAACAGAACCATGCGAACCCAACAAGGCGCCTTCACCACCAGAGGATCCTCCGCAAGATAAATTCCGATTTCTTGAATTGCAAGTAATACCATAGATGTTGCTATTTGTTTCTCCTGACATCATGGCCATAGGAGTTGTAGTTTTAACATAGAATACAGCGCCTAAGCTTTCCAAAATCTCAGCTAGTAGAGACACTTTGTCTTTCGAAATCGGAGAGTATAGCTTACTTACATACCCAATGGCAGAGTCAATTCCTTCCAAGTTTATCTGGTCTTTCAAGGAAATAGGGATGCCATGTAATGGACCTATAACCTCGTTATTTTTTTCGTAATATTCATCCAATTGACTGGCTCTTTTCAATGCTCTGTCAAAAAATATCTCACTACAGCAGTTGCACATCTGTTGAACATACGCCGCTCTTTTGCAAAATGCCTTGACTAAGTCATAACTTTTAATTTCTCCTCTTTTTATCATTCTCCTCAAATCCAATAGGCTCGTATGTACGATTCCATTTTCCACATCACTCATAATTGAATTCAAGTATCCTTCTACATCAGAAACACTGTGTACCGTGGGGACCCTTTTCAACACCCATTCATTCGGAATGGAGTCTTTCAAGTCCTTGCGCTTCCTATGTACAACTTCATTCCAGTGCGTTGTTGTGGTGGTTTTAATTTGGTCCATAATGTAGCGAAGTGTGAATATAGTTGTGATATCTCTAATTTTAAAATGTGATCAAATATATTGGTTTTTATATTTGCACTATGTACCATTTATGCCAAAGTAATTAGAAATAATATTCAAGAAGGAAAGGAAGCTCCGTTTCTATCATTGTATTGAGGAGAACTAACCTTATCTTGCAAAACATATGTAAGAAGTTGAGGCTATTCAACTCCGTCCGAATCATTTGGAGTATACCTGTATATACAACCTGAAGATGCACGTTCGGCTTACTACAAATAAGTTTTGTACCCGATTAGATTTATCTTTAATGATTGATAAACTTATATACAGTAATTGATAAATGCACATTCGGCTTACTGCAAAAAAAATTTCGCTCAAAATAGTTCTAATCTTTAATTTATTATCAAGAGATTCATTTCCAGCGTATGTTCAAAACGATATAAAAATATAAATTCCTTGTGGGAATTTCATCCTCATTAGTTTATCATTCCTCAGGAAGGATTATTTTGTGTCTTTATATACAGCCACTTGAGAGTTCTTTTTAAAATACTTGTGTTATTTGTCTTTTACAATACAACTTTATTTGTGAGACATATATAAAGGTTTATCACTATTAAAAGAGATTTTAGTTGCTTGCGTCATGTCTTTGAAAAATTTTAATCAAGTTACGGGGGAAGTTGAGTTGGAGACTAATGGATCTAATGGTGACCTTGATAACGATGATTTAGACTTGCTCCAAATGGGTCATACTCCCGCACTACAAAGAAATTTCAGCAGATTTTCTTTATTGGCTCTCTCATTTATGATTGTCGATTCTTGGCTTGGAATTTCTACCAGTCTTGGAACGGGTATAAGCTCAGGTGGAACAGCCATGTTAATATATGGCAGTCTTGGTGCTTCGTTTTTTACCCTTTGTATTGCGCTTTCGTTGGCCGAAATAGGTGGCGCATATCCTACTTCTGGTGGACAGTACCACTGGACCAAAACTTTGGCTCCTAAAAAAATTTCAAGGATAAGCTCCTACCTTTGTGGATACTATAATACTTTTGGTTGGTGTACCACATCTGCTTCTGTTAATCTAGCCTTGTCTCAATTTGTGATGGCTATTATTATTTTATGTCATCCGGATATAGAATATCATCGTTGGCAAGGATTTATTATTTATCAGGTTATGAATATAATAATCACCTTTATGAATGTTTTCGGACATTCTATAATTCCCATTTTTAATAAGGCTGGGTTTTTGATTTGCCTTAGTGCTTTTATTGTGATCAACTGCACCTTGATAGCTACCGCAGACAAAAGGAACTCTGCCAAGTTTGTTTTCGCCAGCTTTACAAATAACACAGGGTACGAGTCGAATCCTTTAGCTTTCATCGTAGGTTTATCTTGCACGGCATTTTCTTACGGTGGGCTTGATGGATCAATTCACATTTCAGAGGAACTAAAAGATGCCAAAAAAACTTTACCCAAGATCTTAGTAATGACTGTTGTTATTGGATTCGTTACAATGTTTTTAACAGCAATTGTAATAAGTTTTTCGATTCAAGACCTTAACGGATTGATTGACACACCAACTGGGGTTCCAATTATCGAATTACTTTATCAAACAACAAAAAATAAAGGGGCGTCAGTATTTTTAAGTACCGTGTTGTTGTACTTGACAATGTCTGCATTTATTGGATGTCAGGGGACTTCTAATAGACTAATTTGGGCATTTGCAAGAGACCATGGTTTACCTGTTTCACATAAATTATCAATAGTTAATTCAAAATTTAAGGTTCCTGTTAATGCCTCCATCTTATGTTGGTTTATAATATCAATTTTGGGGTGTATATACCTTGGTTCCTCGACAGCTTTTAATGCACTTGTGGGATGCAATGCCTTGATGGGTTATATCTCTTTTGCTTTTCCTATCGCATTCCTATTGTTAGGAGGAAGGAAACGCTTGAGCAAAAGTACTTTCGAATTGGGTCCTGTCTTTGGTTCAATTTTGAATATCTTAGCTTTAGGATGGATAATATTTGCAGTTGTTATGTTGGAATTTCCGTATACAAAACCCGTGACCGCTGGCAATATGAATTACTCTTCTGCCATAATTGGAGGTACTGGTATTATTGCTTTAATATGTTGGATAATCAGCGGCCGTAAACACTATTTTGAAGACAAACTTGAAGAGAAGATTATTTCGGAAATTTCTCAATCGATTTGAAGATTTGTTGTACTTAAATGTTCGCAATAATTATGTAAAAATTAACAAAATTAAATGAATTCTTGAACCAGAAGTATGCTTTAGTGGCTTCTCTTATCATTGTAAAGTCTCTTTAGTAAATTACACCACAAAAACAATTAACTGCTATGACTCTCAACCTTCAAATTAGCATCACATGAATAATTGTTGACTCAATAAAAGAATACTAGCTGCGAAAAGTTTAATATGATATCTACATGCCTGAAAAACTTGAGCTTTGAATTTTATTAAATTGATGTAGCATGAAGTAAGAAAGCACTAAATAGCAATTGTGTTGGGAGCTGATAAAGAGAAATTCTGTCGATGAAAAATAGGCATATCTGAAGAAGAATATAATCTATTTTTTATAACTTAGAAGTATTAAAAAGCTGCATAAGTAGCTCATTAACTTTTGATGCTACGCCGTAAGACAATTCAAAACCCATTCCTCCAGCCCCGTAAGCATGGATTATGGTATTGTTCTCAATTTTCTCAACTTCAATACGACAGCCATTTTCTCTAGCTGGCCTGAATCCAACATTCACTTTTTTCACATCAAATTTTCCATTGATTTGTAACTCGGGAAACAACTTCCTTGCCCTTGATTTTATGGCTTCAGTGTCTTCGAGTCTTTCATATGGACAAAGGTCATCGGGCTGCTTAGTTCCTCCAAGAATAACTCCTCCAAAAAACGGTCTTGGAATAACAAATGTCCAAGCTCCGTCCTTCGATTGATGTGTGACAGTTTCTTTTAAATACGGGCAGTCATCCGGTACTCTAAGAAGCAATGTTTGGCCTCTTATTAAAAATACCTTAGGGTCATAGCCTCCACTATACTGCAAACCTTTGCCAGTCGCGTTAACAACTATCGAGTTCGGGTACGTTTGAAAAACCTGCTTCAAAGACATTAATTCGCATCTTACAAACTCAACCCCATATTTCATTGAAAGTTTCCGTTCAAGATACTGAAGGTAAAGTGGAGCATTTAACACCCATGTGGAATAACTTGTGCCCATAGCTACGCCGTGGGGTAAATTCTTCTTTGGAAGCTTTTTGAAGTTACTCATTTTATCACTATATCCAGGTGATAGATTTAAATAAAAATTATCTGGTGCTTCAAAATATTCCAACCCATCAAGAAAGCGGATTGAAGATTCAGGCTCTTCACTCTCAAGCCGCTTAAAGTATGTCTGAGTTTCCCTGGTCAATTGCATCTCCCTTTCATCGCTGAGTGATCTGCTGGGAAATGGTCTAAAATGTGCACCAGCCCAAGGAGATGTATAGTTAGAGCTCAAGGGATCTCCTGGAAAATGATTCGAAATAACTTTGACCGATTTTCCGTTTTCTGCAAGTACAAGGGCACAAGTAAGCCCAATCACACCAGAGCCAACGATGATAATATCTCGTGACATACTAAATAATTGAAGATCGAAGAATAGTCTAAACAATTAAAGAATATAACTTTACGAGTATTTTACAATATGAATTTCTGCTCATGTGGATATGATACGCTTTAAATCTTTTGACTCGAGTTAATCAGAACAATATTAAAAAAAGTAAGGCAAAATAGTATTCTATGTGAAATAATAAGACGTAAGCAATTGCAAATGGCTCTTGTGATAGGACCTGATACGAGTTTCTTGTATACAGTATTCAACATGCACGTTCGGCTTACTTCGAAAGACTGATTTGCATGAGCAACACTTTTCGGCATGAGACCTGAGACAGCGCTTTTACAAAAAATGACCGGGGATTAAAAAATAATGCCATAAGTCATTCATTTATTGCTCCTTCCAAAGTTCCGAAAACCGAAGTATGGTAAAAAATGCAAAAATTGAGCACGTCTTAATCGTTGTAGCAAGATCCCGAGGTCACGTGATAAATATTGTAATGAAATAATTTTAGCTCATATATCACTCACAATATTGTGAATGAAATGATACCGTGTATCTTTCAAGATTTGTATAATGTTTACTAATGAGCTTGAATTCAAGTATGGAATCGAAGGAGAATTATCGGAAGTATGTACTGGTTCTTAGTTTATCGCAAGGCAAAGTGGAAAATAAAAGGCCCCATAAACAATATAAGAGATCCTTCCTTGGTTGCATGAGATGTAAAGAGAAGAAGATAAAGTGCGATGAACTCAAACCACGTTGTGAAAACTGTAAGAAAAGCAGATTGACATGCATATGGCCAAATCGAAAATCACCCAAAAAAAAAGGTAATTTGGAAGTAAGCCCACGTAAAAGGGATGCAACCTTGAGCCAATTAAAATCAACTTGGAGACCTGATCTAATCTCAATAGATTCACCTTTATCAACTGACATCAAGGTGGAAACTAAAGGGAATTTTTTACAATATATTTTTAAAGATTCATATCCCTCATATATTTCAAGAATTGGTTTACCAGATCAAGAATCTGTCTTTTCATCTTTCTTTCTTAACAAGTTTTTACCATCTATGGCGCGACATTATTTCCAAGAAACGTATTACCTATCAACGCTCTTCCTTGAAAAAGCGAAAGAAGTTTCCATTCTTCAAGAGTTAATTTATGCTTGCGGAGCTTCTATGTTAGCATACGAGGATCATCTGTATGTTAATATTGCTCGCAAAAGGTACAAAAAAGCAATTTCATTATTTATAGAAAAGATTAAACAGGGATTTATTCGAGGGTCTGAAGATTGGTTACTTGTTGCTGTTCAAACTTTGCAGGTGTTCAGCTTAAGAGACAGACACATTGGACCTAATACAACCCAGTGTGCATCACACTTTAGTGCTACATGTGCAATCGTAAGGAGAAGATTGATAAACTCACTGCAAAAGAATTATCAGGAGCAAAGTATAGGTACATCTGGAGAAATATGTCTGGTTTTAGAAGGGAAAGATTCGAATGTATCTGTGGCTTTGTCGCCGTTAATTGAATTTATGACTGAAAATTTTATATTTAATTACTCTATGACCATTTTCTTTAGAAAGCATGATTCCCTTAAAAGGGATATTCCAAATCCTTTTGAAGTTTTCAGTCTTTGCAAGTCCAAAATCATTTCAAGAAAGTCAGAAAATGAGATAAGAAGATTTTCTCTTTACACTGCCTCTAGATTTGCTTTCGAAATAGCCGCCAAGTGTTCTTGGCTGTTGAGGTTGTGGCTACCTTTATCTTGTGACCACAGAATAATACTTCAGGCTATGTTAGAAGATGCCAAAGAAAATCTAGATTCATTGAATATTTTTGCCATACAAGATATCCCTACGGAATATAAAAAAACCATTTCTTTGGCTAAGATAATATTAATCCCGTCTATAATACTTTTGAAAAAGATGTTACTATTTGAACACCTCGAAGCGGTGGATTTTCAAAATGATATTGATTATTTAATTTCGGAAATTGACCAACCATTCAATGACGACTCAATCCTCCCTGTATGGTCTTTGATGATTGCGGCCCTAACTTCTGTGACGTCCAACAGACGACAGTTCTTTACTTCTAAAATCAAGATGCTTAGCAACAGGATTAATTCAAATATTATGCTTCAAATAATGAATTACTTGGAAGGTATTTGGGAAATATACCAAGAGGAAAATGAACTTTTTGAGCTACTATTCGATACAAAAGCATTAGACTTGGTGTGTTCATAGTTTACAAACTCAAATAATTCAACCTTGAGAGCAAATTATGTAAACGATTCAATATTAGTTCCATAAGCAAAAGAGTAGTTATTGTAGAATAATTATTTTGCAAAAGCAATTTATTATCAGTGATATACGTTATCGATGCGGCACAGCTCGTGCTGGTAGCTTGTTTCTACATTATATCGACTTTCTGTTTTAGATATATACTCTATATGACATTACCTATTATTATATTTGCATACTTTCTCAACACTAGTCTGCCAAGTAAATAAGTACTCAAAACAAAGTAGCCTGGATACTTTGGGATTTGCAGATTTTGTTTCAGACTGGGTTCTGTTATTAAGTTAGTTACTCAGACGAGAAATATTTTGGGGCCATAGGGCTGTTACTCTGTTGTGAGGAGTTGGGATAAGCATCTAGGTTACGTTCAATTCATTTCAATCAATTATGAGACCAGTTCCTTTATCGTGTAGGGAAGGAGCGCTTTATCGCGTAGGAAATATTACATAATCACTATCAATAAAAGTTATTTAAAAAACAACATCTGCATAATTTTCGAACTGGTGATAAAATCATATTACCTCATTGTCTTCAAGTAGAGGGGGGTGAAGGCTTAAAAGGGAGCAACAAGAAGATTGATATGTCGACTCCCTCGCGAGAGGATGAGCATAGTGAGTTTACTCCACTTAACCAACTTCGTAGACCCTCACATTCATTTTTAGATACGCCAATTGGATCCTTCAAAGGTCCTAATTCACTTCAAAACTTTGCAAATTCTTTTACCAGAGCACAATCTTTTGCAGCATCAAAGTTGGATAATGACATAACCAAAAAGAGATCATTTTTCACGACGTCACCAGACACTATGGAGGATGACATTACCTTTGACCCTGAATTGGTTATTCCGGCTTCTAGAGGTGAGCGTTTGAGTTCAGTGATACATGATATTTCCATGCGCAACCATATGCTCATGGGAAATGGATACGGAAGTTATGGAAGTGGTAGTCCTCCTACGAATAATGATGTTTTTTACCATGACGATGTATTGAGTGCACTTCAATCGAGAACAAGACATAATTCTATTTATACGCAGAGCGGTGGCAGTAATGCACCTATACCAGTGAAGAAAACACATCCATCACATTCATTTTCAAGTGTGAGGACGTCTTTATCTCTAATGACGACACCCTCCCAGTTTAATATTAAGCAAATTGAGGACAAAGAGGGCAATATCGTTACAGTCTTAGAAGGTCGCTCAACTGCTCCTCAGACTATTTTCAACTCAGTTAACGTGTTGATAGGGGTTGGATTGTTAGCTCTCCCTGTTGGTATTTTGCGAGCAGGTTGGGCAATCGGAATCCCTTATTTGATGATTTGTGGATTGGCGACTTGTTGGAGCGCAGGCTTAATTTCAAAAGCCATGGATACCGACGAAACAATCATGACATATTCAGACTTAGGGTATGCGGCGTACGGCTCTGTAGCCAAATTTGTTATTTCCTTAATTTTTTCAATCGATTTGATGGGTGCAGGTGTTTCATTAGTGGTTTTGTTCAGTGATTCACTTTATGTCCTATTAGGAGATGATGATTTTTGGACAACTACAAGGTTCAAGATACTTGCATTTTTTGTGTTGACACCATTCACGTTCTTGCCATTACCAATATTGTCGTTGTTTTCTTTGTTAGGAATTTTGGCTACCATTTCAATCACCATTCTAGTGTTCATATGTGGATTCTTCAAAAGCACCTCCCCAGGCTCTCTCATTCAAATAATGCCAGTAAATATGTGGCCACAGTCACTTCCCAATTTACTATTGTCTATTGGTATTGTCTTGGCACCTTTTGGTGGGCATGCCATCTTTCCGAGTTTAAAGAGTGATATGAGGCATCCCAAAAAATTCTCTGAAACATTGAAGGTCACTTTTGGTATCACTTTACTAACAGATACGACAATGGGTTTGGTAGGATTTCTCATGTTTGGCGCTTACTGCAATAATGAGATCACTAATAATGTACTTCTTACACCTGGGTATCCAAAGTGGATTTATCCTCTAATAAGTGGTCTCATATGCTTGATTCCATTGGCTAAAACGTCATTAAATGCGAAGCCGATCATAGCTGCTGTGGATACGTTAACCGGCGTTGATACCACAAGCGATATTAAATTCATAAATTTTTTGAAATCAATTGGCCAATTTATAAACAAGATCTTTGTGAATGCACTTTTCGTACTTTTAGCAATTGCTTTTCCTGATTTTGATCGTATCATTGGAATGTTAGGAGCATCTATATGCTTTTTGGTCTGCATCATACTCCCTTGTTTATTCTACTTGAAGCTTTGTGGGGAACAGATAGGAACTTCTGAAAGAATTTTGGTCTCTTTCGCCATCACAATCTCTTTTGTCCTAGGGGCCGTAGGTACTTGGGCTATTATTAGTGTATAGTAAGATACTCGTGTATTCTATAGATCTCGGAGGTGTATTCTTAATCTACATGCTGACAATGTCGCAACGACATTTGATAAGACATGTCGTTAGTATAATTTACATATTGTATAATTTCTTAAGACACTCACTTGAAGTGGGAAGTTAAATTCATTAACATCACATTTCGTCAAGTATCTTGCATTCGATCCATTGATAACACAAGGTCTATCTTCCATGCTTTGGAATTACTCTGTGTTATTTTTGTGGTTGATAGTGCCTGTGTTGCTGGGTACCTTGAGCCGAACAAGTACAGCTGAACCTCAACCCACGCCATCGACCATAGTCGATATACTTTCGGCGGATGTGGGATATTCATATTTTCTCAGAGAGCTTCAAACAAACGGCTTAATACCTTTATTAAACCAGTTAGAGAATGTTACTTTGTTGGCTCCCATCAACCTGGCATACGCGAAACGTGGTGCTCTGAAGTTGTCAATAACAAGTGAACAGGTCCTTTCGAAGTACATCATTAACCAGAAGTTTAGAGTGGGATATATGAATAAATCCGATGCCATTTTTGAGACTTTATACGAAGTAAATGGACGACCTTATATTATAAAAGTCTCTCCCGATGTCAAAAAACATGAATACTTGGTTGAAGGCAAAGCTGCTATCGTTGAACCAGATATTTATGCCAAGCATCAGCATTCCTTTATCCAGGGGATAGATGAAAAACTTCCTGATAAGGATACCATTTGTGATTTCTTTATGGACGAAGATCAGACCTTGAATGGGAAGACTGTTTCTTTTATTAAGGATATGGCGAGGCTGCTCATAGCAGATGCCATTAAAGTATCAGAGATCGATGAGACAACATATAATGATGTTTATGATGAATTTAAGAATACGAAGAAAACGAACAAAAAGAAGAAAAAGAAAAAGAAAATTACGATTCCCAATTCTTGTGAGGAGCTATTTAATAACACGAGAAGTTTTATTTTGCCAACCGATGACTACATTCGCCAGTCCCTTCCTGATTTAGATATAGAATACTATGCTTCCTTAGCTGAAGTTATTCGTAATAGGAGTGTTGCGATAACAGGCAAAGCTGTCCATGAAATTAGGGTCGATATTTTGAACCTTTTAGAGAGCTTAATGTCTCCGGACCTTATTGGAGGTGAAAATGGTACCACAAACAGTTTCAATCACCATAAGAGTAAAAATTCTAAAGTTAGTTTCAATAGTACTATTGAGCCAAAAACAAACCAATTATTGTTGAATGGAAAAATATCAATGTCTTTGAATACCTCAAGCGTTGTTTTTGCTAATGGTATCGTTAATGTTTTTCATAGCGACAACTCTGGGAATTTCTTTCATGACTTTGGCCTTAGCACAGTAGAAATGATACCTCGTAAGGCACTTTATGCTATCCACTATTCAAGTTTTGTAAAGGAGCTAGAATTCAGATCTCTCGGTTACTTGATTGATGGTTCCGTTAAAAATCAAACGATATTTCTTGACATTGATCAAGATGATTATACTGCAGAAGATGAAATAAGCTTACTTGTTAGCACAAACTCGTTTAGTTCGAAGCAATCCTTATTATATCAGTTTGTCGATGAATTAGTTGATATCGAAAAACGCGATGGAAACATTAATAATGGCTTGGATGCTCTTTTGAATACGAAAATGTGTTCTAATAAAAAAATTGGTGAAAATTGTTTTAAACTCAAGATTTCAGCTTTAAAGGACGATAAAAAAATTAAATATATTATGAATGATGAGATCAAAATACTAACCCGCCCAATTCGTGGAGCTAATGATACAATTTTCTATATCGTGGATAAAGAGATTTCTCCGCCGTCTTCATTTGGTCATTCTTTAGTAAATTTGCTATCCAACGCAGAACTACTGTCGAGATATGTTGCAGTTGATAAAAAATCTTGCTTGAGTACAATTGAAATTTTAAATGAGTTCAATTTAATGTCTTTAGAAGAAAATAAAAAGGGGTATACAGTTTTCCTTCCATGCGGAAAACATGAGAAACCAGGGGAAACCTCATTGAAGGGCAAAAAAGAAAGAGGAGCATGGAAATCTTTGGGATTAATATTGCGTTATTTAAAGTCCAACCCGAAACTATTTGAAAAAATCATGAAGGGCATTTTCGTCGAAGAATTAATATACTCTAATTTTGGTCTCAATCGAAACAGTACGTTGTTGACGGAAAATTTGAAAGGAGATACGGTATTAGTCAATGGCTCTTATGACGACAATTCCAACAGGCACTTCATTTCCTTGAATGATACTAAAATTTTGGTTCCGATCAACTCAGATATTTTTTTTAACGAGGGTGTCATACACGTTACAGATAAACTAATCTTTCCTGACGACTTTAAAATTTCATTTTTAGATCTTGTCAAAACGACTTTTGATTTGAGTAATGAAAAATTTTCTATTTTAAATTTAATTCAGCGATTTCCATCGCTTATGAAAGAAATTGGTCTTGATGGTCATATTCTGTCTTCAGGTTATTCTTTGTTAGTCCCAAGCCCAGAATCGTTGAAGAGTTTCAATATAACAGAAGATTTTGCGCAGCTTGATAAATTTTTTGAGTTTCACTTGATTCCAAATGATCAGTTGGCGCCATTATTAGATTGCGTAGAAGACGCTCCTATCAGAAATAACAATGGTGAAAGCAAATATATACATACCAATTTAAGTGGTCCTGTCTTGACTTGTGATCGTGAGAAAAAAAATAAGCATTCCGTGTTGAGATTGGAGTCACTGTCTGTTAAAACTGAGTCATATAATAAAGATCATGAGGTAAGGATAATGTCACATGGTTGTACCTCTTTTAACAGCGATGGAATCGACGAATCGACAAGCTGTGTATTCTTATTAGATAAGCCTTTAAATTTGCAATGGCTAAATTCCCATGAAGACTTTTTACCAATACATTTACATCTTGGCTTTGTGAGCGTTGGAATAGGTGTGATTTTGGGCATAGTGATATTCGGAGGAATATTGTTTGGATTTATTGCTTATATAGAGAAGCCAAAGAAGAGCGACTCGAGCCTGTTGTCTAAAGATTTTGATCTTCCACCACACGACGAGTCAAGCTTTATTAGGGTTCTCACAGATGAAGGTCCTACTATGTATGACAGAGGTTATGAAACTGACATTGATATGTTAAAATCAGATAGGGATCTACTTATTCCTGCTCATGCAAAGAAAAAATTTAGAAGAAAATATGGCGCTATAGAAGGTCAAAAGGATGCTAATTCCAACAATAATAAAGACAAATCACTGTCGACCGCTCCAAGGAACATACAAACTGGTAACATCATAGCTTCCTTAAATAGGGACAGGAACCTTCCTGGTGTGTTTTGACACATTGATATATCATTATATATTTCATCAATGTCGTGTAATTAATATGTCGTAATGTCGTAACTATGCCAGTCGATGAATACGATTATCTGCATTTTAATGTAAGTGACGAGTTCAAATAGAAAACCTAAGGTACAATATCTATAGTTGTCATGTCCGAGGAGATTCCTCTACAAGAACAGCAGTCTCAGCCAGCCTCAGATGTAAAAGATTTGAATGGCAACGATGAACAAGCAACCTCCTTTAACGTGGAAGAGGCAGATGCAGTGAAGAAAAGAATGGAAGAGATGGAGAAAGAAGCAGCTAAATTAAGGGAATTACATTCCCAATTGAGTAAAGAAGGAAGCGCATCTGATGAAGAAAAGAAAGATGTTGATTCAAGATCAATATATATTGGGAATGTGGACTATGCTTCAACTCCGTTAGAACTCCAACAACACTTCTCCAGTGCTGGTGTTGTGAACAGAGTGACCATATTGATGAATAAATTCACCGGTCAACCAAAAGGCTTTGCATATCTCGAGTTTTCTGATATTGATGGCGTGAATAAGGCTGTTGCTACTCTAGATGGGTCGACGTTTAGAGATAGAGAACTAAAAGTTAGCGCTAAAAGAACTAATTTACCTGGCATGAGTAATAGTAGGGGGAGATTCATGGGTGGACGTGGACGAGGGTCCTTCAGAGGAGGCTTTAGAGGACGAGGAAGAGGAAGAGGAGCTTTTAGGGGTGGAAGTCGATTTACTCCCTATTAAATAAACAAAAAGATATTCTTTCTGTTATACTACTGTATCATCTAGCTTAATGTATAGAACAAGGGTGGAAAGTGCTCTAAGACGTGAATGAACAAAAATGTATTTCTCTCTGTAATACAACTGTATCATGTAGCTCTTATATAGAAAATAGAGGGTCAAATGTGATCTAGGACTTTACGGTCTCTTCTGCCTTTTTGTTAGAGCTCTTCACAAACTCTGAGACCTCTGGTAAGTTATCTTTGGCAAGTCCTTCGATAACACCGTCGATATCTTCTCTTTTCATTTTCTGTTCAAATTTATACTTGCACTCAGTCCTTTCAATCTCTATTTGTAATCCTATAATTGACTTCTGCAATATATTAAGATATTTTTCGGGAGCTTCATCCACAGCCCAAGGAACTGCCCTTTTTTTCTCCTGTTGATTAGTGAAGTTCTCAAGTTGCCGTCTGACAAATTGTGCATCATCCACAATTTCAGGCTTACCATACACATGTACGGAAGCAAAATCCCAAGTTGGTACCACTTTATGGGTCTCTTGCTTAGTAGCATAGTAACTTGGAGAGATGTACGAGTCGTGGGATTGAAACACCACAAGAGCATTATCTTCTGACTTTAAGGATGGTATCTGATGATTCTTTCTTGCAATATGTGCTTGTAAGAAGTATTTGCCTGAACTTTCATCTTGAAATAAGAAAAAAGGAATATGATTTGCAATTATTCCCCCATCTTTGGACGACGTAATTAATGTTCCTAAAGGATATTTCTTAATAATTTGCTCCTTGAGGTCCCATTCCTCTTCATTGTAATGATTAGGGATATACATTATTGGTTATAATAATTAAAGCCGTTTACATACATAGAGAAATTTATACTTTTATATTTAATCTTATCGCATTGAAAGGGCTAATTAGGAAATTAGGTGCGCACTTACGTATCCACCTATTGTGATTCGAGAATAATAAAAAAGCGGCTGAATTGGCATTCACGAATGATCCCTAAAGCTTGTAGAGCTCAGCTTACAGCTTGTGATGATCAAGTTGAACAAGGGGAGCTACTAATTGTATATTTATAATGATCGAGATTGATAGCTCTCTCTATTATGAAGGTGATCTGTACTGTATGTTATTATTTGAAAATAGTACCTTGTGGGGTTGATCACTGCAGTCAAGTACTATGGAAGAATTAAATACAGCATCTACAACAAGGCACATTAGGTTAGTTAGCATAAGAGAAGGAAGCTGTGATTCCGCGCAAATCTTACCTAGCACAGAGCTGCAATCAGTTCAAGAGCCCATCTCTGAGGATTTTAAGACGCAAGCTAGCCCAACCCTCATCGATAGAATACTCTATGGGGATCAGGATATTGCAACATGGTTGAATATAGTGAATGGGTCTATTTGGGGTGTATTGGCAAGAGAGGGAGTTAAAACTTTGACTACGTTTCCTGGATCTTATTTGCTGGGTGTAGTTTGGGCTAATTTTGGGGCATGTGTTGCCATGGGTGTTTTTCTTGAATCGTATAACATTTGGAAGGATATACTTGATTCAAACATATTCAAGCTGAGAAACGAAATCGCAGTTTACACTGGGATCACTACGGGATTTTGTGGAGCTTTCTCTTCATTTCCTTCGGCGATACTTGAGATATTCTACATGACGTCAAACACAGTACCTCCAACTCCATTCGAATATCCCAGTAAAGGATACGGTGTTGTGCAGTTCTTTTCTGTTACAATAGCTCAGTTTGGATTATCTATCGTGGGTTTTCAGCTAGGAAGGCACGCATCTTGGTCTATTGATGCGTACTTACCTCGTTTTAGCAAAACTTCGCTCAAGGTAGTGAATTGCACAGCTATGGCTATCGGTCTATTTGCATTCATAACCATCTGCATATTAATTGGTATCCAAGATGTTGGTACGTGGAGATCTTGGGTATTTGCTTGTTTTTTTGCACCATTTGGCGCACTTTTAAGATTCTATATCTCCAGAGGGTTGAACCCAGTTATTAAAAATTTTCCTTTAGGGACATTTATTGCTAATTCATTGGGTACCTTGCTAATAGCAGTATTTACACTAGTTTCCCGGGGAAAGCAGCCTGGTTTCCCTACGAGAAGGATAGTGAATAAATACATTGCATGTCATATATTAGTTGGGCTAGACGATGGGTTTTGTGGAGCATTAACGACTGTAAGTGCTTTTGTCGTTGAACTTTTTCGATTAAAGAGATTCGACGCTTATAAGTATGGAATTTTTTCGGTAGGTATTAGTTTTGCTATGACGATGATCATACTAGGGTCCTTTAATTGGACAGTGGGCCTAACGCTGGCAGTATGTACTTAGGATTTCTCTACGACATCTGGCCAATGAAAAAATAACTCACTTGGATTGCATTGATATAATTTGGTTACAGATTTACAATAGATGAAAGACTTCAAAATACCAGTAAGAGTGTGTATTGCATGCCAATTTCTTATTTGAATTAAATGAGGATGAAGCTCGAAAAGTTAAATGCGAGCATCATCAATAAATTATGAGGACACATAAGGATGTTCCTAATACTTATGCCTATATAAGTACATAACTACCAGCCAAATGTTTCCGTATGAAGAAAAATTTCTTCAATAAAAGCCTTATTTATATCATTATTGAATATATGAGCCTGTAACCTTGATACGGACTTACTGACTTCACATCTCATGGAGTCACTACCAGAGCTTGCAATGAAGTTCCTCCTCAATAGCATAGATCGGGAAACAATATTCATTACTGAAGGCTTAAAATAATGAATGCTAACAAAAGGCAGGATCTTTTCTGTTGGACTTCCTACGATCTCTAAGTCAGCTTTCATTGGATCCTTCTCTTTCTCTATGTTGTGCTCTTCTTTTTCTTCGGGCCGAGTTACGTAGATATCAACAGAAATAAAACCATCTAGCACATCGATGCATCTATTGAGCTCGCTCGCAATCCAATCCAAGTCTGAACGGTGACGGATAATCCAGATGAAGTGTATATTTCTTAGCGGAAGGGTAATATTTTCATTCTTTGATTGCGAAAACGTATTAGCCATATATGATAGGAAGGGTAACGTAGCTGAGACACCACTTCCAGTGCAAATTAAAATAACGTTTTCAAAAGCTGTAACATCCCTAGAGCATCCACCGTACGGACCATCAATGTAAACTTTTTTAGGCACTTGGCTATTTTCATCAAGCTGATTAAACAAATCTCTCGTCAAGCCCTTCTTAGGCACAATGATGAATTTCATTTCGTTCTGATCTTCACTTGGAATGGAGCTTATCGAAAATGGATGATTATCTATGAATTTCTTTCCAATAAACCTTAGAAAACAGTGCTGCCCTGGGGACCACTTTAGGCTTCCCTTTGTATTATCAATGACAATTTCGTATGAATTGTAATTAATCTTTCGAAGGAGAGCCCTTCTTGGTCTCATGAATAAACTGTTAGGTCTGAATGCCGTCTTCACCAAAATTCTGTAAATGATTTGGGTAGCCCAAAATGCTAAAGCACCCCACATATAATCGTCGCAACCCAAGCTCTTATCTATGTGCCAAATCAAGGTGCCAAAGTATGCAATTCCACATAGCCAATGAAGATGAAGAAAGCCTTCATAAAGTATATTCCGGATGCAAGCCTTTGATGCAATACATAGCCAACCTAATAATACTAATGGTGCTATGCCTGTCCTGTAATAAACATTAGTTGAGTACTGTACATGTAAATTCTTTGCACCACCTTCATGTAAACTTTGGTATATAAAGGGGATAGTATGGATGATAGACAAGATAAATGCACATACTCCCACATATTGATGATGCGTGTTTAATTTCTCATAGCTAATGCCCGTCAACAAGGTAACTACATTCGATTTTCCTGATAAAACATAGATAAAAGGAGTCAAAGCAGTAGCCATAATACCTGATCTAACAGCTAATGGCGGTGATCCAAAACCAGCACAGTCTCTGTACCAAAAATGTGGAACTAAGCAATAGCAAAACAAATATAAAGAGCTGGCGAAATAAAACAAGCTCGAACCCAAGGACGGAGGTAAAGAGGTGAAATAACGTATTTTTCTAGGGACCTGCTTATAGCCTAAGTATCTCAGATATGACATTATTACATCTAATAATGATCCAAACCATGTAAGACTTCTCCCTTGTTTATAAGCTCTGTCTCTATATCTATACCACAAAGATTTTACCGTTGCAAGGAATATTACAACGACACCAAAGTAAACCGTATATTTACCATAACTTGTTTGGTCAGCCCACGGTATCTCTTTCTGCAGAAGCAGCATTGCTGCCATGTATTCCTTCTTATCCATGTCTTTAAGGCAATCCATGCCTTCATAAGACACTGACCTTTTGAAAAAGCCCATAGTATAAGTGTTTTACTAACTACAAGTAAACAGAAAGATATTTTACAACGATTTCATCCTTATATATATATTTCAAGACGTGTGAGCAAATTTAGTTATCTAAAACGAATAGGAAATATGCTCATTCTAATGTTCAGTAGAGAAAATTATTCTGTCCCAAAATGGAAATGATTTTCGTCGAAGACGATTGCAAAAAAATTAAAAAAAAAAAAAACGACATGTATGACTAAATAGTATCTAAAGAAAAGACGAAAATGTCTTGCATCAATCTTTTCGTGTAAATGAAGAAGTACCAATATTACCTTTCGTACACATATCTCTGAAAACACCGTTTTCGTTGCAATACAAGTTCCATGGTGTGTCAAACTCTATTACAGTTCCTTTATCGAGCACCATGATTCGATCATAGTTCAAAATCGTGTTTAATCTATGAGCGATACAAAGTATGGTACATTGACTGAATGCTTCAGCAATGGTTTTTTGAATAATCAGGTCTGTTTCATAGTCGACCAGAGAGGTTGCCTCATCTAAAATTAATATTTTGTTGTTTCGAACTAGAGCTCTTGCAAAAGAAAGTAATTGCTTTTCTCCTAGCGAGTAATTTGTGCCTTCGTCTTCAACTTTATAGTCTAAGTCAAATTTACTCAGAGAATTTGCCGAGTCCACGTCATCGAGTAAGTTTACTTCTTTCAATGCTTTCAACAATTTATCATCACTACTTTGCCCAAACGGATCCAAATTTCGACGTATATCACCTTTAAATAAAACTGGATCTTGTGGAATGATTGATAATTTGATCCTTAGATCCTGTAATCCTATCTTCGAGATATCGATACCATCTATATATATAGTACCCTTTGCTAACTCAACAAGACGAAAAAGGGTTACCATTATTGATGATTTTCCTGCTCCAGTCCTCCCGCAAATACCAATTTTTTCTCTAGGTTTGATATTTACATTGACGTCCTTGAGCACCATCGGAAGACCTGTCCTGTATGTCATACTGACATTGGAAAACTCAATGGCGCCATTTTCAGGCCAATCTGTGCGTGGTTCGTTGGGTGCAATTTTATATGGGTTCTCCTGAATCAATTCCATCGCGTACTCATTAAGCCTTTCAACAGAATTCATCTGGTTCTCGAGTTGTGTAATTGCTCTCATCAATGTGTTTAGCTGATTAGAAATTTGGATGACGTAAGAAAGAAGTAAACCTACTGAAGAAGCCCCTATGTTGAAAACAGAGAAAACACATAAGAATGAGATAATGAGTGCGAATATGGTTGATATGACAGTAAGTTGAACCGCTAACCATCTTTGATTAGTTATTGTTAGGAAGTAAGCTTCATTCATATTATTGATCGCTTTGCTTAACTTCGTTAAAAACAAATCTTCGACATTGTAAATCTTTAAAGTGTGACGACCATTGAGTAGTTCCCCAATACCAGAATACACGTAAGAACGCTGTACGGATTCTAACCTTTTTATCTCCCTCGATGATGCTTGATAGAAACTTGAAATAGATATGAATGCAAAAGCTAAAAACGGGACAGATATTGCAAACCACGGAAGATAAATTATACACATGATTAATGTTCCAATCACCATTGATAAAATATAGCTCAGCAATCTCATCTGGTTTCCCATTTCATTATCTACAACTTCTGTATCTCTTGAGAAACGATTGAGAATTCTTCCGATTGGCGTCGTATCAATGTACAGCATAGGCGTATGAAGAACTCTTCTAATGCCCATAAGATGAAACTTCAAGGCTGCTTTGTTATTCAAACTTACGATACTCAATAGCTCAGCTACTAAGAAAACACAAGTTAGAAGTGAAAACATCACGTATAGACCGATGTAGAAACTGTTCGGCCTTAAAGAGAATTTTTGATCAACCCAAAATGACAACCAAACGTTGGAAAAAAGTTGACAAAATACAGCACACAGAGTGGCAGTTAGGTACACAAGTATCCACACCATAGGATTAAGTTTTCCAGATCCAAACTTCATAAAGTTTTTGTAGACTTTAAATGGAATCCTGTTGACACCTCTTTTTTCCTTTCCAATTAATTGTGCATTTTTAGAATCCTCCATATTGCTTATAGGTAACTCATTCGTTGTTGCTTTTTCATCATCTTTTTCATCATCATCATCTTCTTCGTCATCATTTTCTTCTTCTATATCTTCTATGTTTTCTGATGTGTCAGTAGTAGTCTCTGTTTCATTAAATGTCATTAATTGAGAAAACGCTTTGTTCCGCTCTTTGAGTACTTGTAAAGAGCCCACGTCTAAAGTTCCGTCATTGTTAATGAATACTATCCTATCAGCAGAACCTATTAATGATAATTGGTGAGTAGCAAGCACTCTTGTTTTGTCAGAGAGATAATCCAAAATACACTTTTGAACGATAATTCTGCCAACCCTAGAATCAACAGCACTCAAGACATCATCCATTAAAATGATGTCTCTGTTTTCATACGCAGCTCTAGCTAGGTTTACCCTTGCTTTCTGGCCTCCTGACAATGTTATACCTCTTTCGCCGATTTCTGTTAAATCCCCTGCTGCGAAGTTTTTGAAATCTTCTTCAAGACAACATGCCCTAATAACATTTCGATATTTCTCCTCTTCGAACGAAGACCCAAATGTTATGTTCTCTCTGACTGTGGCATTTTGAATCCATGGTTGATCACAAAAGAGTAAACTACCATTAATGCGGACTTTGCCAGAACTACTTTTCAAATAACCCGAAAAGGCATTAAGTAAAGTGGTCTTTCCACATCCAACTGGCCCCGTTATCACTATGAATTCTCCCTTACGGATATCGAAATTAATGTGATGTAGTCCCGTAAAACCATTAGATTCGTCATTTTCAGGTAAAGTATCATCATAAGTTTCCCACATAAATTCGCCATCTTTAATTTCAATTGCAACCTTCATGTCTAGAGAAGATTTGCTGCTTCTCTTGCTAGAAACAACTGTCGGAATTTCATCATTATGCTCAATTTCTTCACATGTTAAAAACTTGCTAATTCTTTTAATTCCCAAGTATGCATCAGCAGAGGCGGACAGAACGACTGGGAGAATATAAATTTGTTGAGCTAAAAGATTGAACAAAGAGAGTGAAGCAAAAATACCGGAAATATTACCTACATCAGAGATTGCATACAACACAAGAAAGGAGACCATTGAAACGATATTGGAAAATGACAAGGCTCCTGCCATTACGAAATTCCTTAGGGCTTGAACCTTAAGGACATTGTGCATCTCTTTCTTTCGTGCGGTTTCTATTTCATTGAAATACGGATCTTCCCAAGAGTAGTATTTGATCATTCTTAAATTGTTCAATACTTCTTGGATGTAACCAATCCTTTTGTCTGTAAAAATATTAGCAATTCTTCTAAACTTGACCATCTTTTTGGTACAGATAAATAGAAATACTAAAAAGCAAATCATTAGTGCAATGCCAACAAGTGCCGAAACACCTATGTTAACGAGAAGAATGACCAATGCTATGACAAATGTAATAGGAAATGTAGCCAAATTATTAAAGAAGCCTAATGCAGAATCTATTCTTGAGATATCAGTTCCTATCATTGACATTATCTTACCAGTTGGGTACAAGTGTTTTGAAGACTCACTCAATCGGAAAGATTTTTCAGCGATATCCTTAATCAAAACAGCTCTTGCTTTTGCCCCAACAGTCATACTTTTCTGAAAACTATGGTTCTGTAATATCCCTGTTATAAATATCATGACTGCTGTTCCTATAGCGTAACCAACCCCTTTGCCCGCAGATTTTTCAGCTCCCCCTGTTCTCAGTTCAACAAACTCAATCAAATGCCTAGAAAGAAGGGGGTTTAATGAAGCTGCTGAACTCGCTATAGCTAAGTATGTAAATGCCAACCCATATTCAAGCTTGAATGTGTCAATGATTGATAAAATATAAACATTTGTAATGGAAAGCTTGCCGTTGAATTTATGTTGAAGTTGTGCAACCAGACCTTTATATTTCAAGTACATTGATTGAACCGTAATGTCTTCTGTCAACAGAAAGAGATCTTCGGGTTCTAATGTACGCAAATAACCTACTTTCAATATGGGATTAATCCACCAGAAGAAGATTTTGGATAATATGTTGGCACGGCTTTCTGGAAAGGGTCTTCTTTCATCCTGCAATGGTACTGGAGGAACTTTCTTCAGTAGGAGAAACGAAAACATACGTTTTTGTTTCTTTAGCTGATCAGCTTCATCATCTTTAGTCATTTCAATTAATCTTGCCAATGTCTATTATTTCTTTCATTGCAGGCAATCTCTTGCAATATATAGGGCCGTTGAGTTAATGTGAATTTGATGGCATCCATCGGAAATAGCTGCGGATATTATGCACGTCATGTGAAAGCTTTCTGTCCCTTTTAAAAATAGCGGAGCGCTCTTCAGCTCCGACGTAAAAAAAACACCGGTGCGTAGACCTACCTTTATATGTACACTATAATAATTTTTCGCTGCGACTTTATCGTATCGTGGCGTCACATGGTCTTGGCGCAAACTCGGCTTTATATATACCCTTCTAAATTGTGCTTACATATATCTCCTCAAATTGATACTAACTTATTAGGTATACTAATTCCAAGCAGTAGGGAAGTTATTTCACCGTTATTTATGTTTATTCTTATTGGAACATTTTCTCGCTTGACAAGCGTCGTAACGCGAAGCTGATACTTGCAATACTGCAATATACGACCGAAGTGAAAAGAAAAAACCCCATTTTACAACTGAAGATATGGGTCCCTGTAAAGTCTCCAAAGTATTTCTTGATATTTACGGGAAAACTGTCGTCTGATGGGAATATATATTTAGATAGCAAGACTAACCAATCTTTTCTATTATTATTTCTATTATTATATCTTTCAATGGGCGCTCGTAACCAGAACGTGGTTCCAATTTTAAAGATTTGTTAAAAAGCCCGCTGTTTCCTTCGTTAAACCCACACAGCTACAAATTATAGAATTGTAAACTTAACATTATACCTTTTGACTCTAAAACGGGTCATAAGCTACAACAGCTGATATACGTCATCGTACAATTTACGGTTGCAAAGGCTGTCGGTGCTTCGGAGCTAACCACAACTTCGTTTAAATTTTCACTCCTTGAAGTATAGTCAAAAGAACTAGTTTCGAGACTTCAGGTCGACAGTTCTGGCTAAACGCCTATTTGAATGATGTACAAACTATTTAAGTATGGAAACAAGCAATGGACCTTATCGAAGAGAGGTTTGGTCTTGATATTCTTTTTAGTGGCTTCTTTGTTGGTAAGTTACCTGTATTTATCTTACAATAGTGACGACCTTTATTATCAACCTCTTACAGGAGGGCTCACGAACAATCAGGGAACAAATCATTTACCAAAGGAGAAGCACAAGCATAAACAGAAAGGTCCTGTTAATGCAAAACACTATCTAATTCAGAAACTTCATGAGGAGTCTGGAATCTCTGATGTTAGAAGCAAAGACTTTCACTCAACAGTTTATGATGAAATATTCAAGGGCCATAATCTTGAAGGGCTTTTAGGTAAATTATCGTTTAACGAGAGATGTGATTTGTATTTCAAAAATTTATATGCTAAAGATGAAAATTGGAAACTTGATCCAAATCAAGACTTGCCGTTAGATTACCGAATGGAGTTTGATTGGGATCCATTTAGATTGAAAGTCATGGACTCCGCAAAAGAAGAATTTGCTAATGAGAAAGGCATCAAGAAAGAGCAGGTTGACGAGGTTGATCCTGAATTCGAAAGTCTTATTAGATCTAAACATCAAGCGTTCTTGGATAAGACAAAGCGCGTTGAGCAAAATATAATAGATTACATTTCTCATCTTCGAATTTTCAACAAATGTTATATCACATCTGATGACGGTAGACAGTTAAATGCTGTTAATTCTCACGTCAAGAAACAGAAGAGCCTTATAAAATATCTAGAAAATGGTGGTTCCAATCTTGAGAAGGATAGCTTCACGTTCAGCTATACAGAGGCTGAAAAAAAATTCAAAACAGATGGAATTCTCAATTGCGATAATTTGCAATCAAGGATTTATCCATGGTTGTCTACTAGCTATCCTGTTTTTGAAAGATGGGATGGAACAAAGTACTTCACAATTCCCCAAATGAAAGATTTCATTAACGACGAAAAAGTTTTTGAACCCACAAATAGTGATGCCAGAAATGGAAGAGGTATCGCAAAGCTGCATCCCAAGTCTTATGGAAGCGAATCTTGCTTTTTCAATAAATATAAAAATGCAATGAATGGCAAGGGAATTGTAATGTCAATTGGTGACAAACATGTTACAGAAGCTGTCAAACTAATTAGATTATTAAGAGCCCTCGGAAACATTTATCCAATTCAAGTCGTATATTACGATAATCTTTCAAATGAATCTAAACAAAGGCTCATTAAAGCGGCCAGAGAAGGTTTAAAAAAATTTCCTAAATCATACGACAAGGTTAAGCATCTTTTTCCACAAAATGAACAAGCAAAAGGATTACCAGTTCAAGAACTCTGGTTTGTAAATGTGTACAATGTTGTTCATTCTCACTACAGAAACAAATTCAATAAATTTGGGAATAAATTCTTAGCTACAATGTTCAACTCCTTTGAGGAATATATCTTGGTAGATGCGGATACCGTCTTGTTGAAAAATCCAGAGTTCTTTTTCAATTTGAAAGGATATAAGGAAACTGGGGCCTTTTTTTACAAAGACAGAACCTCCATTGAATTTAGACCCAAAGCAGATGTTGCCTTTTTCAAAAAGTTGAGTCCATCTTTAGTCGATTCAGCTGTTTTTGACATACCCATAATGACAAATTATACAATGGGACGTGAATTTTTTGATGGCATGTTTCAATACATGGAAAGTGGGCTTGTTGTGATTGACAGAAATCAGCATTTCAATGCTATTTTAATGATGATTCAACTCAATTTCTTCAAACCCGTGACAGGAAGGATTCATGGAGATAAGGAAATTTTCTTTTTAGCTTTTGCAGCAGATGGAGATGAGAGGTATCATTTTGATAAGTTTTTCGCAGCAGCAGTTGGTGAAGCAACTCCCACTGAGTACATGAAAAAAGATAATGGAACACCAAAGCGTGCGAAAGAAATTTGTTCTTGCCATCCTGGCCATTTGAATGAAGAAGACAATGGGGAAACAATAGCATGGTTGAATTCTGGCTTCAGATTTTGTGGGAAGGCAGATGAAGTAAATTATGAAGAAGAGTTCAAACATAAAAGTAGATTTAAACATTTGAAGGTTAAAACAGACCTAGAAAAATTATTTAAGGATCCTTTAAGATTAAAGAATGCTATTATCCCACCTTTCAATCGAAAAACTGATACTTTACATGAAAATGATAGCCAAGAACCTAAGGAAGGCTGGAGGATGGATTCCGGTTATTGTAAGTCATATCTTTGGTGTGCATACTCCAGTATTGGCGGTAAGAAAGGTAACGATGACAATACTCTTGAGGGCCAATTTTTTAGTTTCGGAAAACCTTTCGTTGAGCTTTCCAATTATCTCGGCGACGTATGGAATAGTGCGTAAACGTCACTTTTAGAGAGTGACTAGCAATTTTTTTTCAAGAATGATGAAAATCATTTGAAGATGCATTCATATTCCTTAACATATTTGGAATACATATTTAATATAAGAGAGCATATAATAATTACTACTATTCTATTATACAGGACATATTCCGAAAAATAAGTAATCAGAATATCCGCGCTGGTCAAAGGCCTACACTACGTTGTTCCGAATCTCGATAATTTTAATACATTAAATTAGCTAGCATTAGGAAGTAAAATTTATATTTATACGTGTTCAACTTCTGGCTTAACATCATCAGTAAGACCAACTTCTTGTGCGAAGGTCGTTGTGGGCTTCCACTTTGCTGAATTACGTGGGTTAGATTCTTCCATCATACGATCAACTTGTTCAAGTGATAATCCTTTGGTTTCTGGAACCAAAAAGTAAGCGTAAAGGATACATGTACCACATAAAGCTCCCCAGATGAAGAAAACTTTCGAACCTAAATTACCTTCATCCGAACCAACCATATAAGGAGTAATGACTGCAATGATACAGTTCCAGAACCAGTTGGAAGCAGTGGATAATGCAACACCTCTTGAACGGATAGGTAATGGGAAAATTTCACCGATGACAACCCAAGCACCTGGACCCCATGTTGATGCAAAGAAGAAAATATAGATACAGATGAAGGAAATCACAGCTTTCATGGCGTTAAGGTTATTTGGTGCAGCAGTTCCAATTATAGCTGCAATGAGCTCACAAACGAACATTCCAACAGCTCCCCATATCAATATAGTACGACGACCGTATCTTTCAATTGTGTAGAAAGATATTGGTGTAGAGCAAACGTTAACCAAAGTTGTAATTAAACTTATCAAGAATGGGTTGCTGATCGTTCCCAACTGCTGGAAAAATGTTGTACCGAAGTAGAAAATGAAGTTAATACCAGTAAATTGTTGCATCATTTGCAAAAACACTCCTAAGATGGTTCTCCTAAGATTACCTGCTGGATTTCTAAGACCACCAGTGAAACATGCAAACCAAGAATCGAAGTAATTATCCTGTGGAATAAGTTTTTTTTCAATTTCATTATTAGCAACTATTTCTGCCAATTCATCAGTAATATAGTCGCTATCTTCTGGCTGTCCACGAAGTCTCGAAAGAACATTTCTGGCCTTGTTAAGATTGTCCTTTTTAACGTAGTAACGAGGCGATTCTGGGAGTAAGAAAAGACCGACTCCTAAGATGAGAGCCCAAAGCATTTGGAGAGCTATTGGTATTCTATATGAGGCACTGGTAGTATAGTCCTGAGTACCGTAATCAACACATGATGCTAAAAGAAGACCAATGGTGACACAGAATTGGTAGCCTGAAACTAAAGCACCACGAATCTTCCTTGGTGCAATTTCTGACATGTAAAGGATGATAATAGCAGAAATGAAACCAACACCAAAACCTGAAACTAAACGACCAGCAACCAATAACCCAAGGGATGAAGAAGCGGTTTGAAGAATATCACCGACGATAAATACCAAGCATCCAACAATAATCGTGACTCTACGACCGAAGAAGTCAGCAAGATCACCTGCCATAAGCGATCCAAAAAACGTACCTGCAGAAAGAATACTGGTAATAAGGGATTTTTTCCATGCCGTAAGATCAGCTTTACCTCCATCGAATTCTTGTAAGAAATAATTCATACCCATGACTCCACTGATATAACCAGAATCATAACCAAAGAAAATACCACCAAAGGCAGAGAAAGCACACATAAAGTAGGCCCTCATAGTGACTGGTGCTTCAACACGGTCAGTGTCTGCTGTACCAACTAATTCATTTTCATGTTGTATAACTGGAGTCTCTGACTCAACAACCTTAGCGGATATTTCCTCACTTGAAGACATTGTGAGATTATTGTAATATAGATCAGAAGAGAAAGAAAGGAGGATTTTATCGTCTATTTATATTAGAAAACAAAATGGGATGCCATGAGGAATATCCCAATAGTCCGCACCAGCGGCTGACCCCATGTAATCTGGAACAATTCGATGTGGTTAGTCCGTTTGTTTTCATGCACCAGCTGTTCCCCACAAATTTCATGACTAGCTTACATTTACCCCACAGGCGTCTCAAACAATTACAGCGATCTCGTTTTTTTCTTCCCACAATAAACTCGTCTCGAGAACAAAGATTTCTCTAAATAATATTCTGCGCGGCGGACAGCCCTGCGCGGCTCAAATAAATATTCCGCCCTGGAATGATACACGATTTCGTTCACCTATTGTGATGAGATCTCTAGGTCTCTTCAAGACATGTACCTTCATTATAGAACTAAGGATGGTGTGAAGGTACCCAAGGTCATAAATCTTGCCAAGCTTCTGAAAAGGCATGGTGTCATTCTTGGAAGGGACGAGTAGTTCTGACTTACGGAAAATTATTTTTTATCGCAAAAACTCATTCCGAGGAAAAGAGTACAACAAGATAATTCTATTGGCCGGGCTCCCAATTCCGTCCCAAAATTGATGAATGCTGGAGAATTATGAACAAGAAATTTCCAAACACGGCGAGTCACTTTTGTAGAGCGGAGAAAATTGGATAAAGTGGAATAATTGTAACAAGATCGGTAGCTATGGAGAATATCCGACAGAGGGGGATCCAAAAAATATCTTACGTGTCTGGAAGTTGCTATGATAATACATTGAATCAGAAAAAAAGATGAGATTGATATACTTGGCCTCTGGTCCAAAGACATTTCAATCACCTATGATGTAGCACATCAAACTTTTTTTTATGTGGAGACCAAGGACGCGTGACTTTTACAATGGAAATATGGCCCGGCCAAGACTTGGTATACCAAGACACGCTAAAGTAATTGTACAATACTAATGTGCCTGACGATTATATCCCTCATTTCCCCAGCCCATGCAAAGGTTAGGATAAAAGTTTGATAATGTAATTGGAGCCGCGAGTCAGTAGAAGTGGAAATGGAATTTGGATAGTATACATGACGTATATTAAATTTCTACAATGGCCAACAAACAAGATACTATTCTGCATCCATAGAACGGAAAAAAGAGTCCGCTCCTGCTATAATGGCATCTTCTGTTGGGCGAAGCTCCCATTTGAAAGTACGATAAGCCTTTTCTGCCAGGAGATACTTCTTAGGAAGATAATCGCGGACTTCACGAAGGATGGGCAAAAACATTGCACAGAAATTTATAATAAAAGAAGGGATTTCAGAGTGCGGCAAATTGTCTGAATACTTTTTGGGGATTCGAAAGCGAAGTATATCTGCTATTCCCATTAAAGACAAACAATTGCTACGTGTACATAAAATGAAACGTTGACTTTTCGCCGCTGGCTCTGTCATTGCTTCCAAATGATATTTGGCAACGTCTCTGACGTCGATCACAGATAATGTAATCTTTGGACAACCTCTTTTGAGGGTACCATCTGTCAATACTTGCAAGAAATTAAACGTTCCCGAGTTTACTTTCTTATCTTTTATTATCGAAGGACCGAAGATCGCCAGAGGATTCATCACCGCAAGTTCTAATGGCTGTTCTGAATTTTGATTCTGATCCCCATTAATGAATTCCCAAGCACTTTTCTCAGCAATGGTTTTCGACAAAATATAAGCATTTAAACCTTTCAGGCATTCCGTCCAATCGTTTTCATCAAGTAGTTTATCATTCGATCCTTTTGCAAAAGCAACTGATGCTGAGGATGATGTCAAGACAACTCTTTTAACTTTCTTTTTCTGTGAAAGCTTTAAAACTCTAAGTACACCTTTTTTTGCCGGTTGGATCAAATCGTCCGGATCTTTAGTAGCTGATTTAGGAACTGGAGAAGCTACATGTAGTACATAATCGCAACCGTCGATTGCCTCTTCCCATCCGTCATCTGAGGATAAATCTGCAACGTATACTTGCAAGTTTAGCTTTGGAAACGAGAGACCACTACGCTCCGAAAAATCCTCTATCAATTCAATTTTTTTTTCAGTACTACGAACTGTGGTTCGAACCTCATATCCTCTCTCGAGTAATTGGTATACACAATGACTACCAACGAAACCTGAGCCCCCTGAAACGAGAACAACTGTCATTAATTTATATATATGCTGAAGTCAACAATTCCTGATTGATGATGTCAGGTAGTAAATTTTTAGCTTATAAGCAAAGGTTAATTTTAACGGGGTTTCTTGAGCTTTATATAAGTATTTTTCTACCTTACGCGACAATAGTTGCCTCCCTGGGCTTGCTATAAACAACCGTTTTATCTCTAGGCAGGCATTGTTCTGAATTTAAATCCAAAGCCTTGTTTTTCATTCAAGAGCAAATTCTTTTCTTTGAATCTGATATCCTGTTTTCTTTAGAATGGCTCTAACTGGGTACAAATTGTGTGGAATTCTGGTTTCGCGTAATGAGCTATAGTTCGCGACGCCGACCAAATATAGTAAAGATCTATTTGATGATGTAAATAGAGAGCGAAGGTGTACAGCATAACATCAGTAATCGGCGACACAATTGCCTATAACTACGAATCGATTTCAAATTTAATATATCAAGCAAGTAGTTTTTATTTTGTAAGAAAGAAATACTGAAAAAGACTGTGTTTCTTTGTTGATAAAGGATGACTGTTGATACAAATACTTTAGGGAGAGCTTGGGATAATACAGGAGAGGAAGAAATTTCTCTCAAGCAAATATATGCACATCTTTTCAATTATTTCGGCTTTTGCCAATACATAGAACTGGATATCCAAGATAGTAATAATTTCGTTGGGTCTGACTCAGTTCACAAAGGCTTCTTGAATAACGAAAAAATACAGAATTCTGTTGATGAAGTTGACCTCGAGTCCAGTGAAACTAAAAATTATGGGATAACAGTCTCGGATAGTGTGGAGAGGGCTTTCAAAGGGTGTGGTGGATTTGATGGAATCATCACTAAAGCTATGAACCTTGACATGGGGGACGCGACCAAGCTATTTCCAAAAGGTGACTTCCATAAAGCTTTAATTAAATTCGAACCTGCTGATTTGTATATTGCTTTTATTGCTCTGCTTAGAAACGATTCTTTTGATAGTTTTTTGAATCGTTATTTTATTGCAAGAAAAAAAAAAGTTGACGAGACTCTTGAAATGCTCTCGAGAAGCTTAAATTGGCGAATTCGTTCCCACCCTGTTGACAAATGGGTCTTCGGCGGTGACGCTGAAGTCTATTTCAGTGGAAAGAATCCTGATTTCATTGAGGCATTCAAAATTAATCAAGCATATCTCCGTGGTAAAGATAAGTTGGGGCGGCCAGTTGTTATTATTCACGTTAAGGACCACATCGGTAAAAATAGTACTGAAAAAGACTTTGAAAAGTTTATATGTGTTATTATTGAGTGGATTAGACTTGAACTAAAGCCTTTGCAGTACAACATCGATAGAGGTTGCATCTTATTTGACATGACAGGTTTTAGTTTGAGAAATGCTGATCTTTCGGCCGTTCGATTTCTAGCTAGTGCTCTCGAGTCAAATTATCCAGAATTTTTGGGTGCTATATGGGTGCATAATGCTCCTTGGGTATTCAATGCAGTTTGGAAAGTGATCAGGGGTTGGTTAGACCCAGTTGTTGCTTCAAAGGTTCATTTTACGAAGAATTGTAAAGATTTAGAAGCTTTTATCGACAGAAAGTTTATACCAAAAGATCTTGGCGGTAATGACGCCTTTGTTATGAAGTATGAGAATCCAACACATTCTGATAGCGATGAAAAGCCAAAGGATGATAATTATGCAATACTCTCAGAACAGAGGTCTTTTTTAATCTTGTCATATCTTCAGGCAACTATTAATTGGTTGGAATCCAAAACAATATCTGAATCTGATAAATTTTTAGAAGCCAGAATAAAGATTGGTATTCAGTTAGCAAACAACTACATTGGGATAGATCCATATTTACGTAAAAGAGGAATCTTTGAGCGCATAGGAGAAATGGGTAAACTCGGATACTGAACCTCTTCTCGATAGTGAGCAGATAATAGACACTACGCAAGTGGTTCCATTTCATGCCTTCAATTTTTTAAGGTCCATAGAAAATCAATGAAAGCTTCAACCAAGGCTTACTTAACTTGGTGATATTCAAATAATTTCAATTTCAAAGAAAGTTAAGATCTTGAACTTTTAGGATTTATAAGCCATCAATAGACCTGAGCCAAATATCAATGAATTCTATAGCATCTAGTTACCTGTTTCCATAGACACTTGCTGTAATAAATAGAAGCTTATTTATAATAACTATTTAAGTTTCCCAGCGGAGGACTAATATAGTAATGCGGAGAGTAATAATCTTCACGATTGTACTTCTTTTTTAAGATCACTAGATTTTGGACACGTTCATAATATATTAGTTAACTGTTTGGATTACAGAGCTACTTAAACTTAAAGATGTGGGGATTCGACTTCTTTTCTTTCTGAATGGTTATTAAATTGATGCATTATTCTCATATGCGAATTTACTTTGCCGCCTCCACATAATAATTCAAGTAACTTAGGTATTTTTGACGATAAGCTATAAGAACGATATCGGGCTCACATTCGCTAACCAGCGTAATGCCGAGAAATTTTTGACTACAATGTTCTTATAAATAATAAGCCCATGCCCTGATTCTAATTGATAAAGTCATATATTAACCTAAAATAGATAATATATCCAGGGTGCGAAAAAAAATGGAGGATTAAGAACATTGATAACCTTATCGAGCGTCGATGATCATATTAGATAAGATTTAATTTTATATTCAATGAAATTATAAAGAATTAATAGACGTTAATTACCATATATAACTTCAAGTCATTGTGTATCTGGAGTAGATCAGTAGGAAATAGAATATCAGAAAGATGCCAGTAATCAACGAAATTGCGAATTCCATGTTGAGTAAGCGAGCGGAAAGCTTGGAGAAGCAAACATCGACGTTTGTTCCCACTGACATGGCCTATATCTTATTTTGCTCTTTCGGTGTCTTCCTTATTACCCCAGCAATTGGTTTATTTTATTCGGGGCTTTTAAAAAGAAAAAATGTGGTACAAGTGTTATTTCAGTCTTACATGACAACTTGTCATGTTGTGATAATTTGGTATTTATTGGGATATTCGTTAGCCACCTCACCAACATCAACATCCAAACTCATAGGTGACTTTCATCTGGCTGCTCTTTATAATGAACAAGCAGGCCCCTTATCAGAGGGTGGTAACTTGCCATCTGTGATAAATTTTTGTTTTAATGTCTTCTTCCCAATAGCAACAGTCCAGATTTTCATCGGTGCAATAGGAGAAAGAGGTCGTTTCTTTCCTTCTCAGGTTGTTGCATTTATGTGGACCATTGTTATCTACTGCCCACTCGCTTTTTGGGTCTGGGGGTTGAATGGGTGGTTGTACAACTTGGGTGCGTTGGATTTTGCAGGAGGTGGCCCTGTTCATATTGCTTCAGGAATTGCATCATTCTGCTACTCATGGTATATAGGCCCAAGGGGTATGCCAGGAAAGCGTGTTGGTAATGTTAAGCTGGAAAAAGGACATTCTACTGTGACAACTTTTATTGGCGTTACCTTAATTTGGGCAGCCTGGTTCTGCTTCAATTCGGGTACCTTGTTAAGCGTCAATGTGAGAACTGGGTACATCTTCCTCAACACTATTCTTGCGTCAAGTTTTGCTTCAGTTACTTACACAGCCGTGGACAAATTACTCACAGGAAAGTACTCTATGGAGGCCGCATGCGAAGGTGTTATTGTTGGGTTAGTCAATATTACACCATCGTGTGGCTTCTACTGGCCCTGGGCCGCCGCCGTGACATCTATCATAAATGCAGCATTATGTCGCTTATTATTATCATTCAACAAATGGACTGGCATAGATGATTACAGTAGATCAGGAGTTGTTCATGGTTTTGGTGGTATCATTGGCGGTACTTTGACAGGTATCTTTGCTACAAAGACGGTTGCCGGATACGATGGTGTTACTGAGATTGATGGTGGATGGGTTGATGGCAACTGGATACAGTTGGGTTATCAGATCGCAGCGTGGGTTGCAATCAGTGCATGGACTGTAGTGTTTACAATGATCATTTTGTTCATCGTCGATCACATTCCGGGACTTAAATTGAGGGCACCTGAGGAAGGTGAAAATATGGGTATGGATGAGTATGAGATGTCTGAAACATTGGATGAGTTTGGATATAGATCTGAACTTCTTTGGGAATACGCCAATAAGCTTAGAGAATTGGATTTAGAACATAGGGGAAATATAGAAGTTTTAGATGGCGTACTGCGAGATGATGGTGACTCTCAATCACATAGATCCATTGAACTTCAATATAAGTCGAAGGCTTGAATGACTTTTTCAACTTTATATTTACGAGATACGCATATAACTTATTCACTTCTGTTATATAATACTTTTCTTGAAATACAGATAACAAATGCGCAATCACGTGATAGAAGTCGTTTTTGGAGATGCTGTAGATGACGCATACTGTAGGAGCCAGAATGTACTGCATATATAATAATAGAGAGAGAACAAACTGGAGGTGGTAGAAGAAGTATTAGATGTTTATAACGCTTTTAATGGTGTAGAATAAGGCCACTTGAAGGAGTATCAAATATATGTTTTGAGACTTGAAGTAATAATGGCATACTTTACATTATAAACTAACAATTTTGATAAGAAAACAAGAAACGTAAAATTCATAAATGTTAAAAAAGCAGGCCAAAAAAATGGCAATTCAAGAAGAAAAAGGAAAGAGTAGAATATGAATCCATTACTTAAAGAGGTTTCACTTCAAAAGTTTGTAACCTAATGTCTGTTCCGCCGATACAGTCATTCTTAGCCAATGAGTAAACATTAGGTGCAGAAGGACAAGCTCTCCACCCTTCTTTATAATTGTAGTAAAGGTAGTCATTTTTAATCGTGAAACCTTTTGTTGGGTCCTGTTCGCCCCATGGGTCAACATTACCAAAGTCTCCAGTGTCTGGATTGAGGTAAATTCCCCTGCCATCCTGGTCCTTTAAAGTGCAATCTTTGTTTAATGTCAAGATGATATTTTTACCATCATCACCACCAACGGTGAATACATGGGGATGAGCATCTACTTTCTTGATCGAGTCATTGTCAAGGTCACTACCGGAGCAAACTGCCTTTACTGCAAAACTGATTGGATCACATTTCGTTGGAAGGTGACTAGCAATGGTGCTGGCGACGATAGACAGTATAGTAAAAGCTAATGCAAATTTCATGATTATATTTGAATAATTGATATTTAATAATGATATTACGATTGTTCCAAGTATGATAAATATGGTCTCTTATATAGTTTTGGAGCTTCCCGAAGAACCTAAAATTAGAAATATTCAGTTTTCAAATAGTCATCAGCTTGTAGATAAAAGAGACCCCTGATGCAGGGGTTTGGCAACTAAACCTTCAATTTATCTGGAGTTTTTCTTTAATTCATGCTTGGCAAAAGGAAGTATTCTTAAATTAACCATCAGGCTGATGTTATTGAATACTAGAATACTCCACATTACAAAATTTAAGTTATCAATTTGGTATGAATTGCTAATATTAGATTTCGCGGTCTGTATATAAGGTATGCAACCTTTATAGACAGCTGCAAAGTAGGACCCTTGGCAGCTTTCAGCTTTGGGAGCTAAGACGACTTTCATAGCAAGGATCTTTTCAACTGCCAAAGAGCAGCATTAAAGACTTGTACATTTAATCCACTTGATGTACAGAGATATCAAAGTGCTAGCGATATATGTGATACCACCGCTTTTCACGACTGATCATGATCGATCTAAACCTTTTTTTTTTCTTTTTTGAACACAGATACTACAACCTCATCTTTAGGGCAAAATCTGATGACTGGAGATTCTGAAAGCACGTCTTGGAGAAGATTTCCTAAGATTCCTTATTTAATTTGCTTTGTTGCTCGATATATCATTGGCGACTCCTCTTGATGACTTGATATTGTACCTTTGCACGCAAGCTTGGCGATCGTAAATTAAGGGCTCTGCTACGTAGACGCTTAAAATAGAATGACATTAATCTTGTATTCATGACCGATCATTCAATAGATACGAAAGAAATGAAAAATAGAGTATAGGGAAGATTCTGATTAGCTAGGTTAAGTATACATAAAACTTCAAGCCATTCGATAGTGACCAGAACTAGAATATTGATGCGTTTCCTTTAAGTTTTTGGATTCTCTCAGGTATCACCTTTGAGAAAATGTACCTCATAGATTGTCTATATATCCACAGAAATTCCATCGTTCCTTTTCTCAGCGTCATCGATTAGTTTTGAACCTATAGCAACGTCCATAATACTTAAGCCAACAAGTTTACAAAGAACAATTTTGGAGCTCCCTTTGTATACAGATATATCCTCGCTAGATGTATATTCACTCACTTCAACTAATTTTCCAATCGGAACCATATTTTGGATGAGCTCTCCGGCTTCGTGTGAAGCATGTTCTTTCGAATCCACGATAATGCGTCCTCCACCTTGCAAAATTTCTTTTATAACCAGGCCGTCAACCTCAGTCATCTGGGGCTGATAGCTTCCTATGACTGAAATGTATAGAGAGCCATTCTGACAGTTATCCACGTAACGCTTCAAGATCACCGGATTAGTCGAAGGCAAACACCCATAAATAATGGAAATATTCAAGCACGCGGCTTCAATTGCGACTTCATCATCTAAAGCAAGACTATTGAATTTAATATCGGGGAATTCTTTCGATAGATTCTCACAAAAAGTCTCTGCCTTCGATAATGTTCTATTGCAAACAACAACCTCGACAAATTGATCAGGATACATTGTTAATGTCAACCTTATGTGCCAGTAGGCTTGTAACCCCACCCCAAAGACCAATATTTTGGTACCTTTCAAGTTTCGATCGCCGCTAGAATGGAACACACGAGATAAAGGCAACGTTGAACACAATGCAGTTCTAAATGCAGTCAAGACCGTTGCGTTTAAGATTCCTCTAATATTTCCGATATCGTCAAGTATTGTTACAGCTCCTTTGAATCCATTGGTCGTTCCAGTTAGAGTCTTAATACCTACCTGTGACCCTACCAGAGGCATAAAAATATGAGTAGCTTTGCCGCGTTTGGTCACAATTCTCGGAGGAATGATAGACTCATCATCCTTATATTCCAACAATGCTGTATGTAATACCACTTGAAAATCTTTCAAACCTTCATAGTTCAAGCTTTTGAGATATTGCTCAATGCTTTTGTCACTCAAAACTTTCATTTCGTTAATAACAGGATGGTGCTTCTTATAATTCTTGAAGAAAGCGCGAATCAGTTTTTTTGATCACTGACACAAGAAATGAATTCAATTTATCATAAGCACTAAAAGGTTGCCATTGTGATCTTGTTTCCTAAGAATAGGTTTCCGAAGAATGGAGATGTAAATCAAATTGTATTTCAACCGAAAATCCAATTCAATCTCTATGTAAAATTCTTAGAGTCAAAATGTTAAACTTGGCCCTGGCATTCTTACGCTGTTGGGTGTAATACTTAAGTATTTCCTATAATCAAAGTGTCAGCAATTAAAACGGACTCGATTTAAATCACTTTTCGAAGAATTAATAATCCATACTTTCCAATACAGCGTTTGTATCACATGTGGCTTGTCTTGACCATTTTTAGGATCCTGCTTAATTTGTCAGCATTGGATATTTAAAGGTGTTCTCTGTCAAGTAATTTTTGCAAGCGAACTGAAGGCATTTAGTCTCTCAATTCCTGAAAAAGTTTTAGGCGATGATTCAAGTCCCCAGGACGACTGTTGCTGCTGTTTTAAATAACAAAATCAAAGGTTTAGAGGTTAGGGAAATCCCAGTGCCTTCATTATATTCAGATGAAATCTTGGTTGATGCTACAGCTGCCTCTATAAATGCCGTGGATTACTACCATATAGATCAAAATTGGTCTCCAGACGGATCGGTATTTGGGATTGCAGTTAGTGGTAAAGTCTTAAAGGTTGGCGAAGATGTTTCGAGATTTAAGCCTGGAGACTTCATTGCCAGCTTCATCCATGGTGGTGATTATACCTCACCTGCTAAGGGGGCATATTCAAAAATCGCAGTGGTACAGGAAGTCTATTCTATTAAAGTTAATCTGCTTCAGCTAGGTAGTTTGGACTACATTGCATCAAGCGAGGTAAAGACATTTGAAGGTGCCTGTTCTCTAGTTAATACACTTGTCACTATGGGGGTCAGTTTATTCCATACCTTAGGAGGATCTTTTGATGAACCTCAAGATAAGTCTTTTTTGATATATGGAGGATCGACAGCAACAGGTTTGATTGCAACCCAAGTGGCCAAAATATTTGGTTGGAGGGTCATTTCCATAGCCTCTAAGAAGCATAAAAACTTGATGAAGGGTTTTGGAGCTGATTTTCTCGTAGATTACCATGACGCTGACTTCGTGCAACAAGTAAGAGCCATTGACGCTGATATAACAATTGCGTTACATACAGTCGGAGGAGAAACTACTTTACGCTCAGTTATAGACTGTGTATCAGACTCACTGCCAACAAAAATTGATTCATTGATTGTTAAAGATTTTGCCCATCTCGAAAGTTTAAAATCTAATGTAAGTTATACGATGACAAGAGCATTCACTGCGAACGGGCGGGATGTCGTCTATTCTAATGGTGATACTTACCCAGCGCCCGCAGGAATCAAAGAGTCTACTACAGTATTTTTATCACAAATGGAAAAGCTTATAAATAAGTACACTCTTAAACATATCCCCATCCTTGTGCATCCAGGTGGTTTATCGAGCATTAATGAGGCCCATAAGATTATAAGAAGTGGTGGGATCAGCGGAGCCAAATTGGTGATAAGAATAGATTAGTAAGTAATGCCACAGCAGGATTGAAGATATGTGTGATTCATTAAGGAGTTATAGTTTCAAATTCGAGTGGCCAATAGTTAGGTTGTTTCTTACGCCTCTCTTTTATACGTTCATAGTTACAAAATTCTGAATTCGCAAGCCATTACCACATGATCATAAGCTTTACGGTAGTTTAAAACTAAACAAATCGCACTCAAAGTCAGATTACAAAGATATTGCTTTATATCCTACAGGTCTTGTGACCTTGAGCTGTAGTATGTGAAATTGAGTCAGTGCCAACATGTAGCATTTTATTTACGAAGATAAGAACATTTAGCAATTCTTGGCGGCGAAATCATATAAAAATGCCCCAATTTACTGCATTCAATTAAATAAGGATCGGTATGAACTGGAAAAGTAAGTCATTAAAGTTTTAAAGAGAAATGAATTATTTCACAGCCCACGTAGCTATTGCATGGTACAGCTTTTGAGAAGGTTATGATTTATTAGCCCACATATCATGACACCGTGTACCTTTTTATGAAGAAAAAACAGATTGTCAGAAGTATGCTAGGATGGACAGCTAATACGCCTGTAGGATTCTAAGGGCAGGAATACATATGTGATAAATTTCAGGTAGCTACAAAGCTGTCTCTCATATATGGTTTACTGCGTTCTGACGATATCAATGGAAAAGCTTAGTGAGATGACTCAAAGCAAGCTTCCAGTTGCAGACTAATCCTAGTGTATTCTTCAACTCGATAGATCAGGAGGAAATGGAACTCTTTATTTTGCCATTTGCTGTACCACTCCTGAAGCATTTTGGCTTGAATACGACTGAAAAATATATCCAAATCTGCTTATCTACCTTCCATAATTTCAAAAAGAAAGCCATGACCGCTAATTCAATTGCGTATCAAAGAAGTAACCTTCGAACGACCTAGTTTGCAAGACTTCCTATTGATGCTAGTATCATGGATTAGAAAACCATTCTCTACAAAAACTTTCAAGATTATCAGAAAAATGTACGCAGATATGCTATGAGGTTCAAAATAATAATAGATTGAGGACTGAAAATCCTGTATCGCGTATATAGATTGGAAGCTATCAAAAAATTAATCAGTATTTTAACGCCTATTTAAGGTTATATGATACTGATAATATCGAGGGTCTCGCAGTCAATGATTTAGGTATAGAACTCCCTTGCAAGTCCTTCAACAGTCACTTGAGGGTTCGGATATATATATCTATATACACTCCATGACCGCATTGGCCCTCATAGCATATTGACTATTGGTCGTGGCACGCTAAGTTTTTCCAGAACAGTATATGAAATGCATTAGGTTGCACGATATTTCCTAGTTTTCGGAAGCTAATTGTTGACAAGTATTTGATAAATACGTCACCTGTTATCACCTCCTATCGATATGCTCTTCTATTGCTCTTGTGACGCCTTGCGGTTACCATATCAAACACTTGATGTAAAGCTTCATTAGTTTCATATATGTGTTTTTTGAAGTCCAATGAGAGCCCACTATTCAAATATTATCTAAGTTCCGATTTTAAAGTCGCACTTGATTGGGGTAAAATATGAGTTGATCATCCGAGTTCCGATCACTTTTGTCTACGGCACGTCAAACGAAAACTAAAACGTACTGTGGTCACATGCAGTCTGCCTACCAAAGCCTTTGACCTGCGGGCCCAATAGAGTCATGATAACCAGACTGCTTATCAGGAAAAAAAAAACTTATCGTCAAATTTTTTGAAGCACTCAAATAAAGACAGTAGGAAATACTTGAATATTTTCTAAGTAGTAGTTTTAGGTGTAGACTCCTCAGAAGACTCTAGATTAAATATAGGATAGCTGCAACTAAGTTATAAGGCAAAATGACTGCTCTAGATGTTGAAAAGAGCCATAGGAGCTCTTTAGTTGATGTTAAACTGATTCAAGATGTTACCAAACTTGCTGACTTAGGATACAAACAGGAGTTGGATAGAAACTATAGTTTTTTATCTAGTTTTTCTTTTGCATTATCTATTTCTGGGCTCATGGGTACCATTTCAATTACTTTTATGTATCCTTTGTGGGCTGGTGGACCAGCAGCATGTGTATGGACTTGGTTTGTTGGAATGATAGGATGTCTTTGTATCGCGTGGTCTGTTGCAGAAATCACCTCTTGCTTTCCAACGTCAGGAGGAATGTATTACACTTTACTGCATTTAATGCCCAAAAAATGGGTTCCTTTGATGTGTTGGATAGACGGTTGGCTCTATCTTGTGGGTGCCATCACAGGTGCTGCAAGTACTGATTTCGGTGCTGCAAGTTTGTTATTGTCGATTATTTCTATGGCATCTGACTACTCGTATATACCGTCTCGGGGCCATATTACGGCTGTGGCTATTTTGGTTATGATAACGCATGGTCTTATAAATACCTTACCAGGGTCAGTTTTAGCTAGAATAACAAAATGCTACTGTTTCGTGAATATTGGTTCAACAATAGCGTTAATTATTCACTTGTTAGTGAAATGTCCAAAGATCAATACCGCTTCTTTCACTTTCACTGAAATTATTAATAACACAGGTTGGGACTCGAAGAACTGGGCCTTTTTGTTTGGCTTCTTGAATGTCTCTTGGGTTATGACCAGTTATGATGCTACTTCAAGGATTTCTGAAGAAGTTCATAATGCTGCTTTCTATACACCTTTGGCTATCGCATCAGCTTTGACCGTAACAGCACTTTTAGGTTGGGTTTTGGTTATTGTGTTTACATTAACTATGGGAACCAATATTAGTAACTTATTGACGACATCTACGGGTCAACCAATTGTGCAAGTGTTTTTGTATGCCATGGGAAAAGAAGCTGCAATAGCTTATTTATCGTTGGCATTTGTCATCGTATGGTTCTGTGGCGCGGTTGCTACCTGTTCTGTTTCGAGAGCATTATGGTCATTTTCCCGTGACAGAGGACTTCCTTATCACAAGTTCTGGTCTTATGTTAATCCAACCGTTGACGTTCCTTTGAGATGTGTTTGGCTTACGGTTCTTATCAACTGCTTATTGTCCTTGATTAACTTGGGGTCTGAGATTGCAATGAATGCCATTTTTTCCGCATGTGCAATTGCTACTGACTGGTCTTATATTCTTTGCATTGCAGCTTTCTTATTCAATGCCGATAGAATGGGCGTAAAGAGGGGTCCATTCACTATGGGTAAAGTAGGTAAACCCGTAATGGCCTATGCCTGTGTTTGGACTGTCTTTGTTTCTATCATTTTCGTTTTCCCGAACTATATGCCCGTTACGCCTGAAGATATGAACTACACAGTTGTGATATTAGGTTTTGCATTTATAGGTGCTGGTTTATGGTGGGTCATAGATGCTCGTAAATGGTATCAGGGTCCAGTGGCTACTATTGAAGAATCCGATTCTACTAATGTCACTGAATTAGGTTCTCCAGAAGAGTCAGAAAGCTCCAATTCCATACTTGAAAAAAACAAAGAAAAAACATCTGTGACCGATATTAAATAGAAAAAGTGTATAGGGTATCTAAATTATTATATTATTAAAAACTTCTATTAATCAAACTCTACGTATATCAATAAAAAATGTGTGAAATTACATCAATGTGGCTAATCTTGATCTTGCTCTCATCTTATCATCGTACTTGTAGAATAAAAATGGAACTGGCACTAAAAGTATTGAGATACATCCTAACAATGTTCCGGCCCATTTAATATGCATCTTGGTGAACATTGCATGTGCAAATAACGGGAAAACACCACCAAAAATTGATCTTAGGACTGTCATCGCAGCTAAAGCTGAAGCTGAATAGGTAAGATAGGAATCCACGATATAGTTGATGCAGGGTTGAAAAATTGACAAAAATCCAAAACCTACAAATGCTCCACCTATAGTCGGGACGATCCAATGCACTTTATCCGCATAGTCACCAGACCAACATAGCCAAAACAATCCTCCGGAAAGAGAAAAAGAGCCAACCATCATCGCTGGAAGCCTCTCTTTTGGCATTGGTTTATTGGAGCCGGTTTTTTGTAGGATGGTTCTGTATCTTAGATCGAAAAGGATGAGCGTCAATCCCCCACAAATACACCCTATCAAGACAGAAATGTATGGTAGCTCACTAACACCTATTGCAAAATGATAGTTCCCCAAAAAGATTAATGGTATTGCTGTCAATAATAGATATATTATTCCATAAATGAAAGCTCCATATAATGCAAATAAAAATAGTATAGGCTCTGTAAAAAGCATGTAAAATGGTCGAGCAATATACTTTACAGCAATTTCAGAGAATGTCAAGGACAACGTTTCATGCGGTGCATGTACGGTCCAATTTTTTGTTATCCTTCTTATGACTTCTGCTTTTCTAACGAGGATGATTGGCTGGTACGTTTCTTTGAAAAAAAATAACATTAAAGCAAAGACAAAAGAACCGGATATCCCACTCCAATAAGCATTCCATCTCCAACCGAGAGACAGATTCTTCTCCGTAAATGCACTGATTATAGGTGCCATACAAGGACCACCACAAACCGATATACCAAAGGGAGCCATTGCTCTACCTCTGAACTTTTGATTGAAGAGATCAGCAATAGTAGATGCAGATATAACCATAGCTGCTCCTCCAGAAAATCCACTAAAAAATCGGCAAATCATGATAGTCTGTAAATCTTTCGCCGTGGCGACTGCAAATGAAAAACATGCTAGACCAAAGGTAGAAGGAATTAGTACTGCTTTTCTCCCGTATAGCTCAGAAAGGGGGCCCCATATCATCGGACCACAAGCAAAGCCTAAAACATAAAGAGATGTTGCTAAAGTTGCAACGACAGAACCTACATGAAACTCTTCTCTAAGTGAATCATTAGATTCAGCTAGAAGAGCAGAACCAAGAGAATTGCAAAATGAAAATAAAGTGACCACACTGGTGATAAAAATTTTATTCGTTAAGGACCAATTGTGAGGATGAATAGGATCATGAGGACCATCAAATGATACCAAGTAAAGTTTCTCATCTCCAGGAATTGGAGGCATATCAATACCAGATCCCATAGGCGGTAGTTCTGTATCAACTTGAAGATCCTCAAGTCGTTGTTCACCTGTAATCACTCGACTAAGCGTTCGTGCCTGCTGTCTAAAAGACAACCTAGTTCTTGTACTTGTTTTGCTAGCGGTTGGCGATGCGTCATTCGTGAAGGGGCGTTGATCTGATTGTGCTCTATATTCTTTGATACCATTTGCATCATCTCCTTGTAAATCAGAAGATTGTGAAGAGTCTATAGACTCATTTGAGTTTTCTTTGTGTATTAACAGCATATTATAAGTTTAATATCCTATAAAGCATTCTCTCTCTTTGGTTTGGTTTAAAGGAAAAGAGATTTTTATATTTTTATCTTTTTTCACTCTCCTTTGCTATATTGTAGTTTAGATGACGCTGATATACCGATAAAAAATTCGGGCCGAACGATAATCCGACGATGACATTTAACCTGCTTTTACGCATAATGCGACGCTGAGGTGAAGATTGAAAATAAATTATAGAGAACGGCCCATGCTAATGTAGCACTAGAGTCTTAGTTCTTGAGACTTTCGAGCTCCAGGAAATGAAAAACATACGCTGACTGAGAAATGATGATGATTCTGTTTGACGAGACGTGAATTAGAATTGCAAAAATTCAATTTTCACTTGCGTAAAATCCGCAAACGTTGATTGAGTCATAACCTCATTATCTCCGCTCAAGTGGCTCGGCCCTCCGAACTATCATAGAACACGATACGAGAAAAGTTACCTCGCTGACAGCGCAATTGGCTTAGACAGCTATTTAGATGACTCTTATGGGTTCAATGTAAATCTAAAACAAATAACTATTTTCCTGACTAATACATAAGGTCACTACTTTTTTAAATTTAGTATATCTTTCGAGGGTTCAGAGTTAATGTTTTCGGGCATCTTTGGATGCAACTATCCAGATGATAGCCAATATCAGATACTTATTTTCGATGATCACATAAAATAAACACTATTAAGCACAACTATATATTTTTTAAACCGTTTCAATTTAAAACTACATTCCAAAACTACGGACACAAAGTTTCGATATCTTTTATGGAATCATGGTAAAAGCTGTTTTATAAAGAAATAGAGTAGTCGTAGGTCAATCACAGCTTGCAAACTTCGAAAACCACATCATTTTTATTTAAAAAATGCTCTTTAAACTGAGTTGAGACAATTGCCTTTCCTGCTACGTTAAATTACAATTTCTTAGAAAGCTGATATTTATAGATAAAATTAATTAAAATATTAATACATTCTATAGCGGTGGGATTATTTAATGACTCTTGTAAAGCGTTGCTGTATCAAGAACAGTATTGTTAGAAGAAACAACGAATTCATGAGTTAAATGAGTCCTGTTGTGAACTGTGAACTTAGACCACCCATAAGCCGTATCTTGAGAATACTCCACATAGTCTGGAAGAGGATAAACAAGAGAGTCAAGACCATCATAGTGGCCAGCAATACCATTCAAAATGTACCATGGGGCAGATGGATTGTTGAGGCCATTTGGATCTACTTCGTTATTTGCAACTGGTGACAATCTTTCATAGTTATGCACATGACCTGCAAGAACAAGGTCGACATTATTTTTTGTCAAGATGTCTTCGAACGCTTCTTGACAAGTTGTGCAGCGATCGCTCTTCTTAGCAGCTACGTACCAAGGACGATGTCCGAGAGCAATAACCCAGGGAGTTTTTGTCCTGTTCACTGAAGAAAGATCTTTTTCTAACCAATCAATTTGCTCATTTTCATAAGACCCTAAAGGACCATTGATACCTCCATCTTCGGGACCCTTAAGTCCATTACCAAAATCCGTCTCCGTGTTATATTGAACGAAATGAACTAAGCCATAATCAAAAGAATACCAAAAGTTATCTCTTCCTCCTGATTCTGCACTAGGCATACGGAAATGGTTCTTGAATCCGGTAAAGTTTGTTTGTCCTGGCATACAGATAGAATTTGTGTACGTGACATTATTTATTTTATCTGTGGTGCCCCCATTGTCACAATCGGCTTCATGGTTTCCCGGGCCAACCATATAGGGTCTTTTGCTGGTTACAGGCTGGATTTCATCGTAGAAAGCATTGAGGATCTGCTCGTACACCTGATAACCTTTACTTATATCAAGCGGTAAATATTCCTGAACTTCTTCTTTAAGCCAGTAGTCTGCATAGGCGAGGTCCCCTGGATGTAACAAGAAATCAAAGTGATTGACGTTTTGAGCTAAAGACTGCATGGTGGTTTGCTCCCCAGGAGTAAGTGCTCCTCCAGCTCCCTCACCAGTCGTATCACTTAGCCCTAGATTACCCATGGTACCCATATCAATTACAAGGCCAAAAGAAAATTCATCCTCTGACCCGGCTTCCTTTGCCGTAGTAAAGCTATATATCTCAGATGACTTGTCATGCAAAACCCTATAATAGTAGGTTGTTCCTGGCTGAAGTCCTTCGATTTTAACATGATTATTATAAGTGAGCGAGGTTTGATAAGTGACTGACTCATGGCTAGTAGCAATTTTATTAAGTCTTTTAGGTGATTTCCCATAAAAAACTGTAGGTTTTTGGATGTGCTGATAAGTATTCCAACTAACAGTCATTCCTGTCAGACCTGCATACGCAAGACGATGCTGCCTTGGAGATACCTTATTTTTTGGTATATCTTTAACGTGTGGCATACCTAGGACGAGTCCGAGACATTGGGCCGTTAAAATAAATAAAGCGATCGAACTGAGCTGCATGTTGATTTTTATTTTTGTATACTTCTAATTAGAGTCTTTTCGAGTCCCCGTAGAAGATCAAGTTCTAGATATATTAAAAAGCTCCAGCTATTAAGCTCATAAGATACATAATGTATGGGCACCAGTGAAATGACTTGCTTATATATTTCTCTCTTATGATTTGTTTCAATCGATTATCTAAGGTTTTCGTTTTCATTGGTAGAAGATGTAACACGTGGTGGGGGTAAATGTATTAAACTGATATGTTTTCTATCTTTTTTCTATTGTTTAATGCATTAGCACATTCGATTCAAAGATCTGACCTATTGAATAGGCATCTTTTCCAATTGTTTTAATAGGCTTATGTTCGTTCCACTATCAAGTGTTCTCCATTTGGGTCTTAAGACGCGTGATAGTAATATAATAATATAATTAGCGACCTTTTATTTAAGAAACGTGCATGCTTGGTCCAATTAGCTTGAGATGTTTTAGAACTCTATCCTTTATGCCCCACCGAAAGTTCTCAAGCTATTATTCGAACTTGCGTATTAATCGGTAATATGGTGGATATCGATCACCTGATGGATGAGAAAGGTCAAGTCGCATTAGATCACAAGAAGATCTACTCTCATCTACAGGGAAACTGCACAATGATCATGTGATGCAGCAATACTAAAAATTCTCCGTCCATAGTCTTCGCAGTCCTTTATAGATCATCGGAAAGATGGAAATTGAGCAAGAAGTCATACAAAATCATGTATGCGGCATTCGAAGAACATGCTCACTATTTGTCTAATGGCAATAGTAAACGGCACGCTGCTGTCGAATGAAAACATTGCGTAATTGTCAGTTTTCTATTTTTATTTTGAAGGACAAGAAATTTTTATTGTGGAACGTGAATACTATATTCAGCCAGCAGCAGTTTCGAAAAAGTCGAAACAAAGAAATTTCATCCAAAAATAGTCACGATGTTTCCTTATAAGTCCAAAAAAAATGACACAATACAAAAATGTAACGTCGAAGTCAGGGGAGCATTTTTAGCTTGCTTTAGCGAGTCAACAGAGCATCGGGGGAACTTCCTTTTTAGGCTGAACCCCAAGAAAAGTAGTTATATTTAGTAGTCAAAAAGCATAAACGAACTGAGCCCTTTTTTGACACTCTCCCAGTTTAAGAGAAAAGCGAACTATGTTCCGGCTATAAATTGAGGACTAAATAGCCTCTCATAATTCATATTCCATAAGCAATAATCAAAAAACTAAGAATGCAAATTTTATCAATCACAACCTTACTTGCCATTGCCTCAGTTGTTGTTGCTGACAAAACTTTCCCCTTAACAGCACAAGGCGGTTCGATTAATGAATCTGTCAAATTAGGCGATGATGGCAAATTTTATTTAGGTAAAGGTTCGGATGTAACTTTTACTTTAGAAGAACCATCTGGTTACTTAACTGCTGATGGTAAATACGTTGGCTTAGAAGGAGGCTTGCAACAAGTCGACAAAGATCAAGCTAGTAAAGATTTTGGCGTTGAAGAAAATAAATTGAGAAATGGTCCATCTATTGACAATTTCGATTTTTATGCTTGTCCACAGAGCGACGATGACTACAGTCTTCAAAGTTACACTTGTAATGGAGGTACTAAAGTGTCATTGATCACCGGTGATTCATTTTTCCCTTCATCCTCTGCTCCTGCAGACTCTTCAGCCGCCCCAAGTTCTGTTGCTCCAAGCTCAGCACCTGTTTCTAGTGTTCCTGCAACATCTTCAGAAAGCTCAGTTTCTTCTAGCAGCGCTGCAGTTACATCTGCCATTCCATCGAATTCTCAAGAGTCTGGTGCAGTTACTGAAACTACTTTAAGTACAGCTGTTACCAGCGTTGATTGCGATTCATGCTCTCATCAAAACTCCACTTCAATCCCGGAAGCGTCAACAAGTGAGAATGGTGCTAAACAATTGTCTTACGGTGCTGGTGCTTTAATTTTTGCAGGTGTCGCTTTGTTATGATTTTGCTAAAGCCTAAATGATAAAAGTTTTTTGATGAATTAGCTAATAAATAGAGCATTAGAATATACATTTTCATGTATTGAAATAGTTTTTCGCATTGACTTTAGGATGTTTTATTCAAGTATTTTGTTCTGATCGCTATCTCGAAATGTTTGCCAAATCTTCACTGCGTGAGATTCAAATCTTAAACTTTTCAGAATTAAAGGACTTTTGCAGACGTTTAAAAGCCTCTCCAGCAACAATTCCGAAGGGGCTTAAAATTTCGTTTTTGATAACTATACGCGAATGGCCAATGCAGTGAATACTATATATAATTGTGACTCTCGGCTCTATACGATTCGCATATAGGTTCCAAGCTTGATTGTATAATTCAAAAAAACGATCCATTTTCACAAGGTCATCCTTCTGTCCCAAGATCTGTTATGCGGTATGTGTTTTCCAAACCTTGTTTAGGTAAATCTCACAAACAGTTCTTCTTATACTCTATTTTTAAGCTCAAAACCTATTTCACTATCCTACTAACCTATAATTTTAAATTACGGCAATATTAAAAATCATAAAACTTTTTTTTCTTTTTAAACACATATACAAGTCTTCCATACTAAAGTACACCTTAATAACGAAGCTATGAATATCACCACATCTCATTGCTGTCAATGACAATGTCAGAAGTTAAATCACTCTAGTCTAAGGAAAGACCCAATGCTTCTCTCTGTGACTTAGAATTTGGATCAAAGTAAGGAATTTCAGCCAAAGAAGTAACTCTCGTACCATGTCTGGGTTCTCCACCTTCGTGATCCCAAACTGCATTATGCTGAGAAATTCTGTTGTCCCACAATGCGGAGGTACCATAACCCTCTTTGGTAGGCTTCCAGTTGAAACGAACCTGAATATCTAAATTCTTCTCGTAAACAGAGTAGAGGTATTCCAAAATTGTTTTACTCTCCTCCGGCTCGAGTCCAACGATCCTGACAGTCATTGAACGGTTAACAAATAATGATTTCCAACCAGTGACTGGATGGGTCCTCACAAGGGGGTGCTCCCTTTCGATTCTCTTTGGTCCCTTCAATGGATTTTCACGATCCAAATATTGGTGAGCGGAACAGTAAATTGCTGTCTTCCCATCCAAAAACTCCTGGAAAGCAGGAGACAACTTATCATAAGCAGCATATCCAGAAGACCAAAGTGTATCTCCACCAACAGAAGGGACACTGTCGTTATGTAAATGGGTTATACCAGCTGGTTGGAACTCATGGACCAAATCTGTATGCCATTGAGAGTTACCCCCAATACTTCTCTTGAAAGTAAGGTCTAAACCATTTTGTCTTGCATAATCTTGCCAAATTACAGAAATCCCATTCAAATTTTCTCCGTCAAGAGCATTAGGCACTCTTGGAACTTGAGCATGTACCTCAACTTGACCGAAATACCTACCAATTTCAAGTTGCTTTTGAGGTGACAAATCTTGATCACGAAAGAACACGACAACTCTTTCTGCAATAAGCAAGGCTAATTCATCTTTTTGCTTGTCTGTCAACTCACTTAGTTGAAGCCCCACAATTTCTGTTCCGACATGTTTTGTTAAGTTGATTACTTCTTTAGCTGCCCCAAAAAGAGCCTTTTTTTCTGGATCAGCATTTTTCCCTCTTTCAATGTAAGGATATTCTTGATTTCTGATTGCATGTGCCTCGTCTACAAATTTGGGGATATCTTCATACTTAGGAACTATTGGATAACCTTTTGTTAAATCTATTCCATATTTGTCGAATCTTCTTCTAGCAGGTTCGGGCAACTTCTCGAGCCAGGAAACATTTGAGTTAGGTTTGATCCCCTTCGAAAGCCTAGAGTGACCAAGGGGTTTATGAGCAGCAAGGTTAAGCAATAATTCTTCGTACTCGTCCGATGAACGTTCTTGTGCGGTTGGTGCCATATTCAGATTATTTTTCACAGTGATATTGATTTTAACAATTCAGTGTATTGTTCTCTGTAAAGTACTCTTTTCCTTGTATAAATATTTTTCTGCCCCTAGAGCTTTGAGACCACCCACTGATAATTACAAATATAATTACTAATACAGTAGTTGTGGAGTTATTGTTAATAGTTTATCCCTAGATTGCTAATCGAGCCATATAATTTAATTTTTGTAGCTACTGCACTCAAATCCTTGTGGCTTCTTCACAGCAAAAATAAAGTTAAGTCGATAACCATCGCAAATTAATTGTTAAAGCTTGAGTTTAAGCTACTAAATAGTTTAGAGCTATTCTTGGTGTTCTGCCCATCTTCAAAAAAGATTTTTAAGACGCCGCTCCTCTCTCACAGAGAATCAAAGGGTGCTTACTCTATCAAATTTGCAGCCACTTAAACCCCTATGCGCGCACACCAACTCATATCGAGCAATATACAGTGACGCCACAGTAATCTAGGCTTAATTTAAAGTTCTTATTGCAACATATGAACTAGACATCAGAAGGGATATTAGTTCCAAATATTTTTTGTTGAATTCCAAAGAGACTCACGAGTTCGTTATGCCTTCAAAGGAGCTTAATAAAATTGCACTAAATCCGCATAGGGTCAGGAAAGTTGCAATTATTGGAGGAGGTGCATCAGGTGCAATTGCTTTAGACTCATTGATTAAGGAGAATACATTTCAAAAAATTGTTCTCTTTGAGCGTAGAGACCGTTTTGGAGGTATATGGTGTTTAGATGAAAATGTGGAACAACAGCAAGTAGTTCCTGGTTCTACCAGTGATATTGCCGATCCGCAATTGAAGAATCCTTTTAAAGAGAAAGAAAATGCAGGCAAGAGGTATATAAACACTGAACAGCCATCCCAAAATAGATTTATAGAAACTCCGTCTTACTCCAATATGAAAACGAATATAATTGAAAAGCTAATGACTTACAGCGATGACAATGCATGGCCAGTTGACGGGGATAGAAATACAATTGATACAACTTATGTTGATCGTTCAATAGTCGAGAAGTATATTCTGAAATATATATCAAGAAATGCTTTTCAAGAAAATGTTGATATACTTACCAATACTTCAGTCGAAGACATTGAAAGAGTTTTTAAGTCTGATCTCGATAGAAAAAGTTCATCCTATCTATTCAAGCTCACGATAAGGACGACCCAAGAAGATCTGGTGGACACGTGGAGACAAGATGTATTTGATGCAATAGTTGTAGCAACTGGTCACTATCATGTCCCTTATGTGCCGTGTGTGCCAGGCTTAGGATCTATAATAGAAAAATTTCCATCCAAAGTGCACCATGCTAAATATTTCAGAAACACAGATGTCTATAAGGATAAGACCATATTGATTATCGGGTCAAGAGCTTCTGGGGCCGATTTGAGCAAATTGATTGCTGATAAAGCATACAAGGTGTTCCAATCGATAAGAAGTATAGAAAACACAAAGGTGATATCAAAAAAGGCGAATGTTTATCAGAAACCACTTATAAATAAGTTCGAAGTAACAAGTGATGATACCATCAAAGTTTTCTTTGATGATGATTCATTACTTTTAAATCCTGACTTTATAATTTATTGTACAGGTTACCAATTCTCCTTTCCTTTTTTAAATAATTTAAAGGGAAATGGTAAGGTAACTAAAGATGGTCAAATCATCCCAGATTTGTACCAGCATACAATTTTAATCGATGAGCCACTTATTACCTTTATAGGGATCCCCATCGATGCAGTTTCATTTAGGGTTTTTGAATATCAGGCTATATTGATCAGTAGATATCTTGCTGGAAGAATTGAGCTTCCTGATGTAAAGGAACAAAGAAACTGGGCAGAGGACCGAATGCAGAAAAAAGGTGCTACGAGGGCATACCATACTATTGGAGCTATTGAAGCTTTGGAATATATCAACACTTTAACGCGCTTGGGCCATTTGAAGGAATCTACCATCGTTGGAAGAAAATTTCCTGTCTTGACACTTGATGATTTGACGAGATATAAAGCGGCCTCTGAACTCTTAAGAGAAAACTGGGATTCTCGCTAACAAATAAAGGTTGATTTCAAAGCAAATGTTACAAAGATATAGATTCATTATGGGGATTTACTTATTATTTAGAATGTTCAAAATTTTGTAGGTATTTATCTTTAGTACAATGTGTAGTACCTCATTAATTTTAGAATGTGTGGATATAGCATCATATGCCGATCTTTCTAAATGTCACCACAATATTAATAACAATCTAGATATTTGTATTATCAAACATAATATATATTAGAAGAACATCGAAAGATATGTAGCACTAGTTTGACAGGTAAAGTGACGACTCCTATAATTTAACCAGTAAATTATTAGGTCTAATCTAAATAGAGGGGGCAAGACTTGTGATAGGTTTGATCATATTACCCATATCATTCTCGTGTGATTTTGAGGCTTTTACTCCCTCAGCACTTCTAACTGCTTCTAACAGATATGGTGAATTATCGATTAACTCTTGGTCAAATGACTCAACATTCTTCCATTCCTCATACCACGATTTTCCGAACTTCTTGACATCGGGGGGAACTCCATAAGTTACGGGGCTGACATAAACGCATAAGATATAATATATCAAGAACGATGTACCGAATCCTACGGGGAAACTTAAGCGATAGACCTCTTGGGCACCGATGGGAACATTATATCCTGTGGCTCCAACGAAACCAACAATATTTGGTAATATACCGCTAATATATGCAAAATAAGCCCTCCAATTGCATCCGGTGAAATTGTACTTATAGTAGGAATCTATGCTGCCTTTCCCATCTTCAGAAGCGACTTTCAAAGTATATAAATGTGGGAGATTGATGTATCCTCTTCTTAAGATGTAATAGTCACAAGCTGATACCCCACAAATCGAAGACAAAAACACTGCGTAAGCAGATAAAACTGTTGTAAATTTAGACGATGATTCCATCAACCTCCACGGACATATACATAAGGCAAGGGCTGCACAAAGGAATCCGCCTCTTCTTATGTTCATAAATCTTGGAAGCATTGCAGTCACGTCGGTACCAAACGACAAAGAATTGGCAGATATGTTCGTACCTAGTTGAGCTAAGGCAAAACAAAGACTTATTAAAAATACACCACCTCTATTTCCTCTTGTATAGCTCGAAAGAAACTCTTGTAAAACATCTAACGGGGACCACATAGTTTCTTTGGTATATATCACACCAGAAGCAGAACTGACTAATATTCCAATTAAACAAGTGATCGAAAAACAAATTGGAATGGATGCAATATACACCCAATATTTGATCGCTCTGGATGGCTTGTCTGCGAATCTCGAGAAATCTGGTGCATTAGTTATTAAAGTTGCGAAATTCGCCATTGAATTCATTGATGATTCAATAAATGCCCATGCAAGTGCAGATCCATGAAGTTTACCTTTCTCTCTGATAACTGATCCTGCCCCATTTGCTTTTACCAAAGTCCATATGAGGAACCCAAATCCAGCTATTGGAACCACATAAGACTTGAATGTGAACAAGTGACGAATTTGATGAGGGGGAAACCATATTGCAGGTAAAGAAAAGAGCCAGAAGAGGAAGAAAGACAAATATCCTAATGTATCAGTTGATTTGTCCGGAAAAGTCAGCATTCTATCATTTAAGTTATATCCAAAAATGGACATCAACATTAATCGAACACACTCACCTCCTATCCAAGCTTGAACTGAATACCATACACAACTCATAACCACACGATTTAAGATTGGCCAAAGAGAACCAAAAATACCAAAAGAAGAACGAATAGCAACAGGGAATGAAATATGGTTATAGATACCAACACGAGCTCCTAGTGATACAAACAAACCCGTCAAGAAATATCCAAGCCATACAGAAAGCCATGTCTGCCACCAGGTCATACCTGCAGTTACACCTGTACTGGCAATTTGCCAAGTATTAACATTAAATGAATCGGCAATCCAAAAGTTTACAAAATTATACCAAGACCATTTTCTTCTTTCCTCTTCAACAGGACGCAAATCATAGTTATACAAGAACATCTGAACCGGACTCAATCCTTTCATTTCCTCGTGGTCGACTTCAAAGAATTCTAATATTTTCTGCCATTTTGACTTCTTTCCATCCTCAGAAAGTGAAGTAATCTTGCCTTGATCATAATCGACCACTTCAAAGACATCACCTTTCTCATCGCTTTTGGAATTGTAAGACATAATGAATGCTAATTTCTCCTCCTTGATTTAAAGGAAGATTGAATTCAAACTTGTCTTTTCTGGTTGCTTCTAAATCTAACGTTCTCTATGATATCTTTTATATAACTACTTTAAGCTGCTCTTCTCTCCATGAAAAAAAAAAAAATTATAATAATAATAAGCCCGTCTTATCGGGCTTGCGATAAGATAACTAGTCAGTCCACACCCCTACTGTCAGGCTGATGAGATTTTCTTACATGCATGCGCAATCCATTAGACTGATTATCAGCAGCCTTTTGTGGTCACAATTCAGGGGGAGGGTCTTCGTCACAAAGTGGAGAAAATATCCCTTGAAAATGGATAACCTCTACTACTTTTTCTCAATAGTTTCTGAAGTAAGCTAAAACATCGGGACGCATTTTTCTGAGAGGGCAATCACAGAGACGCGATTGGAAAGGCAATTCAGTATGAGAGGCGAAAATCATTACTCACGTGATTATCGATAAGGAAACCAGTACAAATCATAAAATACTAGTAGGCTTCTCAATGACAACAATAAAAAGTAGCTGGAGGACTTGGTATGAACACGTCTCCAGATTGAGTATGGACGGTACTTAGTTACATGATCGAAGTTGGTGTGTGCAGTATTCCGGTGTATAAGTAATCATCGCCGCTATCCACGGCGCGAAAAAGCGGCACTCAGAAGACATCTAAACATTTTTAGGTAAACGACAAATATTCTATCCGGCCCTTCTTTGTCAAGGAATCCGAGATAGGCCAACGATTGAAGATATTTTTTGTAGTTGCTATAAACGCCTAACGATATCTATAATCTCAAAGTATTCTAGCGGAAGATAAGTTCTTCAAGAAGGGGTCATTGGTCGTGTGCGGTTAGTGATCTAAGATATCTTTTTTTCAACAACCGAATGAGGGTATGTAAGTGATAAGGGTTACTATAACCTAACTCGTTTGTATGATTGCATTATCTTATTACGATCAGTACATTCCTTTATCATGAAAAAATCCCTAAGGGAAGAGACTCCATTATTTCCCAGAAAACTTTTCTATGGAATAGCAGCATTTACTTTTCAAGGGGCTCTTATATGAAATAGTGCAATTTGGTTAGTGCCCACAACTCGGCTCGCGAAGTAATTTTCACACCAAGGTTGCAATTTTGTCGCAGAAGTAACATCATGAAATTATAACGAGATGTAGCGTTCTCCAGAAGTTTCTGGTTGGTTATGGCACTTCTGAACAGATTTCGATTAATAATTTTCTGATATAAAGTTGCTCTTTGCAAAACGTCTGCACTTCTAGGTTCAGATCGTAGCATGACAAGCTTTATTGTTATATTATTGCCCGAAAATTTAGCCTCTTTATTATTGAATGCCTTTCTCAATTGTGATATATAGTGCTCGATCTCTGAAGCTTATTTCCATAGTAAGTTTATTTGACTTACAAATTTAGGAAGAATATTTTGAAGACTACGCTATTCGCTGCTGTATATGCCATTTATTTCTCAGTTTAGCGTTGATACTAAAAGCTTTTTTGAATCAGTTTTACCACTTTTTAACTTCATTAGCAATTCAAAGCATCTCTGGTAAAACTTCCATTAAAAGAATTGACATAGACTATTTCAGTTTAATAAAGATTCTTTTACTTTTAAAGTAATCAACAGTCATCATGCCTTCGACTGGAAAACAACCGTATGCCCAGTCTATCTTGTGTCACCATGGAAGCGAGTCGAAAGAGAAAGGTGAAAGATCCTATGATGAAACATGGTGTTTCTCTTTTGAATAACAGCATATTCTGTAAAGGATGTTATTTGAATATTCAAGAAAGGAGAACAGGGAATATATTATTCTTCTTGGCTGGTCACATAGCTATCATGAAGCCCATCAGTAAATGGTAGGGAAAAATTAGGTTAAAGTTTTTAATATGGTACATGTGGAACATGTGAAACGTATTAAATTACATGTTTATGAAGAACTTTCAAAGGTACTAGAGTTGCTGAACTTTATGCGATTCTTTACTTTTAAGCTTGGATATTATTTGGCACCGAAGAGTTTTCTTCAAGGGAAGCAAGCATTGCAAAATAAATTCTTAGTGCACTTATTTCAAACTACAATGTCATTAAGTAATGTTTCAATTTATTATTCAAAATCTGTTGAATGTTTTTCCGTCAGGCTCTGAATCTACAGCTTGCATGAAAATGCAAAGTACTGAATATTGGGGGATAATTCCGGAACGAATTGCTGATGTCCTTGGCATCGGAGGAACTGATTTGGAAGTTTGAGTATTGAATTCTTCCCCACAATGCATTTTCAGTTTTACTCTAGAGTAATCAGAACGAAGTACTTTGAAGAACATTTTCCGAGTGGAAACCGATTGGGACTAGTCTTACTTGTTTCTTTTTCAACTTATACAAATTCTCAAGAATCCTATTGTTAAATGGATCTCAACCCCACTCAAATTAAACACTCTCCACATTCCCGGATTTTCTCCAGATTCCATGGCCAATCAATCCCAAAGGTGTCTCCAAATCTTTATGCTCGGAACAATACCCAACTTACCGAACGAGACTATTGAATCTGCGAGAGCCTCATGCAAGTTCCTCTTTTGTTGATTCACCCGTTTCATGCAGGATCGATTCTTGTTACAATAGTGAGAAGTTCTCATGAACTATTGTCCTTGCAATTTTGCAGCTCTACTTACATGACTCTGATCCGTCATGAGACACCTCTTTTATTGGTTCCGCCAAGATGCTTTGTAGTACTGTAGATTTTCCAGAATTATTATAAAAGCAGACCAATGCTCAGGAATTTCGTTGGAGTTTTATAAGCTTCAAAAGAAAATGATTGCTAAATTAAGTCTTTGCTTATTATCCTTGAGCCAACTTCTGTTGGGACTGCCGGTAGAGAAAAGGGACCATCATTTTTCTAAAGGTGAAGCAGAAAGTTCTAACAAAGTTCCAAAATTTAGCTTTTATCCCGCTACACTGGCAAGTTATGCGAAGTCAAACGATGTACCTACGACCACAACTTATTATGCTCCACATTATTCTGAAGTTAGTCATTTACTCAGTGAGTTGACTACGACAACCTGGGGAAGCTGGGATCCTTCAGCAACCACTGAAGCAAGCGATTCTGAAGATCCTTATGGTCAATATGCTTGGACACAGTTGTGGGAACAAGCGTCAATTAAAAACTTTAGCAACACTGCTATTTATTCAACTACTGTTGAGCCTACGGCGGTTCCAACTGAGTCATTAGTATTGCCTCCGAAGGATGCCTTCAAGTTTGATGATAAACTTAAGTTTCCAGAAGATTTCATTTTTGGGGTCGCTGGATCTGCATCACAGATAGAAGGCGCCGTTGCAGAAGAGGGTCGTTCACCTACGGTTATGGAAAAGTTGATAACAGATGACAGGCCCCAGGATTACATCACAAATGAGAACTATTACTTGTATAAGCAAGATATCAAAAGGTTAGCGTCTATGGGAGTCAAGGCATATTCTTTTACAATTCCATGGACGAGAATATTACCTTTTGTTTTACCCGGGACTCCAGTTAATCAACAAGGCCTCGACCATTATGATGATTTAATAAATACTTGCTTGGAAAACGGCATTACGCCGATTGCAACATTGACTCATTTCGATTCCCCTTTGATGTTTAATGGAGGCAAGCCAGTCTCAGGAGATTACGAACTAGGGTTATACGCGGGCTACGCCAATGAAACATTCGTTGATGCTTTCGTGAACTATGGAAAAATTGTTTTGGCCCATTATGCTGATAGAGTTCCTGTTTGGATTGGTTTCAATGAGCCATATCTCTATTCCGGCTTTCCTTTAAGTATTAAGCATGTCGTTCAAGCGACAGCAAAGTTGCATAAATTTTACCACAAAGAATTGAAGGGCAAAGGAAAATTTGGTATTAAGTTTAATGACAATTTCGGTGTCCCTAGAGACCCTGAAAACCAGGACGATGTTGCAGCAGCTACAAGATTTCAAGAATTTCAATTAGGTAGTTTTAGTAATCCTTTATTTTTGGGACAGGATTATCCACAATCATGGAAAAATACGTTTAAAAATGAATCGGAATACTTGTTCACTGCAGAAGAATTGAAAGAAGTCTCTTTTGGATCAGATTTCTTTGGAATCGATCCTTACACTTACACTGTGGTTACGCAACCTGAAGGTGGAATTGAAGCATGTGCTGCAAATAGATCTCACGAGCTTTGGCCAATTTGTGTAAATCAAACAGAGGTACAAGAAGACGGATGGAAGATAGGATATAGATCACAATCTTATGTTTATATTACTCCTGTTCAACTTCGTGAATATTTGAACTTCCTCTGGGATACTTATAAGGCTCCAGTCTTTGTCTCGGAATTTGGCTTCCCAGAATGGAGAGAATCAGAAAAGGAATTGGGTGATCAATTGTTCGATCTCAATAGATCAATCTACTACAGATCTTTTATGGAGGCAATCTTACAGGCAATTCATTATGACAAGGTACCCGTGATGGGTGCCTTAGCCTGGTCATTTGCTGATAACTGGGAGTTTGGGGACTATGAAGCCCAATTCGGCTTACAGGTGGTTAACAGAACGACGCAAGAAAGATATTTCAAGAAAAGTTTCTTCGATATCGTCGAATACGTCGAAGATAGACGATAGATAATGGCTTATTAATAGTCATGTTGTCATCGGAATGAGACTGATAATATTTATTCTCTGCGAATATTGAAGTATGATTAATATGAGCTGATAGTTGATGTCTAAGTCGTTCGTCGTTTTTTCGAAGCAAAATTTAATTGCTATCCAATTTATTCTATTACTTTGGTGTATCAAATTATATCAAGTTGAGTGGGACTTGAAATTTAGTTTAAACTTTAAACCAATTTTGTTTATTGAAGGATAATATTTTTTTTTAAGCTTACTGTAGCTAAAGATCGGAACTTCTGAGAGTTCTCCTTCTGTGTCATTTTGAATTTTTCCTTTCAACGGTCGAAAGTTTTCTTATGTTTCAAAACTGAAAAGAAGCCTATTAAAGCAATTAGGCTGCTACGATACGTCCACGAATACCTCGTAATTGTAAACTCGAATGTTAAATGGAAACTGCTAACGCCTTTATTTTTCAAAAAAAAAAAGAAGAGTTGAATAAAGAGATACAAGATGCTCTAAATGAGAAGGTAATTACTAATCGAAATCTTACATGTTCACTAAAGTGGGTAACGGTGTACCGGAGTTTAATATCACTGTACTCCATCTCCTGCATTCTTGTCTTCTATATTGTGAAAGCCATTTAACGGGCACAATAGTAGCCGGAATTAAAAATAGCCGATTTCCGTTGGGACTCAGTTTTGTGCCCTTTTATGTCAAAGTTAGGGCCCTATCTCGGCTCGGCTCAATTAAAAGTAAAACATGAAGAGTAAAAATTTGCATTACTAAGCCATTCAAAGGTATTTCAATGTGAAAGGCTCCGAAACCAAATTGCATAACAGCTCATCATGTCTCTTTCTTCCGATTTCCGTACTAAGGAGGTTGACACCCTGAACCAAGATGGAAATTCTTCCTCTGAAGGGTCTGTAAATGACTATAATAAAAATGATACCGTGTCTTATTGTGGAAACCGTGAAGATAACGAAGAGGAGGATCTCGATGATGAGTTAGTACGGATTGAATCTTCGGCGAGGACGTCAAGGCAGTTAAGTCGCTTGATTACTGGTCAGGCATCTTTGATAGAAAAAGCAAACGATACAGATGAACCTCTACCTAAAATGGGTGGTGGAAGAGATCTTCCACCTTACCCTGGCAATAAGGAAATCTATATGGTAACTTTCGATGGTCCTGATGATCCGCTTCATCCTCATAACTGGCCATTCCGTAAAAAGTTGATTCTGTGTGTTATAGTTGCACTATCTGCGTTGGCTTTGACATTAGGATCAGCAATGTATTCTACCGCTACCGAAGTTATTATGGAGAAATTCCACGTGGGAGAGTCAGTGGCAACACTAGGAACTTCACTATTTGTCTTTGGCTTTGCTTCAGGGCCCATTGTCTGGGGACCATTATCTGAATTATATGGAAGAAAAGCTGCTTTAGTGCCTTCTTGTTTTGGTTTTGTTTGTTTCACCTTCGCTGTTGCTACTGCAAAAGATTTTCAGACAATTATGATATGTAGATTTTTTGCTGGTTTCGTCGGTGCAGCACCATTAGTTGTTGCTCCAGCTGCTATGGCGGATTTTTTTGATGCAGCTACTAGAGGTTTGGCTATGAATACATTTGCATTGGTTGTTTTTGGTGGCCCAATGTTGGCACCGATTCTAGGCGCTTTCACAGTCAAGAACAGTGAGCTTGGGTGGAGATGGACGTCATATTTTAGTGGCATAGTCGGATGTCTTCCTCTTGTTCTTTTAGTGTTATTTTTTGAGGAACCGCATCATCCCATAATTTTGGCAAGGAAAGCAGAAGTATTAAGAAGAAGGACAGGCAATTGGGGAATTCAAGCGCCTATTGATGAAGTAAGTTTGTCGCTCAAAGAAATATTCGAAAATAACATTACAAGACCTGTCATAATGCTTTTTACTGAACCCATTTTATTTTTGATATCCTTGTACAATGCTTTTATTTATGGCTTGTTGTACACATTTCTTACAGCTATTCCATTAATATTTTCAGGCAGGTATGGTTTTGTTGGTGGTGTTGCTGAATTGCCTTATCTTTCTATGCTTATTGGAATATTCATTGGTGGCATTGTTTCTTTATATTTTGCCAAAACATATAATAGGGCAATGGTCGCTAATAATGGTAAACCTGTTCCCGAGGAACGTTTACCTCCCATGATGTTAGGATCATTCTTCTTTGCTGGTGGATTGTTCTGGTTAGGTTGGGCTGGCGATTTCCCGGATAGAGTTCATTGGATCGTTCCGACTATTGGAGCATCTTTCATCGGTTTTGGTTTACTCCTCATCTTTTTGCCATGTATCAACTACATTGTAGATTGTTATTTACTTTTCGCAGCATCCGCGTTAGCGGGTAACAATATGTTACGTTCGTCATTTGGGGGTGCTTTCCCTCTATTTGCCTATCAAATGTTTACTAATATGCACATTAAATGGGCATCTACGTTGTTAGGCTGCATCGCAATTGTCTTGATTCCAGTGCCTTTTTTATTTTATAAATATGGTAAAGGTATCAGGGCAAGGTCGAAATATGCCTTTGTACTTTGATTTAGCATTCTTAACCCTTAAAAACTTATCGAAGATTTGTCTTATAGTAATTCAAAAACATATAATAACTTTTTAATACAAGTGATCAACTTATTTTTAATATTTTTAATATTTTTAATTAAAATCAATACCTATTAGTAGATCCTTTAGGGCAATTATTTATCAACAATATGAGAAACCGCAACGGATTATAACAATCATTCTAATGATATATACTTTTTGGATACCCATATAACTTCCCAAAGACTCTGAGCTACAAATCAAGAGTTTTAATTTAAAGTTATATATTCTACTGTCTATATTTTCCTTATTACTCGTCTTGGATGATTTTGGCAATGACTTGAGAAGCCTTGACGAGTTCTTCGTCAAAATAACGTCTTCCAGTGAGCTGCAATCCAATAGGTGCGTCTTTGAAGTCCTTTGGATCTGTATACAAAGAGTACTCATAAGCCTCATAGTCATTACGTGGTTTATATTCTGAATCCACAACGTCGAGTTTTGGATCCACTTTGAGTCCTGTTGGGAACACGACATTAGGATAGTCTAAAATATTCCAAAGACTGGTATATCCCCAATACTTGACTGTAGATGGCTTTGCTGCAACTGAAGCATAAGTTGGGCAAAGAATATAGTCAATGCCTTGTTTGTTAAGCTCACTGAAATAATCTTGACGTCCAGAATCTCTAATTCCATTAAGTTCCTGATTTTTAGCGACGCTAACGCCATCATCACCACAACCGAAGGACAAAGCTACTTTTGTTAAAGGTAATAAAGGTTCCCCAGATTCAGCTAGCGCTCTCTTCTGTGCGAAGTTTCCATCTGCATTATACATTGAAGCGCATGCCTCGACAATCTTTTTTACATTAATTGGCTTCCAATCCACCACTGTTACACCCGCAGCAGCAAGTTTTTCCGCAGCGTTTCTCAAAGCTCTTAATATGGGAGGAGATGGTTTAACAAGACCATCATCATAACAGATTGCAACCTTCAAAGATTTCGCGTCAGGCCGAGATACATCTCTCCAAGGAATTGGAAGAGCGCAAGCATCTCTTTTCCAGGGTTCACCATCTATAATAGCTTTCATAAACAAATCGATGTCCTCTCCTGAACGAGCCAAGGGCCCAAGCACACATGACACAGACTCTTGTACGCTGTCTTCAGCTGCACAAAGGACGTTTTTCATTGATAATCTTTGCTGAGTTGGGCGCAAACCCCATACACCGCAAAATGCTGCAGGACATCTTATAGATCCACCAATATCACTCCCTAAACCAAAGACGCTTCCTTTCATAGCAGCAATTGCACCTTCTCCACTAGATGAGCCACCTGGGGTTAATGATGTATTGTGCGGATTCCTACAAGAACCTGTAATGTTGTTCAGGGAACATAAATGCATTAAACTCTGAGGCTCTGTGGTACGAATGAAGAACACAGCACCCGCATCCTTCAATAATTCCACAGTCGTGCACCATTCTTCTGTAACATTGTCAAGATAGCAGACATATCCTCCATGAGTTACTTTTCCTTTATAATTATAGTGCTCTTTCAAAGAGACTGGCAAACCATGAAGAATTCCTACAGTTTTTCCCGTCTTCGCAAAGTAATCATCAAGTTCCTGTGCTCTCTTTAAACCCTCATCAATGAATATCTCCATTGCACAATTAGTCAATTGATGAGCAATTGTGGCTCTCTTTGCAAAGGCCTTGAAAACTTCAACAGCAGTAAGTTCGCCATTAGCGAGCCTTTTTGTAAGCACGCAAGCGCTTGATTCAGTAATATCAAGTTCAGATTCTGATAAAGCTTTTAATGGAATTTGGGTTACATTGACACCAGAATCTAAATCTTTTGGTAAGAGATCATCTGAAAGCTTATAGTCGGCTGGAAGTCCATCTTCAAGAGCCTTCCTATAAGCTGTTATTTTTGGCTCCCATGACTTAAACTTGGTTTTGTCCTCTGTATTGTTGGAAAAGGGTCCGAACATTCTTATCTGCTATCTTATGTTTGCTTTGATCTCCAAGATACAGAAGACTACAGTTGGTATAAATATTCGCTAGTTGTGTGAAGTACCATTCTTATAGCCGCTTTGAATAACCTTTCATGGTCTTTAATCGTATGTGCCTATCATCCTGAAATGAGAGGTCGGCTGCCGCCAGATATTACCATTTTAAGATTGACAGATTTCTATCAGTCTTATCGAATAAAAACGTGTGATCCTCAATTAGAATTACAGATATCTGCACCAAGGAAAGGTGATGAATAATACAAGGAAGGAGTGATTGAATAAACACGAGTGAGTAAGGACTCTCGGTTGGTATCAATATTAATTAGTACTATGTCTAAGACAGTAAGCAGCACTACTAAGTTCAAAAGATCTAAAACTGGCTGTTTTACATGTAAGTTATATCGAATGCATCATGTTTGGTTCTGATACTGACGTTTGAAGGCAGAAGAAGAAAGAAGAAGTGTGATGAAACAAAGCCGGTGTGTAGAGGATGTGCTGGGGGTGTTTATGAATGTGTATGGCCAAGACAAGAGGGCAGTTCGCTTCCACACCATGTAAATTATGAAGTCAAAAAAAGTACCACAATGAGAAATATACGTTTCGCTTCAAGTTACGTGGGGAGTTTTAGAAATAGCGAGAGACAGAAAAGAAAGTCAATAGATTATTTCATGGAAGGAGACACTTTTCCAAACGGTAATAGCATAGTGAAATTAGAACCCAATCGATCTCAGCCAATGGAGTATCCACATGTTCACCATTCGGATTCTCCATTGTCTTTAGAAGAAACAAATGAAATATGTCGAAAGGTAATGCCATATACTTCACAGCCCTTTGAGTCTTCATATTTGTTGATAAAACCCGATGATACTGAATGTATGGAACAAGCACAAAGCTTGAACGAAGACTACGAGAGAGATGACCATCAAAATAAAAAGGAGATCAACGCAAATGAACAAATTGTGCGATATGAAGATATTGATATATCCCCTTCGCTTCAACTCAATGGCTACGATTCATGGATTCCAGGAGTTCAATTATCTTCAGAAGATGCGTATTTTTATCATGTCTTTTTGAATGGGTTTATTGTTGCTATATCTCCTCAGCTTACACATTCCGAGCTAACACCAGGTGCAGTTTTTGTTCCACAAGGCGCCTTTAGTCCAATATTGAGAGAAATATTTTACGTTTGTGGTGCTTCATATTTGAGCTGGAAAATGCCTGATTTGAAGGAGATAGTACAAAAAAAATATATTAAATGTTTAAATGACTTAGCCAAGATTATAAATTCTTCGGAGACTGATGGTACGGAAGATTGGATGTTAACATCAATGCTTTTACTTTGCCTCAGAGAAAAGTTTTATGGTGCGGAGCCATATAAGCCTGCTACCCATATAACCATGGCTTGTAGAATTATAAAGAAGAAGCACCAGAAGAAAAAGATGATTCTGGAAGGTGAATCTTTTTCAAAGGATCTTTGCGTGAACCGCTTGGAAATGAATAACACTTGCGATCAAATTCGCTTTTATGATTCACCCTACCATGAATCGAGTCCTCAAGAGGGCCCCAGTTCGCTTCAAGCTACTCAGCAGCAAGACCCCGAATTGCTGAGCCTTTCTGAGTTTTACAATCTGAACGCGGAAGGTTTTTTTAACGATATTTGTGCTCCTGATTTGTTCCTCAATAATACAAAATTGGAAACATCTGCTTCCGAAAAGCTATTAATGGAAAGTTTTATTTATAACTATTCAGTTATCTTGTTGATCTGTGATAGATCAGTAATGAATTTTCTACCTTCCCCCTTCGAGCTTTTTGATGAGTATAAGTATATTCTTGATGCAACAGTTTATAAATGTCCTGTCCCGTGGATGAACAACCCTGTTCTTGGGGCAGCATCACTGGCGTTTGAATTTGCTGCTAAAGCTTCGTGGCTTTGCTTTAAAAGTCCTTTAAGTGAGAAAGATATGAAATTGGCTCGCAATTTGAATGACATTGCGTTGAGATATATGCCTCCGTCGTTGCCTGAAAATATAAAGAAAACGGAAAATGAAGAAACACTAAAAAGATTGGGTGAAAGTATTACCGTAGCTCGTATTGTAACTGAAGCTTCCCGAATACTACTAGCAAAAATCTTAGATTCAAATCTCTCACAGGAAGATGAAGCTATACAAGAACGAGTTCTGCGTATATACGATGGTTTGCTTTCGTTGTCTCCTTTAAGTTCTGTATGGTCGATTTGTGGCTGGCCACTTGTTGTTGCTGGAATGGCAGCTACGCTGTCTGATCATAAAGAATATATCAAGTCTAAATGCTTCATGCTTAGTGATTTCCTACATGCTCAATACATGACTCAGATTGTGAATCTCTTGAGTAAAGCATGGGGAGAAGGTTGTAACCCTGAACGAGGTTGGGATCTACTTTTTGACCACGATTCTTTACTGAGAATTTGTATATAGACGCTTTACCATCTATGAAGCTAAATAATAGTTATAATTGAGCATTGTAGTACTAGATGTGCTGATTTAAAATAACTATCTAATGAATGATAATGATTTATATTCGAGTATTTGCTGAACTATAGTTACAGTTCTATGTTCGCTGCCGTAAACCAAAAGCTCTCACAGCGAAACTAGGCAAATTTCTCCTTCTATGAAGAGAATGAACTTAGAATAGCCTCAAGCTACGAAGCTGGGATCTTGGTAGATTTTTGAAGATCTTAGCAGGGTTTTAGCTTCCCTTTTCTCATGTTCCCTTCGAGTAACAGGGCGGCTGATCAAAATTTTAGATATAAATACTCTCTCATTTTCACGTAAAGTAAGAATACGGATTGCCGTTTTCGGAAAATACCCGCGGCAATCTTGAGTTAAAAAAGTAGGACAGTTTTGTTATTGCTGATTCCGCACTCTGAGACTGTATCTGGATGATAACAGCGCCTAAAGACCTGTATAATCTGGAATTTTTTTAGATGTCATTGAAAATCATTGGTGATAAGAGTTGCAACTTAAGGAGATAGAAATAAATATAAATATAAATATAACCCATCTTCTTTATTGTTGTAGCTTTATCTATAGAACAATCAAAATCATATTATAGATACTGATTTCTTAAAGCATAAGAACTGATGGGTATCGACTATAATGCCATTCCAGGGACGACCCACTTGGTCGATATCTTCCTGGAGGAAGAGAAAACCAAAAACGAGGTTATATTAATCCCAACGCCTTCAGATGATCCTAATGATCCTTTGAATTGGTCAAAGAAGAGAAAATTAATGCAAGTCTTCTGCATCATTGTATACACATTCGGAACTGGTGTCCCAGGAACTTGTATTTATTCAATTTTAACCAACATCTCTGAAGCACCAGGTGTTGAAATTAGTGTTGCTGACTTGAACGATGGTACTGGTTACATGTTTTTGTTCTTAGGGTTAGGATGTTTAGTATTCCAACCGCTTGCTTTACAATACGGTAAGCGGCCAGTTTATTTGATATCCACTATTGGTGTCGCTATGTTTAATCTTTGGCAACCATACATTACGACGAATGGTCAGTGGATAGCATCAAAGATACTTGCGGGATTCTTTTGCTCTCCAATTGAAGCATTACCTGAAATTTCTATTTCGGATTTATTTTTCGAACATGAAAGAGCTACTTATATGGGAATATACGCTGTGGCATTATTTGGTTCGAATTATGTTGCTCCTCTTGTTGCAGGTTTCATTAATGAAAACTCAAGAGACTTAACGGTAGGAGGATGGAAATGGGTTATATATTGGTCCGTTATCTTCTGCTGTGTCTGTTTTGTATTTCTCTTTTTCTTCATGGAAGAGACCAACTATGAGAGACGTTTAAAAGCCAAGAAGGACAGCTTTGGAAATGTGATTTCTGTAACCACTAGTCACGGCGAGCATAAAATGCCAACGAGCATAAATATTATCCAAACTGGTCAGGATTCAGACGATGCGGAGGTTGAAGTAAACGAGCACCCAGAAAACCAAGCTGCTTTAATAGAAGAAGACATCGTCTATCCACCTGAAAAGAATTTTTGGCAAAAATTATCATTAACATCAGGAATGAAATCGAAGTTTTTATTGTGGGAATACTTAAAGGGACCTTTTTACATGGTGCAGTTTCCCGTCGTATTATGGTCTGGTTTCTTATATGGTTCCTCCCTATTTTGGTATTCTGTTTTGAATGGAACAGAGGCATTGGTCTTAGGAGCCGAACCATACAATTTTTCAAGTTCAATGTGTGGATTAGCTTATGTTTCTCCTCTCATATTTACTGCCATAATCTACTTTTATGCTGGTTGGGCCCCAGATTGGCTAAAAATTAGGTTAGCCAGAAAGCGGAAAGGATTATCACATGCGGAAGATAGACTATGGGCATTAGTGTTTTATATGATTCTAGGACCTTGTGCTTTAATATTGTGGGGCGTCGGAGCTCATCATGGTATACATTGGTTTGGTGTTGTGTTTGGATTAGGATTAATGGCTGGATTGTGTATTATAGGTTGCGTTATTGCTGTTACGTATACCATTGATTGCTATCATGAAATGGCTTGCGAAGCTATGGCCACGGTAGTTGTCATTCGTAATACCATGAATTTTGCTATGGACTATGGAATCACACCTTGGGTAGTGAACACAGGTTTACAAAACACTTTCATTGCTGCGGCCTTCATCTGCTTGTTCTGTATAGGCACATTTTTCTTGATGGAGGCCACTGGTTTATACTGGAGGCAAAAGACTAAGAATAGGTATTGGAGCTTAGTTGAAAAGCGCAGAAAGCTTTTGGCCCCTAGCTGAAAGTATGTTTAAAGTTCGGTATTTCTTGCCTTATATACAGCTTAATATACTTTTGTAACAATGCTACTCAGAAATACATTTCAAGACTCAAAAATAAGATATCATTACTGTCTCTTAGTTTGGCTTTTCTAATCAGTTGAACTATTATCAGGCCCCTAATCATTGAAAAAAAAATTGGAAAGGACTTGGTTAATCGAAAGATATATTTAAAGTCGGTATATCGGCAAGTGATAAAAGCTAAAAACTTTTTCTTCTAGTACAAATGCTGGAAAAATTAATAATTTTGATTACAGTTATGAAGAATCTGCTATTGTCAGATTTAATACCCTTTACACATTAAAGTCCATTAGTAAATTCCAATCTTCCTGAGCTCCAGATGAAAAAAAAAAAAAAAAAAAGGTTAGGAGAAGCCACTTAAACATATAAGGGTAATGTAAAGCCAGCTTCTTCTGCTATTTCGGGCCAAAGTACAAATTTAGTTCCATTTTCATTTTCGAGCCAAACCTTCTCAACTAATTTCATGATTGTCAAGAATTTTTCTTGTTTTTTGACCAAATAGATGCTTTTGAGATTTTCGATAAACCACGTACGATAATGGTGTCCAACGATATCACAACCGATTGTAAAAATTGGGAGTATTAAAAAAATGCAAACATCTCCTTCGTAATCATTCTTATACAAATCAAAAATACCTTGCAACATTGGTATCATCTTAGTAACTTGAAGAACGGTCAAAGTAGAGGTCGAGGAATTGTTGTATAATAACTGGAACAATAAAAGAAATGTCGATTCCTTAACAAAGCTGGCAAGTTTTCTCATTGTAAGAAAGTCGATGATCATTTCTTCACATTCGTTCTCTGGCATTCTGATATCTGCCAACCTGTTCTTTAAATCCCTTGCTTCATCTAATACTTTTGAAATATTACACGAATTAAAAAGCTGATAATTATACATTTGAATATCACCATTAAGATCACCTGCTCTTTTGGCTATCTTCATCAAATTATATAAGTGCAATGTTTCTCCCACTATAGAGCAGATTTCTTTCATACATCTATAATATAAATTTAAATTTGATGCTGCCAGAATTTTGTAAATGGAATGCATATCTTCTATATTTAAACAATGAATATTATGTTTCAATGAATTATAGCCTAAGTGAGTGAAAAAATGGGAACTGAATACTTTTGCAAAAAAAAAGCCGTTCTCTGTTTCACATAATTTCTCGAACCCACCTCTTAATGATATGACTTTTATAGTTAGAGTAGTCAATTTGAACCAATAACTTGGACACACTTCGGATTTGAAATTTTCGAGCTCCAATAAGATTAAACAAATTGCAATGGTGTGATCGCAACAAACTGCTGAAATAAAATTTCCTCTGTTATTTAGTTCCCTGATGATTTCATCGTGTAGTATGCCTAAGAATGCTAGATCAGCGACACTTGTCTTAGAATATTCTGGGGAGCCATGATTCAGTTTGATAAATGATGCGGACCATAATATGATTGCTTTGAAAACAGTCGTGTTACTAAATGCAAGCGATAAATATACATTCAATACTAACCTGGTAAATTCTTTACATGAAACACTGTTCCTGTTGGACGTGGCATAAAGAACTTTGTTAGTTTCTTGAGGAAACTTTTGACAGAAGTTAGTGAAAAGGAGTTTTGTAAGTTTAATAGGTATGTAGCTTGGTAGATTAACAAAGCATGCCAGTATTTCATTACATATTTTCTGATTTTCACCTCTGCCATTTATAAGCGATGGAGCCTCCATAAAAAATTCATTTTTTAGATTGCTCATATCAATATCTAAGAGTTCCGTCTTTTGAGGAACATTCATTTCAAAACTCTGACTGGTTTTGCAAGAATTTTCATGCTCTGAAAACTTCAACTCTAATCGAGCACGTCTACCAATCTTTTTATATTCTTTGTCATACAGAGGCACGCGATTAACAATGTCACTAACTTGCAGCTCCTCAAGTCTATATATGTCTCTAGTCCTTTTTTCAAAGGAAGTATTATCGTTTATTAACGGTATTTTATGAATTCTTTCGACCAAGATCCTTTCTTCAAACGACTCTGAAAATATTAGTTTTTTTTCATATATGTAGAACATTCCGTTACTCCGTATGGTAGCTGGAGGAGAAACATCACCATTGTACTTATGAGAAGCACACTCTAAGTAATTTCCTATTATATCATTAGTGATAATTTGATTTAAATTCTCGTGCTCAGTTTCGACAAGTGGATCTAGTATTTTTTTCACGGTTCTTGAGTCGTCCAGCTCAGCATGGGTAAATTTTTGTTTTGCGTTTTGCTTTCTAGTGGATTTATGAGGTCCTTCATATTTGATAATATTCAAACTAGGAATATTACACTCTATTCCTTTTTTCGAACAATATGAACACCTCTCTTTAGTAGGGCCGATATCACACTGTTTACTGTTCTTTTGTTAGTAGAGCTTTACTCGGGAATATTGTTTAATACGTACTTTCGAGATTTGCAGGCAAAGCAGCCCCTTCTATTAATATTATTTCTTCTGATTCTCTTCATTACATTCTTTTTAAAGTGTCAAGTTTTCTCAAATTCTCTATTCCTGAGTTTCTATTATTATCCGACCGATAACCAGAATTATGTTTTCCAAAAAAGGTAGGTGATACGATTCTGCATTGTGATATTATGCAGGTCATTTCCTTTCGATCTATTCTTTGAAGCATAGAAATTGATTTTTTCAGACAGATCTGGGACCTACGAAAAAGCTACATAAAAAGTAAGTAGCAGGAAACTTTCAAGTGCATATATTAGAGGAAAAAAGCAAAAAAGAATTTTTTTCTGGTGTCTTATTTAGTCAAATTCCTCGATCAACTAGCTGAATATTGTTGTGCGAAGTTGAGGGAGATATCCTGTCAACAAGACAATTTTTCTCACTTTATGCTTTATTGAACCTATTGGGGGTTGTTTCGAGGTTTCTGAATTGTAAAATAAATAGAATTGCTGACAAGAACCCTGCAATAGCACAAGCAGCAAAGGGCCAAATTAGGTAAGGGTCTTTCAAAGCAGGTGTAACTGCTTGTGATATTGCTGCCGATATTGCAGATGTGAATAGGAGCATGGCCATCACAAGTCCCTTCATTTGCGGAGGTGACCTGGTATACGAAATTTCATATGCGGTTGTCATTGCAAAGGCTCCACCAGACGCTCCTAGAATATACAAGGCTACCTCTTTCCAGGCACTAACTGGAGACACCTCGTCGCAAGTAGTAGCATAATAACCGCATGGTGATTTTTTATAAACTTGATACTGGAATATTGCTCCTGCTAACTGCGAAGATGCAGCTAACATGAACCCAAAGGATATTCGGTAAACGGGAGGGAACAGTAATTTATACCTCCTTAGTAAAGGGTACACGATATAATTGAGAGTTGGTAAAAGAACTATAATTGTCAATGGATTGAAATTGTCGAATAGATCATTCGGTACACCTCTTGTTGTCATAGAACCAGCCTGAGATGTCTCTATAGAAGCAATACCCCCATCATTAATGGTAAATATAGGAAAATAAAGAAAAATTTTGCAAGCATCGAGTGTCTGTTTGACATCGGAGACCCATTGACTGTTCCAGGTGATAGGAATTTTCTTTTTTTCATTGTAGAACAATCTCCCTCTATTTATCATTTCTGAAGGTACAGCGTACTCCCATATACGATTTTTTTTTACCTTCCCTGTTAAAATACCACCTATTGTTACCACAAGTATCCTCCACGAGTTAGTAAGAACTGATCCTTCTGGTTTTTTTTTATGTAACCGCTTACTCAAAATGAACATTACTATGGGTAAAATGAGATACATTATTGTCGGAAAGAAAAACGCTAGCCAAAAGCCTACCCTTCTTTCAGCGTAAGATGCCCCTAATTGAAAAAAGGCCCCAACATTTATTGCCCAGTAAAATATCAAAGTCATCCTTTGTAGTGATTGCTCACGATCAATGATAACTTTTTCTCCAGATGGTAACATTTTCACCAAGTCAGTCTTATGTGGATATTGATCTAAAAGTAAAGGAAGTAGATTTGGCTTTATAAATCCAGTCCCTATGGCTAATGTGATGATTCCCAATATCGTGGGAGCTATTGCCTTACTACTTCCAAGTACATTAGGAATACCGGCAATAGTAAAAAGGACATGTGAAATAAAGCCAGCTATTATTCCAATCCAGATTGCTTTAAACTGTCCAAGTTGAGAATCACCTACATATCCGCCGTACAATGGGATGACGTAGGCTAAGAAAGATAATAATAAGTTCAACGCTGAGGCAACTTGTAGTCCCATATTTAAGGCACCTGCTGATTCATTCAGTGTTCTACTTAAAGGTGCTCCTGTACTACTTCCTGGTGGTAATGGTCTTTGGATGAAGTTAGTCAATATTTCGGACACAGAATAGTAAGAACCTCTTTCAGCAAGCTCAACCAAGCAAATAAGATAAGAGACAGTTGGAACTGATCCAACAATCCTTCTTAGGGTCTTCAGTTCTTCATCTGTAGGCTCCCCTAAATCATCAGGATTCAATTCATCCATTTGGTTTGACACAGGATGCCTATCTTCATAAATCTCCACATCATCTGCCAGGTCACTGAATTGGTGAACCTCGATATTAGAACGGAACTTATAATTATCTTGTTCTTGCTCTTTTTCTTTTTCTTCTTTGTTTTGAAGTATCATTCTTATTGAAATATTCTCAAAAATTTAACGTTGACATTTGTATGGTCGATTCTCTATCCTTTTATCTAAGTGCAGTTTGCTTATCGGATATATCTTGCAACTTCCTATCTGATAGGTAAATGTACCTCTCGAATTTGTGAAGTTTATGAAAACATGATTGCATTGCTGAGATACTGAAGAAAATGATTATCTTAATAGGTAGTAAATACGACACCGCCAATGTCTTTAAAAGAAACTAGCTCATATAGAGATCTTATCTGAAGGAAAAATTGAGGTACTTATTAGTTACTTAATTTGGAGGCGGGGGCGGGACATTGAGGCTTCGCAAGATAAGATTTTAGTGGACGTCGTACTAACTTCTTAATGAGGAAACCGTTTAGAAAAAGGTACGTGACAATTTATGTCTGTGTGAATAGATATATCCGTCTGTTTACCTCTAAAATATACAGAAGTTATCGCGTAGCGATATTTTCAACGTATTCTATTATTTGAAAAGGTGCTTAGCTTATAGCCAACTAGTATGTAGTCGAGAGCATAAGAAAGATCATTATCTCAAAGGTGATTTGAGTATTGTTGTCGCTTTTACAAATAAGAGCTCATGTAAGTTATGTTGCCTAGTATTAGCCGACTATTATCTATTTTTGACTTAAAATTTAGAGACTCTGGTTACCTTGAGATTGAGTCATAAATCGCTACTGAAGAATATATTAAGCTTTTCAGTTCCTTCCCTTGAGAACCCATACAGAAATGGCAACCGTGAGGTCATCATTAAGCAAACAATTTATCCTTTAACCCGAGAACATGATAGTTGATGTCGCATAACACGTATTCTTTTTCCCAATTCTGAGGGTCAGGTAAGTGAATATCGTGCCATAAAAGTCACTAACTTAATTCAGTAACATTCAATACCCGAAGAAACTAGTTGTCAGAAACCCTCATGTTACATGGGAATCCTCTTGGCCACGAATTTAAAGGCCCTAATTGCTTTATCATCCCGGAAGCATCTTTGGTTGTGAACAATAGATTCGAAATATTCTAGACAGGATCGCATTGAAGTGTAATCTTAAAAAAAAAAATTTGGTCTATACAAGGACCAATAAATTGATTTGACATGCGATGGATTGGCACCATATTTGTTGTCTAAAGATATCAAACCAAGTTCTCACATTGAACTTTAAACTAAAGTATTTTTTATAGCAATGACTCTTAAAAGCATCGGCTGTAGAAATTTATACTGTGCGCGGGTAGTATGGCATGGTGTTCCTTGCGAAACGTTCAACAATATATCACCCCCATTGTATAATAAGTCGACAGAAGTGACTGTAGGATCTGCAATTTCCATGCGGTGAAGTGTTCTTTTATTTCTTTTTTAACGTGAGTCATCTACAGACGAAATCACCAAAGCAACGGTTGGGAAGATCAAGTTATAAATTAATTGTTGGGATGACTAAGAATTCATTTTAACATACCGATAAGCACTCTAATAAGAAGGACTTGAGAAATGTGGAATCACATTAGTCTCTATCACTTAATTGATTTACCAACTTTGACCAGCTTAAAGAATCATTATGCTGAAAATATTTGATTTGCTCACCCCGGAAAAGGGGGGAAGGAATTGATAACAATACTATTGACAGATACGAGGATGACTCAAATATCGAAAGCTCATACTCATAGATTAGCATTAATTGAATTCTTGGCTCTTGATCCCAACCATTAGTGGGTAGCAATTCCCAGTTGTATTGTTTAACCCGGACATTTGGGATAGCGAATGCGGAGCTAAATGTCCGAAGTGCTAGATATAAAAGACAAGTGTTTGAAATAACTTTAGTTTTAACTCATCGAAAACAAATTCACAATGGCTCCTCCTTCAACTATACTTGAAAGACCTTTCAAGCAAACTTTTGAGCTAACTGAAGCAAAGAAGGGTGTCATCTCTATGTCGTCGGATGAATCCAACTCAAATATCAAGTTCGCAGACTGGGATGCTTTCAAATTTGCACCGATAAGGGAGTCAACGGTTTCACGTGCCATGACTCGCAGATATTTCGCAGACTTGGATAAATACGCTGAGTCCGACGTCGTTATCATTGGGGCAGGATCAGCAGGCTTATCAGCTGCCTACGTGTTAGCAAAAAATCGTCCTGAGCTTAAAATTGCTATAATCGAAGCTAATGTGAGTCCTGGAGGAGGATGTTGGTTAGGAGGTCAATTGTTCTCAGCAATGGTATTGCGAAAGCCTGCTCATCTTTTCTTGGAAGAATTGGAGCTCGAATATGAGGATGAAGGAGACTATGTTGTAGTAAAGCATGCAGCATTCTTTATGTCAACTCTATTATCGAAGGTGCTTCTGTTTCCAAACGTCAAGTTGTTCAATGCAACGGCTGTTGAAGACTTGATTACTAGCCGTGATGAAGTCACTGGCGATTTGAGGATCGCTGGAGTTGTGACCAACTGGACACTTGTATCTCTTAACCATGACACCCAGTCTTGTATGGACCCTAATACTATCAATTCCAGCGTTGTTTTATCTGCCGCAGGACATGATGGTCCATTCGGTGCCACTAGTGCTAAGAGATTAGAGGACTTGGGCGTTCTTAAAATGGGTCATATGAGAGGATTAGATATGAATTCAGCCGAAGATGCTATTGTTAAAGGTACAAGAGAAGTCGCCCCAGGTTTGGTAATGACTGGTATGGAACTAGCTGAGGTTGATGGCTCAAATAGAATGGGCCCGACTTTTGGAGCCATGGCCCTTTCAGGCGTCAAAGCTGCCGAATCCGTTTTGAATGTCTTTGATAAAAGGAAGAAACAGAACTCTTATTAGCTCTTATTTAGCTCCTATTGATTTTTTGTTAACGCCTGCTTTCTTATATATCAAAATAAAAAAACCGAAAAACATCCCTCTAATTGAAAGATACAGCACTGCTCAAGCTACACATTTCGAAACCCCATAACTATCTTCGAATAATAAACTATTCAAGTAATATCTAGATATAAGTATTCGGGGTCAGCTTTGTATTCTTCACTGAGTAACTTGTGGATTGTTCACTTGGTTTGCGCTAACTTCTCTTTGATTCATTATTACGTTATGCTGGCTATGCTCCATCTCCTCTCTTTGTTTCAACTTTTCGTTTAAGATTCAACACCTATTTTCTGGATCTTTTGCTACTAGTGCGACAAATTAATTTTGGATGACAGACTCCTTTCTTTTACTTTTCTCTTGATGTTTCACTCATGTGGATATTCAAAGAAGATAAGAGGGAGCTTGATTGTTGCCCGACCTATTTCAGTGCCATTTACACATGACAATCTTTTCATTAATTAAGTTGCTTTATTAGGTTTCATCGAACTGTCTTCTGTTTTTAATTTGATCAATAAAGCTATTGTACTTTATATATGGCCCACAAAAAAAAAAGAGGAAAAGAATTGATATTCCGTTTTGGGTAATTTTCGAAGTGACATCGGCTAATCTTCCCACCTTGGTAATTAGTAGTAACGGTTGGTGCAAATTATGTATATAATGAAGGTTACTACTGGAAGTAAGAAATACTGGAGATAGCTTTATATAATAAAATGAAGATCAATTCACTTATTCTCTCGTTATTTTTTTTGTTGTTAGGTTGCGTTCAATCTCTCCCCACAGCCTTGAATCTGATCCGAGATAACACTGGAAAACATGAACTTTTCAATCTCACTGCCGTCTTTGATGAAACTATTGGGCTTGTTGAAAATATCATTACTGGATTTGAAGAAGCATCAAATATGAATTTTTTCCATGATTTATATAACGACACGTTTTCATACTTGCCAGAAGGTACTGGGAATATGACTATTTTAGAGAAATTGAAACTGTTATTCGATGCTGCAATTTTGCATGATGAGCAAACGACTGATGATTTATTGTTGACTCGAATATTTACCTTGTTGTATGAAAGTTTAAAACCTAGTTCATTGTCGTATGATTTCCAGTCATGGTCAAAATTGAGCAACACTTCGAATGTCAACACCAGAGAGCCAAAGAAAAAAATATATCCCAAGGCAACCAATAGTGATGCTCCTTACTCTTTGAAGGAAAAAGATTTAAGGAAAGCAATATATTTCCATGAGGAGTTTCAGTTCACAAACGCATCTAAGCCAATTGTTCTTCTTGTTCCAGGTACTGGTAGTTACAGTGGAGAAGCCTATTATTCAAACATAGCTAAGTTGATTTTGCAAGATGAGATTGCTGATATCGTCTATTTAAACATACCTAATAAACTTCTTATGGACATTCAAATTAATGCTGAATATGTTGCTTATGCCATAAATTATGTCTCTGGTGTTACAGGTGATCGTAACATAAGTGTTGTGAGTTGGTCGCAAGGAGGTCCAGCTACTCAATGGGCATTCAAATATTGGTATTCTACACGTAAGCAGGTATCTAATTTTATTCCTTTGAGTCCAGACATTCATGGTACCAAAATAGCAAACCTTGTTTATCCTCATAATCTAACACTTGGGGGACCACCTTCCGTCTTACAACAAAGATATGACTCAGAATTCATGAAAGCGCTTCGTTCAAATGGCGGAAATTCTGCATTTGTTCCAACAACTTCAATTTACTCTGGTTCCGATTTCGTTGTTGTGCCCCAAACTGATGAGGGTGCATCAGCATATTTCAAAAATGAGAATGGAGTAGGCGCTGAAAATTATCAGCTACAAAAAATTTGCAGCAACTATCCTGCGGGAACATATTATTCTCATGAGGGAGTCATGCTTAACCCAATAACTTATGCATTGATTGTAGATGTGATTACTCATGACGGCACTGGGCAGCTTGATAGAATAGATGTAGAAGAAGGCTGCTCTAAGGCTCTTACTGATGGCCTCACACTTGAAGATTTCACTGCAACTCAGTTGATGCTCCTTTCATGTTTGACATCTATATTAACATATGATGATAGGATTATGGAAGAGCCAAAATTAAAAAACTATGCCTATTATTAGGCAAAAAATTAAATAAAGTACTTCGTAATACGTAACATAAGATCCGTAAATAAAAGTATAGATTGTAATTATAGATTGTAAATGGCCCATACGAATAAATAACCCATCTTTAATATTATATTTTAATTGAGTAGTTAGCCATATTTTAGCCTCTCATCTGCGATGTACGCATCAAGCGTGTTTTAAGAGGTTGAGACCGTTGATTTAAATTAGGTCAAAAGAGTGCATTTAGTGACTCTTCCAGTACGTACGGCATCGGTCATCATTGAAAAATGGTGCCTTCGTTTCTATAGATTATCCTAATCAATTTGCTGGACAGAGTATTCTTCATTATTTTCTGCAGGGGAAAAAGGGCTGCAAAAAAATGTTTGTGCTAGTACTGTATTCAAGAATGGAAATTCAAATGCAGAACCAAACGAAAGGATGAGTAGTGATCAATATATAGATCATTCACGTAACAGCGTTATGAGTGAAGATCAGATTTTTCGCGAGAATTTCGTAAGACTTATATATAACCATCCCGTATTTCAAGCGATGCAAAGATGTGATGATGAGAGAAAGCCTTAGATTCTAAAAAGTTTTTTGCTCATAGTATACTTAAGCTTGTAGTTCAAGGTTGATTCAGGTAGAGAAACAAGAACTATATTTATTGTAGCTGATCAATTGAGCACTTGAACTTATTGCTCGTTTCAAGGGCTGGAAACCATATATATTCAAACTTCTATTTCGTTTTACAATCGCTCCCAAATTTTGAACTTATTGATTCACAAGGGATTGTAGAAATCGTTTGATGGCTTGTTTTATTGAAGAATGAGGAGTATTAAAGAAATATCGTCAGCAGAAACTTGAGACTACTTTTTATTATTCTAGCAGTAGTCTGGGGAAAGCTCTAATAAGGAATCCAGCCGAAAACTTAGAATTAGTAGCGTTGGCATCAAGAAACTCATATAAGAGAAGAGCTTTATGAGTGACAAAGTAATGAAGAAATATCTGGACCATAATGAACAGTTGATGCTATCATAATGGCGATTTTGTAAAATTTGGGGGTCTTATCATTTTCAATAATATACAACTCAGGGTAAGGGAACGGATTTAGGCAAATTTAATCAAAACAGGGCCGTAGCTTACTTGGGCATCGATTTCTCAATATATCAAGTCGGCTCTAAAACGATGGTAACCAGAGTAATTATTCAGGATTTTAACCAAATGGAACTTGTCATCCCATTAGAGGAATTCTGCAGCCATATTCATATCTTCAATCCCTTTCAAGATAGTTGACATGCATAAAAAGATAACATCATCTTCATTAACCGACAATATACTGTCAAGGTTATCAGACTCAGTGGTTCGGATGACAAGCTTAGCCGTTGGTTTATTGGATTCAAGAAGCGGAATTCTTAGACATTCTAATTTTCCAAGCCTACAATTTGGGATATGATCGTCTTTTGGCTTTCTAGAGGGTAATTTAAAAAAGTTTCTCATTCCTCTTCCGACAAGCTTGTTATATGAATCTAATTTATATTTATCTTTGTCCATATTATCAGTCAATGAATTATCACTATCTTCCAAGAGAAAAAGTGAATATTTGTAGTAAGTCAGTAGACGGTTATCATGTGTCCATCTATAGGAGGTCCCCTTTGGAAATTCTGTAGTATCGCCAATTGGTAACCTATAGTGGTTGAAAAGACATATAGTAAACTTTCTATCTTCACTGAGTGCAAAATCAAATTTGTACCTGACATATGTGCTGAATCTATTCTTCCACACAGTGCAAATCTCTCGCCTGTCTATGTCTTTATCAAAAAGTCTAGATTCTTCTGGGAGTTCATATTTAAATATAGAAGCATGCTTCCCTTTCAAATAATTGAATGAAGTTAGTAAAAGCGGTACACCTAAGCCACTTCTTTGAATATTAAGTACGGTTTGGAAATTCGCTTCACCAGAAGAGATTTTTTTAAACTCTTTGTATTTAGCAGCGGAGTCCTCTGTTGTGAACACAGTTATATCAAATTTAGAAGCTTGATTGCATAATACAAACTCTCTCCTGCCAGGCTCAATCAAAGACTGCTCAGATGAGCTTAGTTCCTTTCCCATTAATTGATGAATTGGCTGATTGATTGATTAAATAATAAATAATTGATTGAAACTTAAGTGATGATAAGTCCGCTAGAAATAGTGTCCTCCCTCTATGACAGTAAAAAAGATAATTGTGTCTACATCCATCATACAGAACAGGAATTTGCCAAGCTTTTTGTGAAGTTTTTAGAATGTATTTAGCAATGGAGTGTGTACTACCTGATATACGAACCTGGTACATAGTGAGAGAGGGGCCCGTTAAGATATATCGACAGTCTATGCTGTAATACAAACTTAATAATTAGCTTCTTGCTATTCATTGAATGTTTCCCAAGAAGTGTTCATATCCCCTATTTTCAGTATCTTCCATGTCTGCACTACCAATGGTTGGGAAGTAAGGAGAGAACAGAAAATTGGCAATGTAATATGCTGTTCATTCAAGCAATAAACCCATATGTTACTAATCTTATAGTGTTTGCACGACACCATTTCTGGTCGATAAATCGTAAATCCTTCCCTCAGACTAGCCAACTTTGGATCAATATTTGTGTAAAAAAAAGTGCACTCTTAATCAGAAAGGGGCACATTGTAACAACACTAATAGTCGAGTAGACTCGGGATTTACTTTGCCTTTCATTTGTAAGTAAGTTCGTACACTACAATCTCTCTGAGAGGCTTGATTGTTTTTTTCTTTTGGGACAAGAGTTTCGAAATCGGTAGGCCATGTGAGGAGTCTATTTACGACCTCCTATTGCGAGATTTGAAATGTAACGGTCAAGTCACTTTGAGTTCCCTGTGGAGCCATCTACATCTTAAGAATTAAATTTAGTTGTACCAACTTCATGATAAGAGATGAAAATAGAAGCGTAAATTCTAAAATTTCAGCCAGTGCATCTAGCATTAGAACTTCAGACTCCTTAAAAATCTTATAAGTATAATAAGGATTATAGTTCAAACCCACATTTATTACATATAAAAAAGTGACCTCATTGGTTTGAAAAATCAGGCTTGAACTAGTGGCTATGGCTTCAATGCGCTCAATGTGGAGTTTTTATTGGTCGTTCAATTGCTGCTATATAAGGCTGTAGATCCTTCAGTATCCCCTGAACGCCTTACAGTTTTTTGGCTGCCAAGAAATGCCAAGAACTACGATCGGCAAGTACTAACCCTAATAGAGTAAAACTGGGGTCCCTGAGTATTTTCCTGTATCACTATAAAGTACCCCTTGTATCGCTATATATACCTGGCTTCTATTTCACAGCTCCACCTGCACCTTTTACAAAATCATCTAGTTATCAGTCGGAAATGAAATTTCAACTTAAGATTTTGGCCGGCTACTTTGTGTTAGTGGGCTCTCACGCTCAAGGAACTCCAATGGATTCTTTCGCTCGAAATGGAAAGTACATCAGAGATGGTGGCTGGCAAGCGTTAGAATCATCACTTTCAGTCTTGTATGCCTCCCAGAGATCAGCTGCATCTGTTTCTGCTTTACGTGCAACTGCCGCTCCAGTAGGTGAATCTACTTTGTCAGATGGGGCTCCTTTATTAAGGTCGAGTGATACTCAGGAAGTTGGACCAAATTCAATTGCTTCTGAAACTACTATTACATTATCCCCAGTCACCCCTGAACTTCCACAAGCTAGTTCGAATGCTCTAACCATAAGTCTGCCTTTCGAACAAGAAACCGTCCCAGCAACAGAAACTCAGACTACAGCGACTTCCTTGTCATTCAGTGACCCACCTTTTTCCGAAATACCATCTTCAGCAGTACAGATAAATTCCAAACCTGGTGCTTCGTCTATTACTTTAAGCTCTGCCTCGATTGAAACCGTGCAAGAAAGTTTTGGGTACTACAATACTGTTCCAATCTTTACAACAATCTGCGCTTTCATACTTTCGTATTTTCATTAAGTCTAAATAATAAGAAAAGTTTTGACGCCGCAGTACTGTAGGAGTTCAATATAATCCGCAAAAACTAAATCTTCATATTTTTCAGCCTGCTGCGAGAATCTCGTAAATAAGCTGTGGCTCGAGGTCAGAGCACACAACCCCGACACAGGAAATAACAGAAAATAAGTTGATTTTTTCTATGACTGTACAAAGTAGTAATGTAAGGGCATTACTACTACTAAAAAAAGTTGCTCAAAGTTTCTTTATTTATTCACTACGACCATTCCAATACAAGTATATAAATATTAAATCGTACACCGCGATATACTTGTTTCAGAGGTTCGTGCAATTTTCTGAGGTCAAGTTGTTTTCTCTGTGACAGTTATTCGCCATTTCCTATGTACGTGTCATATAATTTTCAGTTGGCATTGTATGGTATACTTAAAGATAGAATTTATTTTCCTTTCCCCTATTACTCACTATAAATTACGAAACAAACGACCTATCTTAGTTTTTGGGAAAAATAGGGGTAATGCTATCCTGTTAGTCTCAAACTGAAGTCGCTAAGTATTTAAAGGTCTTCTGCATTTCTGATATATTCCTTTATTTCTTTTGGACTTCCTTTCATTCTTGGGGCGTTTCCATTATCAACATTTGAGGTCAACTTTTCCTTCCAGCACCACTTCCTAAGTAGCTCCGGTTCTAGATTTCCTTCGATAAAATCAACAACCTTATCCCCTATTACTGGAACGAACTTCCATGCATGGGCGGAACCTCCCGTAGTAATCAAAACATTTTTTGCCTCAGGATAATAGTCAACTATAAAATTCGAAGTTGTAGTCTGTGTTAACCAGCATAGCTTTGTCCTATCAAATGGTAATTCACATAAAGAAGGCATTATTTCTTTCAAATTATCTCTAATGGCAATCTCTGCTTCTTCTGGAATCCAATCATTTGGGTTATCAATAATGGTTCGGGGAACCGAAATTTCTTGCGTTTCTCGGGAAAATGGGCTAGGTGATGAAATTATCACTGTATTCTTACAGCCGGCAGACCTCCTCAAAACCTTTATTTCTCCATTATAGGGGGGGGAAATATTGATCCCTGTTGAAAGATTTGTGGTTATTGGCATTCGTTTCCATTGCTTTTCCATTGTCGGAGTCACTTTAAACCAAACTACTTCAATAGCGCTGGATTTAGAAACACTATCAAGATTAACTAGCTTACAACTCCAAGCGCCAGCTGCTACAATAACCAAGTCAGCTGATATTTTATATCCATTTTTCAAAACGACACCTTTGACTTCCTTCCGTATTCTTGAGGTAGTCCATTTTTTCGACCTCTTCGAATCTGAAGTTAACGTTTGGAAACTTCTTTGCGCGTTCATAATACGCTTTCATACTTGCACTCGCATCAATAAAGCCATTCGCAGAGTTTGTGTATCCTTTGTTCCATCTTTTTACTCTTCCTAATTTACTATCTTCTACCGAAGTGGGGATCCTACTATGAATGCTTCGGAAAACATCTTCAGCAGTATTGTAGTAGGCCATCTTTCCCTCCTCTCTCTCATTGACTCTCTCCGCAGAAAATTTGCTACTAAAGTATATATCTTCCCAAATATCGTGATTTCCATCGTATACAAATGTCATTCCATGCTGATGAAAAAATTTAGAAATAACTGGGTCTGCCTTGAGTAAAATCATTGATTCATGAGCCAATTTGCAATACGTTTCATCCTTATAATCAAACCGAATACATCTAGTTGTATCTACTGAGCTTCCATCGGGAACAGGTGGCTCAAATCTATCGAAAACATGAATTGTGCGATCTCTATATCTTTCAGCTAACGCGATTGCAGTAGACAAGCCAAATATGCCTGCACCAACGATGATAATATCCTTGATAGATTCCATCGATTTTCTTTTTTTTTCAAAAAAAAATTCAAGCAAAATGGATTAGCTCCAGCTTATATTTTAACTTTTCAATAATTGTCAAACTAAAGAGCCAAAGAAACATCGTTTCTGATAGTGTCATGCCGAAGCGCCGTAATTATATAAGGGGAAATTTTGCGAAACATATGATAAGATACTGGATAAACTAATCAAAAAGACATCGTCTGACATTTCGCAGTACGCGATAACCTATATGCATACACTTTACAGTAATAACTGAAATCTAGATTATAATCACCGGGAAGACTGAATCACATAAGTCAGTTGTATATGTATAGGCTTATATGACCCGTCCAATATACATATAGGTACAACCAACATCCATATATATAATTGACTAGCATTATTACAAGAATTTGTCAAGTCAAGGTTAGCTTGTTCTAACTTAGCAAAGTATTTTATAGGTAACATTAAAACCAAAGTGTTAATGAAAGCAAAAAATCTTTCTAAAATCCAAAATATGGCACATTGTTGAATAAAAAATAGAATTGAACTATTAATCACAAGGCAAGATTATATACGGATAGCTATTCTTCACCACTTATTAGATTGAGAAATTCTACAAATGTAGAGCGGTCTTGTCAAATATATAGTCTTGAGGAGTTGACATCAATTGCCTTTTATATACTCTTCTCCCATTTATTCCTTCTCTTAGACCATTTGGATCTTTTTCAAAATCTCTTGCATTTCTCCAAGCAAACAAATTTGTGTAGAAATTCTCACGTCCTTCAATCTTATCCACAAGAAATTGGCCTAGTACGGGTAACATCTTAAAGGCATGACCAGAACCCCCGCAAGCTACAAATAGCCCTCTTTTTTCTGGGACATAGTCATAAATATAGTCATTGTTGATTGTATCAGTATACCATAAGATCCTGCTTTCCCATTTCAAATTAAGCAAATCTGGGAAAAAAATCTGAAGCCATTCCTTCACTTGATGAACAATATGCTGAGGTAGAGTCTTAAAAGGAGGATTACTGTTTGATGTCTTAGGTATTGAAACAATTCTTCCATTCGCCAATTTTTCAGGATTCGTATATTTCGTTTGTCTTACAATAATCTTTAAAAATCCTTCGGGTTCAAGTACTGGAAAAATAAACATACCAGCTAAATACTCTTGCTCTCTTGAATGTCCACTTTTCCAGCCAATGATAGGGAAATTCTTAGAGGAGTACTTAACTCTCAAATCCTTACGATTACCTGGTATTTTGCACATTAGAATATTTCCTCCTGTCCCCTCATTGATACCATCCAATTCAGGGACAAGAGACGTTGACCAAGGGCCACAGTTAATTACCACCAACTCTGCCTTGTGTATTTTTCCATCTAGTGTCACTATCCCTCCAACTGTTTTATTATCTATCATAAAGTACTTTACGAAAGTACCTTTATTTTCTCCCATGATAAAACGAACACCCATTGACTTGCAAAGATAAGCCGCATACTGCAAACATCTGGAAGCATATAACACCCCTGACGTAGAGTCGAATGCACCCTCCAAGGTAGGGATTTTGGACTTCAAATCTAATGCAAACTGAACTTTTGGGCCATAGCCCAGCGCTCTTGCTCTTTTAAGATCGTTTTTATCGTTGATATTAAAACGCAAAGGACTAAGTCCTTCTCTGGCAAAATTATCTCTCGAGGCTAATTCCTCCCATCCAACTTGATTATCTAGCCTTAGCATACCACATAGATCCAATAATTTTAGGTCAGTGAATTTATTAGCTTCTGAGTCCGGGAGTAGTTGTATTTTACGATCCCATTCCTGCCAAATTTCGAAAGCTTGAAAAGCGAGCTCTTGATAATGTTTTTTTTCCGCATATTGGGCTCTAAAAATCTTGTTTATATCAGCAGATGCGGTATCTGCGCCCTCAAGTAATGTATAGTGATTCGCTTCGAAATCTAATCTGTCAAAGACCGTGATATTTTTGTAACCATTCTTTGCAAGATGCAAAGCGTTGGATAAGCCAAAAACACCAGCTCCGACTAAAATAATTTTGGCGTCCTTGTCAAGTGTCATATTGTTTGCTCCTGTTTGCTTCGTATTCTTTTTAAAAAAGTCTAAAATGCAAAAGGCGAATAAAAGTAAGTAAAAATTTGGGATATTCGAGACATATAAATGGCGGCCAAAAAACCGTTATCGCGCTCCCTTGTCATATGTTTTGACAAAAAAGGAAATAGTGCGACAAAGGCATCTATCGCTAATTCGTTTCCTTATCGCAGACTTTTACTGAAGCTTTATCAGTTACGTGAGAAAGACGTATAAAGGTCCCTATGACTAACCCAATTTTGCAATCTTGCTTGAACGTAAAATATTTGGGAATATGTCAGTGGATAGCATCAAAAAGCTGAAAGCTAATGTTCGAGTAACGCAATTCCTGTCAAAGGAAGAACTAAAAAACGTTGATGAAGCTTTTAAATATAGTTTAGAGACTGAATGTATGGAGCTAGATCCCTCAAAAGAAAAAAAGTTGGTCAGAAAAATTGATTTCTTTATTTTACCCGTAATGTGCATATTGATGTCTTGTCAGCTCATGGATAAATCTACGAACTCTTACGCATCAATTGTTGGCTTAAGAACGGATTTAAATATGACCTCTCAGGAATATTCTTGGGTTGGGAGCTCTTTTTACCTTGGTTACTTAGTCTTCGAGTATCCTGCCAATATGTTATTGCAAAGGTTCCCACTTTCAAAAACCTTAGCGCTCGCGGTTGTCTGCTGGGGAGTTATTATCTGCTGTCATGGAGGGTGTCAGTCACCCGCGAGCTTCTTACTTTGTCGTACACTATTAGGTGTATTTGAGGCCTTTATGGATCCTGCGTATATGATTATGACATCTCAATGGTACCGTAAGGAAGAACAATATATCAGATGTGGTATTTGGCTCGGCTTACAAGGCTTTGGAACAATGCTAGGCTCTGGTATAGCATATGGATTCTACAAATACGAAAGTTCGTATTCTTTTGCTCCATGGAGACTACTTTTTATCGTTACTGGAGTGATCACTATTTTTTTTGGTCTAGTTTCCTTTATTCATGTGCCTGATATACCAACTAAAGCCTGGTTCTTAAATGAGGAGGAAAAGAAGTATGCAGTTGAGAGAATTAGAAAAAACAAGACTGGTTTTGGAAGTAAGATTTATAAGCCTAAACAAGTAAAGGAAGCGCTTGCAGACCCTTGCAACTATTTGTTCTTTTTCTATATGTGCGGATATGGGATTACCAATGGGTCACTTGGGAATTTCGGCTCAATTTTATTAAATGAAGAATTTGAATTCCCTACGGGCCAAGCTTTACTTTTAAACATGGTTGGCAGTGGAGTGGATATAGTTTTCCCAGTGTTCTTTGCATACGTGAACAAAGTTTTAATTCCAAGCAGATTAGCAACGAGTTTCCTTATAAACAGTATTATTTATATTGGAATATGCTTGATAGCATTTGCTCCACAAAAAGGTGCGAAGTTAACAGGATACTTCGTCACCTTTTTGACTACTGCGAGCTGGGCTTGCATGAGCTCTATTGTGTCTTCCAATGTGGCTGGTCATACAAAGAAGATTACCGTCAATACTACTTTCTTGATTGGGTTTTGTGTTGGTAACATTATTGGTCCACAAGCTTTCATAGGCAGTGAAGCTCCAATTTATATTACTGCTAAAAGAGTTATGACAGGCACCTATACTTTAACCGTTGTCAGTGCGGGCTCGCTATTAATTATTTATTATCTCAGAAATAAGAAAAAAGACCAATTGCAGGATAAGAGCAGTTTCGAAGATAACTCCTACTTGTCTTTCGGAGATCAAACTGATCAAGAAAATCCATCATTTAGATATATCCTCTGATGCTGTTATACAGGTGTAGTTTCATATTTTGTGTTCTCTCTTTTTTTCTTCACTTCGTGCATTGTAAAAATTTGTCATTCCTCATAAGATTCCATCAACTAATACTACTTTGAAAGGCATATTAAAAACTTACCTTGATGATCAGCAAGTTAAAGAAATACAAGAGCGGCTTAAATCAGCAAGTGGAATCCAGTCTACAAAGAGCGTGCCATCTCTATTTAAATTCCAAACCATTTGGAGTAATTCAATAGAAGTTTTTATCATTTTCCTTTTAGTTTTTACTAGTAGCTGATGTAATTTATCAAAATACCAATCTCTAACATCCTTCGAAATCAAATCCACCCCTAAACAAAATAGTGGTAATATGATAATAGTTATGTCATTAGCTTCATGTTCCTCTAATGATTCGAGAATGTTGAACAAGCTATCAGCATCCTTTAATAGTTCTTCAACCAACAAAATAGTCATTGGGGACATAGATACTTGGTGATAGATTTCCTGATATATATATAATTTTGAGACCTTCAATGCGAAAATTATTTGTATATCATGGCAACGAGAAGCGTTTGTTAGAGAATTTTCCTTGTTGTATATCTCTATATGTTTTTCTAATTTTTCAGCATCCTGAAGCACTAGTCCCAAATTCGCTGAGCTAACGGAGTCATATGTCATAAAACGCTCTGACGTCCAAGTATTTTCATCCCTATTTGCGCTAAGAGACACCGACATTAAACGCTGAAGAGATGATATATGTCCATAAATTACCACCACTTCTTTTAATTCAATCAAGGTAAGGGAAGACTTGTAGTTAAAATTGTCAAAAAACTCAAACTGATTATTGGCATGCATGGAAGAAAAAAACTCTTTTAAACTGAAAACATAGTCGTTATTTCTGTCCAAATTCTGAACTGACATTCCGGTTGATAAGCTGATAGTTAACAACTTCAATAGACAGAGACCAGTAATGTTCGATGATAACTTTTCGACTCCACCTCTCAACGTTATCATGCTAAAGGTTAGCTTCTGTAATTTTCTCCATAATGTTCCTTTAGAGCCATTGATCAATTCGATTGTTAGTAACAATAAAACACACAACAACGAATGGTCGCAGCATACAGAGGAAAAATAATTAAGCCGTTCTTTTAATTCCCCCAAAACTTGAATATGCATTGCATGGATTCCTTTCTTTTTTTCCAATAGTTTAGAAGAGTCTTCATTAATGCGTAGTAAATCATAAAAAGATAAAATTAAAATACATTTAAGAACAGTGACATTGCCAAAAATTAACGGATGACACACTCTGAGAATACTAATTTTCGAATCATCTATTCTTTTATTTTCACAAGAAACTGCACAGTAATGGTTAAACAAGAATTCTGAGAATTGTCCACTTATTGATTCTGGTAAATTAACGAACTTCGTGTGCTTTCTATCCTTCGAAATTGATGCCTCTGCTATGAATAAGACATTTTTTAGACTCTTTATATTTATTTCAAGGCTTATCTCGTCTAAGGAGATACTTGAATCTTTTGAAACTTTTGAAGCCAAAGATTTTTTACCCTTTGCGTTCATGGAGATTATATTTTTGGGCATATGATCTATTGCAGTAGCAATACTCGTTTTCGATTTTTTATTGTCACAAGCGTCTGCTCTGACTAAATCAACTCTTTTACTTGATAGAATGAAATCAAAGAGGGTGATCGAGTGGCCAGCTATTGTGTCATTATTCCAAGCATTTACTAATATTGTGTCTTCATGTAGCAAAGGTGATCCAATCGTATTATTTATTGATCTCAAGGGAACAAAAATGATCGGTCTGCCGATGGTAGTGATAACATAGGAAATTTTTCTTTTCGATTTCACCCCTTTTTTCTTTGAAATCCTTCTTGTTGGTTTATTGTTACAGGAAAACTCTTTGATGCTTTGAAACTGACATTTATTTCCTGTTCTCTCGCAGTATGCACATTTTTCTCCTACGATTTCACACTTTTTCTTCCTTCTTTTGCACTCCAAGCATCTTTCGCTCTTGAATCGGTGACTAATGAACATATCTTACTAGTTTATAACTGAATCAAAATCTTGTCTATGTCAAAGCAAGGCTAATTTTAGTATTCGAATCCTATTCTGTTTCATTCTCAGGTTTCCCTCGGTGTCTCTCCGGCATATATAAATTATTTCTCCTCTATAGTAATTAGCTTATCGCAGAAAATCCTAGATATCAGATCATCAATATTAGTCTACTCGCGTAGTCCTCATTTATGCCTTTTATATCTCTGCTGTGTCAGGTTGTAATTGGTACCAATTTTGTATATCAATAACTTCGTCTAAGGCTTTCAAATTGATATATGATCACAATATATGTAAAAGAGCTAAAGTACCAAACTAGTTACATAATGTAAACAGCGCTTTCTTGAAGGACAACGTGAAGGGCTGTCGTAATTACCGAAGCCCGCTACATAATCTTTACAGTCCTCTGAGAAAGGCTGCTTCCGAAATGCTCGAAGAATAAACTTAATCAGTGTAAATTCCAAAATGCACCCTTTCCAAATCCGTTAAAGCCGATGCGAGGCTGGGTAAAGATTGCAACTTAAAATGCAATTAAACCATCATATGCTGACAATAGCTTGCGATGCATACAAATGTAGTAAAACTTGATACACGAATTAAGATGCTTTTTCTCCTCTAAACTCCAATATTTGTGAACGTCCACAGTCTTTATAGTCTGTCTGATTTGATCCATAGATAGAGGTACTCACTGTTATATGTTTATTTATCAGCGCGTAGTCCGATTGAGATAAGCAATGTATACGGTTCATATATAAGCACCATCCTATACCTCCACCAGTTAGTAGAAAACATCTCTCTACCACGTGACTGTACAAAAGTTCGCTAACCTTCCTGACTTTTACCTCACACCGAAGGTACATAAGAAAGACCCACCCGCTCGACCAATTGTACCAAGCCATAACCATAGCACGAGCAACCTTCCACAAGCTCTCTCAGCACACCTTCACGAGCAGGTTAAACAGTTTGCCAGGATCATTAATGAAACGAGAGACTTGATTGCTAAACTCAATAAGCTTCTATTTCCGTTTATTTGACAAAGACGACATATTAAGCCTAAGATTTAATGTTCCACTCATCATAATTTTCAATCTTTTCAAAGATCAAATTTGGAAGATTCTTTATACTTAATCGTTCTCCACAACTTCCAGACAATAAGTACCACAACATCAATGAACATCATCAAATGATTGAGCAAGAAAGATTGACCAGCCTCCAGGAATGAATACTGTTTAGCTACATGTCGATGTCATTAAAAAATTAAAAAGACAGCATATAAATGCAAGGTATGCCTGGAATATAACGTTGAAAGGGAATTCAATGCGATTCATACCTAGATTTTGACACACCCAAAAAAAATAATGTATTTTATAGCTAGGTTGAAAAAATTGGTCAAATGGGAAGAAGTTATCAAATTAACTATCCAATTCAATTCCGTGACAGCATTTTCTCCAAGGTGCAAAATCAAAGAAGAGCCCAGCAATTTTATACTAAGACTTAATAAATTGGAACTCCTGTTTTGCTACAATAGGTGACTGTTTCTGGTGCTTTGTGATCCAATGGCATCCCATACAAAGCTCTCTCAGAATAATACGTTCAAAATTTCCTACCGCATATGCTGAGGTAAGTAACAAGGCATTTACAATATGTGGTAAAACCATGATATTCAAGTTATAGTAATTATGTATGGAATACTGCCAGTCCCTGGTTTTCCGTCTGTAATAGCGGGAATTAATAATGGATCATTATACGCACATAATGTATCTAGGCAGAAACAGCCATCCATGAAGAAGAAGCTTAATGTGTATGCGACCTGTTTATATGCATATACAAGATTCTTACAGGGTTAATGCATTCTCCAGCTCCAAAAAATTCGTACTCCGTGCCAGCAATGGTGAAGCAATGCATGATATAGATCCTTGAAAATGGCCAAAGGTCTCCTTTGAGGATTAATCCGCCAAGGATCCGGCGATTTCCAATTTCCGAAGCCATAAGCGTCTTTCTTTGGATTTCTACCTTCGATAGTAATAAAGGTAAAAAACATTAAACCCGCTTTCAAAAAGACTTTTTGTATGTTTATGTAATACTCAGTATCACCATATCACCTAACTACTAAGACATTGATCAAAAAGTACGTATCAACTTTCACTGCAAGGAGAATTGTCGGTGACTATCCATCGGTCTAGAAATTAGTCTTGTGTTAAATGAGGTTACTTCAAAGGGACCAAAATTTTCAGCCAGCAGTGCTTTCAAGTACTCACCTACGTATTGCCCAGCCATTCTGGTAAATGGTGATGCGATCGGCATGTGAAATGCCATTTCTGCACATCATATCATCATGAAAAATACAGGAATACACCAGAACGAAAATCCGATAATCAAATCCAACGGTCCCCCTGTGAGCAACACGTTTCTAATAGAAAATAATTAAGGAGGTACCGCCAATACTGATCAATTGAGTATGTCTGCTCTTAAGGACCCTGTGCGTACTAATTTTTTGTATCTGACTCGGTTTCTTCGATTTCGTGTGGCACGTCAATCTTGCGTTCTTGCAATTTTGAGCTCTTGAAGACGTTTTACCTTGTGTGGTTCCCTTCTGTGTCGACCGAGGTCACAAGTATCTTTTGGACATCAAAAAGTTTTAGAATCTCGTGGAATGAAAATTTTCTTTCAAATACGTCTGATTTCATCTTCGTCAAATAATAACCAAACACAGCTATCTTTTGATAAAGAGTATTAAAGTGGAAGTATTCGATTTCTTTAAAAGGAAAGAGAGCGTCGTTTCTATATTATTTTGGGATGATGTCTTATCTATCAATAAGATAAACGAGATGAATGTTTGTAACTTTTGCAAGAGCACGCCACATTTCATCATGTGACAAGTGTTCCAGATAAGAAGTCCGTCGCATGCTATCTTTTCATCAAAAAATCCGCAGTACAAGTCCCAGATTTGGAAGTATCCGACCAACTTCAAACAATCAACAACATGCAGGTTTTTCCCCTTATCAGATTGCTATATAATTGACTAAAGGTATGATGATTATTAGCCCCTATTTGATACTTGGATCAAGCTAAAAAAAAAATGATTACTCTTAGCCCAGTTACCTTTCTTGTGGTATCTTTGATCATCCTTTTCATCTTTCTAGCAGTCAATTATGCGCCCTTGAAAGTGATTAGAAGTCAATTCCTTGGTTCTGATTGGGTCCCAAAGAAAGACTTGAAAAAAACTTACCTGAACCTCTCAGCTGAGAAAATTCAGAGGCCAATTCCACTTATGATTTCACCAGAGGATGTGAAGACCTATGATGACAGGCCCTGGAGGCCATTTAGATGGCCTTATCATCAGACAATGTCTATTTTTAAGCTAGATATTAACCATTGGTTGGATATGGACAAACATTATTGGCACTACATTCAAGAAAAGGAAAGAATAAGACTAAAATTTGGTCAAGAGGATTTCAATAGCTTGTCCAGTGCGTACGAAGATTGTGTGGAATTGATGGAGACCGTAACAGATCATATGTTGACAAGATATCCATTGCTCTTTAAGCTTATTGACAACAAAGGTGATAACGGTAAAGTCATAAAAAATCTTTTAACATCTGAAACTCTTGATATGAGTTTGCCTTTAAAAGAACATCCCTTAACTTACATTTCCAAAATGGCGAAAGAAGACTTCTATGTCGTAAAAAGAAACCCAGAAGATGATACGCATTATTTGGCAGCGGCAGCCGTCCCGTTTCCCGGAGGAAGTTTCAAAATTTGTGACATTCTTGGTAGAAAATTAGATGTCCTTCATGATCGTGTGCCCTACTATAAAGAAAAATTGCAGAAATCAATGGAAAAATATATGAGTAAGATGAAGGTTGCAGATCCTGTTGAGAGAGCTTCGTGGCATATCACTTGGGATCATAAACTAAGAGTCAACAATGTATACCAAATTCCTAAGTTTAAAGATGACGTTGAAGAACTTATGAAAAGTTCTGAGCCTAAAGACTTTAATGTTAGAGTCGAAAGGCAGACCTTACGTAGGTTGCCAAAGTCTAAAGCAATTATCTTCACCAACCATCCAGTTTTCTATTCGATTGAAGAAATGAAAAATGAACCAATGGTGCCGTCTCTACTCAGGAAAATACTTTATGAAGCACCAGAAGATATTATTAAATATAAAAAGTTTGACATGTTCAGAGACCATCTTTGTGAATACCTAAATCGACTCATCAAAAGCCAATTAGAAAGAGGAATTATTGACAAAAATGACCCTGTGAGAACTTTGCCGTCATATCCTTTCGCCTGCTGGTCGAAGACAGACTATAGCGCAACAAGTGGTTGGAACAATCCATCTTACCCCAAGCAAGAATCTAATTATACTCAAAAGGCACGAGAAGAAACATACTTCGGAAATGATTAGTTAATCGAAATAGATAATAACTTTGTGCATCGAGTCGTTTTATGAAAACATTTTCTGGGTTTTTTGAGCAGCAAGATTCGAGGCTTTTGTTACCCGGGAACGCAATGCATCGATTGAACTACTGTAAATGGGTCTCACCCATAAGATATTTTTTGTAATTGCTGGTTTTTACCTTCTAGTTGTATTGAGATTGGTCTTATTCTTTAGACCACATCAAATATTTTAAGAAGGTTACCTAAGTCGAGCTCTAGTTAGATTCTCTTTAGATGCGCACTTTTTTTCCGTAGATTCTTATTTCGTTGATCACATTGGGAATAGCGCTTTAATGAAGCTCTGAAATTGGCCGTATTTACCCACATATTACTTTCCCCATCTATAAAAAAGCATGAGTAAGGGGATCACATACGAAATGAGTAATCAAATATTATAAGAATATACGAGATGCGATATGAGTTTGCTCATCTTGATGCTAGGGATTTCTGGTAGCTACTGCTTTCATATCTAAAAGATTCTTTCTATTTTTGTCGGGTTACATCACAATTCGAATTTACGAATAATTTCTGGATAGCTTATCTCTATTCTAAATATTATTTTTCAAAGCTTGCATATATACCGATATCTGAATGAATAAAATGTGCAGATCGTCCTTTCTTCCTCTTGTCATTACTATCATATAGGCTCATTGGACAATTAAAACTCATTAATATCACCTTTCATTTGTATGTACGTATAAAATTTTGTACGTTCATTTTTTTAAGTCATATGTATGTAATTAATATTGAATGCTCATTTGGTGTTATTAAGCATTCATATGTCATCATTCATTGCTTCAAGCGTTTTTTGGTTGTCCTTTCAAGTTTACAGAGAAATGTGCTAAAGGCGGTCGAACTTTAAATCTTCGAGGTTAATGTTAAGTTCATCGTAGATGCCGCGAGCTGTTTCATCTTTATCTTAGGGATCTTTCTGTCCGTAAGTTTTAGTATGCCTCTTACGATTCCTATTTTAATCTTCCATTTCACTAAAAAGGTCCCCTAGAACTCTCTATCTTTGTATAAGATTCCGCAAGGATCTTCTTGAATGAAAGCTGAGGGATAAGAGGTCGCAATTCTGTGAATGTTGAAAAATGTTTCGGAGTGGGTAATGCCTTATTCCACAAGTCTTCAGTTACATATTTTATACTGTTTTAACTTTGAAAATATACACTTGTATATATAGAGTGATGTACTTGATACTCTTACAATTTGGTACAATTTCGAAACCGGACATATTTGTTACTTTTATCAACTCATTAACCTGTCGTTGGATATTTATATTTGTAAACACTCTTTCTTTGACTTTTTAGGAGTTGAGAATTTCACGCTTTGAGCTTAGCGCTGGAAAATTGATTCCTCATTATAATAGATCTTCTATGGCTCGAAAAAAATTAAATAGATAGGAAGTCTGATTCTTATATTCAATTTAAGTCCTATTAGATTACATATTTAAAAGCCAGTAATCCAGGTTCGACTGTGAATTCAATTCCCAGACAGAAAGACTCTTTGAGTGGGCACATATTTAGGTGCAATAGATATGTTAGGCTAAATTCTGTACTGTATACTACTCAGACATATTGGAAGCAGGGCAGATTCAAGTTCTACCATGAGAAATATCAGAAGTCAAAAGGTAAACCCAACAGGTCACACATTTTGAGTATCTCGACGCAAAGGAATACCTGAGAAATTATTTCGCAATTAGGAAATTCATATTTTATTTTTCAGTCGGAATGTATTGTGTCCTGTTTTGATCGTTTTATACGAAGCATGAATTGAAACTTTAAAAAAGACGACTAGTTATATCTCTTTGCTGAATTTATATAACACAATAAAATACTCAGAAAGAAAAGGCTTGTTGGACTCTTCTCAACAAGACTTTAATCACATGAAAGAAATGTTCAGATATCAGACCTTTCTTCCAACAAATTCAAAGCTTTTTTATTGCAATTCATTTTCATTTGAACGCAATCAAAATTTTTGAATTAAAACCAAGAGGTGAATAATTGATAAGCAAGCACAATGCATATGAAGCACCATCTTGAAAAAAGAGGTCCATATTACATCACTAACCTTGACAATTTATAATTGTTTAGCAGCGGCAGATGTGATTGAATTGACCAGTACCAAGTTAGTATCTTCAAGTGACATTTCATTCTTCTCTTTGCGCATTAAATATTCTCTTAATGCACTTTCCTTCTCCATGTTCTTATGCAAATTTCTGAAATGGATAAAGAAAATGATAGTAAAGACTCCTCCACAAATTGCCAAACCCGCGAAATACCACACCAAGTGAGGATCTTTCAAAGCTGGACTAATAGCATCTCCTATAGCTGCAGCTATACCATTTGTAAGTAAGAACAAAGCTTGTACAAGGCCTTTCATATGAGGAGGAGCCCTAGTATAGCCCAATTCATAGGCAGTGATGTTGGCAAAACATTCACTAACAGCCGATAAAATATAAGGTATTACCAGAACCCAAGCATTAATAGGTGCAACTATTCCTCTATCTACACATCTCGTGGCTTGATCACCACATTCAATTGTATTGTAGATTTCCTTTTGGATAATTGCAGCAGCTGCCTGAGAAAGAGATGCCACGATCATACCAAGAGTGATTTTATATGCGGGCCTGAACTCGATCTTCAACTTACGCAATAGCGGATAGACACCATAATCTAATAAGGGTATAAGCGCGATGATCGTAATTGGATTAAAATTGCTGTACATATCATTTGGAGTTCCATCGCTTGTCATAGATCCTGATTGCGCAGTTAAAGCTGGAGTTGCACCAGTACCTCCAGCGTCACAAAGATTGAAGACGACAAAATACAGAAAAACCTTACAAATATTAACAACTTGCTTGACATCTAAGACCCATTGGTCGCTCCAAGTGATTGGCTTTTTTTTCTTTTGAGAATAATATTCCTCGCCTCTCTCTCTCATTTTGGTAGGAGATGCATAATCCCAGAAAGTTTTGTTCTTTATCCTTTTTATCCAGTTGCCTCTAAGCAGAACAATCAAGATTTTGGTTGAGTTCTCTACAACAGATCCTTTCTGTTGCTCCTTTTTAAGCTTGGGTTTCACAAACCAGAATACAAAAGGAATTATGAGATATATAATGATGGGAATAAAAAAAGCAAACCAAAACCCAATTCTTCTTTCTATATAAACACTTGGAATAGGAAAAAGAGCACCAATATTAATCGACCAATAGAATACTAAGGTCATCCTTTCCAACGACTTTTGACGGTCAACAATGACAGATTCTCCAGATGCTAAAACCTTGACCACATCCGTCTGCTCGTGGTACTGGTCCAATAAGAGCGGTAATAAATTAGGCTTGATGAAAGCAGTACCAAAAGCCAACGTTATGATGCCAAAAGCTGTGGGGACAATTGCGTGGCCTGCTGCAATGACACTAGGAGCAGCAGCAACTATAAGTAAAATATGAGCAAAAAACCCACAAATCACACCAATCCATATTGCCTTGAGCTTACCAACTTGGGAATCAGCAACAAACCCAGCATATAGAGGTACGACATATGCAACAAATGTCAAAGTATAAGTTATAGCCGTCGCGGCTGGCACACCTAAGCCCAAAGCACCAGGATTTAAGCCACCAGGAACTAATTTACCTGTGGTACTACCTTCGGGCAATTTGTAAGTCACAAAATTACTTAAAAGAGTTTGGCAAGAATAATAAGATGCTCTTTCCGCAAACTCCGCTATGCAAAGTAAATAACAGGCCCAGTCCGCTCTCCCCAAGACTCTTCTCAATGAAGAAGCTTCTTGCTTAGTAGGTTTTCTCAAACCCTTCGGATTCTGATCATCTACAAAGTTTGTTGAATAATTGTGGGGATCATCAAAATTATAGACAGCCTCGTCTTCGAACTCTCCGCCTGACTCAATAGTAGTACCATCTTCTCTCGTATCATCTCGTTGCGACTCAGCTACTTCCGGACCGAGTTTCTCGGAGATGTAATCGGCGACACCAGCCCTAGCGACATCCTTCTCCTCAGTTTCTCTTATTCTAGATGTACTCATCATTCAAATAACTTCTATACTAACATGAAAAAAAAGAAAAATCGAAGGAGGAAAGCCTTTCGTTTAAATATATTGATGATGTAATGTAATGTAGGAAAAGAAGCTATGAAAGGCAAATGGAACAAGTTTTTAAACACGGCACCAGAAACCGAAATTGATAACAGACTCGTTCAAATTTTTATTCCTTCAATCTAGATTTTATATTAAGGAAATGCACAACACGAGAGCCACATAAACCTTATTATTGTAAAAATCTGAACATGGACACTTTACAGGATCTATGTTTATTGGCTAGCTTGACAGTTTCCTTATCATACTGTTTTCCTTGGCTTATCATGGTTACGTGCACGCCCAATAGGCCGAGAATCCATACAGCATATTTAATGTTTGCCGCGCAGTGATGAGGCTGTTTGTCTCTCTTGTACCGTACTTTGTGTGACATACAGACTATTCGCTTAACAATTTTAAGTGCAGTCTTTATAGGATCTCTGGCGACAATTCATACCGCCCATAAAAACACAATAGTGGCAATACACTAGCTCAAAATTAGACTGTAACGTTTCACAAAATCAGTAAAGTTTCATTCTAAGTAAAAAAAAGCTGTATATTAATCCAAAAAGACTATTGAGAGGCTAGCATTGAACAAGCAGGATTTCTTACCTTTCCCTCCTTCTCCTCCTCCTCCTCCTCCTCCTTAAACTTCTATTTTTGAATTGTAGTAAAAGTGAGGTTCATGGCAGATATATTTCTACTTCTATCCTTCATTTATCTTTCATATTGCAACCTCCTTTATGCGATAAACGAACTCTCAACGATGAAAGAGTTAGGTCTATATATTTTCAAAAAGTATTGCAGCCTACAGTCATTTCAGTTCTCAACTGATATATATCCACTTGATGTGCGCGCGTCAAGTTTTGAGCTATAGAATTGAATTTTTACTTTTTCAGAGGGTCTTAGCACTTCATTACAAGTATGCGGTGTATCTTAAAGCCTTCGAATTTGGATTTGAAAGGCTCGAAGTCTTATGAACTTTAATAAGATCTTTGAGAAAGTTGTTTCAGTCTTGAACATTTGAGTCCTCTGTAATGTATCTCAATGCGTCATGTATCAAATCTCACTATTGAATACGTTGAAAAAATGATCTAAAGCTAGCTCCAGTAGGAATTTACTTTCACCGTCTCCTGGATTAGACTGGGAGACAAAAGAGCTAGAAAAGTCTTGAAAATTCTTAGCAGGAATAGAATCTTCGATTGAACCATCTGATGTCATAAGAGAAGCGTCTGATGAAAGTCTATTGAGGCAATCAAATTCAGTTAGAGGCACTTTTAACCATGATGCGGCTACACTTGAGTCATTTGAATTTGTCAAACTTGCTTCAAAGTTATAGCCAGAAGCCGTCTGAAATTGTTTCATTTTAGTTTGTTTTGATCTCCTTTGACTATCATGCTCCATAAATTCACTACCAATCCTTTCACTGTACCGCGATTACATAATACAATTAATTCTTCAACCTGCCTTTTATCTAAAAGGGATGGAAGCATAAGACTAGTTTCATTTTCCAGGTCAATAAAATATTGGTAGAATTCATCACTTACCAAGGTAGACAAAATGTGCCCATGAGTTTTCAGCATTCTCCAAGCAAAATAGTTTTTTTTTTCCGAGCTTTAAGAATGTATGATTATTGATTTCACACATCCTACTGAGTCCCCTCGTTAATACTTCGAGAGAATGATGATAAGATTTGTAATCCAAATCTGAGAGCATCTTGCTATCATGGTCCGCTGATATTTTCATTGAGTAGAAGGCAGCTCGAAATCGTACTAGAAGACAGATAAAAATTTGATTAGCTTTAGCCAATACCAGTAAAACTTCCAGGTCTAATACCAAAGTAGGAATTCAGCACTTAGACTCTTT